TATATTTTATTTTATTTTATACAATATTATATTGAATTAATTTGATTATTATTGCAAATAATACATATTATTAAATTGTTATCCAAAAATATTATGTAATTTATATTTGATGTAAAATAACCATATTTAATTAAAATTCTTTTATTAGCATTAATATTATATAATTCATTTCCTTAATAAAATTATTTTTATCTTAATATTAATAAATAGTAATAATTTTTGAAAAATCTAATCTATAAATTCAATAATATTTTCATTACTATCTTGTATAGCTACATCAGAATCTTTAAGTCTAAATTAATTTAATTTATAAAAATCTATTAATTATCAATAAAATATAGATAAGATTTTTATATTTTTATTTATTATTATGCGAAAAATAATATTAATCTTCACAATCTCTTCTCTTTAATTTTATTTTTATTTTCATATTCTTTTTTAATTAAATATTGTCCAATCTTGTTAGAATACTAAAATATGATTAATATCTCAATCTTATGTTACTCAAAGGAATTATTAATAATAAATAAAACTAATTCTGTTTCCTTTAGGTATATATAATAGTGTTCTTTCAAAGCATATCTATAAATAAGTTAATTATTTAAAAAAAGTCTAAACTTCAAACAATTATTCATTTGTCATCTCTACTTGATATTAGTTAATCTTCTCTTTAATTCAAAATGAAGCAATTAATTGTAACTTTAAGAAATTTATAAACTTTAGAATTCCAATAGTTGATATCAACCTAAATCCTACAAATGATCTACTTATCTGCAGAACTTGAAATAAAGTTATTTATTAATTTACTATAAACTATAAATTTAACATGAAGCCTGCCGTTTTATAGTTAACTTTATAGAGACAATCTTCTATTTTCAAATTTCAAAAGTTTAATTTACTCTATTTCATTCGAAACCTTTATAGATTTAGTTTTATCAAATAAAATTGCCTTACATTATCCTTCTTATTTATTATATTGATTTTAAATCAATTTAATATCTTTCTTATTCTAAATTTTATATAACTAATGATTTTCTTAATTTTATTGTCGATTTAATAAATATTATTTAAAATAAACCAAATAATTATTTTTCCCCGAACAACGTAGATTCAAAATAATCTTATACTTAATAAAGTTTTGCATTCTTCATCTAATTTAAAATATTTATATCTTTATATTTTTATAATCATCTTATTTATAGATTTAGAACTTCCACTATATTTTACAAATATAAAATTTTAATGAGTATTCATTTACATTTTATTTCTCTTAATTAGATTTTTTTGTACTTATTATAATAACCTATAGAATTCTATTTTATCATATTATTATTAAATTAGTAAATTATTATATCATAGAAATAGTAAATCTTAGGAAGTTTTATCAAATTGTCATAGATTATGAACTATATTAATTTATTTGGGTATGTAGGAAAAATATCGAAATTGTGTTATTTTTTTTTTTATATTATTGATCCTTAATTTCAATTTAGATAGACAAACTAAGTTAAAAAATATATATTATCTTATTTCTAATATATATACTTTTATAAAAATAATTAATATTATTGAAATTAAAACATAATAGTATATAATTTTATTCTATTGAGCCCATAATTTAAAGCGAATCAATATCAAATCAAATCAAATAATTAAATGGGTTCAAAATATAAATATCCTAATTCTAGTACTTTTGACAAATAATAACAATAGTGTTAAACTTAAAATTACCGATTATCAGAAAAATAAGAATAAGCATAAATTCAATATTATATTTATGAAGACTTACAAAACATAATAAATTTAATATATTAAAGAAATGCTATCCTTGAGTATTTTAGAGATGATCCTGGTCATGACATGGTTATCTTGAGCAATAATAAATTAATATTGTAATTAAATTTATCGAGTTCAATACATTTCGATTAGACGTAGTATTACAAAAAACAGCAATCCTAATTGTACAAATTTTTACAGGATGAAAGACAGAAAGCTTATAAAATACTTGAAAAATTATTTGATGATAATGATTAAACAAAGAATTATAAAAGTAATTAAAAAATAAATTTAGATGATCACTTAAATAAAAATAAAGAAATAAAAGATTATTTAAAAAAGTACAAATAGGATTATGAAAAGTAAGATTTTAGTTTGAATTAATTTAAATAATAACCTACTAATTTAGTACCCAAATTTAATGAAGGAGTCTTATCAAAAATTATATCATCAATTTAAACTGTAGATTCTTAAGTTGATTAAATAAGAAATACTTAATACTACAAGACTCCTAATTAATATGAAATTTAATCTAAAGCAAAGTATTTCATTTATAATATCTTAGATAATATTAAGAAAATACTAAAATAAAATTATAAGATCTTTTTTAAAACTAAAATAATTAAATGAAAAATCAAGATAATCAAAAGATTAATTAAAGTAATACCATCAATATTGGCTAATCAAATTAATTAATTTAAGGCAAAGAATAGAAGCAATCAATAAGCCAATCTAATTCTGATGAATAATATAACCTTACTAATTAATTGAATAAAGAAATTTCTTTAAAAGAAAAATTAATAGAGTTTATAAATGATTTAAGATTTAAAAATTTAGGGATCATAAATACAAATGGAAAACATTTTAATATACAAGATTAATTCCCTAAAAATTATACCGATACAAATATTAAAGATTGGGCAAAAGGTTTTTAAAGGTAAGATTTTTTGTAAAAATTTATAAATTTACATTATTAATTTTATCTATTTGTGGAATATCAAGAATGTATTCATAATAATTAAAGTAGTATGTTCCCACAAAATAATATAGATTTAGTTAATAACTTTATGAAAAATCAATAAGTATAAAAAAAAATTTAAGTCATTCATTTAATTGAGTATTTATTTGATAAAAAAGATGAAATTAGTAATCATCAAAAGTACCTATAGAATAATGACAATCTTTAAAATCAAATAAAAAAACAAGATCTAAAATAAAATTAATAAGTGAATTAAGAATAAGATCATATCTATAGTTTGTATGAAATTTTTTACAATTATTATAATCGCAACTAGAACAAAAATTAATTTAATAAATGAATAATATTAAGCAAATAGCATATAAATTAAAATATTTAATAAATATTTCATAAAATTTCAACAACATCCTTCATTTTTCTAATTTTATTTCTTAGTGTCTTTTACATCTTTAATTTATAAACCTTTCTTTTTCTTACCTTTACTTTCTTATGCTTAGACTTTGATTGAGATACCTATTATTGAATTTAAGTTTTACTCTCTGCTAAAGACTTGAACATTTCATTAATACCAATGCCTGATTTAGCTGAAGTAAAGAAATGTTTAGCTCCAATCTTTTTGCAATATTCTTCAACTTCATTTTTATCAATCTACATCTGATTTTTCATGTCACTTTTATTACCTGCAACAACAATAGAAATATCTTTAGTTCCAAATGATCTTAATTCCTCAACCCATTTCTCAACCTAAATTAACATACAGAAACCTTTTACCTTAAAAAATGATTCCTTATATGTTACATCATAAACTAAGACTGCCCCATATGCATCTCTATAATAAACAGTAGTCAAAGCATGAAATATTTCTTGTCCTGCAGTATCCTATTATAAAATCGCACAAATACCCAAATGGCCAAAGTTATATTCTTGCCACCACCTAAATCTACACTCTTCTCAAAAAATGTAGCATCTATAGAAGATTGCTGATTCTCATTGAATTAATCTTTACAATATTTCAAAGTCAGACATGTTTTCCCTACTCTACCTAATCATTATTTCATCTAATCTAACCTTCCCCTAACATAACTATCTTAATTGGAGCACTCATCAAATAATATTAATTTTTATATATATTTATAATATAGATTGCAAATTAAAAGTAGAATAACTTACTTATACAATTAAATACATTTAAATAATCCCATTATAATTAACTTAATCATATATAAAAGTACTATTAAATAGCTATGAATAATTATAAAAATTAAACTAAAATAATAATATATTATGTATTATAACAATTATAGCAACTATAATGCTCTTTCAAGATTAAATACTGGATCATAATTCTTAAATCAAAAGATTTCTATTAAGTAATAAAAGGCTTAAGAGTATTCAGTACCATTTAGTGTAACAATGAGTCCAATAAAATAATAACGAGAATCATTTTAACCAATAATAGAGAATTACTTCAAATTATAAATAGAAACATAGGAAGATAAAATTTGTTTTGATTGTTTAAATAATTTCATAACAAACATGACTTAAGGTAGTAATATAACAAAATAAATTGTAATTGAAAATTTAACTGGATTGAGAAATTTGATTGACTTCATTTTAAATTCTAAATAGGATCAATCTGAAATAGAATAATAGAACAGTGGTTTATAAAGTATTCATTCATCACAAATTGAATAATAAATGCATAATTAATAAAACATTCCTGAAATTTAATTACTTGAATAAAAGAGATTTCCAAATGGTGTCAATCGCCTTTTAGAAGAGTAAAATAAGAGTCTACAAAGTTATTTGATAATACATTAATCTTAATAAAGTGAAGGATCTTAAGTGAATCAAATAGAAAAATAGAATGAATCAGCAGTTGATATATCAAATTAGAGTTATTATTCGGAGTATAAACGGTAAGCTTAAAATATTGAGATGGATTTATAAAGTTTTCTATAATAAAAATGAGTCTAACATATATATTCAATATTATGATCACTATTTAATTCTAATATTAGCATTTTGAATGCTATATCTTAAAGAAAAATTTTTGATTGTTTGAGTTTGGAGATTTGAAAAGTGATGATGACTAACTGACTTAGTCTTATCTGCAGTTCTATCTCGACTATATTTAATTAACTTTTCATTATTTCTAATTCTAAATTAACTGAGAAGTACAGGAGGTAATTCATTTTTTTTCATACTCCTAGTTGTTAATGCATTTTTATCATATAAACAACTATCTTTTGTATGAATTGATTTAATGATAGTTGGAATTTCAATTTTCTTTTAAGAATGATCCTTCCAATATTTCACTGTTGACATCATCATTGAAGCTCTCTTTACAGCCTTTCTCAGTGTAGCTTTATTGTCTATCTTTGATTTCTAAATTGCATGTTACATACAAATTGATTGAGGGTATATACAATTTAATCGATTCATTTTCTATCCTGAAATACCTTCTTAATAACTTTTTCTTCGTTATAATATTGGCATCTCCTAAAATTCAGGAACAAATGATGTATTCTTATTTCGATTAGGTTGAGCCAATGAGACTAATAATGAATTACGTTTCTCATTCACCATTTTATAACAACTACTACATTTTTTATGATTCTGATTTATGTCTTATTCTGATAGATATCCTTATTGATTTTTCATTTCTTTTTTATTATATAATATACTTAAACTATATTATTAAAATATTGTAATAATTTCTATTATTATTCACTTATATGTCTATTAATTTCCTTGGAATCGATCCATCTCATAATTCTTTTAATGCCCTTGTGCTACTTCTAATATCACTGTTTGTTTTTATTGTTATATTTTTTTGGGTTGTAAATTATTCAATATATTTTTACAATTAGAATATTCGTTAAATGAGGAAAACTATTCTAATTTATTATTCAATTTTTTAATCTGATTGTAATTTATAGGATTAACTTCTTAAGCTAATTACTCTATTTCAATTTTTTAATTATATTGAATTATCCAATCTATTTCATTATGAAAATTAAAATCTTATAATTTATAATTAGTTAAATCTTTCATCCAAATTTCTGTATTTTCTATCATTTCATCTAAGTTTTTGTTTATATAGCTCTTTAGTTTTATAAAATTTTGTTTCAGCTCTTCAAGTTATTTGAAATTTAAATCGAAAATTATTTCTCTATATTACTTTTTTTTTATGTAATTTTCTTCAGTCATTCCCATTACTTTTTTTAATCCAATAGTTTTATGATTGGTCTCAAAATTCTCTAAACATGTTTTACATAAAAGTCTTTAGTTTTTTATTAAATTTGGATCAAGTACAACCACCTAAATAACTTCTTCGTGTTCTGGATGAGCACATTTTAAAATTTAATCCTTTTATTGTTTAGATTTCAAACCTTAATTTTTATCTTCTTAGCTCTAATTAAGTTGAGAGAGTAATTTGGATTATTATTAAGGAATATATTATTGTGTATATTGACCATATTTTTGTTGTTGATTTTATCTATAATTCATAAATATAATAAATTTTTTGATAGAATTAGAAATATATAAATCATTATTATTTAGGTTTTTATGGAGTATATGTCAAAAGATAATGTACCATTTATGCAATAACTTCTGAATCTAGTTTTTTTAATGGAAAGAAGAATCCATCTTTATCAGTCATAATATCCTCAAATTCTATGATGAAATAAATAAATAATACCTGCATCAAGTATTTTTTCTTGATCTATAAATTAATTACAAAGATGTGATCCCCTGACAACAATAATAGGTAATTTATTAATAATGGCTTCTCTAATTTCATCAAAACAATCATTAGAATCAGCAAATAGAATATTAACAATTTTACATCTTGGTCTTCCTTAAGTTTTACTAATTTTACCAGTTGCAATTCTAATATAAATAATTAATATTATACGCTTTGCATAAATTAATTTTAAATAATGCTTCAGTTCCTAAATGAACATTTTCACCTCCAATTAAAAAGATGTGTGTATGACCATTACTTAATTCATTTTTTTCAATTTTTGTAGGATTCAATTTTGGATATGATACAATTTATTCAGATGCAACACCAATAAGCTATATTTGAATATGATAAATACAGTACAATTTCTTCTAAGACTAAATTTTTCTATTCCAGTTGTTATTCCATTATCAATAATAACAGCATCAGTATTATGACATGCTCTAGCAATACCAGCATAGAATTTGCCACGATTAGAATTTGGATTATCAAAATTTTGTCTGCAACCAATAAAATTAACAACAGGTAATCCATCATCTAATTTCAATTTTGTAAGTATTTCAGTCATTGGAAATGTTTTTGGTTGTGTATAATTAACTTTTATAAGTTTAGCTAATTTTCCAGCTGGAAATAAGAAATCAAAACATTTCCAGACTTAATTCTATTCAAGTTTTTATTGAGTCATAAAGACATTTGCATCTTCAGGAGGCTTGATAAAATGAAATATAATATTACAATTTAGGTATCAATTTGAAATGGTTATTAATCTTATTATTATTATTCATCCTCTTATAATTCATCTCCTTATTATTCTTCTCCTTATTCAGACATTTATGATTATAATTTTATATATATATATATGATTATATTACTAATCATAATATCAATTGTTTATGGTAATTTCTTAGGAAAGGTTAATAAGGTTAAATCAGATTATTTAAGAGTGTTCTTATTTCCTCATTCACATGATGATGTTGGATGGGTAAGGACAATGATGGAATATTACAAAGATGAAAATGGAGTCAAATAAATTATTAATTCATATATGGAATAATTAATACATGATAAGACTAAACACTTCTCTTAAGTTGAGATTGCTTTCTTTTCTATGTAAAATGAATTCACTTATATATAATAGTTGGTGGAATGAATAAAATGATAAAATGAAATAGAATGTAAAAGAATTAGTAAAGAATTAATAGTTAGAATTTTTAAGTGGAGGTTGGTGTATGAATGATGAAGCAACATCATATTATGAAGATATAATAGATTAAATGACACTTGGACATAAATTTTTACTTTAAAATTTTAATTATATTCCATCAATTGGATGGCAAGTAGATCCATTTGGACATTCAAACACTTAAGCTTTATTCTCAAATATGATGGGTTTCAATGCTTGGTTTTTTGGACGTATTGATTAAGAAGATCGTTAAATTAGAGAAAAAAAGAAAGAATTAGAATTTGTAATTCATCCTGATTCAAATTAAAAACATTCCATATTGACACATGTTAACTATTATGGTTATTATTCATCTCCTAAAGGTTTTGATTTTGATATTACCAATCCCAATAGATAAGAAGTTACAGATTACAATTTGTAATAAAAAACAGAAGAACTTGCTGCATATTTCAAATAATAATAAACTGTATATAGAGGTAATATATTGGCACATACTTTGGGAATGGATTTCTAATGGTCAGATGCTGCTTCTTATTTTAGCTAAATGGATAGAGTTATCAATTAAGTTAATAAAAATACAGAAAAATATAAAATGATTATTCAATATGGAACACCAAAATAATATATTGAAGCTTTAAATGAATAGAATATTACTTATCCCTCTTAACAGGAAGATTTCTTTCCATATGCTGATTACCCTAATCAATATTGGTCTGGTTATTTCACTAGTAGATCAGCATTTAAAGGTTATGTGAGAAGAATTGGCAGATATTTCTAATAAGTCAAATATTTTTATTCATTTATTAAAATTAATAATCTATGCAAGTCTCTTTGTGATGATAAAAATCTTAAGAATTTGGCTGAAGCATTAGGTACTGCTTAACATCATGATGCAATCACTGGAACTGCAAAATAATATGTTAATAATGATTATATCAAAATGATTGAAATTGCTCATCAGAATATGAACAATTAAATTAGTACTCTACTCAACAGTCTATCAAATACTAAATCAATTACTCATACTACTTGTCATTTTAATGGAACTAATGTTTGTCATTCATTATTTGATCCTTTAATCAAAAATTAAACTGTCATTTTAACTATAATTGATACTAAGGTAAATAATAATGGAATGAAAGAATACCTTAAAATATATGTACCAGATAACTTATACATCAAAGCTACTTATGAATAAAATAATCCTATTAATGGAGAAATTCTATGTCTAAATGGATAATGTATTCTGTATTTATAAAGAATTGTTGGTAATTCAAAATTCCTTCATAATTTTAAATTATAAACTGTGGCATCAAATAAAGATACTCATATAATAAAAATAGAGCCTGAAAAAATCTCTATTGATAGTGATACAAAATTATTTGATAAATTCAAACTAAATTATAATTTCTATTATTCTTCTTCTGGTGCTTATGTATTTAAACCAGATGGTTATTCACATCCATATGGTGATTATGTCAAAGCTTATAAATTTACTGGCAATATGGTTAAATAAATTTATATTGAAAAAACAGCAATAAAAGCATGGGTTACAAATTTTGATAATGATGAAAATGTATTCTATGTTGACACTTTTGTTGATTCTATCATATTGTAAGATTATAAAGGATAAGAAGTTGTTATACAATTCCTTACAGATATTAATAATAAATAAATATTTTATACAGATAGTAATGGATTGACATTTTAAAAACGTTAAGTCAACCATAGAGATTCATGGCAAATGTAAATTTTAGAACCAGTCTCAGGTAATTATTACCCTGTTAATGGTGCTATCATGATCAAAAATTAAGATGAAGATCAAGCATGTGCAGTTATAAATGATAGAGCATAAGGAGGTACTAGTCTTAGTAATGGTGTTATTGAATTAATGTTACATAGAAGATTAAATAATGATGATAATAAAGGAGTTAATGAAAGACTTAATGAACAAGAAGAGGTTAATAATTAATTGGTTGGAATGAGATAATTGATTTCTCACACTATTGTTTTCTATAATTAAAAATCTAATCCTAATATTGTAAGAAGATTGTAATATCAACAAGATCTTTAACCATTAATTTATTTCTCAACATAGAATTAAATCAACTATTAAAATTAATAAATACAAAATAAGTTTATAACATTCATTTAACAACAAACAGATGACAATTTATGTAAATTCTATATTGAACCTTGGATAAATGAGAATTAATATTTAGTTAGAGTCCATAATTTTAGAGAAAAAGGAATCTAAAAACTTAATTTTCCACCCGGCCTAAGATTTGTGGAAACTACTTTAACTGGCAATTAAGAATTAAAGAATTGGGAATTAAATAGAATAAGTAATATTTTATTTCATTCATTTTTAGAATGGACAGACAATTACAATAAAGAATCATCTCAATAAAATTATGATGAAGACTAAGTTGGACCTATGCAAATTAGAACTTGGATTGTTACAATTTGAATTATATTTATATATCTTAATCATTAAATATTTAACTTTTTATTATAAAAATTCATAGATTAACTTAAAGAATTAAAACTTATTATTTAGATTTAATTAATCTGAAAAATATATAATAATTTTGTTTAAGATTTTTAAGACATTTTAAAAAATTAACAACATATTAGGTCTAAAATATTCTAAAGTAAAAACAAATTGAAAACTATAATTAAAGGAATTAATTTAATGTATTTTATCATAAAAATTTATTTTCTACTAATTATTATCGTTTAAAAATATAATTAAAAATTATTCAATGTTTTAGAGAAATCACATACATTTTTTAAATAAAATGAAAAATCATACTACAATTTCTTCAAAGGAATAAGAACGTAATAATAAAATATAAATAGGTAAGGATAACATATTAGAAACAATTTAGGATAAAAGTTAAATGTATAATAATTTAAAAGAAATATTTCATAATTTATTAGCAATAGTAAGATAGTGATTTAAATATATAGAATTTAATATCATATATTATGATTGATTGAAATAGTCAAAATTCTATAAATTATTTCGTTAAGAATATTTTTATTAAATATTCTAAAATGTTTTTATAGTTATTGATTGTATAAACATTCAATTAATATATTTATTTTAACATGTTAAAATATTAGAATATAGAGAGACTTCTGATAATAGATGGCACTTAAGTTTAATTATAAATTCAATTGTAAAATTGCAAAAAAACTGATATTTGATGGTTATTAAATTATAATAAAATTTCGTTTTATAAAATTTCAATAAAAATATTATGAAGTCAACGAAAGAAAAATAAAGATTGAAATTTACATAAATTGGATGATTAAAAAAAATTCATAGTTTATTTATATTATTATAAAATGATAAATTAAATATTAAGATGAGATTGACATAATTAAAATCAAAAACATCAGTATTGTAATAGAGGAACATCATAATTTATGATTAATAAATAATTGTATAGTATATATATAAGTATAAATGGAAATTATTAAACCGATTTAGTGAATAAAATCTTTGAATTTAGATTCACAGGTCATATTTTATTGTGATAAATATTAAATGTAATCTTAATGTGTAAAATCTAATGGAAGTATACTTCTAGATTACTTCAAGGGTCTTGGTTAAGAGGATTGGAATATCAATTTGACCCAGTATTCAAAACTAGTCGATTTTAGATTAACTTAGAATGTGATAACATTTGCTGAAGTGCAAAACTTTTATGCAATTGAGCATTAAAAGTAAGAGTAAAACATTATATAGGAATTTCCTTTAAATGCATTCATAAACATAATGGACAGACCAAGAATGGAAAATATTGATTTGGTTAGTGATATCATATTGTACAATTCATAAATTGAATCTTTTAAAAATGGTATTGGAATGTTGATATTTAGAATGATTGGGAGATGATTGAGAAGTTGATAAAATTCAAAAATGGTTTAAATTGTTAATATAAATGGCTATGTCATGTAATTGGAAGAGAGGATAGATTATAATGGTCTTAAGAAGAAGAGAAAATGTTAAAAGAGGAAGTAGAAAATAGCAAGAATTTGAAATGGCATGAAATACAATTTTAGATATTTATGAAATCAAATGGGAGATATTTTAAGAAAGCCAAATAATGTAGAGAGAGATGGAACAATTATTTAGATCCTTAAATAAATAGGTAAAATAAAAGAGAGTTCTTTTTTTAGGAATAATTGGAAACCAGAGGAAGATTTATGTTTAATGAAGCTTGCATAAACTGAAGGTATGAAATGGTCTAAGATTTCTTATAAAATGAAAAATAGAACAGAGAATTAAGTTAAAAATAGATTTAAGAGTCTAATAAATAAAGAAACAAAGGGAAATTAATAATAGTTAGAAATAGGTGTGTTGATAAATAATATAATATAAAAATTAGTACTTTCATAATATAATAATACTGGTGTATGTATGCAAGATGAAAAACCATAAAAAGTAATCTGTTTAGATAGGAATATAAATTACTTATAATAACAATAATATTTAATATAGTAATATCAGTATTATTTGGCATAGTAGCAATATTAAATGTGTTATAGTTATTATTAAGGTGAATAATGTGTAAAAAGTGAGGATTGTTAATCCTAGAAGATATCTAGATCAAATAGCTTTTGTGGCTTATTAGATAAATTATCATTAGATTCTAAGTCATTGACTCAAGAATTAAACAAATAATATGCATAGGAAATTGAAGTTCCAATAAATAATATCACAAAATCATAATAATTGATTACTATTCCTAATTTTATAACAGATAATTAAGGGAAAGTCAAATCAAAAAAACAAAGATTCAAGTTTTCTTCTGGAGATTAATGATTAATTATTAATATTTTTTATTTAGAAGTAAATCAAACATGTGGTTTTTCAGATCATTAAGAGCTCTCTAATTAGGATATCCTGCATATGTCTGTTGGATGATTAAGGGAACATAACCCAGTCATGCCCATGAAGAATGAAAAATTTAATCATTTGCATCATTATTATAATCATCTATAATCATCACTATTATTTTAATTAATGATTATTATATGCTAAAATAATCAACATGGAATATATTGTGCTTATAATGATTCTCAATACTTAGAAATTATATAAAATATGATTAATAATATATGTCACTGATTGTAAATGAGATTGATTAAATATATATTAAATATTTTACTACAATTATAAATAAGGCATTAATAAGAAAAGAATAAAATCAATTTACATTTTAAGATAGATCAATATAAAAACTATAATATTTATTTATCCTAAAACAATATTTAATATTTTATTCTAAAATTTATATCACAATATATATGAAATTGTAGAGTTTTAAGAATAAAATTACTCGTTTCTTCTTCTAAAGAATGCATTCCCATAATCTTAAAAATAATTGATGAAATAAAAGTATTTAGATTTAATTGTTCTTAAATTTAATATATCATTATTTTAATTTAAAACATCTATATTTAAGTAACAATAAATATCACAATACATTGCTTATCTATTAAAATAATGAATTCTTGTGGGTATTGTAACAATTTTTTTGAGAAATAATTAAATATATTTTGAAGAGATAGATAGAAATTCTTTTAAATTAAATTCATTTGTATAATGTAATGCATAGAGATTTATTTCCAATAAAGAGATTAAATGATTTTTTGAGAGATACAATAGAGAAAATGGAAAAGCAAAATAAATTTGTAATTCTATTAAACATGATTATTCTATCAAAAACAATATCATTGCACAAACATAATAATTAAATAACTATAAAAATTTTAAGTTGATGTCTGCTAAAAATTAACTATAAACACAAATGGATAAGGACAAATATTTTTTCACTAGTTTGGTTGAATCTAGTATCATAAAAACTGACTTTGGATATTATGGTTTCATGATTACTAAAGGTTTATGGTATAAACTAAGGGTTTATTTTTGTTTTGTTATCCCTAAAAAAGTGGTTATTGCTGAACCAGATATATACACATTTGACAATTTAGAGTAAGCTTAAAAAAAAATAGAGGAAATCGAATTGTAGAAACAAAGGATTTGATTAGTTTTCCATTTATAAAATATTTAGATTCATTTGAATTTTATATTTTTTAGGTTCTTTTTTTATAAGTTTTAAAGATTTTATGATACAATTAATTATAAATTATACGAAATTCTATCATAATAAAAATTGGTATTGAAATATGTTAAAAACAAAAAAACTAAATTATTAATAACATGGAGCAATCACTTGAAAAAGAACTACTTTAACGTATGAAATAAAGTAAGTATTTGTTAACAATATTGAATCATCGAAGCATAGAGAAAATATAAAATGGTTTTATTGGCTTTTAAATCACTTAAGGACTTGTATATAAATTAAGGGTATTTCTATTAAAAAGAGAAGGGGAAAATAAAATATTCAAAATTTTATTTCAAGAATGGTTTGGTAGAGAATAAACTGCAAAGGATAAGATGCATGAACTATTATAATAATATAAAAAATAATGAATTATATATATTTTAAGTTCACATAAATGAATCCTAGATAATTAATAATTAATCTCATTTTAATAGTAATTTATTATTATCATTAATTTGTTTAATTTGAACAATTAATATATAATATATGAATAACACTAATTAATTTAAAAATTAAAATTTTACCGTTCACATGTATGAAATGAGAAGACCATTATCTGAAAAGAATTTGGGAAGGTATATTCCTGAACAATCAAGACCCAGTTCAGCTAACTAAATAAAATAATTAACTTAAATGAAGAGTTCAACTTAATTGAGCAAATAACCATATTAGTATAAGGATTAGAAAGAAAACATGGAAATTAGATCTAATCAATAAGATAATAAGAATTAGAAACAAAACACAAAAGAGATTTTTGAATATGGAAAATTATAAGACAAATTGTCATATTTAGAATAAAAGATCATAAATATCAAATCACATATTGATAATAGTTAAAGATAAACTAAACAAGGTTTGGCATCTAGATTTTTTAATACTAAAAATACCGACCAATAATAATAATAATCGTAACACATTAATAAACCAAAAATTAGTAAAAATGATCTTGATTTGAACTAAATGCAAAATAAATAAAAATCAAGCACTATAGTAAATGATCCAAAAGTAATATAAAATGATAATCTCAATAAGAAGCCATCCTTATCGACCTTTGTGACATAATAGAAAACAAGTAATGAAACCAATATCTAAAAAATAATCTAAATTCATCCTGAATCAGCTAAAGGAATTAATTAGAGAATAGCATTTTCAAACAATTAGAGAGAAAGATCAACAAGATCAGAAACTTAATTTCTATATTATATTTCATCTGTTATTAGATGTTATATGACACCTGAAATCACAAAACCAATATAATAAGTGAGGGAACATTTAGTTTAATCAATATCAGCTGCTTAGTATTCTAAGATGATGAATTCTTAGTAGTATGAAGAGAAAAGAGTAAATTTACCATCTATTTCATTAAAAAAAACAATAGTGTTTGATTTAGATGAAACTTTAATTCATTGTAATGAATCAATAAAAGTACCAGGTGATGTTATATTACCTATAAGATTTTAAACAGGAGATGTGATAGAGGTATTATATCAATTTAAATTAGGCATCTATTAATATTAGACCTTATGCTCAATAAGTATTATAGACATTGAGTAGACATTTTGAATTGATTGTATTCACAGCTTCACATTCTTGTTATGCAAATGTTGTAATTGATTATTTGGATCCAACAAAATAATGGATATCACATCGATTCTTCAGGGAGAGTTGTGTATAGACTGAAGAAGGAGCATATATTAAAGATTTAAGGTATTCAGTGATTGTTTTTGGTTTAGAGTCATTGGAAACAGAATGTTATCGGATCTGGTACTAGTAGATAATGCTGCATATTCATTTTGTATGTAGTAATTAAATGGTATTCCGATCCTGAATTTCTATGATAATAAATCTGATTAAGTATAAAATATAATAGATTATTAATAGGAATTACTTTATTTACAAAATTATTTAATGGCTATGAAGTATGCAAAAGATGTGAGATAATTTAATTAATAATATTTGAAACTAGATAGATTTGGAGAGTTTAAGGATCCAATTTAGTTATTAGAGACTTTGTTCAAAGAGTATATACCTTGATTAATATAATTATAATTAACAGTTTATTTTAAATATGTAAAGATAACCATTTTAATAGATTGATTATAATCAAGATAATAGAAGAGTCACACCTTAAAACACATAATTTTAAATTTCTAATCTTAATATTAATCATAGAAACAATTAAAATTATAATGTTTAATATAAAATTATACCACAGATCTAACAATAATACAATTCAATTATTATGAGTCAAGCTCTTAAACGTAAGAACTCATTTCAGTAATTGATAACTTTTCAAAAAATAAAAATTAGAAATAAAAACACATTGAAATTCACTCACCTGGATATAGAGGTTGGTCATAATAATTAAAAACTAACCATTTATTGACAGAAGTGCAATTCATTAAAGATTAGAATTAGAAATTATAAGAATGCATTTTATAATTAGAATTATAAATCTAAAGAAAAAATAGTACTTAATTTATTAGAGAATTAGAAAATAAAATTATTATGTTATAAACTTTAAATGATAAATTGAATTTTGATAATATAACTTTATTGAAAATAAGTGATATTTAAGAATTACATAAAGAAATGGAGTAATAGTTAAATCAATTATTGTAGATGTAATAAGAAGATGATAGAATATTTAAAAAATTGGAATAATTAAATTGTGAGAATTTAAAATAATTAGATTCATTAAATGAATATGAGAATCTTAAATCATTAGTATAAGATCTTGAATTTAAAATCACAGGTTTAATTAGTGAAAATGAATAGTTAAATAAAACATATTCTTAATATACAAATTTAGATTAAGAAATAATATATTTGTAAGTAGAATTTCAAATATAAAAAATATACCAACTTTAATATATATAAAAATATGATTCAGCAGCTATTTATCAAGAGAAGATGTAACAATAATAGTTGAATTCTTAAAGAAATATATATCTAGATAAATTTAATTATGAATTATTATATTGTCTATAATTTTTAGATTAAATTATTAAAAGAGGATAATAAGAAATTAAATAGTTTAATTTTTGATATTGATTTAGATGAAGAAATAAAATAACTTGAAGATAGAGTATATTTATATAATTAATTATATTTTATAGATTTTAATTATAAGTTAAAGTAATAGAACATTAATTATTAAAATAATGATAATTTATATCTAATCATACTAATATCTCATAATTATTAATCTTTTTTTCATGAATCATCTTTTGCAATTCTTGAATTAATTTCTTATTAAAGGGATTACTAAATATACAAATTAATATTCTTACACTTTAAAATCAAATTTAGCTATTAATAATGAAGGTAATTTAGAAAATTCATTGATAAATATTTTAAATGATTCATCATTAATTCCTATATCATAAGCAGATAACCATAATTTGCGTAATCTCCTCATTTCAGGTAATGCTTTAGAAACAATTACAAATCCTTTATTTCCTATTGGATTACAGGATACATCCAAATTTAAATCTTTTAAATTGTTTAGGTGTTTAAAAGCATGCATTAAAGCATCAATTCCTTCCCATGTAATTTTATTATTATAAAGTGAAATATCCATAAAAGATAAATGATTTAAATTAGTAAAACAACCAGCTAATTATCTAGCTCCAATAACAGTTAATGAGTTACTTATAATATTATAATATATATACCATCCTAAGTTTAATTTCAAATGTTCAATGTTATAAAATTGAATGAATTTTTTCATGAAATGTTCCATGTTATTATCAGTCATGCCTTATGATTTGAATTCAATTGATAAATTTTAAACTTATTTAGCTTTTTTACTATCATAGTATAAAAAATCTTTGAGATGATTGAACTGTATTAAATGAATATTATTACTTTGAGAGTAGTTTCACCATCATCTGATTGTTTATTATGGAACATTATGACAAGTCCTTTTTCTTATTCTTCTTTTATTTGTTCTCTTTGACATTCTTAACCATTTGTACCCTAATTTAGTTATTTATTTACAGTTAACGGTCTTTGATATTGCTTATTTATTTAATGTTTATATTGTTCTTCTAAGTCTTGATTGAATTCATTTAGTAATTCTTTAGTAATATGATAGAGAAATACTCTACATAAATTGTTCAACTTGATTAGCAAGCATTTGAAATTATTTTGATCCAAGTAATGATAACTTTGTATCACTACTTGCAGGTAATCGATTTAAAGATGAATCATTGTATGTTTATTTTAATGTACGTATCTTAGCAACAACAATATTAGACACTGAATCAAGAAGTCCATCTAAAATAGATTTATAGGAAGCCATATTAATAAGTATAATTTAATTAATTTATTACGCGCCTTATGCAAAAAAAGATTGCCTCATTCTTTAAATCAAGTAAAAAAGGAGATGATTCAAATGATTAAATTAAGGAATAATAATTTATAGAAGAAAACCTCAAAAAGGAAAAACTAATTATAGAACAAAAAGTCTCTTCTTCTAAATCAAAATAACATAATATAGAAATTAAAGGTGCTGTTTTATTCATAGATATGGCTGAATTATATGAACAAGTATAGAATAATTTCAATATTAAAGGTTGGAGAAATAAAAGGTTAAAATTCAAAGGATGCTATTAAAGAATTAGTAGCCAAAATGTTTATAAGAATCATGAAAGAAAATAGGGAAGAATTTGTACCAGCATACTTATTTAGTATTTTGAAATTGGGACCTGATTATGAATCATGGGAATTAGGGATTGGATAAGGAATCATTGTTAAATCTATAAGTGCCGTTTCTGGGAAGAGTGTATATAAAATATAACTATGAAAAGGAAAAATAAGTGAGAGAATTAATGAACACATTGGGAGATTTAGGTTTAGCCATTGAAAAATCTAAATCAACTTAAACATAATTAAATAAATTTTTTGTATCTTAGAGTGTCAAGGAGGAAGTTAAATTAACAATGATTTAAGTATTTAACATTTTACAGTAATTACAAAAATAAGAAGGCACAGGAAGTTCATTAGAAAAAGAAAGAATTTTGACTAATTTATTAAGAATGGCTAAACCTATTGAAGCCAAATATATTATAAGATTCATAGAGAAAAATTTAAAAATTGGAGCAGCTGAAAAGACTATGTAAGCTGCTTTGGCTAGAGCATTTTAATTATATCATAAAGGGAATGTTGAGGGTGATTATGAAAGTATTATAAATTAAGCATTATGTGAATGTCCAAATTACAAAAAGATTATTGATACTTTATTTAATATATAGAATTTAAAAGAAGTTCCTGAATTATGTCATATAATTCCAGGAGTTCCATGTAAACCTATGTTGGCTAAACCTATGAAATCTATTTAGATGATATTTTAAAGATTTGAAAATATGAAATTTACATGTGAATATAAATATGATGGATTAAGAGGATAGATTCATTTTGAAAATGGTCAAGTGAGTATCTTCTCTAGAAATCTAGAAAATATGACTCAAACATATCCAGATATTGTTACATATATTCATAATCATTATTAACATTTGGATGGTTTCATTATTGATTCTGAAATTGTTGCATATGATGTTGTAAATAATAGAATATTACCATTTCAAACTTTAACAAGTAGAGCTAAAAAAAATGTTGATTAAAATCAAATTGAAATTCAAGTTTGTTTATACATATTTGATTTATTATATTTGAATAAGCAAAGTTATTTAAAAGAGACTTTAGAAAAAAGGAGATAGACATTAAGAGAAACATTTAAAGAAGAGGAAGGAAAATTAAAATTTGCAACTTCTAGAGATTCAGAAAATTTTGAAGAAATAGAAGAATTTCTATTAAATTCAATTAAAATGGGGTGTGAAGGTTTGATGATAAAAACTTTAGAGATTAATTCACAATATGAACCAGCTAAAAGATCATTTAATTGGTTAAAATTAAAAAAGGATTATTTAGATAATGGATTATCTGATACATTTGATTTAGTACCTATTGGTGCTTGTTATGGAACAGGAAAAAGAAAGGGATTTTATGGAAGCTATTTATTAGCTTGTTATAATGAAGATATGGATCAATATGAAACTACTTGTAAGATTGGAACAGGATTCAGTGATGAAAATTTAGAAAAGTTCTTTTAATTCTTTTAAGAATACTTAATTCCACATCCATTATAAGAATATAAATGTGATGGAGTGAATATGGATGTTTGGTTTAGTCCTGTTGTTGTTTGGGAAATCAAGAGTGCTGACATTCAAATATCACCTATTTATAGTGCTTGTTCTACTATCTTATAATAAAATAATAAAGGTGTAGGATTGAGATTTCCTAGATTGATTAAAGTAAGAGAAGATAAGAAACCTAATGAAGCCACAAGTTCATAATTTTTATATGATGTATATAAATAATAGGCTGTTGTTGCCAGTAATAATACATTTGATTAGGATGATGATTTTTATTGATTTTAAAGTTTTTGGTATTCAAATTATTAATTTTATTATATTTGGAATGAAAATATTTAACAAAGCTATTTACTTTACGTTTAGATTATGAGTAATAGTTGGACAATTTGAATATTCTAAAAAACTATAATTGTGATTATCCCATAGTAAACATTTAATCGATTTTATTGTAATTATCATCTATTTTGGTATTTCATAACTACTAATAATTTCATCATATTTTTAATTGAATTAACAACATTCTTATTTAATTTATTTCCATTCCATATCATCATTTTTATGTGTCATTCTAAAATAATTATTATATGATAATATTACCCAAATTGCTGAATGAACCAATCTACTACAATTTCTTTTTAATTATTTATCCATATACTATCAATAAATTCATCATTTGATTGAATTGCCATCAAATAACCATATTTATCAACATAAAACTATCATTTAATTAAATATTATTTTTACTGCTTTATAATCTCTTCTAACATTAAAGTATTTCTCTACAATATCTTATTTAAATTATAATCCAAAATTTTAATTCCAAATATTATTGAAATGACAAAATTAAATTTGTAATTTTTGAATTCTTTAAGTAATAAACTCATTTATTATATTACTAGTATTATCTAATTAAGTGATAATTATAATATTAGTAGGCTCTTAGAATTCATCTTAAATAGATGCCAATTTATTTAAAATTATTAGTATTTATTTCTCAAAATCATCATACAAAACAAAGATCAAAGTATTAATTGTAATTTTGATAGATTCATCAATATCCATCAATCTTTCATTTATTGATATCTAATAATCAATACCATGATATATATATTTTTTAATTAAATTCATACTATTACCACAAAGATTCTAAGTTTTGATTTATTTAAATTAAACAATATGTTATTCTTATTGTTATTTCAATAACTTTAATTCATCTAAATTCTTTATTACAATAGATTTATTATGTAATTCATACATATCCAAAAAAACAAATGAATCTCTCATTTAATTAGTCCATTCAATTTTATCTTAATTACTAATTCTCATTATTTTGTTATCACTTTTATTATCTGTCTACCATTCTATAGTCCTTCTTTTAATTAAGAATAATTTCAATTTAAAATGGAATTATTAAGTGAAATCTTAAAGGAAATCCATTAAATCAATTTTACTGTAAGTATATATATGTGGAATAGAATATATATTTAAATCAGGGTCCTAATATAATGCAAGAACAATACTTTCCATTTTAATCCAATTGATTCTTTTAATTCTCTACAAGTTTCTGTAAGTATTTTCTATTTTTAAATAGAAGCTGCAGGATATATTGAAGGTAACAAATATGTTTTTGTAATTTCTTTGAATTTATGTTCATCATAATCATAATTAAAATAGATCTATTTAATTAATTCAAACTGAAATGGTTCACCTGGATGATATTTAGATAATATCTAAGGGAAACGGGCACTCTTAAACAATTATTTGAAATCTTTGTATTGTACATAACTGATTGTCTCACTTGATTAAAATATTTGTTATTGCATTATTTGATATTTTGTTAATGTAGGTTTAGAAGTTTATGGTTTATTCTTACTGATATATGATGAATAATGGATATGTAATTCTTTAAGTAATTTCTTCTCATATTTAATTGCTTTAGATTTTTATGAACTAATATCATCAAATTCTTCACAAATTTAATCTGGTTTTTTGGATACATAAAATTCAGGTGTTTCTGCTCTGATTACTTTACCTTATGGATCAATAATAATGAATAGATCTTCTTTAGTTTATTCTTCAATATGAAATACTTGGTTAGAATTGAAATCTATAATTTGTAATATAGTATAATACATTAATGATGTTCAGATACATTTTCACTTATATCTATGAATTTTATATGCCATCCATATTTATTTATAAATTTTAATAAATCTGCATATTTGTGTGTTGAAGTCCAATGTATTAAACCATAAAATTCAAATTGAGCAAATTTAAATATTTTAGATATCTTAATAGTGTAGATTTATTAGAATTTATAGAATTGTTTAAGACTTTGCAACTTATACAATTACAATTACAAAAAAAAAGTGTATTTTCCATTATTGCTAAAATTGATTAATTATGATTATTTGACATCCACAAATTTCACAAATATCTATTGGGGAAAGAAATCATTTTTCATTAAGGCTGTATGTATAGTAGCTTAAGTAATAGCAGGTTTAAAATTTCTTAGAGGTCTCAACAAAATTATAGATTCTGGATGTGAATCCAAGAATGAATGTATATAATTTCTAGATTCTAAATTACTTTTCATCCATTTATCTACACTCTTTATAATTCTCTTCTTCTATAATATCCATTCTTTTCTCTACTTGATGTAACAATAATTATAAACAGATGTGTAGATGATAATAGTATCAACAAACTATCCCTCTGCCAATTAATCCAATAACATATACAAATTATCAGATGACGCCTTTTCATCATTCAAAAGACGACTACCTAAACATCCCATCAAATAATAAAAATTTAATTTTTTTACACATTCCCTTATAATCATAAATAAATGGATCCAGTTCCCCCTAAAGTTATAGTTGATATACCTAAATTCACAGTGATGGGAATTAGCAGAAGAGTTCATTTTGCAAGTGAGGCCAATCCTGACACAAATGTGTATATAAGAACTTTCAAAGAATATTTTGAAAAGAAGATTAGTGAAGCAATCCCTAATCGTGAAATCCCAGGAAGAACTTATTGTCTTTATTATGATTTTCAAGATGTGTAAGATAAATCGAAATTTACTTTATCTATATTGGTTGGGGAATTAGTCACAAAAGTTGATTAAGTACCTGAAGGTTTGGACATTTTTGAGGTTCAGGATGCAACATATGTATGTTTCAAAGGAGGTTCAGGAGCCATACCAGAAGCTGCAAGAGATACTTGGAAGAAATTGTATCTTATCAAGTTAGATGAGTGGGGATACAAAAGAAGTTATAAAACAGAATTTGAGTTGTATAGAGAAGGTTAAAATGATATTGGAAATATGGAAGTTGAATTGCACATTGGAATATAACAGATATAAAATTGATTTTTATTTATGGTTATTATAGTGTAATATCAATATAGTATTTATTAATAATGTGTTCAACATATATGGAATAAATGGATTTATAAAGGGAAATTGCTATTTTTATTTTACAAATAAATAAATTAAAGGTTTTCAAATGGATCATCCAGTTAAAGTTAATCCAAGAACTACTGTTGAATTAGATTCATTCACTTTAGTAGGCATTCAAAGAACAATTATACAAAAAGATGAAATCGACCCTTAAACTGGATAAATTGGAAAGGCATATGAAGAATATTATGGAAAATAGCTCCATGATAAGATACCAAATCGTTTACATCCTATGAGAACACATTGTTTATATTTTGGATACTCTAACGCTTAGAATTGGTAAGAGATGAAGTACAATATGGTTTTGGGAGAAATAGTAAGTGATGCCACAAATGTACCTGAAGGAATGGTAAGTGTACAAGTACCAGCTCATCGTTTCTGTAGATTCGATTGTGGTCCTGGTTCTATTCCAGGAGTAGTAATAGATGCTTGGTAATCATTGTGCTAATTGACTCCAGAAGACTTTGGAGGAGTACGTACTCATGATTATGAATTGGAAGTATATCCAGAAGATTAGTTTGATAAAAATAATTTGAAATTTTTATTATACATTGGAATATAATGATATAATAATAATGATATAATGATCATAATTAAATTAATAATAATTATAATTATATTAATAATAATATAAATTAGTAAAAATATAGAATAGAAATACTAATCTTTTATTATTTAGTTTATATTTTAAGAAATTATTCAAATACTTAGTTTATTATATTTTTTATATTTTCTCATTCATGTTTATATTTAGGAATCTAATTAGAAAATATTCAAAATATTTATTTATTCAATGTAGAAACAATGATATATTATAAATAGAATGAAAAAGATTGTAAGAATTCAACAAATTATAAGCATCTTAGTCAATTGTAATTAAATTAATTAATTGCACATAATCTAAGATTATTATGATTTTGTTATATATAAAATATAAGATAGATATATATATATATATAAATTTGAATTCAATCTAATATAAAGGCTAACCAATCTTTATCAGATATTTAAAGATCAGCTGATAAATTAGGTTATTGAATTGGTTTGATTCTGATTTATTTTTTCTATATAGATTATCTTGATGTAAAAGCCACATCTACTGAAAAATGTTTTCGCTTTTAATATGATGATTCTGATCTATCATTAACAATAGCCTTTTTATTTATATGACAAATCTTATTAAGTATAATTTTAGCATATTATTGAGTAGGAGTTATATAATGCAAATCAAATATTGGTTATTTGGTATAAAAATTCTTATGTTTAGAGAAACGTGGTTTAAATGAGAATGGTTATTAATTAGGAATTAAAAGATTGGCTAATTCATTTGATTTATGTCTCATTAATATTAAAATATTTATAAAAATGTCAAGTGGTGGTAAGAGTTATTGATAATTGAAAAGTGAGTAATGAGTAGATAGGAGAGTTGATAGATCACCTAAACTAAGAGCATGACAGTGAAGATGAGGGAATGGAAGATTATAAGATAGGAGGTTTGTTTAATATGACTATCAGAAAGGATATCATCCTGTTCATATTGGGGAAGTGTTACTTAATCGTTATGTTGTCATTCAGAAATTAGGTTGGGGACATTTCTCGACTGTGTGGTTAGCAAAGGATTTCAAATATGATACATATGTGGCGCTAAAAATTCAGAAGAGTGCATCACATTACTTGGAAGCAGCTTATGATGAAGTAAATTTTGTGATTTATTTTTAGGTGGAGATCTTATAGAAAGTGGCATAGAATGTATAAAATCCTGTTTGGATATAATCATTAAAAGAATATTATACAGAAGTATAAGTTTCATATAATTAATATAAGGAAGGACGTACACATTTCAATAGAGATGATACTCATACAGTTTAATTATTAAATTCATTTGTCTACAAAGGACCTTATGGACATCATTTTTGTATGGTTTTTGAGATTTTGGGTGTGAATCTCTTAGAAATAATAAAAAGATACAATTATAAAGGAGTATAATGATTATATATTAAGTTAGTGTCCAATGGATATTGTGAGAAAAATGGCTAAATAGATATTAATTGGTTTGGATTATTTACATAGAATTTGTGGTGTCATTCATACTGATTTGAAACCAGAGAATGTTTTATTATGTTTATCAGATGAGGAAATTAAAGATATTGTAGAGAATGGATAATTGACATCAAATCAACTATTTTCAGATAGAATTCATATTTATAGAAAGATGTTGGGTATAATTAAGGATGAGTAGAAGAAGGAAGAGGAGGATGATCATGAAGAAGAAGATACTTAGATGAGTAAGACTTAGAGAAGGAAATTATAAAGAAAAAAGAAGAAGAAACATGTAAATTAATAAGAAGAGGAAATGCCTAAGTCAATTAAAGATTTATTTAAATAAGACAATTAAAAAAAGTAATAATAAATTATTAAATTGAAAGGATATCATTTAAGACTTAGAAACCTTTGCCTGATAATTTTAGAGTAAAAATTGCAGATTTGGGAAATGCATGTTGGATTCATCATCATTTTTCTACATTGATTTAAACAAGACAATATAGATCTCCTGAAGTATTATTGGGAATAAAATATAATCCAACAGCAGATATATGGAGTTTTGCATGCATGATTTTTGAAATGCTAACAGGAGATTATTTATTTGAACCAAGACAAGGGCCTAATTTTTCAAAGAATGAAGATCATTTAGCTTAGATATAAGAATTATTGGGTAAATTTCCTTATGAGTATGGAACAAGAGGAGCAAAAGCTAAAGTATGATTATACATTAAAAATAAGCGATATTTTTCTCAAAATGGAGTAATGAAAAGAATTTAGCAATTACATTTTTGGAATCTATATAATGTTTTGACTGAGAAATATCGATTCAAGAATTAAGAAGCATTATCATTTTGTTCATTTATGTTACCTATGTTACATTAAATGCCAGAGTATCGTACAACTGCTTAGGAAACACTTAAGAGAGAGTTATGTTGTAATGTGAGTAGCGAATATGTATTGAAACGTTATATAGATCAAGTGTTCCAATTCTAAAATTTTAGAGAATATATTCCTCCTTCAGGTTGGTTTAAATAGAAGACTGATGAGAAGATTGGTCATAAGATGAGTGAGGAGGAATACAAGAAATACACTGCTCATAAGAAGATTAATTAAGAGTAGGAAGAATTAGAATAAGGTTAAATTAGTGAAGGGATTCAGCCAACTTTATTGATTAATTATAGAAGAGTATAAATATTAAGTATAAGTAGGCATCTACAAGGTCTTATGAAGGATCAACTTCATTAACTCCTGAAGTAGAAGTTCTACCAAAGAAACAAGGGAAGTATGTTGATCATCGTGTGATTGATAGATCATTCACTGATTTAGGATACATAGGATATGGAGAAGGAATTAATTTGGAATAATTAGATAGTACAGGAAATTGGTAATTTAGTTGAGTATTAAAGACACATATATTGATTTGAAAGATTATTAATTATTTTAATGAGTTGTATTTCTGTTCAGAAGCATGTTAATTATGGTGAAGTGATTCTAATAGTTGGAGATTGTCATAAGATATAATGGAATGTTTAGAATGGAATTTAAATGTAATGGAATTAAGATGATATCTGGAGTGTAACACTGGACTCCTGTTGCTTACCTATGAATTATCGTTATGTAGTTGTTAAATAAGACAACAGATAGATTGTAGAATGGGAAGATGGAATCAATAGAGTGTTTAATTCTCATCAAGATGTCTAAGATATTTGGGGTCATCTTAGAATTACTATAAAATTCATGAATTATCTACATTCTAACATAACATTCAATCTATATACATAAACTGGAAGACATAAGATCCCACTAAATAGAATTGAGAGAGAATATACATCTACATTTCAGATCCCGAATAAATCTATTCATTAATTGGCCTACAAATACAAATCTAATGAAAAGTGGGAAAGAGGTGGTGTACGAATGATCCATTCTCATCCAATAATCAATAATGTGATTCATTTGATTGACTCTGATGTTGATTTCAATCTTAATTATAATCGTATTTTTGAAAACCTATACGTTGGTTCATTTATTTATATAGAGTAATTATAATTATTAATATAATAGTGAAATCCGCATTCTATAAGATTTGGGTGTAAATGCTATATTAAACTTGTAAACAGTTGAAGATCTAATAAACAAGGATTTGTCTGAAGATTATTTTGATCAACTTAAATCTTAAAGTCAATCATTTGGTATCATCTATTAACATTGTCCAATAAAAGATTGTAATAAGAGATCATATCTATAAAATGGAATTAATGTTTATTAGATTCTCAAAAAATTATTGGATGAAGGTAAATGCGTATATGTACATTGTACAGATGGGATTTAAAGGAGTGTTTAAACTATTATACTATATATGGTTTAGGATTTAAATTACTCTCTCGAATAGGCCATAGAATTAGTTTAAATCATTAGACCAAGATCAAAACCTATTCGTGAAGTACTTTAAAAACTCTTAAATCTTTGATATCTAAATTTTTATGTAATCATCATTTTATTAATAATAAATTAATTTCATTTAATAACTAATTCTCTATTTCTATTTGTTTTGAATTTACCCATTTCCCATTAATATAATTAAATCGTTAAGGTCCACTAATTGGAGATGAGTACCACAATTATTTATTTGGTGTCTATCTATTAATAACAAATGATTTCCCATTTTATAAATGTATATTAAGTACACCATCTGACAATGAAGTTTCCACATTCTCAAAATTCTCAATCTTATCATTTAATGTCTTTTATAATATATTATTTATTATTATTACACTTAATTAAAGATTGCTTAGTTTTAGGAATTGTGTGGTAGTAAATTCTGTGCAAAACTTAAATGTTCTTAACATTTTTATTATTATTAATTAATTTTAAATTTGAAACATGTTGCAAAGTATTTCAATCTCAGATTACAAACAATCCCCTCAATCTATATTAAATTCTCTACAATCATAAATTGTTATTAGATCAGTCAATCTAAATTCAGGAATCAAATCTTCAGTCATCAAATCAAGTAGATCTAAACGATTACATTCAGAATATAATTCTGATTTATAATGTATCTTATTAATATCTATATTCAGTGTCTGTCAGTAGTGAGAATTCTAAATAGCGTTCCTATTCAATGTAATCAAATAGACCCACTATTACAAGATAATTATCACACAATTAATCTATTATTGATACTATTAATAAGAAGATTGTTTCAGAAACTAAAGAGAATAGATTTGTTTCTATTAATTAAAATGAGTAAGTATCTGATTTTAATTAAAAAAACTCTAAAGAATAATATACTCTAATTAATTTATAAAATAAGGTTACTATTTTGATAGATGAGAATAAAAAACTCATTCTTATTAATGAATAATTAATGTAAGAGTTAGAGAAAGCTAAGATTGCTTATGAAACTAATAATCAGACTGTATTATTATAATCATTATAAAGAGATACATAATCACTCTAATAAACTGTATTATAATACAAGAAAATTAATAATTAATAATCTTAATAAATCTTAGAATTATAATAAATATTAAATGAGAGAGAAGAATTGAATATTGAATAAAAATCTATAACTAATTAATAATTAATAGAATCATAATAGACAAATAAGATATTCAAAGAATAATTTTTATAATTGGCATAAAAATATTTATTAAAATGTTTTGAATTAGAGAAAAAACAAATTTTTGAAAAAGGATGGTCAAATAAAATTAATATTTTATTAAAAGAGAATGAGAATTTGAATCAAATGTTACAATAAAGATTGAATGAATAAATGCAATTATAATAATAATATAAATAATAAAATGAAATCATTATCAAATTAGAATAAGAAATAGCTTTACTATAATAATAACATAAAGAATAGAATTATATAATAACAAAAAAGAATTAAGATCAAATCCAAATTATTTCAGATCTGAATAAATAATACGAATAAAGAAATGAAGAAAATAAGAAATTAAATGAATTGTTATAATAATAAGAATATAAATGGAGATAATCTTGCATTGAATTCGAAAAGGAGATGAAGTAATCTTATTCCACTAAATTGAATTTCGAAATCAAACATTAAGTTTAGATAATTTCTGATGATTATTAAAAATCTTTAATGAATTATACCTAAACTATTGCAGTATTGTAGGGATAAATGTAAATATTATAAAAATAAAATGAATAACTTCACAGAGTTAATTCTCAAAATTCAAATTTTAAGGAATGGAAACATGAAAAATAGTTGTACTTTGAAATTATCTAAGAATTATAATAGAAAGTAACTGAACTTACAAATTAATTAGCCACTATCTTGAATTAAAATTCAAATTATGTTAATGATTACAATACTTAGGGAATCTAAGAATAATTTAATAGATTAGAAGATTGTTAAAAGTACAATTCAAAAATGTATAAAAAATGTTAAAAAAATTTTAATTAAAAATTTTATGTTTGATAAAAAACCTATATATATATATATTATTTTAATATTGATTATCAATTCAATTTTAAAGTCTAGGAAAGTTTAAAAGAGTAAATACAATATTAGATTTAATACTAAATATTCAATAACTTTCTTAAGTGGATTCTAAAAGTATATATTAAAATTAATTTAATAGAATTTATATTATTGACAAAATATAGTATTTAATGAATATTAGATACTATTTGAAATCTTTATAAACAACTGATATGGGTATGCTTTATTTATATGAATAGATTAATAGATTGGGAATACTCTAAATTAAAAGTTATAATTAATATAATTTTTTATATAATAGTGAGAATCTTATTTGATTATGATTTCTATAATGAATTTGTTATATGTTATCATAGTAATAATGATTCTCTTTCATTTTATAAAAATAATAATAATTATTAGAATATTAATAAACTTATAATTTAATATTTTATATAATTTTTCTTAAAACTTCTAGAAATTAAAAGAGAATTCTATTTCTAGAATTTACTATAAATTATTTCAAAAGGAGATGCAGATGAATTTCATAGAATTATTAAAATAAAAAGAAATGTAAAATAGCTAATATCAAGTTGCTTTCAAAAACTATTGGTGCCATTTATGTTAAAATGAATAACATTATCGTTTGGAAGGTGAATAACTGAATTCAGAATAATTCTGTTAAAATTGTGGATGTGTCTTAGAACAAATAGTTACCAAATAAAATCACCCAAAACAATACTAAATCTATTAATAACAACCCAGAATATAGAGGGTGTTTTATCACATCATATTTTTTAATGATGTTGAGAATGAACATTAAAATGTTGGAGCCACTGAAGATCAAATAAAAAATATGAAGAAATAAACTCATTAAGGTGAATAAGAGAAGACTTGTTACATTTGTCAAGAAGATTTTAGAAATGGAGAATAGATAGCCATGATGAATTGTAATCATGGTTTCCATGAGGATTGTATTGCAAAATGGTTAAGAATGAACAATTCTTGTCCAGTTTGCAGATGCAAACAAAATTGATTAATCTTTTATATGTTTTACTTCTCTTTTATTAGAATTAATAATTTTTTTTATATCAATTATATAAATGTACTGAATTGCATTCATCATCATTATATTATTATTTAATATTTTTAAGAAAGTCATAAATTATTTGATTTTCTGATTATTCTATATTTGTTTTAGTAGTAATTAACAATTCATTTTTAAGTATTTCAATCTCATCTTCTTTGCCTTTCAATTCTTTTTAAAGTAACATAATTTAATTGGAATAGATTTCTGATTATTACAATTATAAATATGCATCTTAGTATAGGATTTGAAGATTTAGATGTTAAGTTGACAACTCTTCAATATATTAGATCATTTTATTATTTTGAAGAGATGGGTCGATTAATGTTTATTTGAGTTATTGTTACTCTGATTGCATATTTACTATTTATTAATTTAACTGTTGAGTTTCATATTAGAATTATAGATATTATTGTTGTAATGCAGAATGTAATCTAGTATTTTCATTCTTTAATTATTCAATAATCTACTATAATCTTGATATTTCATGTGTCTCATCATTTAATGTCTTTTGTTTTTCTATAGGCTCGAATGATCTCTCTAAAGGTTATTTGGAAAAGTAAGAGTTTGGTACATGATATTAAGAACATTTACGTAATGGAGAGGGTGTGCATTTTTTATCTGAAACAGCTTTATTAAACATAATAAAATGTATATTATTTTGATATTGTTGAATATAGTAAAATCAAGGGAAATATTCAACTTGGAGATCAATAGATCATATTAATTCTATGGGTAAAGATTACAAATGGTAAAATACTAGAGAAGTTCCAAATTCATGGCTTACTTATCCAGTCCATTAATTTAAACTCAAAATTCCATAAGAAATGATAAATAAGGATATTTTTGTCTTATTAACACAATCAAATGATACACGTTAACAGATTAAATTACACCTCAGTCAATCAGAATAGATGTAAATTTGTATTAAATATAAAAGGAAATTAGATCATGTTAATGATTGTAGATTTTTTGATTTAGAATTATGCAATTGCTAATAATCATAAATAAACTCCTATTGTTATTTTTTTGTGTTTTGCAAAATGAATTGCTATTATTAACTTGATGTAATGACTGAAAATATGAATGACTTTTTAAGAAATGAAATAATGCTCATATCAACAAATTAGATAGAAGGGAAACTGGCAATGGTTAATTTAACTAATATCGAATATGAAAGATGTTATATCAGGTTGATGTAAATTGATACTTTTAGTAAATTATCTATATACATTAATATGAATGAAACTATTCCTACTATATAAGAATTTGATGTTTAATATTAAATTGATAGGGACAAATACTTATTTTTTTAGAATAATTTCACGCAACCCATAAATACAATTTCAACACTTATCAAAGGTGGGGGAAAGTTTTTATTGCAGTTTAAAACTTATAAAAGAATCCAAGAGATTTCTTTATATTAAAATATAAAGGATTCAGTAATAAAGGATGGAGTAAATTATTATAAATTAATCATTGAAGATTTTAAGGATAATATATTGATATTTGAAATGATTCCTAGTATTGAAAAGATTATAATCTATATATAACCATGCATAGAAGATAGATGTTCAAATAATTACAGAGATTTTGAATGGTAATTTTAATTTGATCAAGAATATCATTAATTTATAATTCCTCCATATAAAATGATTTACACTAAAGTCTATTTGATTGCAATAAACACAGAATATGATGATTCATCATATAGATTTTAAATAAAAATAAATTATAATATAAAAGAGAGACTTATGACCTAAAGAGTATTTTAAGGGATCTTATAAAAAAATTAAATTGCTTTATTTTTATTAGAACCTATTATCAATGAGAAAATTGATAGAATAGTAGATGTATTTGTAAATTATCCAAAAGGACATGGTATAATTTTGAGTAAATAATGTATTAAAGATGAGGAAGAGATTTAAATTATTGATAATATATATGAATATCTTCAATAAGCTGATTCTAATAATTATTATAATTGTTCTATCACTCAAGAACAAGCATCATTAATTTCATAAGATCATTTATAAACTTAAAATACTTTTTAATTTCATTTCAATTCATCAGAATTTTAAATAAATGTACCTAAAATATGGTTTGAATCACAATCATATAATTTTCAATATGCTATTGCTATCTAAAGCTATGTAGAGTCAATGAGATTCTCCTTAGAAATGAGATTCAGCAATCCATCAAAATTTATAACATTGAATTAATTTACAATAAACTATTCACTACTAAAAGAATTAAATACTATAAAATATTAATTTTATTAAATTAACTAACATGATTAAATACTCTTTATTTGTATAGCTACATATTAAGGTGAATAGCGTACTAAATTAAAAACTTTTTCCTCTTACGATAATAATTTTATAAAAAAGAGAGTAAGAACTTTAGACTTAGATATTTTGCAATATTATGCAATAGATTCTTATACTTATTCTCTATAAATATAAGCAACAAAAAACTTAAGATATTCTATTACTCAAATCATGAGCACGAAATTTGATATTCCAATTAAGCAAATTTTATTAATTTAAGCAATTCCATTCAAAACAATAGATTTAAATCTTTACTTCCATTTTGAAATTACTTAAGTATCTATCCTTTATATAAACCTAAAATCATTATAGGGTAACTTTATATGTTACATTCTTAGTAGTAATAAAAACTTTGGGAATTAATTTCCCAATGAAACTAATTTCACTCTCACAAGTACATAATAAACTTTAATTATTGAAAATCCTAAGTAATTTAATTATCTACATGTAAAATCAATCTCTCTTGAAGAAAATGAATCATATCAAATTATGTACTATTACAACACATCCCATTTGGAACTATTCTTGGCCAATACATTTTATGGTTTCCTTAATGATAACCAATCATTATATTTCTACTACTAATCCTCTTACCAACACTCAAAATTGTACATCATTAAAACCTATTTATCTGAATACAGTGATGAAAACAATCTTTAGATTTATATTAGCCTTAATAATAATTATCCTAATGAATTCAATTTTTAATATCAAATTTAACCAAGTTCCTATTATATATCCATTCCTAATCTTATATAAGATACTATATTATATATTGGAGTTTACAGTAAGGGATCTAATAAGTATTCAATTTTGATTTAAGAAGAAAATTCTAGCATTTAATTAAAAGATAATATCATCTAAATAAGTCCAACCCTAGAATAATAGAATTATTATTTTTATTATTTTATTCCTAAGTATTTCAATCAATCAATTAAGATTCAAGCATTTACTAGATCTAATTTAATTGAATTATTATGTAATATAATTTAATTTGATTCATAACATATTGAGAAAGAAAATTATCCAACTAATTAAAATTATAAAATTAAAGAATTATTTAGTTCTAATCCATCCAATAAATTATTATTTATAAATACAACTGATTTGATTTAATGTAAAGATAATGGATGTCTCTTATTAATAAATGCTTATATTTTAGGTCATTTCGATCATTTTAATATTATGGTATCCTCTAAATATACACTCATTAGAAATCTTGAAATGATTATTGGATATTCTACATAAAATAAAATGTCTTATTACTACTTTAATATTGTTGAACATATGAAAGATATCCAAATATCTGTTAGAGCAATCCAAGATTGTGATTGCGATATTTATCTCTTGAAATCTTAAATGAACACTTAGATTCTTTATCCTTCTGTTGATTAATACACTTATAAATTTGACTCAGATACACTTATAATATCAGAAGATGATAATATAGGATAATATATGATTGGAGTATTAGCTCAAGATTGTATGTACGAAGTATTATTACATCTTGGGGGATTCTAAATGAATTACATTCATAATGGATAAATTATTGATACTTTCATTGATGATACTATTTAATATTTCTATTTTAATAATCACTAGGAACCATTTCGTATCATGATTTATGATATTAAGAACATTAAAGTCTCAATAAGTATTAAAGATAAGAGTGAATTATTAGAGTTGCAAAATAATGAAAATCTTTTTGGAGGTATAATCTAAATTGATAAAGATCTATGCTCCATTTGTATTTATAATATAACACTTTATCCTATTAGACCAACTGTAGTATCTTTAATTCTAACATATAATACTGTTCCTTTAACTATTAAATATGGTAGAACATATTATGATCATTGTTTAAATATATGTGAATTTAATCTAGAACCAGGAGAGTTAAATTTATTTGTTTACTCAAAATCTATCAAATTGACTTTTCATTCTAAAATCAATCAAGTAACAAATATGAATCTAACCTATTCTAATTACATCATTCCAATTAATTAATCTTGTATATTGCGAATTAATTAGGATTCATACTATTCTATAAATTTAAATAATCAAGAAATTCCAATTACTTTAATATTAGGTAAAGAATTCAATGGAAGAAATATGATTGGTCAAAATTAAAGAGTATTTATTTTTTAAATTGAGAGAATTGATTTAGAATATATAATTTAAGTTTCAAGTAAATCTGATATTTTTGTTGATGTATATTATGATAATAATACAAAAAAGATACTTCCTAAAATAGAGAACAGGATCAATAACAAATAGAGAAGATTAATTTATTAATTTAAACAAATTGAGAGATAATATAAAATTATTCTCTAATGTATTGATTATTATCACATTAGCGTAGATATCTATAACCAAAATTAAATAAAATATATTAATTTCAATAATCATTATTTGGAAATTATTGATGAAATCTAGTAATATAATATCTAAGCCATTTAGGAATAAGATATACAATTTTAAAAAATAGATTGTTTAGGAAAGACTTCACTACTGAAATCTTAATATGTTTCTTCTAGGGATATATTTTTTAAGATTTAAGTAACAGATCGAATGAAACCATTTCCATTTAATATTTTTAGTTTAGTACCTCACATCTAATATTCTCATGATTAATGGTATTTTAAGAATACAAGATTTGAAATCATCAAACAGTCCAAAGATTCTTTAGAAGTTAAAATATTTACAATGAAAAGAAAAAAGACTGGAAATTTAAATTTAAATAAATTAATGTAAAAGTATAGAGAATAACTTATAGTTATAAATTGCACTTGTCAGATCAAGATTATTTAATGAAAGCATTAGGTTGTGAGATTGATATTGAATTACTATAAAATTATACTGGTATTTCTATCTTTTACACTTCCATTATTTAAGAAGTAAAAGAGAAAGAGGAATCTCTTTAATTTACAGGTATTATTTAATCTATAAAGTAGTATTAATTAATAGAGAGTTAATTTATGGTTTACTGGTATTTTAAGCATATTATGAGAGTTATGATATTCCATATACATATTTTTATAATGTCAGTGTTATTTATAATTAGTCTGAGACAATTATAATGAAAGATCAAGTTGCGATAGAAGATTCTAAGATAGATTATATATTAATAGTATTTGGAATAAGTATAATATTGGCTATTAGTTTAATATGTATTTGGATATGTATGCCAAAAAAGAAATAGAAAAAAAGAGAATTTAATGAATAACAATAATAATAATAATAATAATAATACTAATAATAATAATAATAATAATAATAGGAATTATAATCATTAAAATAAAGTGAATAAGAATTAGTTAATATCAATTGATTTAATATTTATGTTAATAATAAGCATTCATATATATATATATTTCATTTTTCTATTGTTACTTTTTCTAATTTTGTAATAAATTGATTAATTTCTTCTTATGCTTCATCTACTGGTTCAGCTAATTCTGGTTTATCTTCTAAATTCAAATCTTTCATTAAATCTTCCAATTTAATATCATCCTCATCATCATCTTACCATTCATCATCATCTTTTTTTTATTATTAAACTGGTTTCTTTTATTTCTTTTTCAAATCATCTTTATTTAATTTTTTAATTTTTTCTTCATCTCTATATAAATTGATATTCTTTCTCATCTCTTTATCCTTTTCTACATCATCTAAGAATTCTTCAAATTACTCATCTTAATCATTCTATTTCTTTTCTAAATTGTTTATTATATAATTAAATACATTAATTTCTCTTTCTCTCTCCTCCTTCTTCTTCCATTACATTTTATGCTTCCAATCTCTTTAATTTAAAGATTCTCAATTTTCTTGCTTCTTTATTTATTTATCTCTTGACTAAAATGCATTCAGGATAATTAGAAATATCTTCTAAAGATTCAATAGTCAATTAAGTTAAATCATAACCAATAGCAACCTGACCTGTTTTCAAAATGTCACCCAAATGACTTTTAACAGTTATAGGGACATAATTATTTGATTCTCTAATAATAGTGACCTTTGTCAATTTAGGTAGGAATGCATTTTATGAACTTGAGATATAACTTTCATTCAAATTTCTAGTATGAATACGTTCAACATCAACTACTGTAAATTCATGTTAATGTGTTTTTAAATTGTATACTTCAATTTCATTTTCATATAAAGAAAAAGCCTCAATAGATAGATCTGAACATTTCATTGATAGAGGATCAATTAAATGAATAATAGTTGTTAATTTATAACATAATTATACTCTACCTACTCCTCCTAATTCTTTACATAATTTCTAAGGCAAAATAACCAGATCATCTTTACAAACTTTAGGTAAATCTACTGCATAGACATACTTATAATTAAAGAGATTGCTACTAGCATCATGTGATACTAATTATTTTGATTATTTCACTCTAATTGGTAAAATAGTTGATAAATATTCTACTAATCTATTAGCATGTGATCTTGATTTATAGAAGAAATCTAATCCATCATCAACTTATTCTATTTTTAATACTTTATCATTTGCATTATATTTCAATAATAATTATTCTAAATAAAAGAATGTTTTTTTATGATCCACTCTTTAACGTACTTAAACAGCTGCTCCCCAAGTATGAGGAGTGAATTCCTTTTTACAATCTTCACATTGTTAATAATGTTCTAAAAATTCACATATGAATGTCTAATTAGTTAGATCCATACTTATTGCATATTGGTATTGTTAAGCACTTCCTTTTATATTGTTAATTTCACTTTAATTCTCTTGGAACTTGGTTCAGTATACACAAAAGCAGCATCTATAATTTTAACTTTATTCAATCTATTAAATATAATTTAAATTATTTACCCTCTCAATCTCTTTAAACAAATGCTTAATAATTCTTTTGATTCTCTTTCACATAATGTCCAAGGTGGTCTTAAATAACGATGACAAAATCGACAGTAATTTACAATACCCTCCTTAGTTATACCAATTGTAATATCAGTTTAATTGATGATACAATTAGTGCAAATAAGTGTCTTTTATTCACTAGGAGTGAAAGCAAGATCACAAATTGAACAAAGAATTGTAGTTTTAGGTTTAATCTAATTACCAATTTATTAGTTTTCTGTTTCCATCATTAATTAAATTTATTATTAATTAAACAATAATAAGCATGATAATTAACTATTTTTAAGAACACACTCATATACTCAAATTTAATAATTTATGACAGAAAGAAGAGTTGAATTTTGTAGAGCACTTGGTAAATTGGCATTCTTGAATACTCTAATCATTTATAATTAAAAGGAGTACATAATCTACTTTCAACCTATGGAAAGTAAAGGACGTTGCAAAATATAAGTCACTAATGGTTTTGATTTTTGGGTAGAAGATTTTGATTTGGAAAAGTTTGAATAAAAACGTAAAAAAAGTGGATTGGAAGGCACTTATAATAGTTATTTTGATATGATGCATAGATCAATCAGTCAAAGAAATTTTGAAGTATATGTTGATTAAACATAAAATTTTGTTTTGACTCTCTATTTCTAATTAAATAAGGGAGTATCTTTAAAGGGTGATTTTGAATTGGGAAGACCTTTGCATTTTGATGATATTAAAGAATTTCATTGTGTATATCGATTGTTTTTGTTTGACATTTTCAAGGCAAAAGATTAAGAAAGGATGAAGGCTGAAGTAAGTAGGAAAGGAAGAAGATTAGAAGAAAGAGAATCAAAAAAGTCTATCTCTTAACCTAGATAAGATGAAGAAGAAGAATAAGATGAAGATGAAAGTGCTGCTTAGAGAAGGAAGAAAGTATAATTATGATTATTATTAAAATTGATACAACAATTATTAATTAAAATTATAATTCTTAATTAGTTTCTTGATCTTACTTTATAGAATCAATCATAAATTTATAAAGATGGAGTTTAAAAATGAATTCTTACATTTTTATAGTTTCATTGAAATTAAGATTTTTTAAAATATGAATAATTTATACAAGAAATTTATATTAATCAACTAATTATATATTTATACAAATATAATCACTAGTGGATCTTTTTTTAAATTAAAAACCAGATGTGATTTGAAAATATTTTTCCAAAATAATAATTATAAAAGATTCATAAAGTATGTGCAAATCCATTAATGGCCAAGACCAACCAAAGAAAAGTAAATAATACCAAAAAATTGAATGTGATTAAAGAAAATTAGTACTTGATATGCTGTATAATGAAAAGTTATCGCTACAAGAGGTATAAAGCATCATTATTCTCATTTCTTGTCTTCTATATCCTTACATATATATATATTGTTGCTTTATCAATCAATATCTCTTTAGGTGGCTAACAAACTGTAATTGAAGTATTGTACAGTACGAACAATTTAGAAAACATATGAGAAAGATGGTCGTATAGGAAAAAAAGAAACTAGAAAAAAGAAGTTAAAGGTTCAGAGCATACTAAAAATTAGTGTTATAAATCCATTCACTATGGAAGTCTAACCTTTAAGTGTCTAATCTGATATTCATCAGGTATTTTATAATTAGTTTATATTTAGATATATGTTGACAAACAGCCATCGCTACTTGATCAAATAGCATTAGCAAACCAATAACAATCAATTTTGTAATCTTAATGCATCAAATTTACTACAGAGCTTTCATCTCGCATGAATCAACCCAATTTTGTGTATTAATCAACCATTCAAAACATGCTACTCTCATCCTAATATGTATTTAAATCAATCCTCGATTTAAAACCTTAAGGATAAATCAAATAAGAATTTTGTTCACTTTCCTAACCACTGCCATAATATTTTTACTCATAACAACAATATCAACATCAGTTTTACCCAATACCATACAATTAACTAAGAACTTGACAAATATAATTATAATGTTCTAAATCTCTAAAATGAAAATTCTTATGTTTTTATTCATTTTGTTTTACATACAATAAATTTGTATTTCAAACTTTCATTTTTTTATGAGCTTCAATACAAATCCATAAATAAAATGGTTCAAGAATATCAAAAACAATTTAAAATTATGTAAATGGTGTATTTTTAATGTATTAATTTTTGATCAAAAAATTAACTATTAAAAATGTGCAATTTTTTGTAATTGTTTTTCTAAACTTGAACTTTTTCTAAACACGAATATTGTCTATTTAACTAACAATGCACTCAACTTCAGTATGGATTAAAATATTATATTCATTTTTTAACCAAAATTGGTCTAAACAAATAAATAAAAGTAAAAAAATCAATAATATGTATTTCATGATGTCTGAAATTCGAAACTTACTGGATTTCATTACCCTATAACTAAATTAAGTAAATTTTATTAAATCACTTCATTAATTCTAATAATTCATTGGAACACATAATTAATCCTTCAATAATATATTTTAATTTAGCCGAACCTTCACTTCTAATAATGAAATTTTATCATTAATTTATAAACTGATAAGTTATCTATAAAATAAAAATACCTATTGAGACTTATAAAAACAAAATGGAACTTAATTTTATATTATAATATATACTAAATATTTACAAAAATTAGTTTTTATTTTATAAATCAAGTTATATAATGACAAGATTATAACTATAATAATATCCTACAAAAATATATATCAATTTATTTCTACTTTTTAATGTTATTTTGTATATCAATCTTAATTTATTTCAAAGATTATTCTTAAATTCTATACTTTGTAAAATTAATATTATTATCATTTTTTAATTAAATCCTTTAATCAATAATTCTTTTTGATCTATTTTTAATGTGTTTTATAAACATTTAAATTTTTATTTATAAATTAATTTTCATATGATCTCATTTAGCCCCCATATGTAAATTTCTTTACTTCATTTTTTATTTAAATACAATTATAAACTAGTTAAATATTATAACTAATATCAAAATAGTTATAGATCAAATTGTAGACTTTCTAAGACTTTAAACTCCACATTAAATACAATTTATTTTATAGTATTAATTAATCTATAAGCATTATTTACATTGCCATTCAAACTCAAAGTAATCATATTTTGGTTCTTCATATTTTAATAGATTATTATACATATTTCTTTAGTCATCTATTTTAAAATTGGTTCTATAGAAGGTAATTTATCAAATGAAAATTTATTATTTCCAATATTATTCCTTTCTCCTGATGATTTATTTGATCTATCTGAAATAGGAGGTATATCTCCATTACTCTCAGTTAAAAAAAGGGCAGATTTGAATCCATTATTCTCTTTATGTTTGATATTCTTTATATTATGACATCGATTGCAAGAGTCTCTAAATGCAAAATTCATATTATTGCAATTACTACAAATCCAATCACCTTACCTTTATTTATGATTAATCTTAATTTTATTCTTTTCTTTCTACTAAGCCATTTTTATATTATTTTTATTATATTAAAATTCAATCCTCTTAAATAATACATAACATAAACCCTAATTTAAAATAAATCAAATAAAAAGTCTATTTTGAAGTCTATAAATGGATTCATAGAAATACAAACTAATTTTAGAGTTATATTGAGTAAAACTAATTTTTCATTAAAATATATATATAATAGAATATGAAAACTATTTATATTATAAATTTATTAAAAATTGAATTTATAAAAATTAAAAAATAGAGATTAAATAATTAATTAAGCATAATAAAATAGGTTTCAATTATTAATTTATTCAATTTAGCAGTTCACAAATGAATTACAAGTGGAGTTGTTATATTTAAAAAGGTACTAGTGAATTAAATTTAATCTTTGTAGGCAATCATTAAATCCAATTATATAATTATGTTAATGGTAGATTTACTTTATATCATACTAATAAAATTTAATTATAGATTAAACTTAAATTATAGAAGAACTTTAATGTAATATATATGATGAATAAATCAATTAATAAAGAATTTTAAAAGAAAATTACACCTTTAAAATTTACTTTAATAAGAGGGGTTAGAATTAGAATTATAAAAATTAAATAAATATTAATACTGAAATTTATAAATGATATTTTCAAAAATATAAACTGATTATGATTAATAATATATTTAACATAAGTGAGGAATTATTGGTAACCTTTGAAGTTGTAGTAATATTATTATTAAGTTAAATTTTACATTGTACACATTTTGATGTTGATGTATTCCAAATATATGTTTAGGCACTATTAATATAACAAGTATCCATAGTCAATGTTGTAGGTTAAACTTCTTAACAGATATTATTGACTTTAGCACATAAGAGATATGATTTTTAATCAAAACTGGGAACAGGATGACAATCATTTTTAGTATTGTATGTAAGACATGTATGAGGAATACATTATTTTTTTAAACTATTTGAAATCCATTAACAATATTTTGAGTTGGAAAGACAGACATCTTTATCATTATCTGCATCTGAACATTATGTAAAGAGTTTGCAGATTCCATCATTAGATTTTGAAGCATTAGGTTAAAAAGCACATTATCCATCTATACCTCCTGAAGCACATGCTACTTTAGTAGTATATGATGCACAGTAATTTAGATCAATACATACAGATCCATTTGATACACATTTCTTGTATGAAGAATCAAAAGCAGACTTACAAATTTCTAAAGTTTTACCTATAACATCTTAACATTCCTTTAATCGACAACTAATTTAACCAGTACTTTAATCAAGAGGTAATTTATAAATACAAGGTCCATTTGAACTCAATATACAAGATTTTTCTTCGTAATATTCACATGAAGTTAAAGATATACATTTAGTACCATTACTAGAGCATTTTACATGAGTTAATTGATCAAAGCATTTTTTGAATGTATCAGTATTTGTTGTCAAATCTTCGCATTATTTCAATCTACAAGTATTATTAGTCCATATACAATCTCCATCTAATCCTTTATTTTTTTCACATAAATATTAAGAATTATATAATGAACAGAGATTTTATTCTACACATTAAATTCCATCACTAATACAAGTTTGAGAATATTGTTGACAGATAATAGTTGTTGTTCCTTAAACATTAGAACATCCTTTAAATAAATTACATTTTTCATTAATCCATCCACATTTACCATTAACTCCTATAATACAAGACACTTAATTTGTATAATTCTCACATTTATTTAAGGGAATACAATTAATTTCATTGGTAGTACAAAGTTCTGAGAATGATTGACATTAATCATGTGTTGTTAATTTCATATCTTAACATTTTGAGTAAGAATGACATTTATTATTATAGAATAGACAAGGATTACCTAAATAATCTGTTAAACAGCTTTTTTAAAGGAGATCTTCACATAAATAATTTGGTCCAATACAATTCTAGCCATTTGTAATACAATCTTATAGGAATGATTTACAAGAAGAATTATTAGTTCCTTTGAAATCTTTACATTCTCTCTATCTACATCCATTATTAGTCCATGTACATCTATTAATAGGATCAGTTGAATATGCAGATTAACATGTTAGTTTATCATAATATAAAAAGCATGATTTCATAATTACACATCCATTACCATTAGTTGTACAATTACTTCCATATTTTTAGCATATATTATTATCATTTATATCAACATAATCAGAACATTCAATATCTCTGCATTTATTAATTGATAAATCATAAACACATTTTGTTCCATTTGAAAGTATAGTTGTTTAACAAATAGCTTATGATGTTAATAATGAACATGATGAAACTTATACTAAACATTAACTGGCAAGAGTACAACCAAGTTTTAAAGAACAAACATCATTGTTAACAATACTATTACAATTTAGAGTTGGTTTACCAAACTAATCATATGATTAAAATTTCATACATCCTTATCCTGTAGTTAAACAAGTAGGATGATAATCATAACATTATGCATCAGTATTATATGATTTTGGTGCTTCATAACATTATCTAGGTTAACATTATCCAATTGAATTATCTAAATTACCTTTACATGGTCCATCAATAAATGCAGTGAATAGCTAACATGTTATATTGTTACCTAAGAAATCATTACATTTAGCAGGATGTTTGATACAATTTATACCATTACTAACACAAAGGAGTGTCTATATACCATTAATTAAGACTTTTGGAAATGCTTATTCACATTATTCATTAGTTGTACCCATAATATGTTAACATTGTTTATCAATACAATTTTTATCACTAGAAGCATCTAAATCATTCCAACAATAAATAGTTTTATTATTACCCATGAATTTACTACATTATTCTTAAGTACCTTTATAACTACTACAACTAGCATTAATATCAATACAACCTTATCCATTTGTTACACAATCAATTTTAAAATATGAACATTAAGTATCACTATTATCAATAAGATTATCAGAACATATTCTAGATCTACATTTTGATTAATCAGTATTTGTTGAGTCTCCTGAACAGAATTCTGTTTATGTTTTAGATACATATCCTTAAAATTTTGAACATTGATTTTTGGTACCTCTATATTCATCACATTTGGCAGTATTAATTATACATCCTACTCCTTTAGTTAAACATCCATTTTAAAATGATTGACATTCTGAATCAGATGTAGCAGTAGTATTTTAATAACAAGATAATGTTGAACATGATCCAATATCTTAATCAGTACCAGCTATAACTTTACAATAATTAAGATTATCAGAATCCAAATATTTACTACATGAATCTTTATTTCCAGTAAAATATGAACATTCTTTATTTGATTCAATACATTTTGATCCATCTGATTTACAAGTTGATTTCCATTCTTTACATTCTGAATTTAAATAGAATAATTTATCACTACATAATCTTTCTCTACAATTAATACTGTTTGCATTATCAGCAGTACAATAATGTCCATTTTTATCAATAAGAGTGGCACAATGTTTGATAGGATCTACATTAGATGGCCAATCACTCTTTTTATAAGTAAAACAATCAGATATAGTAATACATTTGGAATTATTGTAATAACATAAGTTTTTTAATTTAGTATCACAATCCTCTTGAGATTTAGGATCATTAATATCTTCACAAGTAAATGTAAGACATGTTGTTTTACCTTCAAGACAGAATCTATTATTAATATCAATTAATTTAGTACAATCACTCATTTTAGTTAATCCATTATAAGTTTCACATTTATCAATTTAATTACAAGTGTTACCTTTAACATAAATACATTATATTCCTGTAGAATTATACATACCAAAACATGTATTAATTTTATCACTTAAATTTTAGACATTATAAGTAGTACATTAATCTCTTAATCTACATTTATAATCATTTGATAAATATGTACACTTTTAATTGGATTTTGTTGGAATTCCATTACAAAAAGATTATTTTAATTAATTATCAGTACCTAAAGCATAATAATTATCACAATTATTTTCAAGTGTGAAACAAGAATTAATGTAAAAACTACATCCAAACATTTTAGAATCACAATCAGATTAACTTTATGCAAGATCTATATCTTAACATTTAAATTATCTACAAAATTAAGATGTATCACCATTTCTCCATGAACAATTATATCCTTTCTTAGATTAACAGAATGTTTTTTTATCTGTTTAACTAGATGCATCAAAATCAATACATTTTTTAGTATCTAATTCACAATGATCAATAGCTGTATTCCAAGTACAAGTATTACCATTTACATTATAAGATTAACAATAACTTAATTTATTTGATAAATTAGAATCAAATAACATAAATGTGCAATCTTAAACTAAATATTTTTCAACACATTTTCCACTTTTTTAAATATAAACACAATTATCTAATCTCAAATCACAAAATTCTTAATTTGTAACATTACTAAATACACTACAATAATTGCGTTCAATTTCACATTTTGTTCCAGATAAATATCCACACATTTATCCATCAAAAGATTTATATTATCTACAAAAAACTCTCTTTTATTAATCATCATTTCCATTAGTTATTATATCAGTACAATCAATAGTAGGTGATCCACAATTAGTAGATCCACTTGTACAATATTTTTATGAACTATCTAACATATTTTTACAATAAAGTTATTTATTACTTATACTTTAAGGAATTACATAAGATGAACAAGTATTTTATTTTGTATAACATTTTTAATCAAAATAAATACATTTATTTAATAGAACTTTATCACAATCTATTTAATTATAAGCTGTAATTTATTCACAAGTATATGTCATTAAACTACATTTTATAGAATCATTTATATTAGTACATTATTATCCATCAATTTAAATTAATAATTCACACCAACTTTTTTTATCTAAAATACCAGATACATCATAAGATGAACAATTACTAGAATAATTACTACATACTCCTAAACTTGCAATAAAAGTACATTGAGTATTGTCTGATGTTTTTAAACCTTCACAATATTCTTTCTTTGTTAGATCATCAATTCCATAAGTTTTATATAAAGTACAATTATTTTATGTTTAATAACAAGAATTTCTATAATAAATACATCCAGACATAAATTTATTACAATCTATCTATGAATTTGGAGATTCAATATCACTACATTTTATTGAACTACAATAATTCTCATTTTATTCATCAAATGAACAATTACCATTTTAACTATTTCTAGCTAAACAATAATTCTTTTTATCATTAATATTTAAAATTGAAATCTAATTACATGATGTTACTTAATTTGAACATTTTGTATCTCCAAATTAATAACTACAACTTCCTGATAATATAGATCTACAATAATTTATTCTAGTATCTTCATCAGTTGAAACACTAAATCCATATTTATTACAAGTATTTAAATTTGAATTTAAATCACATGTCTTTGTTGAATCCTAATAAGAACAATTTGATGAAAAAGATTAACATTAATCTTAACTTGTTATTGTACCTGTAATATAAGTACAACTCCAAGATGAACTCACTTAAGTACAATATGTACCACCTGAATATGTACAAACATATCCATCAGATGATTTTCTTGCTTAACAATATGTTTATTATTATGTACTTGTATCTCCATTTGCTATAATTGAACTACAACTACTTGGATCTGAACATGTATTTCCACTAACAAATCCACAAAATTAATTTGAAGTATTTTTAAAATTAGTACAAAATACAACATTATCTGTAATTCTTTAAGGAATAGAGTATGAATTACAATATGTTGGTTTAGTGTAACAAAATCCTTTATAATATTGACATCCTGATAAATATATATCACAATCCTTCTATGATGATGCACTTAAAATCAATTCACATGTAATCTACTTACAACCAGTATCTCCAGTAGAATAAGCACAATTATTAGAAGATAAATCATTTAACATATAACACCAAGTTGATTTATTATTTGCACTTAAAGCACTCACATTATATGAATTACAATTACTTGTTTAAACAGTGCATAATGAACTTCCTATTATATAAGTACATTTATAATTGCTAGTTGTTTATGACAAACCTTAACAATAATTAAATTTCTAATCATCATTTGTACCATAAGCATAATATTAATCACATTTTGACTAAGGTGTAATACATTATTTTTAATAATAAGTGCAACCACTCATTATTTTATCACAAGTTGCTTAATTTACAGCATTAATAATATCAAAACAAGAAAATGATCTACAAGTACTTATTGTATCTCCTTTTCTCCAAGCACACTTTCCTGCCTTACTAATTCTATTCAAACAATATGTTGCTTTATCATTATCATTTGAAATTGAACCTATATTAATTGATGTACAGACTGTTGGTAGATTATCACATTATCCACTTCCAGATATCCAAGTACATTCTCCAGAATCACTCTTTACTGATTTACAATAATTTAATTTAATAATTTCAGTAGATAAGATTGTCACATTAAATTTGATATCATCACAATTTGTTAATCTGGAAGTTGTAACACAAAGTTAACTCTATTGAATATATGTACATCCTTAAGCTTATAGATCACAACTCATTTATGATGTAGGTGATTATATTAATTCACAATAATTGATTTCTAAACTGCAATATGATTAACCATAAATATATCCACATAATCTACCTTAAGTAGATCTTCTATCTTAACAATATATCCTTTTATCTTAATTTGATGATGGAACTGGAGATGGAGCAGGATTACTATTATAACTAACCCATCTATATACTTTACAATCAGAAGAAGAATTTATACAATTATTCATACCATCAATGTATCCACAATTTTCTCCTGAAGAATTCTTCATAGATGAACAAAATTATGGTTTATTTGAGGATACTGAAGATGTACTATATGATGTACATGCATTTTATTTAGTATAACATTTACTTTGAAAATAAACACAATTAAGTGCTTTATTATCACAATCTGTTTAGCTATTTACATTAGTAATACTCTCACAAGTTGCAGTTGAACAATTAGAATTTCCAATAACAAATTGACATTATATAACTTTTGTATTTACATTTCCTATAGATGTGTTTAATTTCATAGATTAACAAAATTCAGACTTTTCTGTATCATTATTACCTATAGCTACATAATCTGTACACATAGTTTTAAGTGAATAGCATTAATTATTATAATATTAACATCCTTTATTTGTTGTATTTGGATCTGAATATAGTAATCTATTACAATCTATAGAATTAGTGGCTGAAACTACTTATTCACATAAAATATAATTTGAACATTTATTAGAATTTAAAGTAGAATGGTATGAACATTATTTATTATTAATATCTTTATATTAATTACACCATGTTAATTTAGATGAATCTGTAGTAGGTTTATCAGCTGATGTGTTATCTATGGGTATTTTAGAACAATCATTAATAGAAACACATAAATTATTAATGAAATAACACTTTTTAGTTTTAGTATAAGATTCACATTCTGTTTATGTTGACATTTATTCACAAGTGTAATTGCTGCAATTATTATCTCCTAATTGATAATTACAAATAAAATTGTAATCATCCTTAACAGTCTTACAATAAGTTAATTTCTCAGTATTATTATTTCCTTAAGCTACATAATTAGTACAGAGAGTTTAATTAATACAAGGAGACTATGAATTTACAAATCGACATTTAGAATGATAATTATAACAATCTTGATGTTTAGTTGGATTAGTATAATCTGAGCATTATCTTGTTGAACAATTACTCATTCTGTTACATTTGAAACCATTACCTAAGAATTTGGAACAAGTTTCAGCTGTTCCAATAAATTTATCACATGTTGTTTCTTTTGGTGTACAACCTATTCCATTAGAAATACAACCTTCTAAGAAATCATTACATTATTTATCAGTTAAACCAGGTTGAGTATTATCTATACATTATTTAATTTTGCATTGAGAATTATTATTATTAGTATTTAATCCATAACATTGTTACTTATTACCAATAAATGTATTACATTATTATTGAGTACCATAAAATGATGTACAATTTGAAGTTTCTTTAACACAAGAATTTAAACCATTCCAAACACATCCTTTTGCAAATTTACCACAATCTATATTATTAGTTAATCCAACTGCCAAATCACATGTTTTTTCAATACATTAATTATTAATAGTAGCCCCATTTATATTGTAACATTATTATCTTTCAGTGCTATTAGTAATGTATCCACTAAATTTGTTACATTAAGCTTGAGTTCCATAATAATCTGAACATAATTTAATATCTTCTATACATCCTTATCCATTGGTTCTACATCCCTTTTAAAAGAATGCACATTCTTCATCTGTTGTAAATATTGTATTATCAGAACATAATCTGCTTCTGCAAGGAGAAATGTCTGTTGCATTTGATTCATTCCAACATTTATTTGCATATTATGCACATTTAATCTATGAACCTTTAAAAAGTGAACAATCACTTGATTTATCTATACATCCATAACCACTGTATACACAATTTTCCATTATTTGTTAACATGCAAAATCAGAATCATATTTATCTGAAATCAAATCAGAACATTTTAAATCTAAACACTAATTGTTCTTCCATAAACATTTAGTATAATAATAAGATGTAATTCCATCTTTATATAAGTAATTAAAAGCTGAATTATTCTCACAAATAGATTGAGTCTAAAAATTAGAACATTTTGTAGAATCTAAACAAGATGAATTCCATTAACATCCTGTAGTACCTATACAACTATTCTCTTTAACAGTCAATTAACAACTTGTTTAATCAATACATCCACTACCATTTGTTACACAGTCTTACTAAAAGTTCTTACATTCATAATCAGTATTATAAGTGCTTGGAGCATCTAAACAAGATCTTCTTTTGCATTTCCCATCTGTACCATCTCCTTAACATTTTCCATCAGATCCAATTAATTATGAACATATCTCTGGACTTCCTTCATATTCTTTACATAATTTTAATATGTATACACATCCCATTCCATTTGTCTTACATATCTTCTATATTTTCTAACATTATTCATCCGTAACATATTTACTATTACTATCTTTAATACAATCCTACACTTAACACTACTATTCATTATCATCTATTCCTTTACACTATCCATCTTATCCTTTATAACCCAAACAACTAGTTTTATTTCCTTTGTAACTAGAACAACTTTATAAACTACTTACACATGATAATCCATTAGTAACACAACCAATCTTATATCGATTGCAATCTTCATCTGAATTGAATTATCCATTTTCACATATACGACTCCTACAAGTTTCTTAATTCTCTTCATATTCACATATCCCATCAGAACCTATATAATTTGTACAATCCTTATTATAACTACTACATGGCCATAACTTTTAAACACAACCTTACCCTTTAGTAATACATCCTCTCAAATACTTATCGCATTCTTCGTTTTTATTATATCTAATTGGAGCAGTTTCACATTATTTTTATTAACAGTATTAACTACCCTATAAATATTCACATTAACCATCTGACCCAATTAATTTACTGCAATCTTAATTTGTGCTTTCATATGTCTTGCACTCCTTTAAAGGACTCTCTGTACATCCTTATCCTTTTGTGATGCAACCAAATCCAAATTTAGAACATTCTTTATCAGTACTCAAAACTAAGTCTGCTTCACTACATAATTCATCTCGACATTTCTAAACTCCAGAATCCCATTTGCACTTACCAGAACCTATATTATTTATTTATATTTACCACTCGAACTTCCTGAATTTTCACAAATATCTTAAGTTAAATAGTCATCACATTTTTTTGCATCTATACAACCATCACCTTCAGATATACATTAATAAGATATTTTTTGACAATCTAAGGTTGTATGGAAAAAATAAGCAGAACAACCTGTAAAAATAGTGCAACTTGAATTATAGTATGCACATCCTTTTACTTTCGAACAATTTTGTTCTGGATCCAATATCCCATTGCAAAAACCTAAATTCCCATCAGAATTTTCAGGATCAACACTTGAATCTTTATCATTACATGTCCCTTCATTATCTACACCATTTGAACTCCAAAAACAATTTGCATATTCACAATCCTCTTTTCTAATGAGTATAGAACATTCCAAACACTAATCCGATTTAAAAACACTTAAACCGTAAACAACCTCTAACAACAAAACAACATAAAATCCCATAAATATTTTATATAATATAAAGATATTTTTCTATCTACTCATTAAATACCTCATTTTTTAATTAAATAGAATGCCTTATTAGAAGTCCTTATTTTTTCTAATGATTTTGTACATCTTGGTTATCAGAAATTATTTTACAAACTAACCTCTTTTAAGATTTTATATTACATTAAGTTTTTTTTTTAAATAAACTACATTTCAGACATTGAATATATGTATTTTAATAAAATTATGTTGTGATCTGGCTATTTTCATATGAAAAAAATTTAAAAAAGAAAGAAACGAATTAAAATAAACAAAATTAATAATCTATATTAAAACATTTAAAAAAATTAATTTCTTAAAATATATATTATTTAATAAAATACAAAAATTTAGTATTTCCATTTTATAATAAAAAAATTGAATCTATGTTTTAGGATAACTATTCTTTCAGTGATAATTATAATAACACAAATTAAATAATTTCAAATAAAAGAAATATTTTCATTAACATTTTAGCTTTAACTGTAATATAGATTTACTAAATTGATGATTGAAGTAATATAGATTAGCTTTTATTATAAATATTTTACTTAATTGAATTATTCACTCAAATTAAATTTTAAATAATAATGTAAAATCAATTGATGTTTCTTTATTAAAAAATATAATTAAATTAAACAAAACTGAAATACCTAGAATATTTAAAAGGTTAGCTTTATCAAATAATATCAAATTAAATTATTTTAACTTCATTTTCGTTTCAAATCTACTTTTATGTTATCCTTCAAATTCTAAGTTAATTTAATTATCATTTTAAAGTAATTTTATGTAATATATAATTAATATGATAAATATTGAATTAATTACTTTATTCTAATGAATAAATTTTTAATACCTTGTCCAAATTTGAATCATTCATAAATAGTAGATACTTATTGTCTTAATTAAGCATGTACAGAAATGAGATTTTCATGTACACAATGTAATTTAGATGGAAAATAATGTCATATTGATCATTTTGAAGATGTGTAATCAATTAATCATTTTCGTGATTTTTATGCAGAAGTATAAAAAGATTGTGACATTTTAATTTCCTAATATGATCGTTTATATAGTTAAATTACCCAACAGTTTAATTAATTAATAGAGAACTTAAGATAAAAATACTAGGTTCCATTTGAAAAATTAAAAATTCTAACCCCAATATAGATCAATTAAGTAGTTAATTAAATGGTCAAATTTAAAGGACAAAGAAAAACACTTTTTCATTAAATCTAAGAAAGTTTTGTTGCTCTTAATAAATCTCTTGAAAAGTGTTTATTCAATATGCAAATATAAGAATTAAATTATGTAATTAAAAAAAAATAAGTGGATGCTCCATTTTCCATGAGTTTAATGAAAGAAAACTCATTAAAAGATGATGAATTATATGCAATAGCATTAAATAAATCGTGTTCCATAATGATTACAGGTTATGCAACAGGATTAATTAAAGTATTCGATTTTAAATTTGGATAATTTAAATTGGTCTAATCACTTGATCATCATAGATTATGGATAAATACCTTATTATTCATGAAAAAATAAGACTATTTCATTTCTGGAAGTAGTGATCAGTCAATTATTATATGGTAATATTAAAAGAACTCTTTATGGCATATTTCTTAACAATTAGATGGTCATACTGGAGCTATATCATGTTTAGAACTTAGTGAAAATGAAGATATCCTTATTTCTGGAAGCTCTGATTGTTCAATTAAATTTTGGGAAAAAAAAATCAATTGGAATTGTTACTTTACTTTAAATGGACATTCAGGAAGTATATAAAGTCTAAGTTTGAATTCAGAATAAAATCAACTAATCTCATGTGGTTATGAAGATAATCAAATAATTGTAAGCTAGCAAAAAGGAAAGGTTTGGATTAAGATCTAAAAGGTTTCAGTTGATTAATGGGGATTAAGATTATGTTATGTAAATAATCAAAAATTTGCATTCTAACCTTATTGCCAAAATAATCTACTTATATTTTAGTTTAATTTTAAGACAAAATAATTTGATAATACTAAAAAAATAAATGTTAAATCTAGCAAATAATGTAATTCATAATTTCCATAAAAATATGTGACATCAAAATAAATATTGATAAGTAAAAATGGAAATTATGTAAATCTAATCAAATCTGATGAGAATGGTGGTTTCATTTGTGATTAATCGATTGATTTTGGAACATCATCTATTTATGGCACAATATCAGAAGATGGTGAATATATGATTACATGGGATTTAAAATCATTAGAAATTTAAATAAGGTAATATAAAAAAATTTTAAATAAATGAAAATAACTATTTTTTTTAAATTAAATAAACAATATAATTATCTAATTATATATTATTTATAAATACTATTAAAGAATAGTATATAATATATATTTAAATTTAATTTTAAATGCTTTATTTAATAATCAATAATTATTTAATCCACATCTGTAAAATTAGTTTTCAATAGGGCAATTGAAAGAAAATGAAGGTGAAAATAGATTACAATATTTAATTTAAAATAATTAATTTTACTCTTAAAGTGGTTGTTATATGGAATTGCTCAACATTATCCTACATGACTAGTAATAGATTAAAACTACAAGTTAATCATATTTTGTAATTTAATGGGGTAATGTTTAATTAATATACATAAATTACATAAAAGTTATAAATTATTTTGGAGAACCTTAATTTTCTGTAGCAGACTATAAACAATAATGTTGGCTTATGGGCCAAGCAATTTTAGATATATAAAATTTTAATTTCAAAATCAAATGAAATAATCAAAAAATTATTTAAAACAGATATTCGCTGCAAAATCTTAATCAGTAAATTGGGTATTCAGAGGATGATTAACAATAATTTACATTCTTAATGGAATAATTAAAAAGAAAGTGCTGTATTAATTAATGTTATTATGATATTTTTACCTGTTTTTCTTTCTTTAAACAATCTCTACGAGAATTAAATATATAAGAAATTTTAATACTATGAAAAAAACTATTCACTAATATTATCCATTCTTTTTATGTGTAAAATATAATTTATTTATGTCTAGTATTTAAATTAAATGACAAAATTTACAATATTTAAGGTATCTTGATATTAATTTTCTTTTATAGACAATAAACTAATAATTTATTTGATGATAATTTTGCGATATTAAACTAATAGTAGTATTATGTATTGGTTGAAGTAAGGTTTAAATTATCTTATAAAAACTGAATATAAATACCTTTGGATTATTAGAAATACCAGAACTCTCCTTTTATATTTTCAAATTTAAATAATAAAATAAAAAGAAAAGAGAGTAAGATGAATAATAATGCAATCTTATCTTAAGGAATTATTTTATTTAGGATCTATTAAATAATTGTAATAAATTATTTAAATACCCTTACATAAATTTTAAGATACATAATCAAAGAATATCATATTAATATATTCCTACTTATATTAAAGGTGAGGGATTACAAAAAATGATTGAAATAGTATCTGAGAAAAGACTAGGAATTCTAATTATAAAGTTTGACTAATTAAGAGAAGATATTTTTAGGGTCTGTTTTAAATTAAGAATAATAGTTAAAGTGCATGATTTTAATAGTATCTTCTGTCAGAAATTAATTAAACTATGAGATTAAGAAATAGCTTAAATACATTAAATTATTATTAAATGAATCCATTTTATAATAATGTTTTTTTTGGGATTTATGCATTTGATTTGTAATAAAATAAAATACTATTTTTTTATTTAATTTTCCTTATTGTTGATAATATGCTTATAAACTGAATTTTTGGTATAAATCTACATTGATATAAGCCTAGCAAATCCAAAAAAATATGAAATTAAGTCTGCTTCTAAATGAAGGTTTATTTGTTATTTATACTATTTTTTTGAGTAATTCTATATTTAAAATTTACAAGTTCTAAATTTATCAAAAAAATAAAATGTATTTAATTAAAATGGAATAAAATAGGTTTCTTATTTATTTGAAATTCAAAGTTAAATAAATAAATTGAAAATCATAAAAAAATTAAACATTTAAATTATTATTTCGATTATGATATACCAAAAAAAAGAATTAAAAGCAAATTTATTTTAAGAAGAAAGAACTGAGGAACTGAAATGTTTAGTTTGGAATTAAAGCTTTCGAGGATTTATGAAAACTAACTTTCTAATAACATTCAAAAAATCATTAGAAATAATTTATTAAACTTTAGATGGATAGATACTTGGCACGTAAGGATCGAATAATATTTAATATTTAGTTATTAAATTTAGGATTTATCAAAGAATTCTGAAATTAGAATTAATTTAGAAAAAGTCTAACATCTAAGATGGTTTGGATAATTAGAAGAAAATTGTACGAAAATTGGAAGATGGTCAGCAAGATGGAAGGGTCAAACTTTAAAAGATGTTGGAGGTTATTACTCAGAATTAGGATAAAAATAAGGCTTATGGAAAGAATTAATTTAAGATTATTAGAGGTAATTAATAATATTAGAATTTATAGTCATGCCCAAGCCTATGAATTAGGAGAATATTTAATTGGTAAAAAAATAGGAATATGGAAAAGTATTTTTGAGGAAGAAGAGATGTAATAAAATTTTATTAAAATTCTTTTTAGTGGGTGTGGATAATATAATTAACTATCATAAAAGATTGGAAATTGGATTGAGTTGAGTGATAATTTTTGGGAGTATTGAATTTATACTATGCATTATATAAGATTAAGTTAAGTCACTTATCGTGGAAAGTATGAAAATGGTAATAAAATTGGTAGATGGGATATTTATTTGAGAAATAAAGAAGAGAATTTAATGTAATTGTAAATGTATACTAATTTATTATGCTATTTAGAGGTGGTGGAAATTATGATTAAAATGGTAGCGGTCTGAAAATAGGAAAATGGATAGATATTTGCGATTAGTTTTATGAGTAAAATAAATATTATAATTGATTATTACTTTAGAGATAATTAAGTAACTTATATTGGAGAATATCAAAATGGTATTAAAATTGGTCGATGGAATACTAATTTGAATTTTGATGGTAAGAATGAAGAGATGTAAATATAAATTGCAACAACTATTTTAGTGGTGGAGGTTCTTATAATTAGTTAGGAAATGGTCAAAAAATTGGCAAATGGATAGAGTTAAGTGAAGGATTTTAGGAGTAGAAAATAAATAATCATAATTTAGACATAATTAAGTCATTTTCTATGGAGAATATAAAAACGGTTTTAAAGTGGGTAGATGGAATACTTATTTAAAGTTTAATGGAAAGGATGAAGAGATGTAAAATATGAATTTTAATAATTATTTAGAGGGGGAGGCTTTTATGATTGGAGAGAAAATGGGCAAAAAATTGGAAAATGGATAGAGTTAAGTGATGGACCTTCTAGGAGTAGGTATTTAATATATTTTCATTTTATACATTAGATATATTTAGGTCATTTATACTGGTGAGTATAAAAATAGCTTAAAAGTTGGAAATTGGAATGCATATTATAGAGATAGAGGATTAAGTAAAAAATTCAAAAAAATGTAAGAGAATTATATATTGTTAATCTAATTTTAGAGGAGGTGGATAATATGATGAAAAATCAGGTGTAAAAATTGGAAAATGGGTAGAATTGAGTGAAAATTTCGGGGACGGATTAGGATACTCATTAATTATTTATATTGGTGAATATAAAGGTGGGAAAAAGTTTGGTTTATGGGACATTTTTTGGGGAGTTGATCTATAGAATTTAAATACTGAATGGCTGTATAAATATAATTTAGCTTCTTAAGGGGTGGTGGATTATATGATGAATGTGGAAGAAAAATAGGAAAATGGATTGAAGTGAATGATTGGTTTTATAGGTATGATAAAATTTATAATCTAGTTGGAAATAAGTTACCTATCGTGGTGAATATAAAAATGGCAAGAAAATTAAAACATGGTATAATTTTTGGAGAGAAAAAGGAAAAAATAAGATATTTGAATAAATGTATAAATTAAAAAATATATTAAAGAGATGGTGGATCATATGATGAGTAGGGGTAAGGCTTAAAAAATGGATATTGGATTGAACTGAGCTAGGATTTTCATGAGTAAATCAAGAATTTTATTATAAATAACTCTTAGTCGAAGTTAAGTCATTTATTATGGTTTATATCAAAATGGTAGAAAGGTTGGCGTTTGGTATGAACTAGAAAGATTATAGTGGCAAATTAAAGGAGCATTTTGCAAAACGTATAATTTTATAAAAACTAAACAGAGGGGAACATGTGTATGATTAATGAAGAAAGTAATAAGGAATTGTAACGACATAAGGATATGAAAATTTAACAATATAATTTTTTTTTAAACTTAAACTTTCAAAATAGTTAAATTAAATTATGGCCGAAATTGTTTTTGACTCTTAGATATTTTGAAATCGTTTGATAAAAACCCTCTATAAGCCATATTGTAAAATACTTAACCATTACCTTTTTATGTTAATTTGCCTATATTTTCCAAACCTATGAGATTACTCTATTTTTCTAAATTAGTAAATATTATGGGTGTCACAGACACTCTTTTCTTTATTCTCTATTCTTATTAATGGAATGCTTATATGCTTAAACGTTAGTTATTAAAAAGGTACATAATTTAATTTCGTTTTTCCATCCGATCAACCTTTCATTCTCCGTTAATAGCAGAGTTATATTTATTTATGCTCTGTTTAAAAAGAACAAAGTTTTCTTAAAAATCTACTTAAAAAAAAATTAAATTAAAATTATTATTTTGCATAAAAAATTCAAATATACCATTATTGTTAATAATGAAATAAAATAGATATAATTAATCTTTTATTTAGTTTGTGAAAGAGAATTCCATATCCTATTTCAATATCATAATGCTGAAGGAGTTTGTATTATATATTCAGTCAATTATTAGTTTAATAAAAAATATATAGATATATATATATATACAAAGGCAGAATTAGCTTTGTAGTCTTTTAAATATATATACTGATAAATGTTCAATTATAATAAAATTATAAATGAAATTTTTTGCATCATAACTATAGGAATAAATTGGGATATAGGAATTTTGTCAAAGTTAACAAATAGAGAAGCCAATAATATAAGGAAATTATTGAAATATTCTGAATTTAATAGAAATCCTCTCATAAGTACAAGAAAAGGGAATTATATTAATTTAGGATAGTTCAATTCATTATGACTCAGAAATTCAATCTATAACTCCTAAAGGATAGAAATATCTTATGCGTGCCATAAAGGTACCAAAATAATAATTTATTTACTTTTTAATTATCAATTAAATTTGGGATTTATAATTTACATATTCTATTATTTGTTAGTCTATTCACTAAATTAATATGAAAAACACTAATATTGAAATCCTTAAAAAAAAGTACAATTACTAACAAATTTAATGATTTATATGTGGTTTAATTAGAAATATATAATAGAAACTTAATATAATTTAGTTATTTTAATAATAATTTTTATTAAAAATTTTTAATAATAAAAATTGGAGCTTTTAATTAGTTAAGAAATTAATAAAGATTTTTTAATATACATATATATTGGATTATGTAATGATTGCTGATGAAATAGTTTTCTGATAACAATTATAGAAAAATTATTAAAATGTACATCATTAAAAAAAAATAACCAATTATTATTATTAATATTAAATCTAGTTATAATAATAGAATAAATTTTTTATTCTATTTATTTAACTCAGATATTATAACATATAAAAATCTTATTATATTATTTATAATTCATGAAAAATAATATATAAAGAACATCAAATCAGTATTAAGTTAATGAAAAAAAAAAAAATTCTAGAAATGAAATGATGAATTAGAAATAAAAATAATGTGATAAGCTAGAATAACTTTAAGATTAAGCTTTAATATAGTATTATATTTTTGAAGATTATTAAAATTTGATAAACCTCATCTATTCATTATAAACTGTAAATGATTACTTCAAAGATGATCCAAATAATGAAATGGTTATTTTATGCAGAAATAAAGTCATAAGTTAATTAAATTTATCAAATACTATTCATTAAGATATATAAGAAACTTACAAAGATTCAAAATATCAATAATTCATTACTAAAGAAAAATAAAAAGTTAAGGAGATGGTCTCTCATTTGCCACCTAATGTTCAAGATTCAATCTATCTCGAAATGTATAAACAGAATAGTTTATCAGAAAAAATTATTAGTTCATATTAGCGTCTTGAAAAGATGGACATCACTCCTAATTTTGATAACTAAGTTGTATCTCAAATTTTTTCTTCTATGCAACTTATTGACCAAAAGGTCAACCAAATATAATCATAGAACCACTACACAGTCCCTTCATATAATGATGTCATAGAGAAAGCAAAGTATTTATGATCAATATTTTAAGGCAATATTAAAATCTTACATTACAAAAACTAGAAGTTTCTATTCCTAAAGGATAGTTACCATAATCTTAAAAATCTGTTTAAAAGAAGGAATTATAAGGCGTATAATAAATCGTAAGGAGTTAATCATGCGAAAATCTCTCTTCAAAATTCTAATAACAAATCCAAACTTAAAATCAATAATCTAAATAATAATCTAATGAAAATCATTAAAAGGAAAAGTAAATCAATCACTTGAAAGGCCTTGTAAATTTGGGTAATTATTGAGATTGAAGTAGTATCAAATAATTTAATAACCAATAAAAATATAAAAAGTATTTATATTTGATAATTTGATATAACAAATTGGATATAAATTTCTTCTTAAATTTAAATCATTATTCTTAATTGCATTTATTCTTTTTAACATAAATAATTATATTTATTATTTCTTCGTTCAATATAGATTTGGGATTTTTAATATATGTGTCGTTTTCTTTCTATAAAAAACAGTCTATCATGAAAACTTTATATGACTAATTTTGAAAAAAAATAATTCAAACTTTATAATGTCTTTGATTTTAATTTAAAAATTATTTTTATCATTAAAATTTATAACTCATAAATAATTAAAATATTATCAATGTTGAATTTCCTTATTAGTTCCTATTTCTATTTGAGGGAGAAAATAGTGAATCCATTATACATAAAGAGTAGATTTTACAGAAGATACCTAGGCTGCCCTCCAATTACTTGGATTATTAATTTAAATTAAAATGATGCAGGTTCTGATTATTAAAAGTATATTTTAAATGAATTTGATATAATAATTTACTTTAATACAGGAAAGGCTTATTTTTTTCAACATGACTAAAATCCATTTTTAGATACAACAAAGTCATTTCTTTCATGCATAAATATATCTAATTAGATAACCCCGAAACAGTTAGATATATAATCTTTTAGTTTGATCTAAGTAAAAACCAGATTTTTTTTATAGGCAATTCTGGCATTTAAAATCATCTATTTCTTTCTCAACCATATATTTATGTCTGTAAAGTTATTCATTATTAGATCTTTTAATTACAAAGGAATTGAATCCTAATTAATTCAAAATGTCATCAATAAATTTATCTGGGCTAAACATAGATAATTTTCAAATCATTTTAATAGATAGCCTATCCTTTTCAAGAAAATTTATAACTAAAAGAGCTACGTAGTCAAAGCGCTGTTTTATATAGAAATTTCATACCTGAGTTTTATACCTAAGAAGTAAAATAGAATCCTATTCAAATTAAACAGTTAAGAAATTAAAATATCACTTTCTTATTCGCCCTCTTTTTATTTTCTGAAATACTTCCTTTAAATGAGATTAAAACACTTAAACATTTGCAATATTAACTTTTTTCTGATAGTTCCTATATGTGTATTATAGTAAAATGGTTGACAGAAAATATATAATGTTGGCATAATAGTCTTCAAATCTATTTTAAACAAAAATAAATAAAATCATTGTTCTTAATCGTTTTTGGTGAGAATGATCATTATTTCTTGATAATAAAATTAATATTAACAATTTAATTTAATATTACTTATTTTTATTTTTACATCTTCCAAATATTCATCAAATTAGAATTATTAAATACAAGCATATTAGAATAATCTAAGATCATCATGATAATTCATATATTTAAGTAAAGAAATAATTCTGTTTGTAATAACCTGCTAAATAAATTTTAAATTTTATTTTTATTATCATTATAATATATAAACTAAAAACTAATTTTTATTAAAATTGATAAAATATCATCCATATTAATAATCTTAATAAATTTCTTCCATGTAATTAATTATAAATAAAGACTAAATCATTATTAATAACAATAAAAGTTTATTCATTAAAAGATAACTTCATAAGCTGGGTATGCCCTTCTTACATGCATTTAATACAAAATAAATATTTAGCTATTTTTAGCCATTCCTGTAACACAATCATATCCATCACTTGGCTTTTTAATATCTTTACATTCATTTTTTTATTCAGATCTTCCCGTTGTAACTAAGCAGCATAAAAATACAAGATTCCCTGCATAGTTAGAATCATCTTGAACTGTTAGTTTATAAGAATAATATCTGGAGTAAAAAGCATTTTCAGCAAAATAAATACCTTATCCCCACAATCCAACCTAATTTAAATTAATTTTGTTACTCTACTGAAGGTAACATCAAAGGCTTCTGCCAAACTCTTATATATTATTGATGGATGTTATTATGATACTCCATGCCACAGATATCTCTCCTGTTCTTATGGAAGTAATAATCTTTTTTATTTTGCACAAAGATCAATTAATTTGTTTCTTTCTAAGATATAATTATCCCATAATGTCTTATTTTATATTCTAAAAATAGCTTTAATAGTTCCTTTGTCTGTTTTCTCAAATAGGCCTTTAATTTTTTGATATTCTGATGAATTTTAATCAAGTTGAACTTTGATGAAATTTTAATCTTAATCTATCCATTCTTTTGGGTATTCTTTATTAGCAAGACTTTTTATTAAATCTAATTATTTAAAGATTTTTTTTTCTTTATTTTTGAAAATTTCAATATTGATTAACTATCCTGATATCACTTTACCTTAAACTTTTTAAGCCACGGTGTCTAAATATTCAGTAAGCTTTTAAGATTATGTATTACTAAATAAAGGTATGTTTATTTTTAAACTAATTTAGGATTCTTATAATTTTTATTTAATCTCATTTAAAATCAAATCATTTAACTTACTATCGAATGATTATATTAAAATTTAATTTTAACTTTCATATTTATAATTTATTTTAAATTGTGTAATTCTTTGTTTTTACTCCATATTGTCTTACTAATTAGGAATTTTTTATATAGGCCTCTAAAATTAAGTCCTAGTATTTAATTAATAAATGCCTTAGTTATTGATTACTACATCCAAATTTTTCCAAAAGATATCAAATTAAAAGCATTATTTATTATACATATTAATAAAATAATTAGTAAGTTCTGCATCCAGTTCTTCTTAGTTGATTATATAAGTTATTTTATTATTTTAATTTCTATAAATTATTTACGACTCAGAATTGGAAGATATTTCTTTTATTTTTAATTTTTTTAAATCAACAGAATGAGTACTTGGTTTGTTTTCTATCTAAAATTTTAGGTTAATTGTTGTTTCTTAGTTTGATTTTAAAAATCTTTCATAAGCATCATTAATTTAATTATTGATATCCTCACTATAATTAACAAATGTAATGACATCTTTCCATTACCATTTTGGTTTACTATTATTTGTAATTATTGAAGTGTTTTAAAGAATAGAATCTACAAATTAAATATATTATTTATCTATTTCAGCTATATAGATTTACCTGACTGTAGTTTCATTATTAAATATTTTATTGATAATTGCATTAAGATAAGTTTTAATTTTTAATTTTTCACTTTTACAAATATTAAAAATTGGAAGGGCTAATTTAGAAATTTCATTATGTTTTCGAGTTTCATTGAAAAGACTATCTATAATTTAATATATTGATTGAGGATCATTAAAATCAATATTGCATTCAGATGGAATAATTAAATTAACAATATAACGTATATTACAGAATGGACTTAATTCAAAAGTTGTGATGCCAAATTAATTTTAAGTATGAGTGGTATTAGTTAAAAAATTATAATAATATGATTAATACAACTATCCTCCAAAGTTTAAAATTTTTTATGTTAATCCGCTTACTTCCATATTTTAATTTTGTGAAAAGTGAAAGTTTACTATAGCATCACATTCTAATAAAGTTATATCTGCTTCTACTAAATGAATTTTTTTATCTTAGTATAAGACTTAAGATATGAAATAATAATTATTTGTTTAAAATTTTATAGCAGCCTTCCTTTCATTTTCTAAATTTGTATAATATTATGAAAAATGTTTTTTGAAAAATTTCACTTATTTTTCTTATAATATGCAAATTTTACTTTTTAATTGATTTTGAAAATTATTAATATCATTTAATGTTTTTAAAGATTATTCTTCTAGCAGCTATTGATTCATTGCTTGTAATATAATTTTTTTACTTTAGGAATAATTGAAAAGAATATCTTGATTTCCAGCATTTGATTATAAGATATAATTTTCTTTTAATTCATTGAATATAAGGATATTCTAGCATTCAATAATTTTAGTTTTTCTATTTTCTTTTTTATATTATTTTGCTTTAACTATTACTTTTTTGATCTCATCCAAATGTATATTTTAGCAAATAAAATAATATTCTTTATTAATCTTTGATACTTCAACTTAATATTCATCTTTAAATTATTATTTTTGCATTCCCAAACTACAGTATAAATCTTCAATCTCAAAGTTCTTTTCTATAAGGATATTTAATTAATTAAAAAACTCTTATTATAGTTACTTTTAAATATTATTTAGTTTTATTTAATCATTTATATAGATATCAACTAAAATAATTTTTTCATTAACTCCAACAATTTAAATCAGACATTTATCATATAATTTTGAAATTTTTTCTAAACTTGATTTAAATAATTTTTCTAAATTTTTCTTTTCTGCTAAAGTTTGAGCAATTATTTCTTAAACTTCAAAGTTATATCTTTTGCATTAAAATTCTGTTAAATCCGATAAAATTAATTAATATTTCTCTTCTATTAAAGTTGATTCTCCTTTTAGTTCTATCAGTAATTATGTATTAATAGTATAAGATTCTTTTGGATTAGAGTAAAATTAATACAAGAATCTTTACCATAGATTGATTTACTTTTCATCAGTTAGAATAATATCCTAACTTGGAAAATATATTTAAAATATTGAATATTTTAGTTTTGCAAATTTTTACTTAACTTCATCAATTTATTCATTTTTACTATCCATCCAAAACTAAATTAATGAATTAACTACAAACATTTTTTTATTATCTAATTTAATTTATGGTTAAGACACTTATATATCAAACTATTCTTCTGATTACTAAAGTTACTTTACTTTTTCATCAATAACATTCTCATCAGGTTTAAATTCAAGTTCTATTTCAAATTAATCCCTTATTAATTATAGATTTGAACATTTCAACACCAACTCTTAAAACTATTTCTACAGCTTTTCGATGTTAACTGGTTTTACTAATATACAAATTAGAATAATCTAATTTGTTTATGATTTAATTTTTTATGCTTATTGTTATAAGTGAGTATACAATTAAAAATCATCTAGATTAATATCGGACGATAAGATTATCCATAAATCTTCTACATTTAGTTATTTTATAACATTTTTATAAACTATCTTTTAATTAAATATAATTTTGATTCTAAATGCTTCTTTCTCAGATAAGCAATTATAAGTTAATATAACAGTTTAATCCAAAGTATTTTTAAGTCTCTTGAAAAAATCACTTATTTCATCTAGTTTTTATTTAGAACCTTATATCATTTAATATTAAAATAACTTTTAATCCATTTTGAAATTGATATCTTTTTAAATACTTTCAATAAGAAAACTCTAAATTATAGCATTCTATATGTAGATCATTTTATCTAATTAAGATATATTATTTTCATTTTACGGTTATAATTGATATGTGTATTTATTATTATTAGTAACTATTTCATCTTATTTAATTTAAACTTAAGATATTTATTCTAATAATTATTCATCTTCATAATCAATATTTTAGAGTAAGTCTTTATATTTGATAATTAATTGTTAGCAAGTAGCATTCAATTCAAAATTCTTTATTATTATTGTTATATCTGCTAATTTGAAAAACTCTCTTATTAATTAACAACAAAAGTTCTAGTTATCTTATGTATTTGTTTCTCCATTTTTATGAAAAAATTATGCACGCAGTTACTAGGTATTAGAGTTTTCCATTTAAATATTATTTGTAAAGCTTTGAAATTCAAATTGAGTAAAAGTTTTCCCAAAATCTTAGTTCATTTTTTATTATCTATCTTGAAGTGATATTCTTGCTTAATTTTGTTAATTGGATGTTTATTATATTTTATTTAAACATTAACTTACTTATAGTAAATTTAAATATTCGGATAATCTAATCGTCATAGGATCTTTGGCTCCATAAAGTGTTTTACATTCTTAAAAAGCTCGTTTGGAAAATTCTTAGCATTCATCTATTAGATTTAACCCAAAATAAGCTCTGGCCTAATTTTGTAACGCCACTACTTTATGTCTTCCTAAAAATTGATCATATTTAGCAAATCTTATGACTTTCTCATATTATTTTTAACGTAGATAAATCTTTTGTAAATTTATTAGAGGGTCAGATATGTCATATTTTTGTTCTACACCTAAATTCAAAGCATTTTTAAAATTTAAAATTTTAATCTCTTCATCTTCTAAGGTACAACCTAATAATGAAAAAACTGAAATACCTAAGATATTATAAGCATGAAATTTATATTCTATTGAAATTCGTTTAACACTAACAATCCATTTACAAACCATCTCTCTTTATGATAAGTATAATTCATTTACTCTCCCTAAAAGAACTTTAGCTCCTTCATTTTCTATTTTTTGTACTTCAAATTTTATTATTGCATTACGAATGCTATTCTCTTCTAAAATTTTTAAGGCTAATTGCATCATAAAATTAATTTATAAAATATTAGGAACTTTTTTAGATGTGAACCAAAAAATAAATAAATAAAAAAAATAATTCTATTAGATTATTTTTGCAAAAATAAAACAGGATGTATAAAGAAGTATTGAAAATAAATGTAGAACTTATTTTATAATTAAGGAAATTAGAATATTTCAAATTTAAACATTAAAATTTAAAAATGATTTTATTTAATTGTTGCATTTGTTCTAAAGGTATATTTCATTAATCAGTTTATTAAAACAATTTTATTATGCTCAATTCATTTTATTATAAATCAATTATGAGATTTATAATAATTAAGTTATATTCTTTTAATGAAACAAAACTTTGAATTTCAGTTAAAAAGTGTTCCTATCAAATAATTTTTTTAAGAATTTTATTTGATAATAGAAATAAAGCTTTCTATTCAAAGGAAGAGAAACTTCATAATTATTTTATAATAAATATTTTTTAAATTTGATCTATGACAAATTCTAATTTAAATGAAATAATGTAAGATTCCTTTAAATTAAAAAAACTACAGATTTCCAAAATTTGCGAAAGTTAAAATCTTATCAAAATAATTTTATTCTTTTATAATTCTTTAAAAATTTCAAGATTTTACTTAGATATTGCTTGTTTAAGAATATAAAAGACTATTAAAATTTTTTTGTTTTGTTATAATTAATTTGTGAAAATTTTGATAAAAATAAGATTTAAAGTGGTGAATTACATATAAAGAGTGTTACAATGAATTTCTATTTATTTTTAAATTTATTATTTTTTGATATTCCAATTACATTTTTTTTGTTACTATTTTGAAACTAATAATTCCAGATATTTTTAGATATCTTAATCTTTCGTTTTACTATTTTATTAAATCTACTTTAATGTTTAACTCATCCTCCTTTCTTTTCTAAATTCGATGACAAAATATTATTCTGGTTCTATTTGACTTATCTCTTTATATACTGGCATATAAAAGTTTATACTTCTTTCAAATATCAAATAAATTTCAATTGTATTTATATGCATTTTGAATAGATTTTTTGATGCAGAACTACATAATAATTTCTCTAAATTGAAAACTATTTGATAACATGCCATATTTACTTTGAATGAAAATATATTAATTGAATTTATCTCATTTCTTTAGTATTCATCCAGTTTCTTCAGAATTGTATGAGAGATAAATTTAAAAAATAATTTATTATTTTTTTGATATTTAATCTACATCTTTTTAAAATTTCATTTGCTAAAATCATTAAATTTTTCGACCATTTAAAACCAATTAAGAAAATATTTATTGCCAATTAAAATTATCAAAAAGATAGATGCTTCAAACACAAAACTAAGAGAATATAATTCATCATTTAGAATAAAATTAGTTAATTAAATTTTGAAATAACTTAAATTTATAAATTGAATAATAAATATAGGAGGAACTATATAACGATTTTCATAAAAATAAATTCTATATATGAAATATTAATTTTAAAATCAATAAAAAGTGTTTTTGATAGTTCAGGTGAAATTGAATTTTGAATCTTGAAAAGATTTGTTATGAATTCCTTAGTCCTTTATATAGTTTTAGAGCCAATCAAATTGTTCTTAAGTGAAGTAAAATTATGTTTGTAGTGTCTGGTTGTTAGGAATTTATTTTTTCTTATAAAATAGAGAAATTGTTGAAAGCCCTAAAAGTGCTGACATATTTTCTGTAGTCAACCCCAACTCTAATAATTTTCGAATCAAGTTAGCATTTTTTAATTATATCCCTTTATTGTTTTTTTCTATATTTTTGTTTTTTTGCTTCCTTTAATCTAATATTGAATTATTTTACTTTATTTCTTTATCCTAATTTAATTTTTTTGCCGAAATTATATTTATAAAATAAAACCGTATTTATTGTATATATATTCAAAATTTACCTTGTAAATTTTTACTATTTACAATAAATAAAGTATAACCATTTTATATCAAATCAAAAGTATAAATAAATATTTAATAAATAAATGTACAATTTAGCTTTTAATTACAAATTTTTTTTCATACACTCATTTTTTTGTTTAAATATATATATATATATCCTAACCTAAATTTTTTTTATTTTTTGTATTTCCTTCATAAGAATAATTAAAATAAATTCCAATATAAATGATTGTAAAACACTATAATCAAAACATCCCTAAGGACTTCATCTCATAATTCTATTAAGGGATTGAGTATGATAATATCAAACGATCGGGATTAAGTTTCAAAAACCATTGGATTCGATGGTTAAAATATAATTCGCTCTTTCTCCATCAAATTACTGATATGGATCCTTTATTCCATTAATTGTATGAAGTTTATTTTTTATATCATAATTTTATGTAACTCTCCTTTAAGATACTGATTGGGTATTGAATAAGAATGAATGGGAAAAATAAAATTAATTCTAATATCATTTCAAAAAAGGAAAGGCTTATCCATTTTCAACATTTATAAAAAACAATAATAAATTAATGAACGATAAATATGAAAACAAAGAACTTATCGGTAAGAATAAATTTAAAAAGAATTTCATACATTCTTGGTCAACAATATACATAGTTCATATCCAAAACTGTGACGTCATAAGTCAAACAGTAATATCAAGTTTGAATCAAAGGTAACTGTAGAAAAATATATTCTATTATATTCTATTCTAAAAAAATAATGAATATATAGCTAATCTCTCTCTACCCTTTAAGACCATATATATCTTAAAACTTTGTTTTAACTTACGATTTGATATTAGAAAAATGAATAAAGAGTTAAGTGCTTCAATATGTTTTCTTATATCTGGAAGCAAGAGATGGCGAAACTTATACTTTGGAAAATAGACCCATACCTTTAAGTTAAATATTCTTAAAAAAGGCTAACTTAGGCATTAAATTATATAATTAAAGATAATGAAAGAAAACGATAATATTTTTAGCAAATTATTAAGGGATTAAAATGAAAAGTAGAAATCATTATCTATTTTCGATTTGCCTCTCTATCTGAAATGTTTAATTTCATGAGAGTACAGTATATGTAAGATTAATAATTCTTAAAAAATCTTATGAGTTGCCTTTATATGAAGGTAAATTAAGTTAAGACAGCATTAAAAATTGAGTACCTTAAGGCTGTGTATTATGATCTTTCGTATTTAATATTTATTTTCATTTTCTAATAGAATAGATAAAGCGTATCTAAGTACTTAAAATATTTCATAAATAATGGATCAATAAAATGCACAATAATAAGATTGGCAAAAAAGAAAAAAAGATAATATTTGTAAGTCAATATCTCTTCTCTCTACATAATTTCGGCCTCTCGTTTCCTAAATATACTCAATGTGTTACTCTCTGTTTTTTTATATTTTTTAATTAGAATAAGGACACAGGATCACTAATTCAAGTAAATTTATAGCATAGAATTTGAGCTTATTAATGGTATTCGTATGTTTAACCAAGATTAGATCTTTTATCTAAAGACCTTATAAAGGCTAGATCTTTGTACTTTTGAGTCAACCTATGATTCTTTTTGAATTTTTGAATTTAGATTTTACATCAAAAATTGGTTTTATACAAAAATAAGCAATAAATTTAATCAAAATATTGATTATAAAATATGTAAAATATTTATTATTTGATTAAAATAAATGAAAAAATTAATAGAATTATATAGCTGCATTTTGCCAAATAATATTTTGAAAAGATCATCAATGTAGAAACAATAAATATATGATTCATTAAAATCAAATAAATATCTTACATTTATACCAAAGTTAATTCAACTAAGAATTACAAAAAATATTGAATTTTATTTATTATACTCAACACAAATTAATATGATATAAAATGATTTGGATTAATAAACTTTATCAATCAGCCAGAAATGCAAATAATGCAAGAAGATGTGTAAAAGTCATTGAAAGAATAAGTAAAATTATATATTTCATATTTACAATTTAAATCTTACTACAATATTTCTATTTTACAATATTTATATATCTCAAAATACAAAAATAAAAATAAATGCGATTATATTATTTTATTATTTGAAAAACAAATTGGATTTCTTGTTGAAAATATTATAATGATTATTGTATTTACTTTACTCCATATTGCTTGTTCTTTATATTTTTTAGAGTTGTTTTAGAATAGTCTATTGATAAAGCTAGACGAGTCTAACAAGGCTATTATATTATTATAAGGCCAAGTTTCTCACATTTAAGATGAAAATAATTATTAATATTGTCCATATAACAACTAAGGTTGTTGGGCTGGAGCAATCAATGATAAAAGTCAAATATTTGAATACTTCTAATTAAAACTTGGTGAGTTTTAGATTTATGATCTAGAAAAACACTCATATAATACAGAAATTCTTACATTTTTACATACATATATGGAATAATAAACTAATGGTATAAACAAAAATTTTTTAACATTAAGTCCTTTTGCATCAAATTTAAACTCATTTGTGTATTTTGGTTATTCATTATGTATTTCTTAAGAAGATGCTTATTTAAAAACAAATTAAAATGAAGCTATATTGAAGAATCAATTAAATATGTCTGGTATCAAGAGCTATGTTTAGTAAAAATATTTCGAAGAAACTATTTTTAAAATTACAATTTAGTATTTAGAACTTGAGGAGTAAATTTTTGATATATCAAATTATTCAATCATTTTAGATAATGAAATAGAAAATTGCATAATTCCTATCGAACTGATGATGAGAATTTATAATTAAGCAATTTTTTGGAACTTTATTGAAGATTCCTTTAATATGTAGTATTAATTTTTTTACAGAGAAGCAAATTAATAAAGGATTGAAAGTTTAGGTTCAATCAAATTTTACAATTCCGTGAACTAACCTTTGCTCATTATGCCTGAAAATTACATAGATTATAATTATAAGGATTCAGGGTTTGATTTCTTAAAACTTGTTGGTGATAGATTTAAGACTTAAATTGTTTTAGGCCAAAGTTTTTTGAGAAATAAGATTATTCATTATTCTACTGATACACAAGAAATTTTTATTGAATAATTATCAGAAAATAAATGTATTTTATAAGGTTTTGAGAAAGACAAACTCTTTGACTTTTTATTATTTAAAATAATATTCATCTTAATTATGTCAATATTTGTATATGGAATATTTAGAAAAATACGAGCCTAATATTTACATCAGAAGAATATTAAAATTGCATAATAATAACTCATTTTGAATAATGAAATAGAGGTTTTGAAATGATCTAATTATTATTATTATTAATGATAATTTATATATTATTTTAATAAGTCTTAACCTTTGAACTTCCTAAAGATACATACCCGCTTAGATAAAATGAATAAACTTTGAAATACTACATTATATTAGATAATAAGGAATACGTTATTGATTTAAATAATGAGTTTAGTGTTACTGATATTAATGGAGTCAATCAAGAATGCAATATAAATTATCAATGCCAATATTGTGATTAATTCTGTCGATATACATTTATAGATTAGTAAGATTCAGATTAGAATGGAACTCTTTAAGAATTAGTGTTAGAAATTGAAAATATTTAAGGAAATAAATAAATTGAAGAATTTATAGCTCTACATTCCATTAATACTAATTAAATTGGATTTGGAATGAGAAGACTATGTACCGATTTAATTATATAAGACAGAAAATCATTAGAATTTTACTTTTCCATAAAATACATTTGTATCAAATGTGGTTTCATTGTGCTTTTCATCTCTTGGTTTTATTCATAAATAAAAATAAAAGAATATAAACAATTCAATAACAATACCATATTTCTAACATGAAAATGTTTATTCTTTTAAATTTAAACATATATAGATAGGGTTCAATACAAATATAAATATAGAAAATGTAAATATTTAGATTGATTCTCTAAATCCATTTACTTAATTACCAAAAGATGTTTTCAGGTATTAAAATAATTAAAATTAGTGAAATTGCAAATTATTACAAGCAATTTGGATTTAGCATTGTAAACTAAGGTTATTTAAGTATACATGAAAACAAATTTATAATATCAGATATATTAGCCATTAAAATATATATAAATTAAACCTTTTATTTAGAGTATTAACCATATCAATTTTTGTACTATTCAGGAGAATATATATAACTCCCTTTTAAATAATCAAAGTATTAATTTTTAAACTAATTTATAGAAAAAAATCTATAATATTAGGTGTAACTTTTTTAAATAATGTATACCTAACAATCAATTAAAATGAACAGAGTTTTTCATTTTCTTAGATTGATTGTTAAAGTTCCTTAGTACAAAATTAAAATACTTACCATTTATTATCCATTTTTATATTATTAGGAGTTCTTTTATTATTCGCTATTTTATTTAAATTATGTAAAAAGGCATAAGCATATATAAAAATAACTTAAGTCCAAGAAGTTGAATTATAATCTTCAAGAGTTGAAAGAGAAAAAGAAGAAGAATTATAAATATGAATCAAAATATATATATTTATAATATAAATAACAATCTTAAATTAGAAGATAAAAAAATAGATTAAGTTAAGGCTAATATTTTAAAATTAAAAAGACATCAAATATAAATTTAAATTTACAACAAATAAATCTGTAAATATCTATAAATCATTTTAAATTAATTATAAATTAGAAACCAATTTTATTTTAAAAATAAACAAAAATGATTTTAAATAAATAAATATTCAATCTTTTTGTGATATTTCTAACTTAAATATTTGAAAATCATAAGGAAAATCTTAAATTATCAATAATATTATGTATAATAAATAAAAGTATCAAATATTATGAATTGATTAAAATCAATAAAGTATATTTATTATATTAAATTATAAAATATCTATAGTTTAATAAATGATATTTTATAGATGTAAATATAAGATCATTTCTAATCTTATAATAAAAAATTGAAAATAATAATTTTTTATTAATTATTTAATTTTATTTATGTTCAGATTAAACAAGTTAATTAAAAGCTTTGGTAGTATTTAAAATTTCACAAATTGGGAGAAAGATGTTGTAAAAGCTAGCACACCAATCCTTGTTGATTTTTATGCAACGTAATTTATTTTTTTAATGATTAAGATGGTGTGGACCATGCAAAAGATTGACTCCAATATTAGAATAAAAAGTAAAAGAACATCCAAATGTAACTTTAATTAAAATTGATATTGATCAACATGAATAATTAGCAAATTAAAATAACATTGAAGTAGTACCAACTGTTATGTTATTTTAAAATGGAAAGAAAGTAAATAATTTTACAGGAATGTTGCCACCAGATTAATTAAATAAATTCTTTGAGCAAATTCCAAAATAATGAATATTATGAATAATATATTATAAAATAATCCAACTAGATCATTCTTATAAAGAATAAATTATATAATACCTTATATATTTTGTTTTCTCATTTTTGGTTTGATGATTTATATTAAATATTAAATGATAATTTTGAATGAGGTTAAGAGTATATTTAGACTGATTTATTGTATAAGAATATAAAATGTATAGATAATAAATAAATAAATAAGAATATTGAGTAATTATAATAAAATTAAGTATTAAGTTTTAATAAAAAAAAAATGAATGATGAGTTAGAAAAGACAGCAAATTTTTTCTTTCCTGTTGATAATTAAGGCATGAAATAAAAATTTGTTCATACAAGAAGGTTGTTAAAACATCCTGTTTAGAGTAATGTTTCCAATCCTTCAACACAGATGTAATATTGAATTTATAAATATCTAAGAACTACATCCAAGAGAAGTTCTGATAATTCTGGTGTTGAAGGGTAACATACTCCTCCATAGATAAGTGGAATAAGAAAAAGATCAGAATTATAAATAAGTTCTGAAGTTAGATAATCTAAAAATTATCGAATATTTAGTTCTAATATAAATCAACGTTCTAGTTATCCATAACAATTTAGTTTTGGAGATAAATTTCAATTTATAAATGAATTCTTATAGATGAAAGATGAACAATAGAGTCCTCCTTTCAAATAGTTAAAGAAACTTCCTGAAATTTTTTAATAAAGAAACTCTAGTTAAGGTTTCAGATAAGCATTAAGAATTCATAGTGGATAAAGCAAAAGGGAAACAATGAGCAACTTTGTATAAGAAATTGATTGTCCAAAGAAATAGTGTATGTAATAGTTGTAATTGAAACAAACAATTAATAAATAATAATTAAGAGGAACTTAAATAAAATTACCCAATATTGGTTAACCTGTATCATTTTTATAGACTAAACAATAATTGAAGATGATAAATAGAATATTTTCAGGCAAACGGGATTAATGATTATAGTATATCTCATTCCATTGATGATTTTGGTATTTTATATGAGCTTGCTTTTTTTAATCCTCCCATTTTAGGTGTCTAAGCATTCAGTTTAGATATTGCATCTTCTAAATGAGCAGCTTCATCATTTACACAATCATCATCTTTACTTAATTAATTGATTTATTATTAAAATGAATTTTTTAAGGCAGTCTTACGCAAATCTGATTACAAATTCTTTTTCATTTAAGGTGAATCTATATATTCTATTAATTTACTTGCATCTGATTATTATTATTATTTATTTGCATGTCCAAATTAACTAAATTTACTCTATTATAATTATGGTTTCTAATCTAATCTTGTAACTGATCCATTATTAGATACATTTGAAAATGAACCCAAAGTATCAATTCTTCCATTCAATGCTGGTTATCTTTATTGTAATTGCATAGAACCAACTTAGCTTGATGGACTATTTTATATTTATTAATATATTACCCTTATTATTTTCCTAATCCATAAACAAAATCTTTATCATAATCCCTAAGACTTTCTTAAACATCTATTAGATCTTATTCCTTAAATATTTCCTTAAAATAAGGATGTTTAAGGCATTCTTCTGAAGATACTCTAATTTTTGGATCTGGACAAAGCATTTTCTTTAATAAATCTACTAATTAAATTGGTGCCTACATTAGTTATCATAATTAATTTTTACAGATTGAATCTATTTTAAATCATAATTAATTTCACAATTTTTATTTGCTCTTAAAATACCTTTATAATCAGTTCCTTAAAATGGTTATCTTCCAGTTAATAAAACATAAAAGATAACACCTGCACTAAATACATCACATTTTTCATCATAAAATGGATCTCCTTCTTTATACAATAATATTTCTGGAGCAACAAATCCTGGAGTTCCACATCTCTTGAAAAGAATGTCTTCATTTAAGAAACTAGCTAATCCAAAATCTGCTATAACAATATCTGTATCATTATCTTTCTCTTTTAATAATAAATTCTCTGGTTTCAAATCTCTATGCATACATTTTTTTGAATGCAAATGACATAATGCTTTCATTAAATTGTACATTAATTTTTATAAACTTGGAGCACTCAAAGGTGATTATTTGACTCTAGTTAATAATTCACCTCCTTTTAATATATCTAATATAAAATAGATTGAATTTTGAGTTTCATAAGTCTCATATAATTTTACTAGATTTTCTTAGTTTAAACGTCTCATCACTTTAATTTCATTTTCTAATGATTCTCTTCCTTTGAATTACTCTTACATGAATTCTTTGTTGAATGCTTTAACTGCATAATTAACTCCTGTGGATTTCTTTGTAGCAAAATATACTTTTGCAAAACTTCCCTTTCCTATCATTTTTGTTACTCCAAATTCATCATGAAATGTTGTTTATAAACATCTTAATACCATCATATTCTTAAATACAACATATTCATCCATTTATAAATCAACAAATTTACCATTTCGAGAAATTCTAATGATATTGCCAAATTAGTCATGTTTATAAGTTGTCATTACAGCCACCGTTATATTAATCTATGATATATTTTAGTCTTTAAGATGATATATATGCTCATTTCCTAATTATATTGTGATTGATTTTAGTTATTTCTATTTTTTACTGATTTTGTGGCAGTCTTCTTAAAAAACTATGATGTCATTCTTAATAGTGTTTATAAAATGAATAATACATTATATATTTCTAAATCTATAGGTTACCAGATTTTTGTGGATTTTCCTTGATTGTCAGGGCTGTCAAAAAAAGAATTTACTTCCAATATCATTTTTATATTTATATAAATATTTAATATATTATCAATGGACTCAAAACAAAAAATATAGAAACATTCACTAATTAAAATCTTATTCAATTACATTAAATATTATAGTTAAACTTCAAGATTTATAATTAACTATGTAATTTAATGTTCATTTCTAATAATTTTATTAATAAATACTTGATTCTCTTAAAATGATGAAGTAAATAATATTATTTACTTATAATAATAACATTTTACATTAAATTATAAATCCAACAAAATCTAATAAAAGTAGAAAATAAAATTTTATATTAAAATAAGTGAACATTACTAACACTAATTTTAAATCTTGAACACAATTAGATCAAATTAAGAATACATTATTTGAAAAATTTTGTTATTTTTTTATAAAATTTTAATATTTATGTTATAACATATTTATAAAATAAATAAATTTTTAATATAACTTAATTATTATATCATCTATATTACCATATAGTATTTATCTAGATGATATCAATATTCAAATATATGATTAATAATCTTATTCATTTAATGTTTATAAGTTTATAAAAATATTAAAAATATTATTATTTTGAAGAAATGATAGAAAAGAGGATTTATATAACATAAATTAAATATATGAAACTTATCAATTTCATTAAACTTCTTATCTTTTTCATTTATTATTATAATAATATATTTAAGAAATTTTGAATAAGATTCTTATATTATTAGAATAACATAATTCATATGAATATAAATTACTTTTATGCTAATAGTCTAAATATCAAAATAAAGAAATTCAATTGGGTTTTCATTAATATTCCAGTAGTTAAATATTTAACATTTGAATTTATTTTAATTATGTGATGGATTTCTTCTAAACTTAAGAATTTCATGTTAATCTAATTAAGAAGTTATTTATTAGTAGTTACTTATATGTAATTTATAGTAGGTTTTTACATTTTAGAATCAATAAATAAATTAAAATATAAAATAAAACATCCTTTATAAATGAATTTCACTTTTATGATAGATAATTGTTTATCTTCTTGTTAAATAACATATAATGGACTTACTATATTAGATTATGCCAAGAGTGCTATTGAATATTTTGTTAAAAAGAGAACAAAAAACCCAGAATATAAGTATGATCAATACCATCTTTTTTCGTCTAAGTAATTTTTTGTTCTTTACATATTGTCTATAGTTCTTCGATCTCAACATGGATACATGATGTTGGCCATTTTTTACAAAGAGTTAAAACAGTGTAACCATAATTTGAGACCAATTTCAATTTAGAAGAGTGTTTCCACAATTTAAACAAATTTAGAACATTAAATGGTTATTTATATATATATTTAAATTGCAGGAACTGATAATCTATATGGTGGAAGAGATGTCTAAAAGATAGAATCATCAATAATATTAGTTTTTACTAATAGAGAATACTAAGGCCTAGATTTCCATAAATTGATTAGATGGGATTATAGACTCCTTGTATTTCTGATCTAACCACCAGGTATTGAAGAGAGTATACCAATATAAATATAAACAAATTGGCATAACATAGCTTCTTCAATAGGTTAAGGTGTATGTTTTGAAATTTAAGATTACAACATTCTCTTCTAAATATTAGATGATCCTAAATTAATATCTCCTTAAATCTCTCTTTAATTAACAATGTTAGATTAAACCATTAAATATGATGACATTTAATCTGTTATTGAAAAAACTAAAATAGAAGTAAATCCTCAATAGAATTCTTGGTTGGTTAGATCTATTTAAAAAATTAATTAATAATTTGCATAAGCTAGATTAAGATGTGCTCCTCATGTTAATATATTTACCAAAGTCTATTTGCCTGAATAATATCCTGTTGTAGATTTTAATGTAATGAAATATTAAATAAATAGAATTATCCATCAGTACCTGAATATTTTATTGATTTCAGTGTTACCTTTTAAGCAAGATTACCTTAATAAATACCATATTAAGAATTAGTAATTGAAAATGCATCATTATTAAAATATGTTTAAGGTATAACAACATCTAAGAGTAAATTATTACAATTTCCAATATTTTATCAAGAATAAAGAGATGAATAAATAAATAAATACTTAGTTGGTTTATTTCTATTTTCATCAAATCAAAATACAATGGAATTAAGATTGTAATAAAGATTTATATAAATTTAAGTTATTTTCCAAATTTTTACATTTATTCTGAACTATTGACTCAATTAATAAATACAAGAGATGATGCTAGAAAATCAGCAGAATCAAAATTTTTATAATATTTATAAACAATTCCAAATTATTATGCTCCATGTATTAAAAAGAATCTTGCAGAATAGAACATCTAAGTAATAATAATAAATTAGATTATAATAGATAACTAAATATTTATTATTCTTAATAGAAGAAACAAATCATTAATTGTATATGTAGAAAGTTAAAGCTTATTAAGCAAAAGTATAAAAAGTGAAAAAAATGGTTGATGAAGAAAATTATAAAAATAGATAATCTCATATTTCTAAAAAGAGTATGTGTTGTGCTGCTTTCAGTGAAAATTATTAGACTAGATTCTAGGAATAAATTAATTGTGAGTTCAGATAAGTTACTTAATTAAATAAGGAAGTAAATTTCAATAAATTTTTACCTGAACTTGAAATTTAATCTTGTTTACCTTAAATGCCAATAGTTCAACCAACATTAAGAAATCTTAATTTAGATTTTGATGAAATAGAGATAAGATTAGAACCTTAATTTTGTGGAAATCCTTGGAAATTATAAAGGAAAACTTATAAAGATGGTATTGAAATAAAGGTATTTATAATTAAATTAAAAATTATTAGAATGAATAAGATGATTATTAATATGAAGATATGATTTTAACAAAAGTAGATTCTGAAAATTAATCTTAAGTGAAAAATAGAAGAAAAGGATTCATGAGATTAAAAGATATCTAAGAAGGTAATCATAAAAAATCAACAATTGATTAACCTTAAATGGAAATTGAAGATTTTTAAACTGAATCCCAACCATTTACAAATAATAAATGTGGATATATCAAATATAATCCTTGCTTTCAAGTAATTAGTTTTAATTAAATAGGCTAAATTTAAATTGATTGTATAAAGCAAATTATTATCCACAAATAATTCATAATCCATCAACAATTGAAACTCAAAAAGTAAAAATAATTATTACAATTTTCTATTAGTAGTGTTAAATAAGAATTGTATACTTTTTTCAATTTTGTTAAATAATTTTTCTTCTTTTTACTTAAAATTTAAATTAATAATGTTTGGAAACCTTCAAGGAACTAACAATACTCAAACATAATAGCAAGGCAATCCAACTTCTTCAATTTTCAATAATCCTCCACCTGCCAACAATTTATTTGGCTAAAATCAAAATCCCTTAGGATAATAGTAACAACCATAAGGAATTTTTGGATAAACACAATAATCTAATCTCTTTGGAAATAATACATAATAAACTGGAATGTTTGGATAGCCATAATAATAATAATAATAATAATAATAACCACTTTTAGGATAATAATAATAAACAACATTAACAGGATAATAGCAATAACCAAATTCAATATTAGGATAACCACAATAATAAACACTATAATTAGGATAAACATAACAAAACAATGTATTTGGATAAAATCAATAATAACAACCATTAACTTTAGGATAATAAACATAACAAACTTAACCAACAACATAATAACAACCTGCATAACCTAAAAATTACACATTAAATTAAATTAATTAATAAACTAAAATACATATTGAAAATTTGACTAAAGCAATAGCAAATAAAGAGAAGATTGATAAAAATTAAAAAAGTTTATAACTTATTGAAAAGAATTCATTGAAAAATATTTAACAATAATAATAACAAATTACTCTTGGAATTAATCCATAATAATAATAATAATAATAAGTATAAAGAATTTTAGTGAAAGGGGATCGAAGAAATCATACTTAAAGAGTTGAAAATTATTATAATGAATGGAATAAAGTGTTTCTTAATATCAGCAAAAAATAAGATGAAACACATGCCTAATTAATTGCTTTAGTTGATTAACTAACTTAATAAGACACATCATTTGGTATTATTATTATTAAATTTAGATATTGATGAAGAATCACTCATTGATTCTATTAAATAATTAGGGAAGGATTTAGATGCTCTAGAACGTAAAATCAATTATGTAGTTAAAATATAAGAGAAAATTCTAGGATTGGAAAAGGAAGAATGTGAATGGGATCAGATAGTCAATAATTTAAGTGAATGTTTATTACATTTAGATTAATAAACTGTATATATTCATCATAATTCTTAGAAAGATGTTGAAGATTTATTATTATAAGCTGAAAAGCATCCTAAAGTACAAAATAAATGAATTATTTATTTATTATTTTATAATATAAATATATAATTATATGTATTTATATAATCAATTCTAATGATTTCTTCAAATTATAAATAATTACCTAAATTAAATTATTGGTTTCAAAGATGATAATTTCAATTTCAAATCTATAATCTCACCATCCATATTATCTATCTATATAACATAATCATTAAATTTGATTTTAATATTAAATCCCATTAGAGTGTTTCCTACTTGATTCTTAAAAGAAGCTATTAATTTTATATTCATAAAAATAAATTAAATTAATTCATGATCTTTTTGCCAATCTCTTATCCATAATTCTGGAATTTTAAATTAATCATCTATCAATGTAATATTTTGATTATTATTAATTCAATAAAGAATAGAATTCTCTTATTTGATTTTTATATAACTGTCTATTAAACATTATTATTTTTTATTAAATTATCAAATTAAAAGACTACTAACAATAAAAAAAATCTATTTAATAAAAATTCTGAATTTTTATATTATTTATAATGCTTCAATAATTAATCAATAGCAAGACAATGAAAGTGGTAGCTCTCATCAAATAATCATTAGAACATGATTCACAATGGCCTTTAGTACTATTATTATCAGACCAACTATATGTCCTACCTGAATTGATATAACAATTTGAAGATGTAAGAGTATCACTTATACTAGTAACATTGGCACATCTTGAATTATTCCAGTAACACATTTAAATAGAAGGATGTCTATCTATTGTTGTATCAACATAAGTGCATGCTGATTCTGTTAAAATATTCTCACAATTTAATGATATACATTTATTAATATCAGAATTCCATTAACATGCATAATTATTAATTCCACATAAATTGCTCTATGTTATTTATGAACATTCAGATAATGCATAACAATTTTGACCATTCCAAGCACATACACCATCAGAACCTATTGTCAAATAACAAGAAGTATAATTTTATATTGATGAACATTTATTAGATTAATCTAATCTTGATAATTCTTAACAAAACTATCCATCACTCTAAGTACATCTATAAGAATATGCCAAACATTAATAAGAATTAGAACCAGGTAAGTTTGAACATTTAGTCATTGGTAAACATTGCATAACATCATCTACTTAAATCCAATGACAATTATAATTTGAAATACAAGAAGATCTTGTTTTAAGCATATAACAATCAATTTAAATACATTAGGCCAGTTATGAATTCCATAAACAACTTTCTCCTGCTAATGCACAATCACCTTAATATATTAATTCTTCACAAGTGCATTAATTCTTTTTTCTTTGGGGATAATCTACAGAGCATTTTAAGCATTCTCCAACTTTATAATCATTACTACTCCAATGATATTCCCCACTTGAATATGAGTAACATTAATTTTAGTTTAATGGAATTATATTGTAATTATCATAATAATAAAAAATATTATTTTAATAGCCACATTAACGATGTTAAGGGTACCATTAACACATCATAATCTGGCCATTTTAATAAACATAACTGCAATCTTATTCATTAATATAATAGCCGCAATTTGCATATTAACAACTACCTCCACAAAATTAACAATAATAACTATTATAAATACATTATTAACAATAATATTATTAATTATTATTATAATAGTTCCAAAAACATATATGAATTAATTTTTAACATTCTTGAAAATCTATTATTTTATAACAATTAACATGATTTTAAAATATACAACCTGAATTTTATGTATTATTAGGATAAGTTTAATTAGGATAAGTATTATTTGAGTAAGTATAATTAGTAGTGCAAAAACCTTTATTAGTAATTAATCTATCGCATTATCCATATGTATTAGACGTACAACCATATTAATTAACTTCACTTAAAGGCAAGCACTAATATCCATTACTTGAAGCACATTGTAAAGATTAAAGTAAACATTCATATTAATTTGTACCATTTAAATTTTAACATTTATTAAAATTTGTACATCCTTTACCTTTAATCCAAGCACAATTAGGATTTTAAATACAATATTCTTAAGAATTATTTAATCCATTACAAGTTTTAGAAATACATGAAGATTGCCATTCGCATAAAACATTTTAATTGCAATCATATTATGATATTAATTATTCACATTAACATGTTGATTATGATTAGATGGGTCTAGCTTAACATTTAAAACAGTATCCTTCTGTAGTATAATTATTTTTAGTAACCCAATGGTAATTACCCATCGAATGAGATAGGCAAGTAGCATTAGTCAAAAAACTAGTTTAGGTTGCTACTTAACATGTATTATTAATAGAATTCCATTCACATAACATAAATTAATCCTAATTAAATGAAATTTAAGCATAAGTGCATTATGTTTAATTATATATTAAATTACAAGCAGCCTAGACACATTAATTGTTATTTATAACACAATACTAACCTAAAGGATGTTTTGTTTATAATGGTTAATATGTTTAACAAATTTAAAGTGGAACAGAATTACAACTGCTATAATAGGAACAAGTACCATTAAACCATTAACACAAACCTTATTAAGATTAAATGCAGGATGTATAATTTTAATACATATTACAATTAGCAGGCAATTGATAACCTTCATCTGTACATTATCCACTTGAAGTTTCAAAACAAAATTTACTATATTATTAACATGTAAAGTTAGCAGTACTATTCAATTGCTCACAAGTATAATTACGGTAATAATAATTACAATTTACTCCATTAAAATAACATTAATCTAGTTAAGCGCAATCCGCTTATGGTAAACCATAACAGGAAGGTGTTGAGCATAATTAGCCATTCCAATAGCAGTATGGAGATAAAAACTGACATTCATTTTCATTTGTAATTTATCTACATGTGCAATCATCCATTGTACTTAAAATTATCTAACTTAGAGTAATTCCCAAAAAACATATCAGGGCTAAAGAATATTTCTCAATCATTATTAATATATTTATATTCTTATCCTTGATCTTTAATATCCTTCATCTACACCCCCTTTATTTAAAAATATCTTAAAACTAAATTTATGATGTCTATTCAGTCTATAATATCCTAGTTTAAGTATATCTATTCCATTATTCAAGTTTTACATATCTTATAAAGTCTTTAATTTTAATACCCTTTAAGTTTTATTAGTTTATGTTGATCCAATATGAATAAAATATGGTAGAATTTTTATGGAATGAATTTTATATTGAACATAGAAAACAATTTTTTATAATAATAATACCTTTAATATTCATCTATTAAAATCAATTCAAAAATATAATAATTCAAATATATTTCATATTCATTAGGAAAATCCTGATATCTCTTTTATCTTATTTTTTATTTCATTTAAGTGATAACATGCTATTATATAAATTTATAATAAATATTTTTATATATATTTCATATACACTATATTAAAATGATGTGCCCTTAAAAAATGTACAATATAAAATTACATGTATAACCAGAATAATTTATCATAATATATAAATTTACAATTATTTTTTATAAGCAATTTAAATTCCATCATTTTAAGTGTTCTTTATGCATGAGTTCAAAATTAATTGATTTTTTTATTTTGTAAAAATCTAAAAGAAAATAACAAAATAAATTGAAACAACTTAAGATAAATTGTTTAAAGTTCTAATAGATAATTATTATGACTTTTATTGGTATTTTAATCAAAAACTAATAGTTTATATATTTCGGTACAATACAATACAATAAAATAATTATAATTTATATTGTATTAATAAATCAACAACTAATGAAAATATTATGCAATAAAATATTTTCTTAATTAAAGTATTAAATCTCTTTCAACTTTTTATAAATTTGATGCTTGAGGAATTCTATGCAATAACATAAATAATTTATTTTAGATTAATTTCATTATTATTTATATTCCTCAGGTCTAATATAAAATAATTTTGTATCTTGGATTTACTCAAAGCTTCATTATAATTCAGAATTTATTTAAAATAGATTGCAGAATAACTGATTAAAATTTATGAATAAAAATTTGTCAGTTTTTCAATTTTTACTACATTCTCAAATAAGTTTCATTTAAAATATATCACAACTTTAAGATCTAAATACCCTAGAATAATTTATCACAATAAATTTAGAATTATTTAATTAAAAAAAAGAACCTTCAATTTCCAGAAAAATAGAAATATTTTGTATTAGATTTTAACCAAATTTATAATTTATTATGTAAAATAGTTTTTAATATATATATACTCATTATTTAAATATCTATGAATGTATTATAATTTTTCATATGGTTTTTAATTGAGATATTGTATTATATAAGAAAGTTAATTTGAAAAGAACATTCATAAATAAGTAATGATATATCTTTAATTTATATAAATAATATTTATGAATCATTATAAAGAATTTAAATATAATAAATGACTTCTTTGAATTTATTAATCTATAATAAATTATATAATTAAATATTATCTGTTAGCCAATATAATGGAATAATATGAAAAATATCAACTGTTTTTAAGATTAACTAATAAGAAAGAGACTACAAAAAATAATGAGACTCTAAATTCATCATGTAAAAAACAGCATCCAACAGTTTTAAATGGAAAGAGAAATCCTAACAATGAGGCTTATAAAAAACTACATTAGAGTTCTGAAATTTTTAAAGAAAATACTACACCAATCAAGAATGAAGTAACCAAACCAAAAAATTATGCTACAGAGAGAAAGTCACTTGAAGATTCAAATACAAAAAGAACTTTGATTCCAAGCTTAGATAAATATCAATCACCAGAAAGAAGATGTTCATCAAATATTAGATATAATGCTAATACTGAAAGTTCATAAAAAGAATCTAAAAGAATTTTAAAGTATGTTAAATTCATAAATTTAGAACTTGTGAATAAAGACAGCAAGACTTCTCTCATCGTATTAACTTACCAATTAGTGCTGTATTATTATTAAGTTACTATATTAGATGCAAGTAAAAGATTATAAAGAAGATAATTATGGTTTAGGTAAATACAAATCACATGAGTCAACTTAAAAACTTAAAAGTTATCTTGATCTTTAAGGTCATCTTAATAACTGTAATTATATATATATATAAATTCAGAATCATTTTAGAGTTAAACTGATAGATTATTTAAGAGTCAGACAAAAAATTAAAAAAATCTCTTATCATCTTATTAAATATGTAAAACTTAATCAGAAATAAAAAATGGAAAGAAGAGATTTATATAAAGTGCTATGTCATAATAGTTGTCACCACCTGAAAATCAAATAAAATCAAAAGATATCAATAAAGTATTTCTTAAGAGTTCTAAAGAAGTTTGGGACAATTAAGTAAGTTTAATATATTAATTATATAGCAATCTTAATCAAAAGCAATAGTGAAAATGAAACATGCCTATTAATAAAAGAGTTAAATCGATTTAAGATGAGATCAACTTTATATATAAATATCTATTTATTATTATTATTATATTTCACATATTTGTTATACAAAAAAAATCTAGTTTATAATTTAATCCTCTGATTAATAATCAAATATAATTTGAGTTTAGTTTATATTTTTTATTAATTTCTTATATAATATCATTATAAATTTGATGAAACCTCAAAAAAGTATTATAAAAGAACTCAAAACTTATGAACACAATCTCTTTAAATAAAATAAAGAACATAAAAAAATTAACATAAATGACTTTCCTAATCTTTCTAGGAAACCTATTGAATGGACAGATTGTGATCAATTTATAAAGCTCAGATTATATAAATGTGATAAAAGATTAGCAATTTAATTATGTTAACAATACAAAATTCATAGATCAGATCAACAATTTTTTGATACAATATAAAATGTAAATATTGAAAATGAAGAATATAAAAAAATTTAAAATGTTACTACTTTATGTTTATTAATTAGAGTACATCATTTTTATTGAGGCAAATAAGATAAAATCAATTAAACAAATAAAAACATAGACTAGATTTCTAAGAATCATAATTTGATAGTAGGATGTCATCAATTCTAGACCATTCTTTTTCAAAGTTCTAAAAATCTCTTGATAAACATAATGAAATTGATAATAATTTTTAACATACATATAATTTAAAACAATTAACTAAAGACTAATTGTTGAAAAAATTATAATTATTGTAACATTTTTTAATTTTATATTAGAAACAAAGGACTAAAAAGAAATTAATTGACTGATAATATATAATTAAATGAATCTATTCCATAAGTCAGCTTTCCTATTACCTTTACATCTGTAAATATATGATATTTATCAGCAAGATGCATAGATCATAAACTGAGAGAAAATATTCTAAAGGATATACTCCATCATCAGGTTTATAAACTTAAAGGGAGACAAAAACCAATTTTACAAAGACATTTGTAAAATGGTAATCAAATTCAAGAAGCAATAGATCACTATAACAAAGTAATAAAATAAGAGAAGATTAAATAAAATTAAAGCCTTCTTTCTCAAAAGATTTAAATAGTATAAAAAATATAGGATCAGATATTGGATTGGTTTAAAATAAAAGCAAAAGACATATGACAAATTATAGTATAATTAAACATATTGGTGGTTTTGGGTGATAAATAATTTAATTGATTTCTTACTTAAATCATATAAAATTAACACAATAATTAAGTTAAATTAATATTTATCAAAAATGAAAACTCAAAGAAAGAGTTTAATTAAAGAAATTAAAGCTCACTGTCCTATTGTGCTCAAGTATACTGAATTATTCTATTAAGCGAACCAGTTGGAGTAGTGTAACCCCTTTGTAACAAATTATATACAAAACCATTAAGTGATTGGAAAAATGTAGAGGCCTTTATTAAGTGGAGAGATATGAAATGCTAAAAAAGTTTAGCATTATTGTATAGTAAAAAACAGAATTGTAGAATTGATTTACCGATTCCTTAAGTTAAGAAATAATAAGATATTCATTCTACTAAATCTATTGATGTATTAATTTCTTAACAATCATAAGAATAAAAATAAATCAAGGGAGATTATTTAACATTGTTAAATGAATAAAACAAAAAAATATGAATACGTAGATACATCATTAAATAAAATGTATTAAATATAAGACAAATCTGCATAAGAGTATTAGAGTTATCTAAGTAAGCATTTAGAGGACTCAAGAGCAATGAATAAAGCGATTTCATTTAATCTATAAAGCCAGTCTCGTTTTTAATTATTTCAAAAGCTTAGAAATATGTAAACATTTCTTTTTATTCTATAAAGGAACAAGAACATTCTTAATTCATTAAGTTAATAACATGACTAAATTTAAAGCAAGTAGGATGACTCAAAAATAATAAAAATTGAAGTAATTTAATTATTTATAAGGTAGACTACTCTACGTAGTTCTGATGAACAAAGTAATTTAGAGACATCTCCAATTACTTAATGTGAAGATGGATAAAATAACAGAATAAAAAATAAACTAAAGTCTTTGATCGGACCAATCTAATAAAATTAAATCACAAAAAATAAATAATTAACTTTACCTTATTTTTCGAGAAATCAATTAAATATCAAATATAGTCATTTTTTTGTTACAAATTAAGATTGTGAAAATAATCAATCCTCAGATAATAACAGTAATATCAACTCATTAATACGAAATAAATCATCTATGCTTAGTAGAGAAATGAAGAGAATTCGAATTTAAACTGAATGTTGACTAAATTGTATATAAATAATTTGTGTAATTTAATTAAATGAATTAAGAAGAATTCTCTATTTAATAAGGATGTTTAGCATTTCTAACTGGATTTTTATTAATCAATATGTTAATTGCATCTTATAGAATAAGAAAAGACATTAATGATGTATTAGATAAAGTAGAGAAGAATATTTTTTATTTATTTACATTCTAATGTAATAATATTATTGACTTAGAACTACTTTATTTAGCATTTATAATTAAATAATTAACAATATTTATGGGTGCACTTAGAATCTCAAGGCTCTTATCGGTTATTTTAATATTAGAAAACTTTACTATTATGCAAAATAAAAGTTATTCGTTTTACGAAAATGTATGTTTAATAGGAATACTAGTTATAAAAAAGAACTAAAATTTTTATATTGTTCATAATTTTAATTGTTTGGGCAATGATATACTTCATAGAAGGAGATCTTTATTATTGTGATTAATCATTTTGGATTTGTTTATCATTTCTGATCTTTCTTGTTGACATTATGAATCTATATTGTGGATCTTATATACTAGCTGATATACATAAATATTTTAGTAGGCTAGAATATTAAAAACAAATTGGTAATTTTGAGCATCTCAAATAAGTAGATATGCAAAATTAACAATAATAAGTATTTATTATAATTTTGAGCGAACTTATCTCAGCTGCTACCCTTATTTTTTAAGATTTTTATACTTATTATAAAGAAGGATCTCTGTTTTGTATAAAAACTGAAAATTTATTATAAAAATTAATAGTAGTGTCTATGATGATTACATCATATTAAATGACAAGTGTTGGCTTGTATTTTGTATATTATAGAAAATACAGAAAATATTTTCTAAGTAAACCATTTGGTAGAATAATTTAATGAAAGTCTTGAATACTTATTTATAAGAAATAATTTTATTAATTTATCAACTTAAATCAAATCCAGAACCAGAGTCTTTTAAGGATTTTAGCAATTTTTCTCTTAATATTTCTTTAGAAGGATATTCTGGCAAATCAATACGATTAAAGCTAAATATATATAAGATTGATACCATGCATGAGCTTTTATAAAATGTTCTTTATTGAAATCTTTTGAAATAGAGAACTTTCTTGGACCATTTGGACCTCTTAAATTCTTAAATCCTCCAAATGGAACTAAAGGACTTCCTGTTGCAAACATTAAGAAATCAGCCTTTTCTGAGTCACTTAAGGTAGTTAAAACTTCCCAAAACCATAAGACTGTTTAGTTATTATTATCATAATTTATATATTCAGTATTAGCTTATAGATCATCAACTAAAATGAATATGAAAATAATTTACCATCTACTGAAGGAACTCCAATAATTAGTTTTTAAAGATCTCTCCAATCCATGTAAGAGAATAACTCTTTTGGTAATATATCAAAAAATCCATCTCTCAATGCTTAAATTTAAGTTTTGATCTCCTCTAACATAATCTTTTTGCTAATATATTCACATATTAATCTTTTATGTTTTATTGATACAAGAGAAGTTTATTTTTCAAAAACGTCTTACAATTTAATATATTTTAAAACTTCATCATTCAACTATTTTTTTTTATTCTTTCTGATAAGTCTTTTCTTCTCTCTATTTTCCATATCTTCAGCTGTAATATCTTCAGTTTATTTCTATATTTTAAATTCTAATTTTTAAGTTTTCTATTTTACATCTGACTATACTTTTAAGAGTGGTACTATAATTTCTGATTCTACTTAATTTTCTTATTGCAATTATTTTTATTGTTATTCAATTCTTACCTATTCTTCTTCAATAAGTTGTTAGGATTAAAGTTATTGCTCTTACTGTAATTATAGATATAATAATAACTATTATTATTCAAATTATTCGAAATTGAGCTCTAATAATTATGCTTCTTATTGCTATAATTCCTCTTATTTTTATTATAATGTATTCTGGGCAATTAATTGTAGTTTTTCTGTTTCAGGAATTAAATATTAATCTAATAATTACTATTTTTATTATTAAGTTAATAATTATTCTTTCTTTAATTCTTCTTCAAATTAAAAATATTTTTAGTATTAAAATAATCTTTCTTATTCATATTCTTATTATTCTAAACCTAAAAATGTTGATTTTTAGTATTATTCCTATTATTCTTGTTCTTATTATTACTATTATTCTTATTATTATTATTACTCTTGTTCTTATTATTATAATTCTTGTTTTTATTATTATTATTATTATTATTATTATTATTATTATTATTATTATTATTATTATTATTATTATTATTATTATTATTATTCTTGTTCTTATTATTATTCTTGTTCTTATTATTATTATTTTATTTAATCTTATTCCTAATTTTATTATTATTATTGTTCAGATTCTTATTTAAGCTCAATAGGATTCTTTTCTATATAATCCTAAAGTAGATCAGCAAAGATTAACTTTTTATTTTATTCAATTAGATTTGCATACTCTTCTGGAATCCAAAATTCAAATAAATCTTTATATTAAACTTATGTGTCATCATTTAAAAATTTAATAAAAGTATCATAATATCCTTCATTATAATGTTCAAGATCATCAAAGCTAGGCTTTTTCTATAGTATTTGCTTAAAAATAGGAGAAATAAAATACACTGGTAAAAGTAATCCATCATACATACTTTTACCTATTATTTTACCTAATAGCTTAAAATGATTCAAGTCTTCTTAAGCTTTTTTATTTGGATTAATTTTGTAAAATCTTTTAGGTGTTAATTCAAATTTATCTGTTTATAAGATATCCTTAACAAGATTAGTCATCCACTCTTTTCTAATACCTCCTTCATCTTAACCTCTTTCTCCTTAATATCTAATTTTTATATCACATTTTCTAAACTTTGTCTTATCAATATTAATAACTTTTTCCAAAGATTATTATAGTCTTGTTTCTCTAACAACATTAATTTCAATAGTGTCATTTTATCTGCCTTTTGATCGAGCATTAGGTCTTTCACTTATTTTGATAGTCTCTAAATCTAATTCAAATAAGTGTTTTTTATTCTCAAAAGAAATTATTTAGCTCATTTTAAAGAAAACAAAAGCCAAAGGATCAGTATCTTTGAATAATTTAATGACATTTGAATTCTAGCTCTATTTCTGTTCTATGGTAACCTAATGAAGCCTTTATGATATCAAATGATTTATTAGACTTTTACCATTAATACAAAGATAAGTGAATAACTCATCTATTTTCATTTACATTTCATTTTCATTTCGAACTGCGGAAAATGATCGTTTCAAATGAATATTCTAGGTTTGTAATAAGCCAAATTATAATGAATTAGTTGCAGATCCACTTGTATTACGCTCAAAAAAGTTTGGATCAGCAGCACCTTATAAAATGGTATCTGAAGTATTTATATCCTCATGTACATTTGAATAAAGCCTTAGAAAACATTCTAAAAGTGGATATAGTTTTTTTTATAATAACTCTATTGATTTATGACCTTTACAATTGAAAATTAATAATAATGTTTCTACAACATTAAGCCATAAATGATGAGTTTATCTTGTTTATAATACATTAATGAATTATTTTCGAATATCTTTTTTAGTTAACATATCAATTTCTTGTGTATCATCTATTTACTTCCCTTGCTAATTTAATTTAAATTTCTTTTTATCTAATTAAATTTATTATCTAGTTTATGTTGAACTTGGTTTATTAGTAGATTATTTTTGTTAATCTGATATACTAAAATTAAGATTCAAAAATCCTGTTATTGCAATAAAACATCTTTAAATGATACTGGGGTCGGGAGTTTTTTAATTTAGTTCTTTGATAATTTCATTTTCTTATTGTGACAATTATTATTATCTTTCTGGATCATACTCAGATACCTTTTCAAGTTAACTTGTGATTTCTCTAATTTATTTTCTTTTTCTATCTAATTCGAAATTAAATATCTTAGATTGTTATATTATGTATTTTGTCAATTCATTTATAGCATGTTCTATTTTTAATCTATCATTTGCATATGTATTGAGTATATTAATAATTTCAGTAGAATTGCAATCTCTAAGTAGATGATTGTTAAGAATTTTACATAATGCTGTAATTATATCTATTTCTACATGTGATATCTTTGCACTTACCTTTCTCTCTCTTTTTTGTTATTTTTAATCTGATTCATCAAACTCTTCAGGTACATTTTAGAATTGATATTATTATTATTATTATTATTATTATTATTATTATTATTATTATTATTATTATTCTTTAATAATTTATTATTATTAAATTTCATTCTATTATTATTCTTATTATTCTTGACCTTATTATGGTAATCTTTATTAGACAATATTATCATAAAATTGTTTAAAGTATTATTGATATGATTAAAATTAATCTTATTAATTATCATTAATTTTAAAAAACTTATCATAAAATTAATTAACTTGCTGATGCTGAGATACTGGCTATTATTGGGAATTTTACTAATTATTTTGACGTTATTATTGGTATTATTATAATGATTGATGCTGTTACTAAAGCAATGATATAGATGGTATTGGAGGAAGAGCATGTTTTGGAAGTGTTTGAAATAATAAAGGTTATGCAGGTTAGGGTATTGAAAAGACGGATGAATTTTATATAGTAAATCTTTATTATTATTACTATTATTATTATTACGATTATTATTATTATTATTATTATTATTATTATTATTATTATTATTATTATTATTATTATTATTATTATTATTATTATTATTATTATTATTATTACTACTATTATTATTATTATTATTACTATTATTATTACTACTATTATTATTATTATTATTACTATTACTATATTTCATTTTATCTAAATGAAAATGGCTATTTATTAAAATAAGATAATGGTTCCCATTAATCCTATTAATTATCTGAATATCTATCTCCAAATGTTTTGAAGATCATTTCTTCAAAATTCATGTCTTATTCATGTTTATTGAGTTGAGAGACGAGATCAAATAATTTATGATTAGATTCTTCTTTATTATTATTAGTAAAAATATTGGCTTATCTTCTTTAAAATTTTAAAAAATAATCTTCATCATACTTTTTATTCTTATCCTTTGGATCTTCACTATTAATGATTAATGAACCTCTGATAATTTAAATCAAGTAAGACAAATGCATTCCAGTTTAGTTTGCTAATAATGGAGTTAAAAGTATATCTAAAATATCAAATAAAAAATATACTTTTTTCTAAAGGTATATAAGATTCTGGATTATGAAATAGTTTCATAAATGAAATATTTTTTTCACAATATGTATTAAGTTAATTAATTAAAAAGACTAGTGGATTCTCAGGATCCTCATCTTGAGGTTATTCTTCTAAATTTTCTTCTTCTTCAATGACAAATTGTTCCTTTATTTCTTAGACTTTAGCAAGATTAGCTTTCTCTCTTTTATTTAAGATAGGGCTCACCTATAATTATTCAGATAGTAAATCTCTAAGAATAGTAGATGGGATTTTTTGACTTACAAGATACAAGATTTTTAAAGTTAAATCTAAATTGTTTTTTTATTCCTAAAATAATAATAGTAGCTAAATTAATAATTTGAATCCAAGTCGAGAACATTTGCAAATCTATCTAAATAAATTAAAAGGAAATTATGGGAAATTATTTGTATCTTGAATTAGATTAATGAATATTTCAAGAAACAAATTATCATAGATGAATAATTTTTATGGATCAGGTTATAATATTTAATTTTTTGGAATTTATAAGATTAATGGTTGAATTATAAGATTATCTTCAGGGTGTAATAAACTCTAAAGCTTACCTTTAAGTAAATTTTAATCTTGTAAATCATTTGGCATCCCATTCAAAACTACTCTACTTTATAGAATATTACAAGATATTTGACATAAAATTCTATGTTATTATTATTTTGATTCATTGATGTTAATTGATAATGAATTTGCTTGGTAATCTTGTTATAATTAATTAGGAGGTTAACCAAATTTAGAATAGAAACAAGAAACACTTGTTTAAACTTATAGGTTATTGAGTGTTCCATTTAAATAATATGAGAGATATTATTGGATAGAATCATTCTATTTATTTCTATAATAATTTGTGGATAATAATATCCTATTGATCTAATTAATAAATTCAACTGTGATTTTGAGTTGATTTTCATAAGATTTAGAAATCAAAGACTTTTTATTTTCAAAGTATTCATTTGAACTATAATATAATCCTACTATTGAAGTGATTGACTATTTATAATCATTAGAATTATATTAGATGTTTGTTTTTGTAATTTATAATTTTGGTAAATTGAAACTAATATTAAGTGGATCAACTTTACAAAATAAGATATTAAGGTCTTTTTAAGGAAATATGCTTTACTAATTATCACGTTACATTCTGTCATCATCTCGATTCATACTGTATTTAGACATGAAATCATTATTGTCATAATAATAATAATCAGAACCCCAGTAATTGATATTAGAATAATTAACTTTGTATTTGATTTAATTATTATCTACTTAAAGAATATCTTAATCTGAATCAGAATCACTTAAATCCTCTTCTTATTATTTCTAGTTATTCTATCTTTAATTATTATAATTTTTCTTTGATTAATGGAGTGGCCAAATCAATTCTTATTAGTTTTCATCTTTTAATGTTTATTAAACTTAAGAATGAGAAATGAAATGTTGTGCTGATCCTGTAGAACTCTTAAAATTGGGATACAAAGTATAACAAACCAATTGATTTTTAAGACAATGCAAATAATGATATTTAAATGGATCGTCAGTAATGCTTTATTACAATCTGAACACTTCACCATACCTACCTTATTTAATGTGATCATAGTATATTTAAGATTGCAAGAATGGTTCTAATACTTTAGCTATAGTTTATTGATATATCTTAACAAATTATTTATTTTCACAATTTTTAACAGTATTCAATGTATCAATTAATTAAGGGATTATATTTAATTATGATCGTTAATCTGTTAATATCATACAGCAATTCTACATAGTTAATGTCTAGGTAAATAATATTAATAATTGCAAGATATGATAATATTTTTATATCATCTAATCCTAATTCATGTCAATATACAATTCATTCAATAATAGTTATAGAACCTCTTATGCAATATTTATACCATATCCAAATGATAACAAATTGATGTCGCTTAGATAATTGTGCATAAAATTAGCTAATTTATCTCCACCTACCCAAGTCAAATACTTAATCACAAATTCTATGAAAGTAATCTTTTTCTTATCTATATTTAATTGAGATGGTAAAACGAATTAATATTCTCTTAAATATAATACTAATTAGGGAATTTTAATAATGAGCATTTCAATTATCCTCAATAGTTGATCCCAACCATAAAGATAAATTCTATTATCATCCTTATATTGATTAATTTAAACTTTAAATATTTATTCTATCAGAATACAATTCTCTTCAAAAAATCTATCTATTGTTTTTTATGCAATTATATTGACTAAATCAATGAAATTTTCATTCAATTATGGCTCTATTAATTGTTCAATCTCATATCTAATGATAATATCTGTCTAAGGTTGATTTTATTATTCTTTTTCTCTCTCTTTTAATAATCTTTCTTATTCTTTTGTTAATTTTCCTGTTGGTTGAGGGAATTGTTATTTAGGATTATGAATCCTTTGTAATTCAGAAAATTTATCTGTAATTGATAAGCCTTATTATTCTATTATCAAATTATAGATGATTGGGTTATTAATTAAAACAGGATGAAATTATAATAAATATTATAATGGACATTCAATAAATTTTTAAGGAAATTGTATTTAATTAAGATCTTCAGTATTTTTTAATTATTAAGCATGCCAATCTATATGTTCATTAAGCATTACCTATTTTAAAATTTAGAAAACTAAATCATATGTAGTTTTATTGTCAATTGCAACTAGATAAATTAAATTTTCAAGAAATACTGGTTAAGATTCCTCATATTCTAAATGACTAGTATAAAATTTTAATTCTAGCAGAGTGTCTAATAATGATTAATTTTTATTTGATTAATTTTTTGTTAATATATTAAACAATTTATTTTGATTATGCAATCCAAAATTATTTAAACATTGTAATAATTATGTAATTAATTATTTATCAAAAATAAATCTTCTTTATATAAGTTATCTCAAATAAATCATATTTTGTGATTAATCCCTTTATTATTTTAATTATTAATTATTATTAATTTGTGTATCTAATTCATCAAGGAAACTATAAATTTCTTATGTCTATTCTTGTAATTCTAGATTAATTGTGCAAACTTAAATTAAGAATTCTAAATATATAAGTATTTAACTCCAATATCTCTCAATTAATTAATCATGTTTATTTTACAAATTCAAGAAAAACTTTGTAAGATACTTTTATGCTTCAAATAATTCTTTGCAAAATAATTTTAATGTAGTTTATTTATTTTCAAATAATATGTTAAGATTATTAGTTATTGTTTATGTTTATTAACATATTTCTTGATAAGTCAATTCTGATATATTGAGTTGCTTTAATTAATGCAATTCTAATTATCCAATTTTTTTTATTTAATCAAAGATATCATTAGATAATGCAAAACCAAATGTAATCATTGATTAAAATGAAAGTACATGTTTTTATTATGATTCTTGATCTATTAAAGCTAAATTCTAATATAATTTTTCATGTTCTTAAGGAGCAATCTATGATAATAAGTTCAGCCATTTTAAGGCTTTTTAATATTGAATCATTGTAGCATTTAAATCTTAAGAACATTTATCTTATTATTTTAAGGAACAAAAGATCATAAAAATATATTCTATAATCTTATTTATATGTTATGATTTCTTTGCAATAGTAAATAAATATTCTAATAAATTACCATTCGATTTTGGGTTATTCAAATTTTAATCTAATTGTTTACTAAGATTAGAATCTAATTTTTATTAAAAATCATTAATTAGGGTTAAAAATCTTTCCAAAATATTTTATTATGTATTAGCTTTTGGGAAATTTTATATTAAAATTTTCATGAATTATTCTTAATCCAAAACTTAAATTTCATTTTGCTCTTTTTATATTTCAGTTTCCATCTTTAATTTTTGTTAATCTTATTAATTTTATATTTCTTGATTCTGTTCAGTATTTTTTAACATTTAATCAAAAGCTTCTTCTTATTCTTCTTCATCATCAGAAATTCTCTCATTAATCAACATGTCAATTATCATAGTAGGTTCAGGAATTTCAATTCTTTATATAGCTTTTTTGATTAATTATTATTTGAATCCCATATCACATAAATCATTTATAATAGCTTTGATTTCAGGTCTATCAAATAATGATTTTTTCTATTCTTATTGTATATCATTTCCAGTTAAAATTTAATTAATATCTTTATTTCCAATTAGTTATTATTCTTTTGTTTCAGTTCCAGCTATCTTTCTCATCTCTTATACTTAAAAATCTTTAATTGAATAAAACTTTTATATTAATTGTTCTAATAAAGTCTTTAAATTACCTTCACAATTATTATAGAGTAATAGATCAATCATTTAATTAAGTATTGATGCTTAAGCTACAAAAATTTCATTACATACAATATCTAATTATTAATTATCTTAAATTAATTAATCTGATAATTATATCTTGTCTATAACAATCTTCTTAAAAATTAATAATTTAATAATATTATCTATATGTTAATGTATAGCTTCTATAAATCCTGGCAAAATCTTTCTTATAATCTCTTATTCTTTTGTACCATTAAATTATTATTATCTTTAGATACTATCCAAATGTTATATAATCTCAATCAATTACAAAAAGAAATTACTGTTCTAGAAACAGATTACAGCAAATTATAATGGTTAATATTATTGTTCTAAATTCAAAAATAAATTTTAGAGAAATTTGAATGATTTTAACATATCTTACAAATAAGTTACAATAGATATAATTTATATTCCTTGAGCTTATTTAAGTTATTGACACTTTTCTTAAAAATTCGAGAAGAATAATTAAGTTATTTCTCCATATTTCTTAATCACAAAGTCTTTCTATTCAACTTGTGTTTATAATTTACTAATCAAATCCAAACATGATGATTACAATGGTATCAAATTATCCTTACTAATCCTTCTCCTTATTTAAGAGTCTTCATCATAACTAGTCTAATTTTTCTGAATCTATTATTTAGCAGACATAAACATCATTATGGATTCATGAAAACCTGCATGTTATGAAGATAGATAATAGATTTCTAATAATTAAGAAATCATTAAATGACTATCTTAATTTTATGGTACACCCTAATTAATACACATCTTAATTAAATAATGAATCAAGTGGAAACGACTTAGTATATAAAATCCTCTATAAGTTTAAGGAGATATATGTTTGATTATTTTTCTAAAAAAATATTTGTCACTCATATGGATAGACAAAGCATCATAATCAACTAATTTCCCAATATCTATAATCTTTTAATCACCTATAACCATATAATTTTAAGAGATTAAATCTAATTCCTTCCATAAAGAAGTATAAGGATTCAATTTTGTTTTCTTACATAAAATACCAACATAATGTTCGACATATCTATCCTTATTTTTACTACCTATCAGTATTGGACTCATTATAATCTTCTCCAATGCTTCTACAAATTTTTAATTCTTTAAAAGAGAGTTAAATAAAATATCCTTTTATCTTTAAGCTTCTTCTAATTATAACTCTTCGTATCCTTGAAATGATCGATATGATGATTTCCTCTCTGGCTGTAATTGCATAAATAATTGTAATAATGCTTACAAGCTTTTTGAAGAACTATAAAAAGATTGTAATTTATCTTAATTACTAACTATTTCCTCTATTTTATCTTTACTTAAATCTACTAATTATGAAATCTGAACAAATGTATTCTCTATCACCTTCTCTATTTATTTTTTTGCCAATACACTTTAACTATATAGCATAATAATCTTCTTTGCAAAATCATCACTCACTGATGGATCATTTAATAGTTCAGTTGATGGCAAATAACATTTTACAAAGACTCTTTTAATTAAATTATCTTTTTCTTATTTATCTTCATTATTATTTGATGACTATGATAATGATATTGCTTATTCATTTGTACTGATTGCAATTAACAAATTTATAATTGTTACTATTAATGGAGATGCTCTTGAGCATATCTTTAATAAATCAAATATTCTATTGATTAAATATTATAAACTATTGTTTTCACAGAATTATCTTACTCTAGCAGGATTCTCTCCCATTGTTATGGCTAATTAAGTAATCAAATAAGTGTATAATGTTTCATTTAGTTCAGCAGAATGTAGTGTATCTTCTAAAATCTTGTTAGACCAGATTTCTGTAAGCAATTTATGATATCTTTCAGGAACTGGCATCAAAAATTCAGATTAAGCATTTTATATCTACACTTAATCAAATTCTTATTTATAGTATGTAACCAATTAATTTAATAATTGAAATGCTCTTATTTATAATTGAATTTAGGATTTCTTATTACAATACTTAAGAATTTCTATTAATCCCTAAATTATTTAACTTTCTAATTAATAATCTAATTATTAATTTTAATTATTGCCTGGTAATTCAATAATGAGATTAACACAATAACTTAAGATTGGATTTAAAATATAATATGGTAATTTAGTTTCTCCATCTTATCCAAATGATTTTCTAATGATTTAAATAATTATAAAATTCCATTATGTATAATTTGGTTATTTCTTGAATATCTAAGTAAATTATTGATCACATAATTATTAAAAGAACAATTATTAAAATTTAACATTTAAATTCATTCTATTATCATAGAAATACCCTTCAGTTATTTAGAGTTCTTTCTTCCACCAAATTAATGTGTCTTAAATTCCTTATAATTCAAATAACCACAATTTATCTAAGAATGTATTATGCTCATATAATTAAATTTGCTTTGATTTAATGAATTTGAGACTCTCTACTAATGTATCTTCTAAATATTCATCCTTTTTGCTAGCAATCATCCTTATTAATAAAAATAAAAAGTCCTTTTAATCTATTAATCTATTGTTAATATCTGTCATAAATTTAGGATTAATTAATTGTAATTCTGAGAATGTACATTTAAAATGAAATATGTAATTACTTATGAACATCTTCTATAATAATTGTTCATCATTAGAATATTAACATAGTAATCGAATATAGATTTAATCAAATAGAATACTATCTTTTTAGACTTTAATTTCTGTTGCAATCTATTAACTTTAATCTAATGGATTTTTAGATTAATCAAAAGGAATATCTAAAATAATAGGTGGAGACTTTAGTATTTTTCTGAGATTGCTCATTTCCAAATATCTTTGATAATTATTCATATCTTCATTTGGCATAGTTATTTTGAGATTATAATTATCAATTGTATATTAAAACAATTCTTAATATTCTTAATCTGACAAATTGTAGATATTCTTTTAAAAAAATGCATTAATATACATGAATCTTATAAAGATTCTCTCAAATTACTCAACTATGATATATAATTTAATTAATTACTTTTAAATTTACAATATTTGGATGAATTCATTGATTCAATCAAATATTACATGCATTACACTAATTTATATATTTTTTATATTTCATAATCTGGATTGTGAAATATTAGTGTCAAAATATATTCATAACTAAAAAACATATCAACTTTAAATTATTTAAATTGAAATACTTATTTTTTAATTTGCTGATTTGATTATGTAATCACAACACTATAAACACAAATCCCAAATTTAAATAGAATCAGATTCACCCAGCAATTAAATGCAGAGGGTTTGGTCTTGGTCTTGAAATAAAGCTACTGCTGCTTTAAATATTGTGTCAATTGTTTCACAAATGATGCGTGTATACATGGGATTCTACAATTGTTTGCATTATGCAAAATCTTAAATTCTTTCGACAAAAGGCTTCTTGGTTGTTTCAATCCAAGAGTAATCAGTTGAATCCACATATTTAGATTTCTTATATCTTCTAACCATGCTCTCAAAATAAGCTTAGGGTATTCGCATCTTTTAATTTTAATTATTGAATAAATGTAATATTTTTAATATTTCTATATAAATTAGGTATAAATAATTTATTTAAATAATTATGCTCAGATTAGTGAGCAGAGTGAGGTTTTGTGTAGCTCAAAGAAATTTCTTTGTGTTGCCTCCATTGTATCCAGAGAAAGAGGACATGGCATACAGACCTAAGATTACATCCTATGATGATTCATAAAAGCAATTGCATGCTGTTTATAAGAAGAAATTGGGAAAAATTAAAAGTAGAGTGACATAGTATTTAAATTAATTAAAAATAGACGAGTGAGAGAGATGTAGCCTAAATAAGAAATCAAATTGGAATTGAATTAAAAGAATAGTTAAGATTTACTATAAAATGTATTGAAACATGTCTACATTGATGAAGAAACTAATTGTCCTTTAGGATTATTTTTTGATGACTTTGTTTATGATATCAAGATGAAAAGAGGACAACAATATGAAGCAGAATATAATCGTAAAGTTTAAGGATTGTTATCTTAAATGGTATTTGATATATTTTAAATATATAGAGAGTAATGTCAGAAACTGAACTATTACAAACATCTCAAGATTTATTGGTTAAAAGTGAAGCACCTGAATATATAGCAAAAGCAAGAAAGGTTGTTTTTGATAGATTTTTAGAAGGAATTAAATAATTACCAGAAGAGGAAAGAAAGAAAATTTTAGGTGATGATGCTTAAGATTTTGATAAGAAATTAACTGATGAAGCAATTTTAAATAAATATATAGATACTAATTCTGTTAATACAGTAGCTGAAGAGATGGCAAAAGAAAATTTGTAAAAGGATTTATAAGATTTTTAAATTTATGATCCAAAATATAATGATAAAAATTAATAACTCACTTTTGGAAAAGCTTATCTAAAAGAACTTGATTTCTATGAATCTGGATGCACTGTTGAAGAAATATCAGATGATGAAAGATTATTAAAAATGAGATATATTAGACCATCTGATGGTTAAGAAGCATTATAAACTGAATAGTCTATTGTTGATAAAGTTAATTTAAATTTTGTTAAAAGAGCCTATTTGAAAAGATTAGCTGATAAATCATAAGAACCTAAAGAACCAAAAAAATTAATAAATGCTAAAGATCAAGAAGAATTAGAATTAAAACGATTAAGAAAATACTTTAAAAATTTAGATAAATAATCCTTAACACTTTAAATGAAAGCAAAATAAATAGATAAAAGAATTAATGATCCAGTCAAATTCTAAGATATTGTTAATAATATAGACTTTTTATTATTAGGTGCTCCTAAATTCATAAAAGATTTGTATAAGGATCCAAATAATAAAATTAAAGGATATGAATCTGTATTTTAAGATTTAGAGAAAACTAAAGGATAAAGTCTATTTTGGAAAGATTTTAAATCTTCATTTGAGACTATCTTCCCTGAAATTAAACTCAATAAATAATAAGATACATTTGTAGACATTAAAAAACAACCATATAATAGACAGTATAATATAATCATATCTTAGTGTTAAAGAATTATTTTAGGAAAAGGTAGATGAAGTAAAATAAGATGAATATCAATTTTCAATTGAATTATATAAAGAATTCCAACAACCTAGTAATTTAGAATTCTTCCATCATTATTTAACAAATATTTTCAAATTGAATAGAGAATAAATAAATGATGGATTATAAGCTTTTGGTGATAATACAAATCCATATACTTATGAAATACCAAGCACAGCAATGATGGCTGATGATGTAGATCCAGATTTTAAGGATGTTGTTGAAGAAGAAGTTAAGATTGAGGATTTCAAAGAAAAGAGTGCAATTTAGATTGATTAATTAATAGAAAAAGATTATAGTGAATCTTCTTTACTTTATTATGTAGGAAGAGGAAGAAGAAAGTCATCAATTTGTTATGTATAATTAAAGAAAGGGGTTGGAGAAGTTACTATAAATGGTAAAAATCTTATTAATTACTTTACTCATCCATTTTATAGAAGAACAGCATTAAGAGTTTTAGAATTAGCTCATTTGTCATGTTTAGTTGATGTCAATGTGTAAATAATCTAATTAAAATCATTAGTGTAATAAGAGGAGGTAGTTAGTCAGCATAATCTCAATGCATATGCTCAGCTTTAAGTAGAGCCATTGTAAAAATGTGTCCGAGTATCAAGGGAATATTTAGAAAATTATTGTTAACTAGAACTGATAGTAGATAAGTAGAAAGAAAGAAGCTTGGTTTATATAAAGCTAGAAAGAAGTATCCTTATAGCAGAAGATGAGATGTTATATTTTTTATCTATATAATTGTATATTAACATTCAAATATAATCATCATTACCATTTTTTATGTAAAATCTTCAACTTACTTTTAATTAGCTATATCTATTTTGAATTCCTCTTAATCATGTTAATGTAAATGAATTTATTGATCCACTTCTTAATTCCCTTCTTTTTCTACATCTTCATAATCAAACTAGACTGAAACATATAAAAATGCTGATATTCCAGTATAGTTTTTAAGTTATTTACCAGAAGTATATAAATTAGAGAAGATAAACACTTATTCTTAATTTCCTCAATCATTTTCAGCCATTATCTCCTTACTTTTGGATTTTTGGTTCTTACAACCATATCACTTATTGCCTAAACTATGAGAAAATTCAATGTCTTTCTTTCCATATGCTACTTATGTTATATCTAATCGAAGTTACTAAAATAACTTCTCTAAGATCATAACTTCTCGCATAGCTCTTATAATTTCTCAAGATCTAACTTTTTATTTTCTAATTTTTACTAAAATTATTGATCTTCTAAAATTTCCATTAAAATATTAAAATATTCTGAACTTGATTTTGTTTCTAAGTAGAAATCATGCTTCACAAATCTATAATAAAATAATTAAAATGATTACCCTGAAGATGCTAATATCAAACATTTTACTTATTCAAACAATGAAACTCATTACAAAACTATCAAACATGTTCTAAAAAACTCTTTATTCATTCTAACTTCATTTCTTGATTATTTATTTTTCTACTTTTTATTTTAATCTTGTAGTTGCTGATCCTATCAAACATAGATTCCCCTACTCCTTCTTCCATTATAAATGCTGTCGTTTCTGATTAAGTTTACAATTATTTAATCTAATATTGCATAATGAAGTCTATCTCAAATTGTCTGTATATATTACAATTTATTAATTTAACTCAAATTCGTAGTTCAACTTTGATGAAACCAACACCTTTTATTATTTTTTTGCTTAAAATTTTAATTAAAAATTAATTTCTTTATTAATTACTGTAGAATTATTTAAAAAATGAACTAAAATAGTTAACTTCAAGAAGAAATTACTAAGGAACTCTTAACAATAAAATAAGATATTGAATTCAAAGTTCCTGAATTTATTAGGTAAGGTTGTCTTGAATTGAAAGTTGATCAAATTTCATTGTAAAAAAAACAAGATATCATTAAATGTTTAGGTGGTAATAAATATAAATAGGATAAACAATTTATCCCAAAATTAACTGAATGTTTACTCAGTCATCTACTAAGAATGAGAAAATGTAGTTTATAATCTACTAATATTAATCCAGCAAGACCCATATATTTAGGATAATTGATTACAATAACAATGTTTTATTATGAAGATAAGATAATTAAATCTTATTCAATCTTAGAAGAACTCACAAAATTTATTAATAAATAAATACATATCTATTATGAAAACATTCGTGAAAGATTAAAGTTAATTAAAGATAAAGAATAATTATTATTAAATTAATTGAGAAACTCTCAATCTAATAATGATAACTAAAATGAAATACAACAAAATGATAACTTTATAAAATGCTATTGTTACTCATAACCAGGTTTATATGAATAAATCAAAACTAAATTAAAAACTTCCAAAGTTCTAATATGCAAAATTTGTTAATAGAATTTTCATGGATTTTGTTTACAAATCAATAAAAATATACAAGATTTTATATGTCCATATTGTGCTCTTGTAATGATAAATCCTTAAAATAAAGTTATTGATTAAATAGTTTAATCTACATTTCAATAATTTCTTCAATTAAAAAATGAGAAACATTTCTTATTTAATTGTCCTGTAAAACATAAAGGATCTCAAATAGAGATTAGATGTTTAAGAATAGATGGTAAAGATGGATTAAATGAAATTACTTGGCCTGATTATGGGGAATTGTAAATAAATGGTGTAAAAATGACTGAATTTAAACCTTTAAGCATAAATTATCGTGTTATGAAACGCAAGGATGATTCCATTAATATTACTAATTATATCAAATATAATGAATAGAATCGTATTACTTTAATTGAATATAAATCTAATGAAGAATTGAAAAAATAATTTAGAATATAACATTAATGTATTTATTTTTTAGGTATATTTTCCATTAATTAAATGAATGCCAAAGAATTCTTATTAGATATTAAACAATATCATAAAAATTATTTAAGTATTGAAGATTCAATTAAATTATTCAAATAAGAATGTTCTACTAAAAAGGATGTCAAAATAAAATCAATTAAAATCAGTCTATTATGTCCTATTACTTTATAATTAATTAATATTCCAGCTAGAGGTAGATTTTGTAATCATTTATAATGTTTTGATTTGGAGAATTTTATTACTGCAATTGTTGATTAAAAAGACAAAAAAATTTGGAAATGTCCTATTTGTAAATTAAAATGTTTTAAATTCTTAATTGATGACTATTAATAAGTGATTTTGGAATTAATCTCTGAAAATAGATTATTAAATAAAGAGGTTGAATTTAATGAGAATGGAGAGATAACAGATAAAATTCTAAGAGAATTATGTAATCAACATCTCAAGAATCAATATTAAATAAATGATCGAATTAAAAAATTAATTAAAAATGACTGATTTATAATGAAATCAAATATCTTAATAATCAATAAGTTCATCATTAGTACCTTCTTCTTATTATTCTTTTTTGAAACAGTTTTCCTACTCAATCTACAAAATGATTTGATTTATATTCTCAATAGCCTGTTCCTCCTTTAATAATATAAGTGGGTAGTTTTTGTGATTTTAGAGAATAGATTCAATTTCATTTTTGAATTCATTTATATCTCTCAACACTAAATATTTAAATATTATACTCAAATTGCTGTTATTGTTTGGATTTGTATCATCTTCAAATTCATGTGATTTTGAACTGTCAAGTATTGATTGGATTTCCCTTGATTCAATTGTTGATTCTGTTGAACCAGGTATATGATTTTAGAAATCCTACATCATTGTAATTTCATCTAAATTTTCAGAAAATTCAATGTCCCTCTTATTAGGTTTAAAAAACCATAGAGATTTAAATTCCAATTCATAGATTAAAGTCGAAGTTTTATTTAATATGACCTTTTTGCTTGTTTAGTTAAAGCATAAATAATTTGATATGTTGAATTGTTATGAAAGTATCTTATTTATAACTTATTCGATTGTAAAAGCTAAGGGTACAACCTTAGTTATATAAGTAAAAGAATCGTTTTCATTTTAAATCAAAAACTCCATTTGTGTCATGTCTACAGGTATTACGAGACCCTTTGGCAATTCTTAAATATCGTGTTACGACAGAAATGTAAAGTCATGAATATTACTTTTTCTAATCTCTTGTATTCCAATGGTATATAGTGGTATACATGGACCTATAAAAGAATTATCATAATAAAGACCTCCTTTGACATATTTCATAAGGAAATTCCATAATTCAGAGCAAACGAAATGAACCTGATAACGTTTATCAGCTTTGAGAACTTGCTCTTACGAATTTAATTATATTATTTGAGGATCAATGTTGAACTCTATTTTGAAATTTGCAATCAAACCTTTTAATTGTATCGATTCTTCCTAACAAATACTATAAAGATTATTGATAGAGTTACCAGAGAGAATAGTTATCGATCTAAGTTAAATTAGAATTGCAACAAAATAATTCCTCCTAAAATTACTCGAACCTATTTATTAAATTTTTAGACTAGATACCATTTAAGATTAACAGCAAATAATTGAGAACTCGAGAGATCATTTTAAGTTTCAAGAAATTTCTCCAATAAACTCATTGTATTTTATATTATTATTTTTACTATACTTTATCAATCGAATAAGCCACCCATATCAACATCTTCTTCTGGCTCTTCTGCTTTGGCTGGTGCTTATTAAACTGGTTTATCTTCAACCTTGGCAGCAATAGGAGCTGAAGTTGGTGCTGGAGCGTTTGATTATTTGATTTGATCAAAAATAAATCCTGATTGTAATCCAATGGCAGCCAAATCTTTGAAAGCATTAGCCAAAACATATGGAGCTGAAGATTCATTTACCCAGCCTTATAATATGATGCAACATAATACCATTAGCTAATGAGATTGCAGAAATGTTTGTCACATTCTTTTGGAACTTAGCAAGAATATCATTCAAATTAACGGATACTTATTATTTATTCAAAATAGATCCATTATCATAACAGGCCAATACTTCCATACCATATAAAAATGGTTTCTTTCCCAATTTTTATAACAAAACAGCTTATGATTAACCAACTTTTTATCCTGTCTTCAAAACCACAAAGTCTTTAGTAATTTAGATTTGTCCTTTTTCAATTTTGGTTGGAATTTGTAATGCATGGAAGAATTAAATTGAAGCTGGATCCATACCAGTTGGACCAGGTGGAATAACAACATCAATTGGAGCAATAGCACCAACTCTGGCTGGTGTTTCAACCTTATTTTCTTCAATGACCGATTTAAGATCAAAGACAGGTGTATCGGTAAATATGAATCCTATTTTACCAGCCACTTAATTTTTTAAGACATCTAATTCTTTAATTGCAGCTCCAAATTTCTTCAATTCATCATAATATTCATGGGTTTCTGGTAAATCTTAAACTCTTGTTGCCAAAACTTTCTTAAATAATGTCTAAATATAGATATGGTTCAATACATTCTTTCCTATGACTAGAAGAGCATTTCTTTTAGCCAATATTCTTCTAATGTCTTATACTTATTTGGATCCAACATTAGCTAATCCAACTATAATCACTTGTTAGTATTTTGATAATAACTCATAGATCTTTCTAAAATTAATTCACAAAATGAAATACTTGAATTAAGCAGGCTTTTTATCTTTTGTTTCCTTCTTTCCCATTATTTATTTAAAAATAAGATTTCTTTTTTTTTTATAAACAATTCAAGTTTTATAAAGTTTTTTATTATTTGCTCTGTATTCATCTAACTTAAATAAATTCAAATGATTTTTGACCTTTCCAATGAGATTAGTATCTTAAATTGATAAATATGTAATATTTTTAAGAAAGAAGAAGAATAATTTAAATTGTTATCAATATGATGTATAATTATCAATCTAAGTTTCCTGTCATTAAATCATAAGTATGCATCAATCCAAATATGATAAATACTATTCCTCCAACCAAATTAACAGTCTTCTCAGAGATTTAATGAGCTAACAGTTTCCCTCCAAGTACAGCAATTGTTGTACATATTATATGACCTATGCTACATCCCAAAAACACAATATCAGCATCTTGAACAGCTGCTAAACTTATAGTAGTTATCTAACTTCTATCACCCCATTCTCCCAAAAATGTCATGATAAAGGCTTGCCAGATAATTTATTAAATAGGTACTACAACTGCCAAATCTAGAGATATCTAAATATATGATTACTTGTTTTTTGTCCTTCTGATGGATTTTCAGGATCTAAGATTTTGTGGCTGCTCAATAATTTTTTATCCAATTCTTCTAACTCTAATTCCACTTATTTTAATTCTTCTTTATCCCCTTCATTTTCCATATGATACCAATCAAAGAGTAATTTACCTCCAAAGAAGTAAAAAATAATCGTCACTACAATTGCAGTATAAAAGCGAGGCAAAAGAGTAGGAACTATAATACCAAAAGCACAACTAATTGCTGTCATTAAGACTAATGCTCCTGCTGCTCCAGTGAATACAGCCAGTCTATTGAACTTCATTGACAAAATTGCAGCCAAGAAAAATGTCTATTTTTATCTCAATAGTTTCATTTACTTTGTCTCCAATTTCTGAAACTAACATAGAACCTATTGACTACGTAAATATTGTAAGATGTTTTTCACCTGATTCTTTGCAATATCCTAAAAATATCAAACAAATCAAAATAAATGCTCTTAATGACATTATATATGATTTAATATATTTAATTCATTTTTACTATTTTTCTAATAGATCATTATAAGGGAAAAGTATGCGTTTTAGATCTTGCCCAAGTTATTTTAATGACACAATATTAGCTTTTACATTACAATAAAATATCAAAATTGAATGTGTCCAAATTTCGAAATATAGAATCCATTCACTAAATTTACATACCATTCAATACTCATAAACTAATGTAATTTGTTTTGTTTCAGAATCAGAAAGTTTTCTTAAATTTTCATTGCATTATTAAATAGCCACTACATACATTAATGATTATGCTCCTGTTCTTAATTTGCTATTTTCATTTTAGAATGAGGCTATAATTCTAAGTTTCTCTATATTTCTTACTCTATTCCTTCTTTATCCATTAATACAATTCCTTCAATAAATGGGTTGTTCTATAGAAATCTTTACAGCACAGGATTATTTTACATTTTATTAATATATATTAATAAAAATATTTTATGCATTAATTTCCAAAAGACTCCAAATTATTAAACTTAAACAATCACAATACTGAGTTTGTTTTTAAATCCAAAGACAAAGATGAACCCTTTGTATTTTATTGGTTTATATAATTAAATAGAGCTATACAGCTAAATGTAGTGGAACCAATCAACAATTTGCTGCCTAAGCCAAATTTAAATATATCACTCCTAGATTCAGTTTAATTAATACTTTTGCTAATGATTCAACATACAGTATTTTCACCAGTTACAAACTTGATGAAACTATTAAACTATTTGTTAAATCTCCTAATGTTGTTGATATTCTTCAATAATTTAATGCAGGATTTAAACTAACACTTGAAAAATAATATTAATTTTATTGTGAATACAACAAAACACAAAAGACATCTGATTTTAATTTCTTTGCTAGAAAAAAATATTTATGGGGTGATTGGTAAATGAAAACAATTCTTGAAATGTGTTTCAAAAATAAGTAATTATAATTTACATAATTTTGTCAATTTGCAGAAAACAAAGATAGAAAAATCAAATTTTGTTAGTAATTATATATATTTTTATTATATTAGTTAATAAAATGAATCAAGTATGATGATATAATCACCATTTAAAGAAGATACTCAATTGGCATTTAAAATCAATAGAACTTATAAATTAAATAAATACACTACATCCTTAAATTTTGGATTAAGACATAAGATTGATCGAAAACTATTTCTGATAACTAAAGTATTATATTGTCTTTATAATTAGTTTAATTAAAATGGATTTGGAATTATTGGAATTGCAGGAAAGTATAATAGAATGAAATACTAAGTTTCAAATAAGTTATAATTCTCATAAAACACTGATCAACTATTCCCATTGCAATTTAAATTTGAAGTCGAAGTTTGAGAATTTTGTTTACAAATATTTATAAATATTCTTATAATTGTTATATAAATGTATAAATAGATCAATGACTTTTTGATTCAATAACAAATATTCGTAAATTAAAAGCGAGTCTATCATAATGCTATAAGATTGCATCCAGAAAATGGTAAATATATCGTAAATATATTTTACAGGTGAAAATGGACTAAGTATGTGTCAAATAATTGCAAAACCTCCAATCATACCTAATATTTTGCCAAATTTTAGAAAAATTTATTCAGTTTAGAGTAGAAATGTTATTCAATACATCGATTTCAAAGAATCAGAATAAAATTACTATATTTTCATGGAATAGCTAAATTAAGGGACTTTAGATGATATTATGAATACATCAATTATAAATGAAGATAAAGCTAAACATTATTTTAGAGAAATCTTAAATGGATTAAAATGTAATATATATAAGTTTATTTAGCTTTGCATGAAAATTAGATTAATTTTGTAGATCTTAGTCCAAAAAATATTTTTAAAAAAGATGACTCAATTAAAATAGGATAGATTAATATCTGTTTTGACTAATTAGCAAATATGTAAACTGAAGAAGATTTCAAAAATATTGGAATTTTAAAAGAAATAATTCCACCAGAAATTCTACAAAATTAAACTAAATTTTCTATGGTCTCTGATTTATACACTGCAAGTGTTCTCTATTTTAAAATGATATATAAAAGATTCCCTTTTAATGGTGCAACAAAAGCAGAATTAATTGAATAAATCAAAGAAAATAATATAGTAAATAGAATAATCATAATAGAATTTCACTTGTTAAGAATAAGCAGTTAGTAAGGAGACTATTGATTTTCTATAATAAACTCTTAAGTATGATCCAAATCAAAGATTAAATTGGTCATAAGTTTACTCTCATTCTTTATTGAAATTGCTTAATATTAAGAATGATTACATAGTTTAATCTACTCTATTATCTATTTCCATTAATAAATTAATTACAAGATCAGATCTTATAACAAAAACCTTTGATTGTGAAAAGAATAGATAATTTTATTAAGAGATAGAATAAAATAATCAAGATGTTATTAATGAAACTGGAGCAGTTAAAAAATATGATAATAGTAAAATTTGAAATCATTTAATTGTATTTTAGTTTTGAATGAAGAATAAGAGTAATTTTAAAAATAAATATCGTTTGTTAAAGATCTTTTTAAAACTCAAAGAACTAATTTATTAAAGAAATAAGTAGATTATTATATTGAATAAAGGTATTTATAATAAATTTTATAATAGAAATATGTATTCTAGTCTATCAGAAACACTTAGTTATGTAAGATTATTTGATGAGGAATTTTAATCATTTACTTTATCATTTGTAATTCTAAAGATCATTTTTCTTATTTCATAATCATTGATTTTACAAATATATGAAATTAAATAAATAAACAGATCTGATCAATGTTTCACTTTAGATTTATAGGAGGAATATGATAATTTTTAAAAGAAAATAGATGAAGAACATAAAATTATAGATTCACAATTTTCTAAAATTTTGAGGCTATCCTAATCAAATCTAGAAAGAGCAAGAATGAAAGGAAATGTTGACTAAAGAATATCTGAAATAATTAATAAAACATCATAGTATACATTATTTGAAATTTTGAGAGATTAAACAAAACTTTTTATTGAAAAAATACCTTCATTTAAAGTAATAGATTAAATTAAATTAGATATTATAAAATGATATCAAAATGTAATATGAGATTATAATTCAAGTCTTATTTAGTTTAGCTTTAATAGTCTCATACTTATTGAAATGGAGTCCTACATAAATACTTTAAAAACCTCCTATTGAGTATTTAGAAGTAATAAACAATAATTTATAATTTTAGTTTATTAGAAATGAATCAATAGATGGCCTTTAAAATGAATGTAAATCAAAATAAAATAGTATTGATTAAGCTTTTGAAAAAATATCAAAAGGTTAAATTAGACAATTTTGAAATTGCTAATTAAAAAGAATTAGAATAAAATTTAATTTATTTAAAATCACATTTCTAATTGATTAAAACAAAAAAAATTACTTAAATTACTATCATAATCATCCTCATCTTTCTCTTTATTTTAAAAATCACTATTGTTTAATAACATACGATTAAATAATTATACAGAAAAGAAATTATTTATGTTAAAGTTTAATTTCATCATTAATTCTAAGAATCCAATATTTGGATAAGGGTGATTAGAAATTTCTAATTAGTAATCACTAATTGGATAATAGTTTATATCTGGTAATGATAATGCTTTTTTAAAATTAATCTTCATATATTTTTCTAATGTATATTTCTATTTCTTACTGTATTATTTATTTTTTATAGAGAAACAAAATTATAAAACAAATTATTCAGCTTTTTTCCCTTTTATAAATGCATCTAATAATCCTTAAATATATTTCTAATAATAATTAATTTTATTACTATCATTGCAACTTTCATCTTTTTTGTTAATTCTTATTAGATAAAAAGAATTCTTTTTATATTTTATTCCATCAATTCTTAGTTACTTTTCAATTATGAAAGTTATAAAATTAAAATTTGATGGTCATTTTCTATTTATTATTAATAATTCTATAAATATGCACTTTATGATCTTTTATGAATATTTGAATTAATTGATATAATATTCTTATTGATGAATAACTTTTACCCATTTTATAATTTATAAACTTAAAATCCATAAGAATTTAAAGATCTCGATTTTAGCGATAAGAATACCTTCGGAAACTAGCAAATTTTTTTGATTTATAATATTATAAAAGGATCTTTTCAACAAACTCTTTTTAATTTACAATAATGAATCCATTATTTTCTTCATTCTTTCTGATTATACTCTATAATGATTAATTCTTAATAATTAATTCAAATACATCTAAAATTTGAATTAGAATTTTTATAAAGCTTTTATTTTCCTTCTTTGGTAAATTAATCATCTATTATTTTTAATATTATATTTTTTGATAATAAAAATTATTATAAATAGAAAAAACAAAAAAAATAGTTAAAATAGAATTAATTGTAAATAATAATTAAATACTTCTTCTCACCAAAGCGAAATCATAAAAAAAAAAAATTATACTCTAATACTACTCATTAATATATTGATTCTTCTAATCTACCTTTGAGATGACTTATAATTTAATAGGAAATTTAAAAAATATATTTCAATAAATTAATACTAAATAGATTGAAAAGTCAATACTAAATAAACAGATAGATTTCTCAAAATGATATAAGTTTATCTAATTTTTATTAATTTTCATGAAATAAAATAGGATAAAATATAGTTAGGAATGTAGATGAAATGTTTTCCTAAGAATCTATTTAGATAGTATTAGACTGTAAATAATTAAATTCAGTCTAAAGTTTCTGAATGAAAAAAAATAATAAAATTCGCTGTATTGTTTAAACCAATCAATAAAGATTAAATAAAGTAATGATGTAATTTTACAAAAATTATTTCCCTCCTTTGTTAATATTAAATTAATAATTTTATATTATTTTTCTAAGATGTTTTAAATATTATTTAATACATTTTATATACATTCAATATCAAGATTACTTTTCTAAAACAAAAAAATATTTTTATATTAAGTTTAAACTTGTATTTTAACCGCTTTTAATCTAATTAAATATATAAATGCAATACTTCTTAAATTTAATTAGACATTCTCTAAATTAAAGTTTTTTCTTATTAATGCAAACGAGCAGCATCTTGTTCTACTTAGTCTTCACTTGCAACTGCTTTTTCTAATGTTCTTATCAATTCATCCTATTCTGATGATATGCCTTCTAACTCATTTTCTTATTTTTTTAGTTCGATAATTAAATTCTAAGTATTATTAGATGTTTAATCAATTTGATTTCTGATATTTTATAATTTGAATAATTAGTCAATTTGAGCATCAAGGATATCTACAATTTATTTTTGAGCATGAATAATTTATTGTGTTTTTTCAATATATTCTTTAATTTCAGATTGAGTATTATTTATTGGAGTGCTAATCATAAATTAATAAAATTAATAAAAATATGTATGAACAAATACAATTTAAAATCAAATAAAAAAATACTAAATAATTGTTATTTAAGTATTAATCATTATTACAAAGATTGAGTATATAATAATATAATAATTGTATTATGATATAATTTCAATATATATAATTTATCATAATGATTACATTTATATATATATATATTAATCAATCATCCCATATAGTTTCAATATATTATTTTTATTATTCAGGTGTTAATTATAAAAAAGATTTAGGTCTATTATCTTCATCGTAAAATAAATCTTATAATTATCTTATAGAATTTTATTAAAAAATTGTAAGATTTCTTGGTGTCAAATAAGGTGTTTGATATAATGATCTAGAAGTCTAAAAGTCTAGACATTATTCTTCATTGTTGTCATCACATTAACAAATTAGATCATGATTCAAAATAAGAAATTTTTGACCTAATTTTCTGTAAATGTTAAATGAATACATATAACTGAAGATTAGAGATTTGTAAAAAAAGAATTCAAAAAATTGTAAACTTTTCTTCTTCTCTTTAATCCATTCTCTTTACGATTATAAATACATTTTTTAATTATGCCTACTCTCATCTAAAGATGCTTATGTATTTCCAATTATGTTTTAATTTCATTTTAAAGTGTCACTTAATATTTGAATAATGCCATTAATTTTTATTTAAGTTATTCATGTTCTTATTACAATTCACTTCTCTTTTTAGTATCTTCCTTTTTTGACTTTTTAATGGTTCTTTTCTCTGCCATGATTTATGTAAGATTCAAGGAACTTTGTGTAAAATGAGGATTAATAAAAATGGTAAACCCATTTTCATCTTTTGTACTTTTAAAATTATAAAGGTTCATCTATTTAGTGAAACTCTTATAAGATGTCTATTTGAAAATGTTAGGTAGGATATCACGAATCAATTAAGATCGATTAATAATTTTGATAGCATCTTTATCGACAGTCCATTGAATAATGTTATATGCTTCACCAGACTAGTTACAATTGAATATACTTCTAATAAATCGAATAATTTTTCGAGGAATAATTTTGGTTTTTATTTTTCTTACATTTTAATTAATGAAAGTATTTGCAAAAGGGTTGAATTTTATGGGGTAATTGGGATAAGGTAATTTCAAAAGTTTAGAACATTTTGCACTTATACCTGATTTATAAAATATGGGAATAAAATAATTAGAAGCTAATATGACATAATCATTTGCATTATTATAAGATGGTCAATTATTACATTGGGGTTGGTAATTAGATACAATGACTGAAAATAGAACACTCTCATTTTATAAGAGAAATCCTACTCTATGTAAATTATGGCAAGTATTCAAATTAAAATCAATATTAGAAATATTCTCCTCTTGGTACTATGTTATCAATGAGAGGTGGTATTGTTTAACCAGTTTTATTAAATAAACCTATTATTGATGCTCCAATCAAATCATTTTAAGTTGGAGGTAGTTTTATTATAATACAGATGAATGATGGAGTATGTTATGGGATGGGTGAAAATTATAAAGGATAGTTGGGAAATGGTGAATTAAAGTATTAATTTTAGTTTAAATAATTGTAATTGCCAACTAAAGATAAGGTTATTTAAGTAGGATGTGGTTATTAACATAGTTTATTATTGACTGAAGGAGGAGTTGTTTATGGATCTGGTAAAAGAAATCATTATTAATTTACAGAAACAAGAAAGAATGATTAAGATTAAATATATGGTATTAATTAAAAAATTAATAGTTGTTCTTAGTTGAATTTACATAACATAGATAATTGATGGATATTAGAAATCAAAAGATTTAAAGAATTAGTTCTGGTGCTCATCATACACTTTTATAAGTTTCTGATAATAGAATTTATGCTTGTGGTTTAAATATTTATGGATAATGTGGAATGAATAATGAAATTGATAGAATAAAAGAACCAACTGAAGTGTTTTTAGATTTATAACCAGATGAATCAATATAATAAATAGTTTCTGGATAAGCACATAATTTAGTATTAACTAGCAATAATAGATTAATATTTTTTGGTTGTCTATTGCATAATTAGATGGGAATCAAATCTAAATTTGATTTTGAATTTAGTGGTCAAACAGAAATTAATTTACCACTTGAACCAGATGAAAAGATTGTTAAGATATATGCTAAATTTGATAGATCTGCAGTTATAACAAGTAAAGGAGATTGTATAATTTGGGGTGGATAAGACTTAAGATATATGGATATACCATATTATGAAACATACACTAGATTAATACCTGAATTGGGATTGGAAAATGTTAAGATTTAAGATATTGCATTAGGTTTTAGTCATATAATGGTATTAACTGATTGAGTAAAATAATTTATTATTCATTTTTATCATTTAATTATTTATTCTGAATTTATTTATTATGATTATTGAATATTTGTAATTTTTTTAAGATTGGATGTAGTTCTCCATTTAAATGCCCAATTTTTTATCATCATTATCGAACTCAATGAATAAGCATTATCAATATCTGTTTATGCAATTTCCATATCTGTTTACTCTTCTTTATTTCTATTTATTTTAACAATCATTACATTTCATCCCATAAATTCATATTCTATGCATTTAACCATGGATGTTTAGCTATTTCAGGTATCTTTGGTCTATTCTTAGGATCTTTTTATAAAATAAATTACAGAAATTCTTTTAAACCATCACTAATATCATTTCTTTCAGGAAATGTAATTCTAATAATTTTATTAATATTTATACTCATTATTAGCAATATTATGAAGTATATCAGGAATAGATGAACCTGTAAATGGAACATCTAAATAAACAAAAGCAAAAAATGTAATTCCCAAAGCCCAAATATCAGCAGATTTACCAGAATAACCATCTTTAACTCTATCTTTATCACATGCTTCAGGAGGCATAAAATAATAAGTTCCTTATGTATTGTCCAATACATCATTTTTACTTCCTACCATTGTAGAAACACCAAAATCAGCAATTTTAGCAGTTTTATTTTGAGACAAGAGAACATTTTATGGTTTTAAATCTCTATGAACAACACCATTTTTATGCACTTTAAAATATAATTAAAGGACTGTTACAATAATTGAGACCCTTAATACAATCACGAAATATTTAATTAAGTAATGGTTCATCAAGTATTACAGATTCATTAACCTAATAAAACTTGCATTCATCATCATCCCATTCAATTACTTATCCACCATCAGCATATTCCAATACTTATAATGAGATAATAAATACCCATAAATAATTTATCATTGTTTGGATTATCAATGACTTCAAATAATTGAATTAAATTCTTATGTCTTAACTTCTTCATTATAGCAATTTCTCTTCTTACATCTTAAAGTGCATCTTTAATTACCATATCTAATTATATATAGTAAGTCCTACTTCCCTTAGCATCCTTAATATACTCTCTCTATCGTTTTAGTTTACTTTTTCTCATTATTTTAATAGCATATTTTTAACCACTTGATCTTTTGAATGCCAATTTGACTTTACCAAATGCTCCTTCTCCAAGGAATTCATCAAAAATATAGTCATTAATCATTTTAACTCCCTTAGATTTAATAATCATTTTACATCTTCATTAGTTGTTTTGACTAATTTTTAGGTTTCCCTCACTTTCTTCTTCTTCTATAAATATCATATGAATAAACTACTTAAGGTATTTTCAACTTCTTTAAAGAAGTTTATTTCTAAGGTTAAGATTAAGGTTGAGCTGTTTCACAGGGATGGACTTCAATTTAAGTAGGTTCAGGTTGTACTCTTTTTGATTTTTCACATACACATCCCATTATTAATTTTATTATTCATGAATGACAATCTTGATTTTTCATTTGATTTGTTTGAATTCTAAGGATTTCTAGGTTAAGGATCATTTGGAACTGTATTAAAAGCATTAAATAAAGAGACACAACAATTAGTGGCAGTCAAAGTAATTGTGAATGTCCTAACTTATTCTAGGTTATAAAGAAGAAATCTTTATTGCAATTAGAATAACTATTATAAGAGGCTCAAATTTTATAAGAGTTATCACATCCTAACATTGTGAAGTTTTTTGGAGTACATGAGACTGAATCTAGGATACTTATTGAAATGGAACTAATATAGGGAGGTATATTGAATGAATTTATTAATAGGATCTTTAAGTTCCATTTAAAAGTGTTCTGAAGAATAGATTAAATACATAATGTATTAAATATTCAATGCTTTATAATATATGCATAACAATAATATTGCTCATAGAGACCTTAAGCCAGAAAATATATTAGTCACTCATGATTTGAGTCTTCTTAAAGTAACTGATTTTGGATTAAGTACAGGATATGCATCTTTAATGACTAAATAATGTGGAACTCTCATATATATGGCACCTGAATAATTAAATAATAAGATATACAATAAAGCCATTGATATATGGGCAGCTGGTGTGATTATGTATCAACTTATTGTTGGATAACATCCATATTATCAGAAAGGTTGTGATTTAACTTAATCATAATTATAAATGCATGAATAATGCAAATCGTATCTTAATGAGTAATATTGACATAATTAATCTAGAGTATGTAATATAGTCTATTTCGAAGATTAACAGAAATAAATCCAACTAAAAGATATAGTGCTACATAAGCATTATTACATCCATGGTTTAATTGTGGAAATGATGAACCATTAACAATGGAGGAAGAATTTAATAAATGGAAATTATCATAAAAATTACATAAATTAATTCTAGCTTTAATGATTTTAAATAAGATAGGATATAAAAAATATTTAATCAATAAAGAATTTTATGATTAAATGTCAAAGAAGATTAATTAAATAAAAAAGTAAGATTTTTTATTAGGAAATTATGATTAATTATTTGCAGATTATTAAAAATCTTTAACTGAAGATTAGAAAAGTAAAATCTCTTGTGCTTCTAATAAAATGGATTAAAATACTCGAATTGATTAACATACTACTATAGATTCAACAAAATAATCACATTCAACTATTCTTTAATCTTCTAAATTATTATTACCTTTTTCCTCTAAATAACCAATTAGAGTAGTTAATTTGAATTTATAAAATTAAACACCTATTGTAATTGAAGATATAGAATAAGAATAAATGATGAGATTATCTGTTCATAGAAATAAAGATAAATAAGAAAAACCTATAATTAGATAATAATTAATGATGTAATCAACTAAACTAAATTAACCTACAGAAGATAATCTATAATTAATTTAAGATATTAAAATAACACATTAATAAAATAGTGAAAAATAATTTGAATAATCAATTACTCCAAGTCCAACTAAATCTCCATAAACTTTAAAAAAAAGAAGAGTTAAAAAATCATAATTAAAATAGTATTTGAATGATGATATTATGTAAACCAATTATTAATAGATGTAAAATGTAATCTAAGTAACATAATAAGAGTATAATAATAATAATATTAGATAATAATCTCCATTAACTAAAAATACATTTAAAATATAATTAAAACCTTTAAATCATCTTCCTATGATGACTAATTCTTAACATAATAATCCAAATCCCTCATTACGTCCTCGAAATTAAAAGTTATCTGTGGATAGAGAATTTTATGCCCCTCCAATTTTGGATCTAAGCAATTTAGCTTTAGAATGCATGAGTCCTAAATAGCGTTAAACTAGAGCAATCAGTTTAAATAGTTAAAGAAGAGTTTATGCTAATGAATTTCAACCTTATAGAGTATTAGGTGTTATTGGTAGAAATAATCAGGATTCTTTTAATATAAAATGAAAATATATATATATATTTTATTATATTTTAGAATTTTGTGCATGATATCATATTTGGTTTTTTAATAATATACTATATTATTAGTAATAAAGAATTTAGAATTTCATTATATAAATAATTGAAAACAAGGATCAATAATAGATATATAGAGATTGTTAAATTTTATTTTATATTTATATTTTATCTATTTTATTTTTGATAAATACTTATATATTTAGTTATATAAATTTATTATTTATAATTTTGATTAATTATTAATTCAATAATTATATAAATCTATTTAGATGTATCATTATGTTAGTATTGATCTTACTTAATAAATTTATGGAAAGTAGTTTAAAACTACTAATGAAAGAGCTGGACTAAGAATACCCAAATTTAAATAATTGAACATAATCATCAGCAAAATAAACTATTTAATAATTATTATTTAATACTATAAGTATGCATTTCTGAAGAGAATTTTCAAATTTGTAATTATGAAATCGAGAATCATTCATATCCCATAAACCAAGAGTTAAATCAATACTATTTTGTATATGATAATCATTAAAATGATTTAAGAAATATCTTTTAGTTGATAAAACTGCATCTTAAATCATTCCATACTTAGTTTATTTACCATATCTTATATAATTATTCTTTAATGAATTAGTACCTGAATATAATTTACTTAATTAATTTCCTGAATTAATCCAAACTTTTTTATGTATAAATTCTAATGAATCTTCTAAACCAGCATCTTAAATAATTTCCTCTAAAATGAATTTACTTATTAAATATTAAACAACATTTGTTCTGTCTATACATGACATGCAATTCACTCTAAAAACTCCCTTTTATTCAGAAATTAATTTAGTATTTTAATTTGCTATTTAATAATAACCATATTATTCTAAAACTGAACTAATTTCATCAACTAATTTATTAAGATTTGCTCTTTCTTAATGAAAATCAAACCAAAAATATTAAATTTCTCTTCTTTAAAAAGACTCTAAAATTGATTAAAAATAATTTCCAAGTTTTTATTATTTCCCTTTACGATCAATTAAATTTAATATAAACATCTCTCTATAATATTAGATTTATGTAAATAGATGAGCATTACATAATTCTATATTATTATCAGAATTGCTATCAATTTACTAAATATAATATAAAATATACAATATTTGGTTTTGGATTCAAATATGGTAATTAGGACCATTTGAAAGGTAATGATCCTCTTACTTAAATAAAAGAATATGTAGATTTGTTTATTTAATATACATCTTCAATTTCTGTGTAATTAGTACAATTACCCTATTAATCACATCCTCTTTAAGTAAATCTTCTACCTTGTCTTAAACATTCTCTTCTTACAATCTAACAATATGTAAGTGTTGCATTATTGTAGATTTACACACATCCATTAATTACATAGGTTTTATTTTCAATTTCTTCCAAGTATTTATGATTAATAGCAAATCTGTTTCTATTCTTCTTAAATTATAAACTATGTGTAAGATTATATGTTAAACTATAATAACAGGAATCATCACAAAGAATAGATTTGATCATTTCAATATAGATTTAATCATTTTTATGAATGACTTCACTTTCTGATAAGGGATAGAAAACTAATTATTTAATCAAATAGATCTCATGTCCTAACAATTAACCTATACATTATGAATTAACAATAAGAATTAAGTATTTATGCACTTGCAATTATATTTTGCCAAAAATAGCAGCATTAGTATAATCAAGACTAAATTCTCCAATATAATTTTAAATTTCCTTTTGCATTTTATATTAATTATAATTTTTGTAGCAAATTAACTTACAAATTTAATATATATACAAAATATGATCACATTTTTTAACCTGCATTAATAATTTCTTTAGTTGCTTAATCTTCATATTTTTTGAAATTGACTTAAATTTTTAAGCCAATTCTTGTAATACCAGACTTTTTTATAGTTGATAAGAAAAAATAATAATTTTAAATAAATATTTAATTAACTGAGTGGATCATGTTACTTGATTTTATCAATTAGCATATTAGCATAGAGAGAAGTAATGCTCAAAAGGCTTCTCCAAAACAAACAGAGAACGTGGCTTATGGTTCTTTTTGGAATAAATTCTAAAGGGTAACTAACCTAATATTTTCAGTGATAGAGATATTTGAGAAATCTACTTCTCTGGTTTTATTGTATAAAATATTTAATATATTCTAATACTGCTTCAAACTTTACTGTATTAAAATCTCAAGTTCCTTTTCTTTAAAAAGATCAACACATTTAGCATAATAACTACCTTCAATTTAAAAAATTGCATTATCAGACCAAGCATGTCCATCATCTCCTATTAATTTTCTCTTTAGATCAGGACTCAAAGTTGTTTTACATGTTCCACTTATTCCAAATAATAAAGTAACATCTATAGAGATCAAAATCTCTGTTAAAGTCTTTTTTTCAGTTCATCTTCAGTTGGTCTGATAAACATATTCATCATAAAAAAAGCATGATATGGTCTTGTACAAAATACACAGTAGTATTGTGAAGTCCCCATCTTTATAATAGATCGTGTATTTTTATGCTTTTGATTCTGCATTATTTATGATTTTATTTATGACGACTCTTTATCTATGTTTAGTAAACTTATGTTACGCATTATACTACAAACTATTTATTTAGTAATTTAAGAGAATATTAGGACTCATTTCAAATTCATCCTCTTTATTAATTTTATTATCAGCAATCAATCATCAAACCCATATATTATTATTTTATTTATAAACTACTTTCTTATTTTCACTATCTCGGTCTTCAACTTTCCATATCAACAATCATTATTTATAATTTGACTTATAGTAAAAAACTAAAGCAAGATGTTCGCTTCTGTTAAATCCATAAGTTTATCTTGATATCTGGTGATTAAGATACTTCAAATAGACGTCACTAAGATAAAGTAAAAAAAAGAAATTATTTAATACATATTCATTTGATTAACACTCAAAAGATTCCTATAAGAGCCCTTGTATATCTAAATTTTTGAATTAATTAATAATCTTTTATTTAAAACTGTAAATAATTTTTATTTATAAACTAATTCAATAAATAATATGATAAATAATTATATTTTTTAGTTAATAAATTTACACTGATAATTATTCGAATCACATTATTTATTGAATTTTATAATAGAATTATAATATATTTTTTTAATATGAATGCTCATTGATATATGTTATCAAAATCATTAACTTCTGCCATTTCAAATTGTTCATCTAAATTTGATTGATCAGTTGTTTAAGTGTAAAATATGCTTAAAATGTCACAAATAAACACTCTAACTAAATATTTAGTTTAAGGATCTTTTAAAAAATCTTCAAATTCATTTCTTATTGTTTCAATATCAGGGGTAATCGTTTTCTACTCTATCATTGTGTCAATTTTTTTCTGAATAAAAAAATTTTTAATTATATGGGAATAGTTTGAAGGTGCACCTTTATTTTCTAATAGCATATCAGTAATAGAATTAATACTGTTATGAGAACTCAAGATAATAATAAGATCTTGGATGAAACTTTTGGTTAATAGAAGTTAAATTGAACTTAGAATTTCTACAAAATCTTTATTCTAGATATATTCTGAAAAATCATAGGTAATTTTTTCTTCATTAATGTACCTGAAGTAAAATACAATACATCTCTTAGAAGAACATTAAATGTTAAATAATTTCTCTGCTATTTCCTGGGCTTATTCAAAATATATCTTTGTATCTTAATTATATTGTTAATTTTCATGGTCAACATCTTTATTTGAATGTTTACCTGCTTGATGTAAGAAATTATGTCTTCCAGTATCAGTTAAATATTTGATAATTTATAAACATTTATGTTAGTTTGTCCAAATTTCAGGTGCATTTAATTATAATAATTTTAATTATGATGGCTTACCTCTATTTTCAGTTTAAGGTTAACTAGCATTTTTTTTTTGTAGCTTGTTAGAACTTCTCTTCATAAATTTACTTATATTTATAAATCCTTAATTCTATTACAAAAGTTATAATACAAAGTATCATTCTATAAAAATTAAAATATATAGAAAAGAATAAAACTCTATTATAATTTCTCTTAATAAATAAGATAATATATAAATGCCTCATAAAATGTGATCTTAACATCTTAAATATAAGAATTAGTGTAATTGCTACTATGATAAAAATAAAAATGTTGTTGTATGATCTATTATATGATAAAATTTTACTAATTTATATTATTAGATTCAAAAAAAATTAATAGAATTGTGAAATGACAAAATAATTCAAGACTATAAATATATTTAGATGATATAATTGAAAGATAGAATAAATTCTATTTTATATAAGCTTTATAAATATAATCATCAGTCAAGAGCTTGAATAAAATAATTGGAATCTCTATGAAAATCCAACTCTTCTGGTTAGAAAATTGATTCATCTTAATTTTGTTGAAAGTTATCTATTTCTTATACATCATTTTCAAAATATAATGGTTCATATTGATCAATTTCTCTATTAAAAATTTATCTTATTTCTTTAATAAATTTTTCTAATTCATCTTTAGCAAATTAAGATTAAATAAAAGAGTAAAAATCAGATTCCATATCACCTCTTTTTTTCATTTCTATAAATTATTATTTACTTTTTTTTTGTTTCATAGTATCGATCATCTGTTTGATGTATAGATTTTAAATTATACTAGAGTAAGATTAAGGTGTTTTTCCATTTTAAAGAAAAAGGTCAACAAGTGTTGACATAGAGACATTTTAAGTTAAAATTGTGAGTAAATCTTTGAAGAATTTAGGAGCAAACAAAGCAGAGAGTTTTATAAGCACATCATGACAGTCCAATTTCTATTTTTTTATCCAATCCAAATTATTGAATTTCTCATCTCCACTTGACCTGAAAAAGAAGACTATACATCTTTTTGTATCACATTTATGACCGAACAATTCAGCGGCAAACCTTTCTGATACTTCATAATATTCTCTTTTATTCTCAATTTCTGATTTATTAGCTTTATATTTTTCGTCAGAATTTGATCTACCTGCCTAATGCAAGCAATTATGTCTTCCAACATCGTTTAAATATTTAATAAGTCTCAAGCACATTTAATCATTAGTCCATATATTAGGAATTTATAAAATGGTTTTTTCAATATCACTTGGCTTTCCTCTATTTGTACTGTTTACTTATCCTTTTTCGGCAGCTTTTTAACTTTTCTTTTGCTTCTTGCTAGACATTAATATTTATTTTTAATTTTAATAGAAATACAAAATCAAAAAAAAAAAAGAATTTAAAAATTTTGGAAATTCTATTATTAAATATATTATTCAATATTAAATTTTGAATGAATTCTATTTATGAATTAATTTATTTATAAAAAATATTAAATATATTTAAGATAGCTGTTATATGATTATTAATATTAATTCATTAAATTATTAAATTTTATATATTGATTATTTAAATTGAAATTATTATTGCAGAATAATCCTTTAAAAAATAAATTTAAATGTTCCCAAAAAAGTAATAAAAATTATATTGGATAAGTTGAAGATTCAAATATATAAAATGAAAATATAAATATATTGAAATTTATTTAATAATTTGAATCTAAATTAAGTAGTAGAGTATATTTTAAACAAATAAATTAGAAATTAATATATAAATATATATAGAATTACTTTCTAAAACAATTAGTTAGGCAAATTACATAATAATATTTCAGATTATGCAATTATTATATATTTAGATAATATGAGGGAAGAATGATTATTAAAATATGAAATTAAGTTTCATAATTTCTTTTTGTCATCATTAAGATCTCTAGTTAATATTTTAATGAATTGATCTTCTGATACTTCTATTTTATATTCATCTTCAGGTTGTTTCTTTTCTTTTTTACCATCTTTATCCATCTCTTTTAATTCATTTGTATTTGATTAAGCTCCCTTTAACAATTATAAGATTTATTAATCAGTCATATCTTCATCTAAATCTTAAATTACTTTCTTTAATGAATCAAATGTGATTATTTTCTTAATGATTAAAATATATTAATATACCTTTTGGTTGTTACTATCTTTGAAAAGATTAAATGCTTTTTTAATATCATCAAGAGAATCTTTTTGACTCATTTTAACCATCATAATTTCTAGAAATTCTTAAAAATCAATTCTCTAAGCATCATATTTAACATCTCCTTTACCAAGATCTTTAATTAATTTTCCAATTTCTTCTTAAGTTGGATCAAATCCTAAGGCTCTCAAGACTACTTTTAAGTTTGTTGCCTCTATAGTACCTGATCCTGCTGTATCAAAATAATCAAATGCTTTTTTAATTTCATTCTTTTAACTTTCTGATAAAACTTATTAGTTATTAAGAAGCTTCTTTCTTATTTAAGCAGCATTACTATTGCCTGATTATTATTGTTATTGATTTTTCATTTTAAGTTGTAATTTTTTAATTAATATTTTAAAATGGACACAAATAAAATTACAGTTGTAATTCGTAAGAGACCTTTGGGAAAAAAAGAATTAATTAGAGGAGATTAAGATATTGTATCAGTGTAGGATTAACAAACAGTCATTTTAAGTGAAATCAAGTAAATATATCTAAGAACTTAGATAAAAAGTTGATTTGACTAAATTTATTGAGTAACATCACTTCAACTTTGATCTAGCATTTGATGAAACCATAGATAATTAAGGTGTATATCAATTAGCAGTAAGACCAATAATCTAGGCAGCATTCAATAAAGCAAAATGTACATGTTTTGCATATGGTTAAACTGGTAGTGGCAAAACTTATACAATGCTTGGAGATCAAGATTAAGGAGTACCTGGATTATATGTAATGGCAAGTCATGATATATTTGCTATGGTTTAAAAGGTATCTATTTAATTATGTTCTAATTAGGTAGAGTATTAACATTTAGTAATTTCAATTTCATTTTATGAGATATATTGTGGCAAATTATTTGATTTATTAAATGATAGATCTCAATTAGCTGCTTAAGAAGATGCTAAAGGGAATGTTCAAATCAAAGGACTTAGCGAAAAAAAAATCAATAATGTCCAGTAATTGATGCAAATAATTTAATATGGATAAAGTTCAAGAATCACATCATCTAATTCTGCTAATTCAGAATCTTCTAGATCTCATGCTATTTTATAGATTACTTTAAAAAATAATAAATAAATACATGGAAAATTATCCTTTATTGATTTAGCAGGTAGTGAAAGAGGTGCTGATGTTAGAGATTAAGATAAAACTACAAGAGTTGATGGAGCTGAAATAAATAAATCATTATTAGCACTGAAAGAATGTATAAGAGCATTAGATTTAAATAAAAATCATACTCCTTTTAGAGGAAGCAAATTAACTTTAGTTTTAAAGGATAGTCTTATTGGTAATTGCAGAACTGTAATGATTGGTAACATCTCTCCTAGTAATGCTAATAGTGAACATACTCTTAATACACTTAGATATGCAGATAGAGTAAAGGAATTGAAAAAGCCCTAAGAATAAAAGAATATTGATAATCACAATAGAGAATTATTCTTAGCAAGAGGAGGTACACAAATATTGGATTAAATTAGAAAATAATGTAATAAGAAGAGAATATAAAAATCCAGATTCAGAAGATGAAGAAGATTGTTCAACTAATTTTGGTTAATAGGGTAGTTAAGGTGTTTATAAAGTAAATAATTAAAAAAATGTTTTACTACCTCCAGTAATATAAGTTAATCGTACTTAATCTGCTCATAATAAATTATCATTAAATGAAACTCCTTCCAATAAATATTAACATCCTTTAAATAAACTGTCTAATGTAAGATAATCAAATAATAATCTATAATAATAATATTAATTACCACCTAAACCATAACCATTACCATAACATTTGTCATCTATAAATAAAGTTCCACTTTTCCCTTAATATCAAAATAATTTACCTGACTCTTTATTTTCTACTGATAAGACTTAATCACTCTCTTCATAGAATTTAAATCAACCTTTTCCTCCTACTTATAACTTTTTTTAAAATCAAATATTACCATCAGAAATCAATGCTGGAGATGATGATTATTAAGATAATTTATTACTTGAAGATGTTGATTCTGAAATAGAATAGAAAAATAAAGCATTAACAAATTAATTTTTAGAATTGGATTAGAGAGTTTTATAAGAAGAGGATGAAATAATCATCTCACATCGTAATCATATTGATGATATGGTTGAAATTTGTAAATAAGTAATATTTAATAGTAATTAAGGATATGGGATTGTTGAATTCTTTAGATTAAAAATTTGTTAATTCAAAAGATTATTTTAAATAATTAAAGGAAAATTTGTTGATTAAGTAAAATAAGATTGAAGAATTCATTAACAAATTGAATATATATGATTAACTCTTTGAATAAGTAATTATTATTATTTATTTATATATATAGAGATCATAAATTGAATGTGAATTACAAAATGCGCAAAAATATAATTAAATGAATGAAAATTTTAATTAATTAATATAATGACTGATTAGACTCCAAATGATTTTCATTCTGAAATGGAATCATCTCCTTTAAACCATCGTTAATCGAATATGATTCTATTTCAACCTTACAGTCCTATTTTATTTCGTGCTCACCTTAGTCCTAATAATATGGTCTTACAAGATTATTATATTGCATAACCCATACAGCATGCAGATGATATTTTTCCTTTTGATCAATAACCATTATAAAAAATGTTTGATCTTTAAACATCAAATAATCAATCTCCACAATTAAAATAAGTTGTGATCAAATAATCATAAAATAAGTAATAGGGATTTTAAATTGTTTAAATAAATACTACATAAATGACACCACAGAAACGTAGAAGTGAATAAACAAGGAGATATTATTCTGAGAAGATAGAAAAAAAATCAATAAATTTAGCATTTTATTAAGATTAGACACCTTAACGAAGTTAAAAAGGTATATAATGATATATTATTAAAGGACTACGTAATTTGAGTGTAAAAGTGAGAGATATTGTATTGGAATTGAAATCCACATCTTATAAGGATGTTGCATAAAGATTGATATAAGATTTAGGTTCTGATGGATAAATAGTTGAATTAGATAATGTATGAATTAAAATTGAGTTAAAAGCCTAAAGATGAATAAAATATAAAAAGAAGAGTTTATGATGCTTTAAATGTTATGATCGCTTCAAAGGTGTTAAGAAAGGAAGGTAAACGAGTGATTTCTGATGTATATTGCAAACATAGAATGAGAAGGAATGAAACTGATATGTTCAAAGAGTAATTGGTATAATATTAATATATTTGAATATAGATAAGTTAGAAGAATGTGATTAAGGACAAAAAGAAAAGATTATAAGAACTATTTATTAAAGTTGCAGCTCTAAAAAATTTAGTATAAAGAAATTAGAATAATCAGAATGAAAATAAAATGATGTTTCCGATTCTAGCATTTTAAGCTTAATAATCATAAATTAAACTTAAAATGGAATCAAAAATATTAAAGATAATGAGTTAATCAAAATTAAAATTATCTGCTGATTTAGATATATTGGTATAACTTAAAATGTTCAAATTGTATAAAAATATGGATGAATTGTATTTATAATTAATATAAATTAGCATGCCAAAAAGTCTAGTAGAAATAGTGTAAATCAATGATCTCTGTTCCTGAATTGATTTAATTTGTTTTTGCAAATAATTAATTAATTAATAACATTTTATGACAGATTTATTAGAAAGAAGTATACACTTAATCAACAATTTCGTTAGTCAATGGACAAAGAAATATTTATATTATACAAGCTATATAGAAGAAACAACTTCAGGACATACGTAAATTATTCTATTTATAAATAGTTTTATGACAGTTTTCTCATTACCAACACCATCAAATCCAATACCTGTTGCAACAGTTAAAGTGTATTTCTATATTCCAGATTTGACAGATCCATCTGAAAAAACAATGTCTTTTAGATTTGAAAATGATTCACTTATACATTTAGTTAATCGAACTATTCGAATATCATAAATGGAAGTAAATAAATTAATTTTAAATTTAAGAAATGGATTGAAACTATATTAGCACGTAAAGATAGAACATGTAGAATAATGTTTTTAGGAACAGAATTTGAATAAACAAGAATTATTAATAAAAGAATGGATGAAGTATTATATGAAAAATAACCAGAATAAGAAAAAGAAAATTTAGTCATTTAACCAGAATTATTAGAACATGATTAAGAATTAGTAAATTAATTTACAATCACAGAAGAAGAAAAAATTAGAGAAATTAAAATGTTAACAGAACTCTTATATTAATGTTTTAGATAAATTGATAAAGATGATATGGGAGTAATATCTTATGAAGAAGGTGGTTAATTATTTTTATTAATGGGTTTACATCTAGGAAAACATTAATTAGAGGATACACTCAATAGATTAGATGTTTCAAGAACAGGAATTCTATAATTTAAAGACATTTAATCATTTGGAATTGAAATATTACATTCGATCTATTGTTAAAATTAAGCACTTAAAGAATTAAGAGAAAAAGAAGAAGAAAGTAGATTTGAAGCATAATGGATGTTATCTACTGATCTTAGAAATGTATATAAAAAAATAGTAGAATAATGTAAACTTAAGGATGAAGATGAAATTCATTCTGTTAATTCAAATGTTTTTTAATAAATTTTAGAAGAAGTACAATTTATATTATTATTATTTAGTAATAATTCTTTACTGAAGATGAAATTAAATAAATAATGGAAATAATTGGATAAAAAGATGTGGAATATTAAACTAGTGATAAAGTATTAGAAGAAACTATATTTGAAAATTTAGTCAAAGGTTTATTAGAAGCTTAAAGAAGTAAAATGGAAGTTTTTTTACTTGAACATTTTAAAAGATAAGATAAAGATAATACTGGATTAATTAAAATCAATGAATTAATGATTGCTTTGAAAAATTGTGAGAAAATTAAATTATCTAAAGTTCAAGTATTAATTTATATGTTAGTATTAGTTATATTCATTATAAAGTTATATTAAAAGAAATGATAAGGATTTAGTAAATTATAAATAAGAAGCTAGAAAAATTGGGGCCATTATTAAGAAGTTCTTTAATGTTGATTTAATGGAATAGAGGGTATTTATTTGATACTATAATTATAGTCACGATTACCTCAACATACTAAAATTGATGCATATATTCCATTAATAACACCTGAGTAAATATAAGAGCAGATTAAAAAGGTTGGATCATGATTTATTATTAAATAATAATGTTTAATTATTATAACTAAAAAGAAAAAAATGCAGTAGAAACATTATTGAATATGGAATTTACTGAAGATTCACTACATGAAATTGATTATGATAAAGAAATTAAATAATTATTAAGAAGAACTTAATCTAATTCATTATCTGATGCTAGAAAAGTCATTATTAACTTAACTCAGTCTAACTTATCTGCTCCATAGAATCCTTCAAGCAAATTAAATAGTCCATTAAATGATTCTAGATGTAGAACTGAATTAAGAACCATGTCACTTTATAGACCTTAAGATAAAATCCCTACTCCATAAGTTTAGTAACATAAATTTGTAATTACATAAGTCAAAACCAATAGAATTAGGCATTCATCTGAATATAAGACTATCTAAGTTTAAACTGTGTAAGTGGCATAAACTTTACAAGAATTTAACTTTAATTTCGTTGAAAAAAACTATAATATTTAATCTAAAAAATCTACAAAATCATTGCCTAAATATTTCTTAAGATTTAAGAAAAGATAACATTGATTGATTATAATTATGATAATATATATATAGTTTTTAAGATTTTCTATTTTATTGTTTTATTTTTAAATTATACTTTACAATAATTATTTTATTTAAATAAAAGTATAAAAATTAAATATTGTTTATATTTTATAGTAAAATAATAATTCTTTATTCACCAAGAATTTTTACATCTTTAAATTATTATTGTATTTAATCTTTAGTTGTCTTAACTTAAATGATTAACTTTTCTTTCCAAATCTTATACATAATTAACCAATTATTCTGTCTAAATTTTCTTTTAAGTTAAGAATTCTATTTGATCACTCTTTTATAATATTATACTCTTTAATTTTTCTATCTCAACACAAAAGTTACGAATTTGTGTTTCTAAAATCAATATTTGTTTTGAATTATTCTAATTTTCATTTAATTATTCTCTTAATTAATCATTTTCAATATTCAATTAACTGATTTTAGTAACATATAATTCAATAGAATTTTATATTCCATCCAATTATTCTTAAACTGCCCATAATTAATTTTCTAATTAGACTTTTTCAGCTGCATATTTTAATGCCATTTAACTTTCAATTTATATTCTTAATTAATCATAAGTTTAATTTTATTATACTTCAACTTAATTTGATAAATGTTATATTTAATCCATTAATTTTGATTTTTCAAAATTCCATTAATTTTATTAATCTATCATTGATTTTGAATTAATCTATTATAAATAAAATTATAAATTACATCATTTAATTTACTTTCATGAATAGATTTATAATTTTCAAATTCAGATTTGATTTTTTATAATTATTATTTTGTTTCAATCAATTCTTCATTATTATTACTTTATTACTCTAATTGTCTCTTTAATTATTCTATTTATTATTGTTAATACTTTGCAATTTTTTAATTTTCAAATTACATTTCTTCTAAATTAAATTAAGATTTCTCTAATTAATCTTATAAGATATTATTATTCTCATTTAAATTATATTATCTTTATAATTATTTTTCTAATTTCTTTATATAATCTTATTTTTCATTCAATAATTATTAAAATTGTGAAGTATTTTCATAAGATAATCTTAATTTACATTCAAGCTCTGCAATTCTATCATTTTATTAAAATTATTTATCTATATTCTTAGGATTCTATTATTATAATTAAGATTTCATTTATTCATTCTAAGTTTTATAAACATCCAATTAAGAAATTAAAATATCATTCTTAGATTCCAATTCATAAGCCTTTTCTTCTAGTTTTGAATATGATAATTATATTTATGAAAATGAATTACTAAGTGTACTTAATTCTTAATTAAGTTCCATATTAGCTAATTATTATTATTTTAATTGTAATTCAATTTCTTAAAATTAAGATTAATATTGATATTTCTCCTTTCTCAATAAATCAATTTATGTTTTAATAACAGATTTTTCTGATTCTGCATCAAGTTATATATTTGATTATTAAAGTTCTAAAGCTTATTTAGCTTATCTTTCAAATTCTAATGTGTTTTGAGTTTCTTAGAGTAAATTGGTCATAGTTTCTAATTGATTTTAATATGTATTGCATTTATTCTAGAGTGTTTTAATCATAGATTCATAATGATTAACTTAATTTCTTAATTAATAATTCTCTGTTTAAATGGCATCAACTTTAATTTCCATTAAACGAGAATGTGCAGGTGGATTACATTGTTGTAATTAAGCAATTTCTTATTCTTTTTCTTATAGTTATCTCTACAATTAATTAACTCTTGAATTAACTAAGGTTTCTAGTTCACGATTACTAACTTTAACTGTCCTAAAGGCTTGACAAACATTTTCTTTATTCATTCCGTTAAATTAATTTTAAAGCAAATAAAAATTAATCTTAGATTTTTATGTTATAAGTTTATTATTAGATATAATTAAATGATTTATATACATTCATGAAATTCTAATGAAAATTATGGCAAAGATAAACAAAAAAATAGAAGTAGTAAGCATTAAAAATAGTGATGAACAACTTAAACTTTTGGATTTCATAAAATTAGTTAATTTATTTTCTTCAAATTTTAACTTAGTTTTATTTCCATCTTATTTATGCAATATTTTATCAATAACTTTATTATCAAATTTTAATTATTCTGAAATATTAACTGCCATTCCTTTCATTCTCTTTGTTATATTAAAGATTTCCTCTTATAATTCATCATCTAGATTTTCACTACTTAATTACGTGTCAAATAATTTAGCTTTATTAATTGTTTATTATTATTAATTTGGAATAGGTGCAATAACCTAAGAATTTGTCATTACCACTACTTTTTATTACTCTTCCTTTTAAATCAATCGTTTTTTTAAAGAAGCAAATGCACTTGTTATCTTTCTATGTCCTTATACTACAGCATCTGAATCTAAAACATTCTAAATAAATCTATCTAATGCTAATTTTGTAGTCTAGATATTCAATTTGATAATATTACATCTATATGTTCAACCAAATCAAATTCATATTATGTTCCATCTATTATTAAACCATTTTCATATAGATCTTACAAATTTGCAGATCTGTTATACAATTCCATGATATTTTTATAATTTTAAGAACCCTATAATTCATTGCATATCAAATGAAAACCATCTAATATTTCTTAAAATTCCATTATATTATTATATGAATTAATAATAATCAGATATCCCACCATCAAAGAAAACACAATTTACTGGATCCATAGATAATCTAATTTATTAAACAATCTCTAAAAAACCAAATATGTCTGAATTTTTGATATAAGAAATTTTAGAAGCCAGTGGATTTTAGACAAATGATTAAAATTGCTATAAATTAATAGGTTTGAGTGCTCTTAAATTAAAGCTCATCTAACTGATAAATGGATGATTGAAATGACAGATTCCATGGTTTAAAAATTAATCTAAGATAGAATGAGAAAAAAAGAAAAAGATCCTGATGAAAAATTATAATTAACAACTAATGATATTGTAAATGAATTAGATTAAAGAGGATTGAAATTACATAATCCATTTCAATATCCTGAAATAGATGCTAATAATCTATAAAAAGTTAAAAATGATATTTAATAATAATGAATTGCTGAAATATATATATATTATATATATTAAAATAGATGATAAATTATTGATAATTAAATCTATTTTCAAATTAATTAACATTTATATAAACAATATTCAAAGACTATAATTTAAAATAATATGAAATTTTATGAAGTATATTATATTAATATTGATTAATACTTTACTCTCTATTTCATATTTGATTTAAGATTAAAAATAGAAGAATTTTATATCTAAAATAATATGATAATTTGAATCATTAATTTTTTTATATATTTTAAAGTAATTAATGTTTTAAGCAGAAGAAAAAACCTTATCAGAACAAGTATGTTTTAAATATTAATTAGTAATTAATTCTACATCTGATCCATTAAAATGATTATGATACTCTTAAAGAATTGGGAATAAATAAAGGTATTAATAATTTGAGTTTCAAATAGCAAATATTAATTTCTTGGAATCATTTAATGAGATTGAAGTAGATTAAAAAATATCACCTTTGATTTGTGCATGTTATTTGGGAAGACTTGAGATAGTGAAATTGTTGCTTTCTAATACATAAGTTGATGTTGATTTAGCAAGTATGGATTCAGGATAAACTCCATTATCAATTGCAGCAATGACAGGAAATTATGAAATTCTAAAAATACTACTTGATGCTGGAGCTGAAGTTAACAAACCTAATACATTTAATTAAACTGCTTTTATAATGTGTTTTGCACGATTAGAAGAAGTACTTTTACATACTATTATATATTTCAAAAGGAAAAAAATGTTTTCGAAAATCGAAAAATTTGTTTCAAAATGGCTGAACTCTTACTTCATTATGGAGCAGACATAAATTGGATTGTCGATAAAACTCATGGATTCAATCTTTTAATGTAGTTATGTTCAATAAGAATGGAATTGAATTAGAAAGAAGCTGACATCAACTATTAAATAATCAAATTCTTAATTGAAAATGGAGTATATTTATATTGTTTATTAAATAAGGCTTAAAAAGATTTATAATCATTAAAAGGAAAAAAAGCATAAGATTTACTCAAAAAGCATTCTAACAGAGATAAATTAATGGAATTACTCCATAATACATAATAGTTATACTTTTATGGAAAATAGAAAAATAGTAGTAGATATTCCAATTAATAATAATAACTTCTTATAAGGAATGTTCCAAGACAATAAAAAGTCTGATATTAATTTATTTATAATATAATTTCTTGATTTTAGGATTGAATATCAAGTACTCATTCAATTATCAAATATTTGAATGCTATTCTTAGAGTGATTTGTAATAAATAAATAATTATTAATAATATTATGGATCAATCATATCCTTTAATTAAACCAAATCAAGAAATTCTTAATTATGAACCAACTGCAGATGAGAAAAAGACTAAAATTGGAAAATATACAATAAGAAGATTATTTGAAGGAGAACTAGATGAATAAGATAATGCAGCCATTAATAAATTTCTTGAAGAAGCAGGTCCTTTTCAAAATCCTATTTGGACAAGACCATAAATTTTAAGATTCTTATAAGCTAATAATTTTAAGAAGGATTAAACAGTTTAAACCATGTAATAATATGAAGAATGGGTAAAAACCTTACCAATTAATTACGATTAACAAGTTGAATAATTTCTGGTACTTTTTACTATAATAATAAATAGAAAGCTGGAATTATTTATATTTAAGGAAGAGATCATTCTTATAGACCTATTATTGTATTGAATGCATATAAAGTTAATTTTAATGAAATGAGTCTTGAATAATATTTAAGAGGATTGACATACTTTTTGTAAGTAGTTGTTAATGATATGATGGTACCAGGTAAAGTTGAAAATTGGGTAATCTTAATTGATCTGGATTATAAAGGAATGATTGGACTTTAAATTAATGTATGTCTAATTAATTATTAATTTTCCTAGGCCTTAAAGCAAGTGATGTCCTATTTACAAAATAACTACAGATCCAGATTGTATAGAATGTTTATTTTTAATACAACTATGATGTTAAATGTGACATGGAATATGGCTAAATTATTCTTGGAAGAGATAACTTAATAAAAAATTATATTTGTTAAAGGAGATGTATTTATATTATTAATTTATTTAGGTAAAATAACTATTTTAATCTGTGAATAAAGAATAAATTGAAGAGAAGTTTGGAGGAACATAGACAAATAGAGTGGAATTCTGGCCTCCATCAATTATTAGTGCAAACTTCAGAAAGAATGTTTGATTCTTGTGTTTTATATTGAGATTTAATAAAGAATTAAAAAAATTTAAATCTTTTTTAATGCCTCCCAAAGTCGACCCAAATGAAGTTAGATTAATCAACATTAAAGTCTTTGGAGGAGAAGGTGGTCCTGCTTCCACTCTTGCTCCCAAGTTGGGACCTCTTGGTCTTGTAATTATTATTGCTTATCAAAAAGAATCCAAAATAAGTTGGTGATAAGATTATTGCTGAAAGTGGTAAATGGAAGGGTATCAGAGTTATGGTTAATTTGAGATGTTAAAACAGAAATGCTGATGTCACAGTCATTCCAACATCAAGTGCATTACTTATTAAGGAAATTGGAGTAAATATTAAATTTATATATTATAGGGATATGAAAGAGATAGAAAGAAGACCAAGAATGTTAAACATAATGGAAATTTGACACTTGAATAAGTCATTAAAGTTGCCAGAGCTATTGAAGAAAAGTCTTTAGCCAAAACATTCACTGGAACTGTTAAATAAGTATTAGGAACTGCATAATCCTTGGGAGCTACAGTTGATGGTTAAACAGTTAAGGCAATTATTGGAAAAATCAATTCTGGAGAGCTTAAAGTTGAAAAATGAAAAATAAAAAATATTATACACATAAGTACATTAACTTTTAATTATGATCAATCTTATAGAAAAATAAATTGATAAAGACTCAATTCTTTAACATATTTATAAAATGAACAACTATTATCCTAAACAATATGAATTAGAAAATAGTATTTGTAACATCAGAAAGTACCTCAGTTCCTTTCGAATAAAATACTATGTGATCTATTAAAAATTTCTAATCTAGATTGAAAGGATCTGCATTTACTAAACATTTAATAAAAGAAGGTTTAATTGTCTTATATACTATTGCAGACAATAAGGACTAAAGACCATTTACTAGTATAAAAACTCATTAAAGCTGGACATGATTGATAAAATCTTTACATTTTTAAGATAAGAATTAAATAAACTTAAACAATTTTAACTTATTTATAAAACTAAACTCTAAAAATATTTTATGTCTGTGTAATGGAGTATTTTTAGGTTGTAATAAAATCCATGATAATCTTTTAAAGAATTGAAATTAATTTTCATAAAGTCAGATTTACATATAGTTTATGTAGTTAGTTAATGATTATTAAATTCAAAAAATATATGTATCAAAGCATAAGATAAATTAGAATTAGAGTTATTGGCAAGTATTAGAAGATTCTAAGATCTGAAAATATATTAGAAGGAGAAAATAATTTCTTTTAAATTCGAAATAAATTATGAAATTCTTAATTATAATATTTAGGAATCTATGAAAAATTACTATTTAGTATATAAATTAACTTTTATTAAATTATTAGTATGTAGGTTATTAATTTAAAAATAGAAGGGATCAAATCTTCATATGTTTTAGGATGAAATTCATTGAATATCATAGAAATAAGGATGAAATAGAAGAGTAAATTATTGAGTATTTAAATTAAAAAACTAATTGAATTTTGATCAATTATAATCATTTTTTGGTACTATTAATATTATGTAAAAATTTATTTAATAATGATGATCTATATTAAATTAATTTATGATCTATAGAGTTAAAAAGTTTAATTAGTTCATTAATATAGAATTGAATATAATATTTTAGTGTAAATAGTATTCGATATAACAAAATTGAATAATAAATAATATTACTTAGAATAGGAGATTATTTTACAATATTTATAGATTTTAATTCTGAATAAAATTTAAAATCATTTTAAATTATCAGAATGAGATTTTCCTAGATATTCCTGTACTTAAAACTCAAAAATTCGTTTGAGATCAGTTAATTGATGATCTTAATTAAACCAAATCTTTTAAGGTGTTAGTTAAGCTGATTTTCTAGAAGGTTGGTCTTCTTTATTTTTTAATAAATTTGTAATTGTCGACACGTTAACTTTAGTATTGGCATCTAGTTACATATTATTATTTGAGGATATATTGATAAAATCATCTTCCTTTTTCCCATTTGTTAATATTCTTTATAAGGCTTAGTCAAAATTCCTTTTCGATTAAAAACTGTTCAAATTGTTTCTTACTTCATTTGCTGACTTCTATAAGGTTTCATTGACTATATCCCTTTATGATTCACAAAATTTATCATGACTTCTTAAAATTACTTCTTGCTTCATATGTTATTTTGAAATAAACTTCAAATATCTTGTTCTAAATAATAATGAATATAGTAAGTACTTGTCATCAACAATAAAAACTGCTACATTTTTTTAGATATGGAGCTCTCGGTCTCTTTTTTCTTTTTTATTTATTCTTCCTTCATTTCTATAAATTCGAAAAATAGCTTTTATTGTAGAAAGGTTATGACCTGTGATTTAAGCAATCTAATAATATTCATTATATATGTACTTAAGAGGCTGATAGTGAACCTTCAATAAAATAGTTTATTATTTTCGATCTTTCCTCTGAATTCACAGATTTATACTTTTGTTTCTTTTCTGGCTTCATATTCATGTCAATCATAATCAGATGAAGTTGTAAAAAAAAGATTTAATGATAATGTATTTAATGAAATTTCTTTTGTTAAATAAAAGAGTCCTGATGTAATATTTTGATACTAAATTATACAATTATCGACATCTCAGATTACTACTACTCGAATTTGACATTCACTACAATCAGTGAATTTCAGTGAATTATAAATTCAATATGTAATATTAATCCTGAAATTTTATTAAATGAATTGATCATCATTGAATCAATATAATCAAGATTATAAATTTAAGAATAATAATATAGTACAATAGAGAAACAAAAAGAATATTAAATTTCAATCTTAAGAATTTATTCATGCTTATACCACCAATAAAAATGAATTTTGTTAATTAATTAATTAACTAGTGGGAAATCAAAAATAGGTAAAAAATCAAATTTGTTCATCATGGTTCTCCATTAATTTATCAGTCTATAATTTAATAGATTATATACTAATACTTAATATAATAATATTAAATAATAATGTTAATAGAAATCTGAATTCTATTTTCATCAATAACAAACTCAAAAGTTTTTATTAAATTTGATTAAATCTTGAAACAAACAGATATTCTGTTAAGATCAATAGATTAAAGAATTTGTTAATATTCAAATTATATTTTTTGAATTTCTTATTACTGCAATTCGTATTTTTACAATCATTTCAAACCTTTTAGAAATTAAGGGTTATTTTTTAAGCATAAATTAATATAAACTATTCCTTTTCTAAACTAATTTTTGAATAATTAAATTTGAGCTATACTAATGTAGTATTTTACAAATATTTATTAGCTCATTTAATTAAATAATTTTTAGTTTAATTTGAATTTTTTTATAAGAATAAAAAAATATTTAATTCTTAATTTCTGAATATTAATGCATCCTTTTCAGTTTTAGAATTAATCATCTTAATAATTACATTAAAATTAAAAAATTATACAAAAATCCAATAAACTCAATTATTGTTATTTAAAGGGTAGAATAATTTTTTGAAGTAATTTATAAATTTATGTCTAAATTCTAGTTTATGTTTTTTTTAAATTTTTATTTTAAATTCAAAAAGCATTCTTACTATAAAGCACTATTCCTGTAGAAATATCTAAAGGATGATGTCTAATTATCTAAAGTAAATTTGGAGAAAGAATAATTTAATTATTTTGGATAATAATTATTAGAGATAATACTAAAAATGATTAGAAGATAATCAATAAATTTTAGAGTCAACATTTATTGAATATGGCAAATTAATATATGAATAAGCTTTATTAATTAAATTAATTAAAATGTAGAATGTGTTATTTGAAGTTTAGAGTATTTTAATTCGAATAAGAGATTAAAAAAGACAAATCAATTAGCATTATGGTCATTTGGATAAATATTTACTTATGGCATTCTAAATGGACTCTTGAAGTATGAAGATTCTGATGAGTAGGTTTCAATAGCTTTAATAAATTTTATTCTAAAATTACTTATTTAGAAGGAAAATAAATTCTTGAGATTATGGTTTGGAAAAGATAAATTAATTAAATTATAGATGCTGTATAAAAAGTAATTTCAGTGAATCAATTGTTATTAGTCTATTAAATATGAATAGATGTATAGAATCAAGTGTACCAAATCTATTAATAAGAGAAATACCAAGGGATTCATTAAGTTAACGATTAAAAAGAATTTGTTTGACATACAATGAAGAATTTTTGATAGCTGCATCACTGGTTTTAAGGAATTAAGTATTATAGTGATTTAGAATTATTTAAATTAAGCATTTTTATTTGTATTAAATCTGAATTTGCAAAGAGAAATTAGGAGATGATTTATTTGAAGTTAGAACATTATTTGGATAATTTGAATTAAAAGGAATATAAAATCATATAAATAGATTATCTAAAATGACTATTCTATTACTGATATGGCATAATAATGTGAAATAGATACTCATTTTTTTGTTAAATTTTTAATGGAATTGCTTATTAGTAAAGATAAAATAAAATCCACATTTATAAAATGCGATATGAATCTCAATTTAGATACCTGTATTCAAAGATGGTTGTAATATATGATATTTGAATTGAGCAGAATTACAAAATAATTATAATGTGATGAAAAGGTAAAACATAATAAAAATAAATTTATGAATTATAAGTTTAATTATTTAAAGTTGATTAAATAAAAAGAGTTAATAATAAAAAAATAAATTATTGTAATTTTTATAAGATTTTATTAATGAGCCTAGAAATTCAATCAAAGGTATGCCACATGAATAAGTTGTTAATTTCTTAAATATTGTAATCTTTTTAATGAAAAATTGATGATTGAAATATTAGGATGTCATAAAATAGAATCTGTTGCAATTATGGAAAAATATGGAAATACATTTAATTATTCATAATTGAGTTTAGTTAAAGGAATAAGATATTTAACTTCTAATTTTTTACTTTGTGGAGAAAGTAGATGATTCAAAGAGTCTAAAAATTATATACAATAAGATATTTTGAATAGCATAAGGAGATAATTATTTTAAATATTATGACTACTTATTTACTTATACTTATGCTATTCTATTACTTAATACAGATCTCTTTAACAAAAGTGTGATCAAACATACTGATGAGGAAAGAGAAGATGATTTATTGAAAGGATTGACTAAACAAGAAGAATAGCAACCTTATATTGGTATCAACTCTCCCTATGTATTAACCAATCAAATTTATTAAACTAATATTTTAGAAAAAGAAAGATTGAATTAATTTATAGGTGTACTATTAGATTCTATTGAAAATATTACTGATTTCAAAAAAGAATACATTAAGTTTGCATAAATATTTTTTATATCTTTATAAACCTTAAGAGTTAATACTGATAGATTATTAAAGTTTTCGCCTATTTTAGTTAAAATTCTCACTGAAAAATAGAAATTTGAAAGTATAATAAAGATATCAATAAAATAGATAATATCATCATATTGTGGTGATACATTATCTAAAATAAGTTATAGAATTCTTGCATTAAGGAGAAAGTTTAGAAAACTATTATAATTGTTTTTAATAAGGATTAGCATATTTAATTGATTAATCACTTAAAATCTTAGAAGAATTCTTAATTGAAATACAGAAATTCTTTAAGTAAAAAAGTGAATTTGATTTCTCTATCAATTTTGTTAATAATATAGTTTAACTATAATTAACCATATTTACAGAATTAGACTTAGATTTAACAGATGCTTAAATCATAATGAATTTAATTTAAGATATTTTTGAATAGATTCAGAAATAAAAATCTGATAAAAAATTGGTTAAATTCTTTGAAAACATTTAGAAATATTAAGCCAATTATTAAAATAAAGGTAATTTAGAAATGTTTCATCTGTCGATGGTGTCATTGCTAAACACAACATACAAATAATGATTACTTATGTAAAATATATTCATAAATAAGATAATTTATTTCTAAATGAACTTTTATTATTGGCTCTTAATCTTTCAAATGAACATTAATAAAAAATAATTAAAATAATGATGTAAGTTATTTTAAATTACAATTACATTAATTTAAAAGAAAAATACTTTGTTACTCTCTTCAATTAAGTTACATCTAGATATTAATAAATTCTCTAAACAAAAAATGATCAAATGCTTGTTAATTATTCTTAATATCTATAAAAGATATATTTTGATTGGATTCAAAAGGATAGATTTTCACTCTAATTGTAGTTGGATATTTTATAGCATTCAGAGAAATCTTAATAAATCTAAGATAAAATAAGAGTCTCCTTTAAAAAATGTGAGTTTATTTTTTTAATATATTTGTTAAAATTAATACTTTTAGGATATATTGAATTGTAAATATTTTAATTTATGTATAGAGTAATGATATTTAAGAAAAGACAAAACTATTTGGAAAATTATACAATTTAGAATTAATAACTTGATTTGTATTAATAATTATTTAGATATATTAATAATAAAAAATCAAAACATAAATCTACATTATGGAAAATCACAAGAAAACTTAACTTCACAAAATACATAAATAATTATGCAATTTATTAAAGTAAACACTATGAGTTGTTTTTTTAAACTTTATTCTGCAAATTAGCAATGATAATAAAAAAACAATAATGGAATACTAAAATATCTTGGTTCAATTAGAGGACTAAATATAAGAGAAAAAGCTGTAAAGATGAATAATAAAATTAATTAAAACGTTTATTCTTTGCGAACTATAAAATTATAATTATTAATTTACTGATTAAGATTCTGCTTAGAATTACGAAAATTAATGCATATATAAAGCATAAACCATAACGATAAACATCTTTAGACAGAATTTTTCTCCAAATGTAAAACACATAATGGCGATTATCACTTAAGATAAAGGGATGTATATGAGTCCAATTATGAACAATCTCTAAACATATTAATAGTATTATTAAATATGTAAATTTAGCATTTCTAGATAAAAGTAATCTCTTAATGGATAATTAAGTATATTATAATAGAGTATCCCAATTTATTGGAAAATAAATAAATAAGACTGGTAAAAAGTACATGATTTAAGCAGCATGAAATACTAATTAATGATTATCTCTATCTCCTAACACAACTCCACCATTTTTATATAGGAATCCAATAAATAGTATAAATATGAATATATGATATTTGTAGTTTCTCATTATGATCTTAAAATCTCTAATAATCATATTGAACAATGCATTAATATGAAATAAAATAGCTATGTTTAATAATTAATAATATTACATAATCTAGGATCTTTAAATTATAACTTAGTTTAATTTTAATCTAAATAATCTTTAATACAAATGTAAATAATCCATAATATATTAGTTTATCGACTCATCACAGAGCACAATGAAAACTATAAGTAAATATCATAAATTTACAATTGAGGAAATAAAATAATACTTTTACTACAAAAATTGAAAAGATAACGATAATAACGTAATTGATAAAGTATCTGTATAGAATAAAAAGTTATAAAAATAAATGGTTGGGAGAATACAAAATAATAATGCCTTTTGTTTATCTTAAAAAGATTTTGATAATACCATAAATGTAATAGTTGGATATATAAACCTATTATTTAATATAATTATACGTGTTAATTAATCTGCAGGATGTTAATATGCTAAATCCCATTTTAGATAGTAAAACAATAAAAGGGTAATTTAGAAAATAAAGCATAGGTGGAGTTGTCAATTTAGGATTCCAATAAGCAAAATCTGAGTCTAAATAATGCTGCATTTGATCTATATGAAATTCTTCATCCTAAAATGTAAGTAAATTTAGCATAATACCATGTAAGGGATAGTTATTACATAATTTATATATAAACTCAATGTGAGATTGAGTAGAAATGTTATATATATCTCATAACCCATAGTATATATTAATTAATTAATTAAATTATTTAATTATGAAAATCATTATCATATTTCACTATTTGTCTATATTTACTTAAACATATTAAAGTTATGATTTATTATTTGGTTTTTTGTAATAAAAATACATAATCTAATTTATACAGAACATATAAAAAAATTAATTGAATATCTATAATAAAATTAAGAATATTATGTTTCTTCCATTTATCAATTTATGCATAATCATAATAATAGTATTAATAATAATAGATTTTATTTATTAATATAATGTATAAATTCGTCATAGGACTTTTATTAATGAATTTTTTGGTGAATGCTTACAATCCTACAATTTATGAATTATCATTGAGACCTTGGCTCTATGAATTAACTTATAAATATGGAAGAAAAATTTCAAAATTAAATGATATACCAATGGAAGAATTTCAAAATCTGAAAGACATTGGAGTTGACTATGTTTGGCTGATGGGTGAGTTCTATTATTAATGTAGGAATTTGGCAACTTGGATAATATGGATTGGACTTTGATAGAGCACATGCAAACGACTATAAGTCTAACTTACCTGACTTTACTATTGATGATGTCATTGGTTCACCTTACGCCATCACCGAATTTGTCTGTAATTCAGAACTTGGTACAGACTAAGACATTATAAATTTGAGATAAAAACTTAATGATATGGGATTAAAGCTCATGCTTGATTTTGTTCCTAATCATTCTGCAATTGATAGTCCATATAGAACATCAAATATTGATTATTATATTAGAGCTCCTCCTAATACTCCTACACCCTATGACTCTGAATATTACTTACCTGATGGAGTTAGCTACGGTGGTGATCAATGGGATGGATTTTGGAAAGACACTGCTTAATGGAATTATTGGAACCCAGATACTAGAAACTATCTTAAATCTGTAGTGAAGAAGATAGCTTCTATGTCAGATGGTATGAGATGTGATATGGCAATGGTCATATTGAATGATCTTTTTTACAATAAGTGGAAACCTTAATTAGATGCTTGGGGTTATAAAAGACCATCAACAGAATTTTGGTCTGAAGCTATTAAAGAAACAAAATAACAATATCCAAATGTTATATTTTTGGCTGAAGTTTATTGGAGCAAGGAATAGGATTTAATAAATTTAGGATTTGATTATGTTTATGAAAAATGGTTATTGGATCAATAAGCTACTTTGGATGTTGGAAAGGTTAGACCTATATTATCTAATTTGGATTTTAATGTATATATATATGTATTAAAGCATTAGTATGCATCACATTCAAATCATTTTGTTGAAAATCATGATGAACCAAGAGCTATTATAAAGTTCGGTGGTAAAGATTATATTTCCTGTGTTGCTGCATTAATGAGTTACTCTCTTCCTGGAGCTAGATTTATTAATCATGGTTAATTAGAAGGGTTATCTAATAAATTAGATGTACATTTAAGAAGAAGTTATAAAGAAAATGGTTCAACTTATGCAAAATAATTTTATGGAAAGATCTTGGCAATTTTAAAAAGAGATACATTCAAATCAGGTAATTGGACATAATTAAATGTTACTGGAGATTAATATTGGAAATTCTTTGCTTTTAGAGTAATAAAATTGAAATTATTATTTTTAGTGGACTAGTTCATCAGATAAAATAGTTGTCATTATTAACTTTTCTGAAGGATCTGGATATGGACTTGTCAAATTAAGTGATGCTTCAAGTGGATAATAAACTATAACTGAATTGATGAGTGGATAAACTTATGTAAGAAGTGGAGATGATATGAGGAATAATGGATTGGGTGTCATTGTTGATGGATGGAATGCATAAATTTTTAAGTATTTCTGAATAAATATTAATATTAAATGGAAAATTATATATAGTGTGATTATTTAATTATAAACTCACTACTTTTTTTTAATTTTAGGTAGTTATTGATGTTCTTCAATTATTTTCATTAATACAGTAGGTCTTTCTGCACTAGGTTACATTGATAAATCCTTTTTCAATTAATCATGTTTTGATCTCTTTATATGATTACTTGGGTTTCTTTCATTTGAAGAATTCTTTCTTAAAATATACTAATCCTCATCCTATCTTTAAGTTCCAGAGATGATTGGTAATTTCTATGAATAGTGTTATTTATTTAGTGATTAGATAACATCTTTAGCATAATAATTAGAATTTATTTAAATTTGATGTTCAATTCGATCCTTCGATATACATTTACTTTTAATAATAATTCAAATTATTACGGTTAGACTGATTCATACTTCTCATGCTTTTCATGAGTAGAATTTGAAACTCTCAATCTTCTATCTTGAGCTAAGATATTATCTTGAATAGTCTATTTTGAAGTAGATTTATTTAAATTCTAATTCACATTAGGACTCTTTTCAATATCTTTCTATTCAAGTTAAGTGATTTGCTTCATTAATTGATGCAAAGCTTCATTAGGTTAATTTAGAGATATGGAATCATTTGTATCTTAAGATTTGATTCTATTAGATTATTAATTTCTCCTTATGTGATTTGAATTATGTTGATTCAAATAATTACTACCAGGTAATTAAAAATTGAGATTGATAAGTTCTGACTTATTTGTTTATAATCCTTTCCTAGTTATTGGCCACTTAATTGTCTTCAATAAATCATCCTCTATATCCTCTGAAATCAAAGGAATCCCATATAATTTGGCCTTCTTCTATACATATTAAAATTAGAGTAACTTATCTAAAATTTAATTTTTTAATCTTTACCACAATCTGGTCTATTTTGAGGATGTACTTGCATCATAGTTTTAATTAATTGAACCAATTCTTAAGAATAGATTACTGGAATAGGTTAATATTAACCTCTTAGAACAGATTTATAAAGTCCATCCATATCTTTAGCTCTGAATGGTCTAATCTAATAGTACAATCATAAATACGGTTTAAGAGCACAGGCCTCATAAATCACACACCCTAAGGACCAAATATCAGCTTTATGATCATATGGTTTATCTTACCAAACCTCTGGACTTGCATAATAAGGTGTGCCAGTTTGAGTATAGACTAAACCATTTTTGGCTAATTTGGAAACATTGAAGTCTCCTAGCTTGACCTAGTCATTTTCATATAGGAATATATTTGCACATTTCAAATCTCGATGCAGTATTTTTTTATGATGTAATGCTCTTAATCCCTATAAAACTTAAATTGCAACTTGCCATATTTCTTATTCAGGAATCATTTACTACTTTTTTACAAACCTCTAAATCTTTTACAATAAATCTCCTCCTTCTGCGTACTCCATTATAATACTTAGATTACAACGATTAATCATACCATAGATTATTGTCTTCAATAAAACATTCTTTATAAGAAACAACATTCTCATGATGGATTGATGCTATAAAACGGACTTCATTAAGAGCATTCTATTTCTCTCTATCTCCAATATCTACTAATTTAACCTTTATTATATTTCATAACATAAATTTACTTTCTTTAAAGCATAAACATTTCCATCTGACTTTCTTTAGACTTTGTAAACAGAAGAATAAGCTCCAGAACCTAAAACAATTTAGTAACTTCAGTGAATACCTAATTTGTTCAGGATCTCAAAATTTTATAGTTTGCTTTCCATTTTAATAATAATTATTTATGTAATATTAGTTATGATTACAATAATAGTATAAACTTGATGAACTTAAAGAATTCATCATAAAGTACTGATATTAATATGTAACAACTCCTATGTAAAATGGAATACCTAAATTTTTATGATTTTGCATTTTATTTTGCAAAATATTGAAAACTACTTTATTGTGATGCATAAACATTTGATGATTTAAGAATCATCAATAAGAAAGTAAATATTGTTAAGACAAACTATAAATACAATTTAGGTTAATTAAAAACCAGAATGTGTTTGATCACTTAAAAGGATGAAAATATTTACTAATTTAAATGCTGTATACTTTAATGATTGGTTTTATATTGTTTTCACTTTTGGAATTTGATTATGATTCAAAGTTGTAGTTTTTAATTTTAATATCTTAAAATTAGATTTAACAAGTTGAATAAATAAATTAATTGAATTCTTAAACAATTATTAATCAATACTTATCAATTTACACTATATGCAAGATCAAAAATATACTTTATAAAAATTTATATAGAAACATTGAATGTACATGATAATTAATTGATAATAAAGATTTTATACCAACAAAATATTAATATCAATAGTTGTTATGGTTAGAATCAATATTTGATAATTTATATTAATAAAATGAAAATGAATTAATTAATAGTGGAGAGAGAAAGTGATAATATTAGAAAAATGAGTCGATTGTCTATCTTCAATCAAAAAAGGTTTTGGATGTAAGAAGAAGAAAAATAATAAACAGAGGAAATATTGATAGAATTCAATAAACTCAAACTTGATGAACCTATTTTAAAACTAGAATAATAAAACCTGCGAAAATTTTGCAAGAATTTTTAAAGTTTTGAATATTATAATGGAGAACCTATTTGTATAAATGATTACTTTATTCGTATCTTACCAGTTGGACAAAGATGTATAGTTAGTAGTTATCAAGGAGTAACTATTTTATAAACTATAAATGGTTTAAAACATAAATTTTCATCTTCACTTCCAGGAGGTATTTATTAAATTTATAAATTTAATAGGAAGTTAAAAGACACTTATTGGCAGATGTATTTTGGATTGTTTCTTATGTTCAAATACAGTTTATATTTATGATATTATGTAATGGGGTAAAATGGATATGAGTGAGTAAGTTGCTGAATTAAGATATTTTTGGATTAAAGGACATATTCTAAGTTAATTACGTTAGGATTAAGAATTAGAAGATTACAATNTAACAACTCCTATGTAAAATGGAATACCTAAATTTTTATGATTTTGCATTTTATTTTGCAAAATATTGAAAACTACTTTATTGTGATGCATAAACATTTGATGATTTAAGAATCATCAATAAGAAAGTAAATATTGTTAAGACAAACTATAAATACAATTTAGGTTAATTAAAAACCAGAATGTGTTTGATCACTTAAAAGGATGAAAATATTTACTAATTTAAATGCTGTATACTTTAATGATTGGTTTTATATTGTTTTCACTTTTGGAATTTGATTATGATTCAAAGTTGTAGTTTTTAATTTTAATATCTTAAAATTAGATTTAACAAGTTGAATAAATAAATTAATTGAATTCTTAAACAATTATTAATCAATACTTATCAATTTACACTATATGCAAGATCAAAAATATACTTTATAAAAATTTATATAGAAACATTGAATGTACATGATAATTAATTGATAATAAAGATTTTATACCAACAAAATATTAATATCAATAGTTGTTATGGTTAGAATCAATATTTGATAATTTATATTAATAAAATGAAAATGAATTAATTAATAGTGGAGAGAGAAAGTGATAATATTAGAAAAATGAGTCGATTGTCTATCTTCAATCAAAAAAGGTTTTGGATGTAAGAAGAAGAAAAATAATAAACAGAGGAAATATTGATAGAATTCAATAAACTCAAACTTGATGAACCTATTTTAAAACTAGAATAATAAAACCTGCGAAAATTTTGCAAGAATTTTTAAAGTTTTGAATATTATAATGGAGAACCTATTTGTATAAATGATTACTTTATTCGTATCTTACCAGTTGGACAAAGATGTATAGTTAGTAGTTATCAAGGAGTAACTATTTTATAAACTATAAATGGTTTAAAACATAAATTTTCATCTTCACTTCCAGGAGGTATTTATTAAATTTATAAATTTAATAGGAAGTTAAAAGACACTTATTGGCAGATGTATTTTGGATTGTTTCTTATGTTCAAATACAGTTTATATTTATGATATTATGTAATGGGGTAAAATGGATATGAGTGAGTAAGTTGCTGAATTAAGATATTTTTGGATTAAAGGACATATTCTAAGTTAATTACGTTAGGATTAAGAATTAGAAGATTACAATTTTGAATGGATTCCAATTATTCCTTCAATCAATGAATTACAAAAGACTATATTTCCATATACCAAGAATGGTTTACTGTTTATTCGGAAAGATTCTTATTATTTTGCTGGAGTAAATCCTGAATGTTTTATATATTAAGATGAATTTACAGATGAAAACTTTAAAGAAGAAAGCATCAAATACAAATTTGACAATTCAATTACTTTAACTCTTAGTCTATTCTAAAATGAATTAAAAACAAGGGATGGTTATTAGATAGCTTAATATCAAAGCAATAAAAATACTAAAGAGATTGTTGATGCAAAAGTTACAATTACTAATAAGGAGTTGATCTTGGTTGATATTAAAGATCCATCCAAATTTTTGGAAGATCCTTATTCTAAAATAATGTTCTGGAAGTGGTTACCTCGTTTAAGGATACAATGATATAAATAAATAATTGATACTAAATCAAACAAAGAATCTTTTTCTAAGTCCATTAGTTGAGAATTCTTTCAAAATTATCTATTTATTTGAGAAATTTTAGGCAAATGTAAAATCTAATCCTCTATATTAACATTCTGATGTTTCTACTCTAGGTTTAATTTTTTTCTCATTTCTAGGGTTTTATTAAGAGAGTAATTGTTTTTTAGCATCTTTTACTACTTACAATACTCTTTAAGGTCGTAATTTTATTGATTCACTTTCAACTCTATGTAATTCAATCAATGATGTCTTTCGTCCTATTCTATTTGATGGTTTATTTAATAGAGACTATTCTGGACTATATGAATTTTATTAAACTATCAAAGGTGTCAATATATTTTTAATATGCTACTAAGAACCTGTTTTCTATGATTTTCGCATAATTATTAATAAAATAATGATTAAAATAATCTTTTTTATCATAACTCTACAGTCATTAATTTCATGCCAAGTAGAATATTCTAATATTGATGATATATCCTAATAAGAAACATTGTAATAATCTAATGAAGAACTTTAAAATAAGATTAAATCTAAAATTGAAAATTAAGAAATTTAATCTTCAAATTAGGATATTTATGATGTTGAATCTGAAGAAGATAATGAAACATTATTTGTAAATTATGAAATTGGAGAAGAATAAGTTCTTGATGCATAATATACTTTTATTGATGATGATGATACTGTTGGAGCAAATCTCTTAGAAATTATTCGAGATGATGAACTTTTATATTCTGATACTCATGATGATAAACCAGAAAATATGGTTATTGATGCTTCATAAAATTTATAAGATGAGACACCTTAAGCTATTAATTATGAACAAAATTAAATAAAATTATGTTCTTTAGAAACTCAAACAAATTGTTAATAATAAATTGATGAACAATAGTCATGAATATTGTAAAGTATAATATCAATAAATCATTAAACCTACTCTCTCTACTTTTCCTTCTTTTTCTTAATCATTTTCAATTATCTAACCTACTATTCTAAATTTTCCTTCTTTTTTATGATTATCATAATTAATCTATATTATTGATATGTGTCTTAATAGTAGGTCTATTTTAACCACATTTTAGCCATTCTAGAAAAGATTACTTCAGATTTATCAATTATATTCATTTATTATTCCATTTAATTTGTTTATTGTAGCTTCATTTCATAAAATTCTAAAAGTTAATTTCTTTTCTAATCTGTATATTTACTAAAATCAAGAAATATTAAATAATTTTTCATTTTTATTAATTCTTCTGGTATTATTTTAAATAGATCTATTCCCTCACATTCTGCCACTTGCATTACTAATAAAGGTGTGTAAGTTGGCATTTATTTAATTCCCTTATAATTTAACTTAATTATTTCCTAAACTTAATCTTTAGATTTTTGTATTAAATCTTCTAAAATCTCATAATATAATATTGGAAGCTTTTCTTTTTCTTCTTAAATTTCAACTTCCAAATATTAAATTGCCTTCTTTTACTCTAACCGATAATATAATAAATAATTGGTTATTATTTCCTTCATATTCCTGTTCATTAATCTCAATTTCAAAATATCATGTAAATAAAGAAATGGTAAAACACTTAAAAAGATTGAATAGGAAAATCTGTCTTCATAACTTTGCTTTTAGGGATTATTTCTTTATTACTAAATGAATTAATATAGATTTACAAATTTGAATTGCATCTCATATAATTATTGCCATAATAGATTCAATTCATAATTCTATTTCTTATTTTACTTCTACAATTTCATTATAGCATCCATCTAATTATCAATATTAATAATAATAATAATTTATAAAGTTTATATAAAAATAATTTATTATTCAAAAGAAATTCATTGAACATTTAATTCCGATACTAAATATGCCTACTTAAAATATGTAATTTATATCTTTTAAATTCATTAAATACATTCTAAATATTATCCACTCTCCATTTTCTATTAGTTGTATCTAAATATAACATTGTTAATATATATATATGAATATTTGTCAATATAATTTCATTATTAAATAAAATTAGTGTGCTTATTTTTATATTTATAGAAAAAATAAGTATAAATCTTACTTTTTAAACATATCAATTTTTAAAATCTTCTATAAATTGAAAAATGAAATAGAATTTTATTTATCATTAATACTATCTTTTCAAAATTAAATGGGAAATAAATTAACAATAAGATATATTATAAATTTTATTTTATAAGACAAATTTAATTACAAAATGAAATTAATCAATAATGAATACAATTTTGTAATTTAAAGTAAAACTATATAACTTCTATATATAATAATAATAAATCTGAAAGAAATACTCTTAAGATGTGTATAAATTATTTTAAGCAAATAGAAATATATATGTAATTAAAATTAAGTTAAATAGTAATTTTATTCATCATTATCATTTTCATTCAATCTATTTTAATTAATTTACAGATTGAATTTACAATTGCAATATTCTAATACAATATTATTTGAAATTAGAATTGTGTTTCTATTCAAAAAAAAGAATTACTCTTTTGTTTATAAGATAAAAATTAAAGTAGTAAAAATATTGAATAAAATTTGATGAAACCTTCAATAATATAAAATTAATAATATATACGGTTTAACAATTTTTGAATGAATTCTCCTGGCGATTCAATAGATGACATTATAAGTCTTTTAAATAAACACTATCATCCAATTAGTAATTAAGAACAATAATGTAAAGTATTTGAATAGATAGGAAATCAGCTTAATAAAATTAAAGACACAAACCAAGTATTGGAAGTGCAATGCTTCCTTAAATAAAAGTAAAGCTCTTTATAAACTAATTTAAGTAATAAATAAATGTGTTGTATGCCATCCCTAACACTTATAATAATAATTAAGATAAATACAAAAGAAAGGCAGTTAGTTTAAATCGATAGCAATAACAGAAACCTTAAATAAAAGATACTAGTTCATTTTTGATTCCAATGACCAGATGCTTAACTTTTAAACCATATTCAGGAAGCACTGATATAATAATAAATGTATGAATATTAATAAAAAGGATGTTGGTTATTATTACAAATTTGGAAGCAGTCCGATAAAATTAGTAAAAGGATTATTGGAAGAGAATGGTTTTAAAGAAAGTAATGATAAAAATTGGACTTTGTATTGGTCATCATGTGCAATAAAATCAGAAGTTTATACTAATTTATTTGCTTATTAAAAAGTATGTCATTTTCCAAAATCATATGAAATGACTCGTAAAGATTTAATGCATCGTAACATTTCAAAAATGTAAATAAATAATGGATTTATCAATTTTAATTTTATCCCAAAGACATATATATTGCCAACAGAGATGAGTTATTTTTTAGAGGAACATGAGAAAATAAAGAATAATAATCCTATCTACATTTGTAAACCACATGCTAGTTCTCAAGGGAAAGGCATCTTTATTACTGATAAGATACAAGATGTAAATTAATATTATTATTATTTTTAAGATATTAAATAAATAGAATTCTAATAATTCATATGTTGTTTCACATTATATTGATAAACCATTATTGATAAATAATCTAAAATTTGATTTAAGAATATATGTAGCTATAAGTTGTATAAATCCATTGAGAATATATGTTTATTAAGATGGATTGGCAAGATTTGCTACAGAAGCATATAATTCTGATTCTGTAAAATAGAATAGATTTGTTCACTTAACTAATTATTCAGTCAATAAGGATTCTCCTAATTTTGTAGCAAATTAAGATCCAACATTAGATTATGTAGGTAGTAAGTGGAGTTTATTGGCTTTAAGAGAATACTTAAAATTAAACAAAATAAATGAAGTATATAATTATAATTATTTAGTAATAAATATTTGAGAGAATTGAAGATTTAATAATTAAGACAATAATTAGTGTTGAGAGTGCAATATTCTAGGCATGTGAAATGAATGTACCATTTAGATCTAATTGTTTTTCCTTATTTGGATTTGATGTATTAGTGGATTCATTTTTGAAACCTTGGTTATTGGAAGTTAATTTTTCACCATCACTTAATATTGATGCACCATTAGATCTTAAAATAAAAGGAGAAATGTTAGCAGACCTATTCACATTAATAGGAATTGTACCATTAGTAATCTTCATTATGATTAAAGGACTAAAGATTTTCATAAGATTTGTCTTATGTTAGAAATCAAAGCAATTATGATTCTAAGAAACATTAATAGGAATTTGAAAAATATATAATTAAAGAAACAGAGGAGGAATTGAAAAGAAGTAGAGGATGGAAAAGACTATATCCATCAGATTAAAGTTATCGATATACTAAATATTTTGAATCTGATAGGCCTTTAAATGCATTACTGAGAAATTATTATAAATGAAATATTATCAATGTTATTATCTGTTTGAAATAATTAATAATAAATTTTTATTAAATATGAGTGACGAGGAAGAAGAAGTTGAAGAAGAAGAATAAGAAGAAGAAGAACAATAAGAAGAATAGAAACCATAGAAATAAGAAAATGATGAATTAAATGAGTTTCGAAAATATAATCCTCATTCTTCATATGCTAATATGCATAAGTACCCTAAAAATCATAATGATCACAATCCACTAGCCTATTATTATCAAAGATAATTACCTATTCCTTATTAACCTTCCCAATATTGGATGGAAAGAGTTCAATATCATTAAAAGGAGATAGATAGAGCCAAATAAGTTTTATTAAATGTTTAAAAGCCTCAACCTAATATGTATAATTATGAAAGGTCTTTGAACTATTAACCTAACAATTCACCACTTCCACAAAAAGTATAAATAGAATCACAAAAGTCTTTAATCCCTCCCTATTAATAACCATCATATAATTTTGAACCAAGAGATTTTAACCGTTCAAATCAAGCCTAAGTATAACCACCCTACCCTTATAATTTTAATCCATAGTCTTCAAAATATAATTCTTATCCCCCACCTCCATTATAGAGTTATTAACCCCCACCATAATAAAATTATTATCCTCATCCACAATATGATCTATAGAACTCATAATTTTCTGGCAATCCAACTATCAACTCTTAATATTAGCCATATTCTCCTTACCAAAATTATTATCCTCCCCCTCCTCCATTTGCCTATGTTCCTCCTCCTTATGATTTTTAATAAGATCTTATGAATGAGTACCCAAAGGTCAACCTCCAAAATAGTAAGTAAGTTTAAACTGAAAAAATCCAAGATTTACCTTAATTACCTACTGGCATTTCCTAATTTCAACAAGAAAAACCATAACCCTTTTCACAATAGAATATTGCTCCTACTCAACCTTTAAGTGAAACAGAATTAGAATATATAGAATTTTTAAGATTCAAAGAATTTAATTAAAAGCAATAATAATAAATTGATGATTAAGATTTTTAAGAGTTTTAAGAATTCAGAAAACTTAAACAATAATAATTATTCAAATAAACAGTTGATCGAGAAGAAGAAAAGAGATCATTAGGGGATCTCTATAAGAGAAAAAATAGATAAGGTATTTTAAATTATAATAATCAAATAGTCTATTCAGAATAAGAGTATAAATCTTAATTGGATAAAAAGAGAGATTATCAATAGTTTCACCAGCCATATACAAAACCTCTTTAATAGGAAACAAATCTAGAGATAGATCGAGCAATTAATGCTTTGATGAGATCATAGACTGGCACAAACAAGGACTTTTTTAAATGAATTATTATATTATCTTTATATATAATAATCAAATAATCTTAGATTATCAGTATAATTTGAAGACTGATTTAATTGTATATAAAGTTTATTTAAATTTTAAAAGCGATCATATTGTCATTTATGCCTATAGATAATAGATTGATATTTTTTAAGGATTATTGGTATAAAAATTGAAGTATTTTTAAATAAAAAGGGTTCTCTAAAATATTTAGAAGAAATTGATTTTATGAGGGATTAGGTATTGGCAAAAAAGTAAGTAAATTATATCTAATTATCTATGATAGAATTATTATGATAACCTTTTATAAAATTATTATTAAAGGTTAAAACAATTCATCATCATAAAATATGAAGAAATTTTTTATTTCACCAAATTAGATTATATATTTATTATTTTGAAATGAAAAATAAATAAAAAATAGAGTATTAAATAATTAATGTAATTATCATGATATTTTACTATATTATATGATTAAAGAGATATATTTAATAATACTAGAAATTTTGAATGAGAATTAAATGCTTAAGGAAAAAAGAGTTCTTAATAATGATAGATTTTTTTTTAATAACAAAAAATTCATTAGTACTAAAATTACTGTTTTTGCTTTTAGTTTTTGTTTTCAGCTTCCATTAATTATTTTATAAATTCAGGAACTCTTTATTTTTCTTTTTCTAAACTCCTAAGCTTTAATATAAAATAAAACCTCTTAAATTCAATTATCTATTTCTAACCTTTCAATATTTCTTTGAGTGCCTCTGTTCTTTCCTTATTGCCAATCTTTTTCATAAGATCCTCAGGTAAATTTTGATCAAATGGATTATATTGTACATACATATTATGCATATTTTTATAAAAGTGTAATTCATCTAATAGTTGAATGCATTTAAATATACCTTCATATTTCTAAAGCATGAAATCTGGCTTTTGAACATACCTCTAATCATAAGGTATGTACCATTTATTATAAAATTCTTTCTATTTTTTTGGTAAATAAGGTAATGAAGGTTGTTTAGTTTTTTTTATTTTATTAATTTCTTCTTTCTATTTAGATATATTTTCTTAATTTTTATGAATGATTTACTATGTATATCTCTATATGTGGGTTCAGTTTTTTGGGGATCATTTGATTTCATTCTCCTCTTTACTGAGATTTATGCTAGTTAATCAAGTTACTCGAGGTTAGGAGATTTGTTATAATGAATTGATCCAAGAATGGGAGGAGCGACTTATCTCAAATTTAAGAACTTTTGTTGTATTTTAGATTCGGTTTCCATAAATATTAATATGATAAAAAGTATATGTAATTAAAAATTAAATATTTTTAAGGACAATAGTTTGAGAAGATTGAATGTTGAAATGACTAAATTTATATTACTTAGTCTATATTAAGTAAAATATTAATAATGGGGTGGTGCTAATAATTATTAAATAATATGTCTTTTAAATACATATATTATAATGATACTGGATGATAGAGATCAATAAATTGATTATCCTCTTATAATGAAATTATACTAATTATAATAAGATAATAATGTTATTTTTTATAAATTGAATAATAGAATATAATACTAGATATGTGGAGATATGAAAGTGATTGTAAATGATAAAAAGTTAACTTAAAATAGAAAAATGGATACAGATATTTATGAAGTAAAGTTTGTCTGTAGTTGTCCATAATAATAATAAATAAATTATGCAAAGAGATTTGAAACTTGAAAAAGTTATTTTCTAATGTTTATAACCAAACTTTAATATAAAATTATTGATTTCAAATATATAATAAAGATGGAAACTATTTTACAATTTTATAAGATATAACAATATAATAAAGTAGATCTTTTATGCATAATTTTAATTATCAATTACATGCATTTTGTTATTCTTTTTCGGATATGAAATTATAAGCCATAGAATAACTAAAACATTAAATAAAGGTAAGAGAAAATAATACATTATTATAATTCAAATTCTAGCAAGAAAGCCATAAATTCCAAGATTCTATTAAAGATGAGGAAATACAGGAATTTTAACTATATAAAAAATAAAATTTGTAGGAATAAAATTAAAGTTGATAAAACTTATTTATTCTAAGATATGAAAAAGGCATGATTATTGATCTTTGGATTATTATAGTTTATGATGATTTTACACATTATTATAATTTATTAATAATGAATTTTAATTCTTAATAAAATTTTAGATTTTGCAATAATAAATAGTAATATGAGATTCCAGAAGCTCTCAAAAAGAAGATTCAGAATAGAGCTAGGCATATGATTATTTCATTCACTTTGGTAGTTTTTGGAGGAGTTCTTCTAGCAGGCAAATATACTTATTAAAAGTTTTATCCAAAGGAAACTTAAAAATTTAATGAGACATAAATAGTAAATGAGAATTAGAAAATTATTGAGGATAAATAAATTTCATTAGAGAAACCAAAATAATGAATTATTGAAAATTCAAATGAAGTTTTATGATAAAAATATATTTACAAAATTTTTATATTTAACAAAATAAAACAAAAAAAGTAGTGTTTTTATATAGCACTTGTAATTAAGAAAAGAACCCGAACAATATGAGCAAATATGAAAAATATGGAAATTAATAAATGAATAAAACAAACTAGAAGTTTAATATAATGATTAAATTTATTAGTATAAAAAGAAAGTAAAATTTTGCATCTTTATTATAGAATATTTTATATATTATATATGTAGAGTTTAATATAATTTCCAATCTATTTGGATAAAATAATGAAAATTTCAAAATTTGAAAGAAATAGAACAAGAATTCTTTTTTTAGATTTATGATAAATAATTCCCATTTTGATAGGTTGATTATAAAAAAATTAGTAAATATATAAATTATGAATTCAAGGAATCTAAAATAAATAATATTAATTTTTGTATTTTCTTTATAAATATCAATTAATTCAATTTTATTATATCTAATTGTTAAGGAATTACTGTTTTTTTTTAGTTAGTTTTTCAGCCATTTATTTACGAAATATCTTTTAAAATTGTTTAGCTGGACAATTCTGATCTTCTTTTTAAATATAATCATGCATTTCTGTTGATATAAATTATCCTTCAAAAGTAGGTATCTTTTCGTAAACCTAAACTAATCAACTTTTAAATACCTGCTATCTATCAATCTATTACTTATGAGAGGTTGTATATGGCAGGAAACTCATTTTATGAGTAGTTTATCCTTCAAATTACCCAGTAGGAATTGGAGTTCTCTAATATTAAGAGATTGCTTACAAACCAGTTTTGAAATAACTTGCATTATTAATATTCCATCTATTTGGGGATATATAAGAATCTTTGTATTGGGAAGTGCCAATAAATTTGATATCAGGACTTGTACTTATGTGAGGATAGGGAATAAATTTATGATAATTAGTTCCCCATTCATTATAATTGGACTATTTTATAAATAGAAAAATACTCTGTAACTTGTTAGATTAGACACAGATCCTATTTAATGATTAGTAGGTTTTTTGAGGTTAGGTTAAAATTCAAGAGGCTGTTATTGAAAATCTTATTAATAGAGAGATTTTAAATTTATAGATTTTTGATCCATGAAATTTGTTTCATATGTTTTTTAATTAAGTGGATTTGTTAAACTTTTTTTTGATTTGTGATTGCTAACATAATCTTTATCATAATTTGTTAAGAAAATTCCATTAAGTTTCAATTTGACTTAAGTGTTAGCATCACATTTGCATCTTCCACAAGTACATTTGAAACAAGCACATAATTTTAAGTGATGATAAAAATAATCTGTATTTTCATCAAGTAATTAAATAAGCTATTTTTCATCTAAGTTTAGATTTTCAGGAAGTATTCTTTTCCATATTGGATCATCCATACTTATTTCTGATAATAGCTGAGGAGTTATATCATAACAATTATGATCTTCCTTCTAATATTATTGGAATTGAGTTTGAGACTATCTATTCTTCATCAGATTATTCTTTTTATGAATAAATTACTTATGTTTCACAGCTCCACTAACAGTTTATAGTTATGATGATGGGGGGCGTTATAAAGATTATTGTTAATTGCAATATTTTTATTAGCTCTTAGGCCTATAAGATCCTAATTAATTATTGTATTAAAGAAGGTTCTGAGGTTTTTGTTTTAATAAATCTGAAAGACCTTCTTAATTCATCTTTTAATTAAATATATTTTATGTTTCAATTACATTATTTTTAAGAAATATATGTTTTACAATTATCTTAATATTATTTTCTTAAATGTATGATTTTTATAATATTTTCAAGCTCTTCCTCTACCTCTTCCTCTTCCTCTGCCTCTACCTCTTCCTCTTGCTGCTGAGCTAGCAGGTAATTTTGATTATAAGGTATTAGTTTTAGAACTTTCAGCTTTCTTTTACTTTGCACTCTTTTTCAAATCTAAAAATATAAATTTATATAAATACATATGAAAGTGCCTGTTCCAGCCTTATAAATTCTAAATGCTTTGCCATTAATGACTGCTTAACTTGTTGAAGCTAATGCTAAGGATCTATTCAAACTGTTTGGATCAGCAAATTCAACAAAATTAAAATGATTTGGTTGCACTTTACGATTCTCATACTTTTATCCCTTTCTAAATCTTGCATCTAAAATAACACCTACTTCAAATTTATTGAAGAATGCAATAATATCTGGGATATTAAAGATTGGTTGAATCCAAGCAGTTCTTTCTAGTCTACTCTCTTCAATTTAATTCAATTTAGAGAAGAGATCTATTCTAATATTTGATTTTAATTCATCATATCCTTTTTTTAAACAATATAAACCATAATCAGTAATTGAATTATTCTTAATGAAGATTTCTTGTAAATTAGTTTTCTTAATCAAATTTAAAATGCCATCTTCTGATAAGAAATTAAATCTTAATCCAAGAGTAGATACTTTTGATTATTTATTCTCACTTAAACCTTCTGTAATTGCCAATAATCCCTTATTTCTAATTCTATTATTACCTAGATCAATAAATTCTAGAGTTTTATTAATCTTAAATGTTGTTCCAAATTCTTTAGCACCATCAAATCCAATTAAATTGAAGAAGAGATTTAATTGTTTAAGTGTTTAGTTCTTTCTTAATGCTAATGCAATACTCTTTCCACCTGAAACACCAACTTTATTACCTGATAAATCTAAAAATTCTAAAGTTGTATTTGATTCTAAAAAGTTACTTAATACTTTAGCCCCTTCTTTATTTAAATTATTTCTACTAAGATTTAAAACTCTTAATTTATTGACTTTATGATGTACCATTTCAACTAATAAGTCCATATCTTTCTTATTAAATTATTTCTCAGCAAAGTTGAGATCTATAAGATTTGGATTCTTTTCAAAAATGTTTTAGAAATCATTCTTAGCTTTATATTAATTCTTATAATGATTAATATCAAAATTTGAACTAAATGGAGATATTTTAACATCAAGAGTTTATAAATTACATTTAAACACTTTTTTGTAATCATCTCCTGTCATTTTACTAGCTTTATTTGCATCTCCATACCAAACTTCATGGTCATGATTAGATATAGACATACTTTCCACTAATTTCTTTAATTTTTAATAGTTTATTCCATCATAATTTAAATTAATTATACTTAATTATCCTCCCTTTTATGCATTAAATGCTATTGCTTTACCTAATTATTCTAATTTTTAATCATTAAATTCTCCTATGGCATTTAAATTCAATGTTTTTAAAGTTCTACTTTCACCTAATGCAACAAAGAATTCTTTTGTTAAATTCAAAGAAGATAATCTTTCTAAATTTAAATTTTCTAAACTTGCAGTTATTCTTAATAATTTATATAAACTTTCTACTAATTCAACTGATGTAATTGATCCACATCCAGAAATATCTAAAAATGTTAATTTTGGTGAGAAACTCAAATTATAAACAATTGATGCCAATCCTTTTTCAGTAGCTAAATGATTTAAAGATAAATCTACTGTTACTAATTATTTTGCTCTCATTAAACCATCAGTTATTTCTTTTGCTATATTTGCATTACGAATTGATCCTTTCAAATTCAAAAATTCAAGATGTCTAAATGAAGTAATTATAGCACCTACTGTCTTTGCAGCATTACTTAATGTCATTAAATCTGTATTTTCAATTGTAAGAGATTTTATTTGATTTTAAAATTGATATAATACTCCAAATATTGACTCTGTAATTTCTAATTAATTTCCTTAAAAGCCTAATTTATTTATCTCAATAATTGATAAACTGTTTTATTATTTACTTAAATTATTTAATCCTTTATAAATTGATTTAGCAGCTTTCTTTGGGAAAATAATACTACCCAATTATTCTTATCCAGTCAAAGTCAATCTAACTAATTTAGTAAATTATTCTAAAGCAGCAGTAATATAATAATATCCTGATGAAACAGTCTTAATGTTAATCAAAACAAGAACTAAATCTATTAATTAATCTTTCACTATTGTGACTTTTTCATAAAAGCTTTGGAAATCAGGACAAGAATCAAATTGAAGTAAGAATTATTCAAAATCTAATTTCATATACAATTATTGCCAAGTATGCTTTGGAAAATCAATTTAATATTTAATACTATGATGTTAATTTCTAAGAGTTTCTATCTTATTATAGAGTCTATCTTCTGGTTTAAGACCAAATCCATTCAATACTCTGAAATTTGATTATTAAGCCAATTCAGTAGCATCTAATTGAGAATTCCATTTCAATTATTCATCGATCCAATCCCATCTTTTACATAATTCTTATTTCCAATCAACATTTTATTTTGCTTCAATATTATATTTAACTTATTTTTTATCTTATTCCTATTTAGTAATTACATAGAAATCTTAAACTTTAGAGTATTTTTTTTAATATTACCTCACTTATTCAATTGCTGGTGGTAATTAATTCATTTCTTCAACAGTACCATGATATTTCTTTTCTTTAGAATTCTTTACAGCTTATTTTAATAATTAATTCAATTCTTCAACTGATTTTTTCTCCTATCCAATGAATTCATAGAAAGCATCATAATTGACTACTCTTTTAAAAGCTTCAAATATCTTTTCTTGAATTCCATTTTCAATACCAGTTGTTAATAAACAATAATTGTTATCAAATCTTTCTAAAATCTCCTTCTATGTCTTCAATGGTTGAACAACATAAGTTAAATAAATATATTAGAAACAACCCATTTAAAATGATGTTGATTATTATTTAAATGTGATTTCAACTCTCTTTGTTGCACTAATTGCACCTTCCAATTTTTCATCAGCTAATTCTGGGATTTCTTTCAATAACCAAAATACTTATCTATCTAATTATTCTGCTGTATAAGATTAAACTAAATCTCCAAAAGTGTATTTTTTAGATACATATAGTAAATTAAATAATATACCAAGATTAGGAGTATGTTCTTTTGTTCTACTCTTTTCATCAGTTATAAATTTATGAATAATTGCATCTACTTACTAATAAAGTTATGGCCATTATTCCATACATAATAACCATAAGGCATGAACTTAAGCCAACACTCTTAAACATCTAATTGATGCATGAGTTTTCTCAGCCATCATACCATGAACAATACTTTATGTGATCTTTGGAAATACTTCCAAAACAAATTCAGGCTTGAATCTTTTAGTATTGTTTGTCATTATCATAGATAATGATCTTTATAAGAGATGTAATACTCTCTCTTTATTATCAGTCTTACCAAAATAAAGAGGTAACCAATGAGTATATTATAAATTTAATGAATCCCATTTTAATCCTTCATTTAAAAAAGCTTTAATTGATACATAATCCAAAGATGGTACTGCTTATTTGATTGAACCAGTTCTTGGAACCTTAGAGACATTCAATAGGATTCCTAGACAACTTTCTTATTTGATCTTAGTTTCATCTTCAAATTATGGGGCTTATGGTTTTCTATAACTTAATTTAGTATGGAAACAAAGGAATTATTATTCTAACAATTCTTATTCTGTTAATTTGTTAATAAATTATTCTTCATCAACTTCCTTAGTATTGAATTATGGCCACAAAGAGAGTTTGCCTCCATGTTTACAATTCTTGGTTGTACATTTAAAATTATTAGCAGCTTAAACTGCCTTTTTAATTTAGGCTAATTATTTCTCCTTCTTTTCAGTAATCTATTCTTCAAATAGAAAGGCTGACAACTATAATAATATGGATTGAATAGTGTAAGAACTAGACCATCCTGATTACTTATCCTTATCTTCTGGCTTTCTTGGTTAAAGTAAATCAAGACAAATGGAATTACCAAAAACATTTGGATGAGGTAATTCTGTGAATAGATTTATTTTAGGTGGTTAGTGTGGATAAGACTCTGGTATTAATAACTCAAAATGAAAGATTCCACCTTCATATGGAGTTCCAACAGGTCCTCTTATATTTGCATGCCAAATAAAGAGATCATGTTCAAGGGGTCTAGCAGTAACTCCCACTGTGGGAATGGACTCCTTCTCAATGATATTGAGATCCTTCAACAATCTCTTAGTAGCAAAATTTTATGCTTGAGTGTTGATGAGCGTCCTTAAAACTGCAGTATCCTTAGATTTACCTTATTTAATCATTATATTTTTTACAAAAATTATTAAATCTTTTTATTCCCTGATGTAAAAATTTCAATATAAAAATTTTATTTGCAATTATATGGATTAAAAATCAAATGAAATGGAAATGGCTATGGTACATTTAGCCAAACCAGAAATTAATGACTAAACAGAAGAATACAAGGTTTACACAAGGAGATATATAATGGCATCATTTTTTGCATTTTCCACAGTATTTAATATCTAAAGTTTAAGATCTGTTCATCAATGATGTTTTCAACTTGTAATCCAATAGCATCAGTTCTGTCAGCTATATATGAAATACCAACATTTATAATATCATTAGCTGCTAATGGATTTTTATTAATGCATCCTCTATTGACTTTTGTATGTAATTCAATCAATCTTAAAAAAAAGAAACATTTATTGTCAATTAAACAGATATTTCAGTTAGTCTTAAAATAGGATGTGCATTAACATTACTAGGTGCATTAATCAGAACTACCACAGTTATCACAGAAAGGTTGCATAGATTTACTAAAATATAGATTTTATACTATTATTTTAGGGTCACTTGTTGCAGGAATGGGAAGACCCTTTATTATCAATATTTAAGCAAATGTTGCAAAAGAATGGTTCAGACCGGAAGATAAAACTACAGTTATGATTGCCTTTTCATTCATTATTACATGTTCAAGTGTATTTGGGTATATTTTAAATTATAATTAGTGTAATAATACCTGGCTAAATGTTCAAAGGTTATAAATATGAAACAGATCCTGAAGATGGTAAATGGTTAACTGGAAGGTTGATGGTTGTTGAATTAGAAATCTTTAGTGCTATTTTAATACCTGCCATTCTTTTCTTTAGACCAAGTCCACCTACTCCACCTGGTCCTATCAATAAATCAAGAGATGAATTTACTTATATGTAATCGTTGAAAATGACAGCAAATAATAAAAATTTTGTAACATATTTAATATAAATAATATAATTAGATCCTATTGTTTATATGTTATAGTCTATTGATGGGTGGGTTTCATGCTCTAGCTGTTGTCATTTCATACCTTTTTAATCCATTTGGTTTTACTCCCTCTTAAACTAGTTTCATATGTAAATTATTTAGATTTTTACAGTTTAGAAAGTTCTCCTATTATTTGTGGATTTGTTAGTTCTGTTATGTATTCTATATTAATAAGAAAATATCATTTGAATCATAAGAAAATAGTTTTATTTAATTTAATCCCAGTATTAGCTAGTTTAGGATTGAGTTACTTTGCATTAATGACTGAAAGTTTACCTCTTGTTTTATCATGTTATTCAGTATTATAATTTATTTTAATAGGTTCTTGGCTTTTTTGTGATTCCTTGCATACCATTATAACTTGAATTAGCATGCAAAGTCTTACATCCTATAAATTAAACTATAGCAGTAGGATTTTTATTAGCAGGTGTTCATATATGGAGTTTTGTATTTGGCGAGATTCTCTCATTAATAACTCATGATTAAAATAAGTATATTTTTAATATTATTATTAGAACTCAAGCTTTTTATGGATGTTTATTATTATTTTTATCTTTTCTAGCTGCTGCTATTTGTTTCTCTAGAGTTCAATTACCTAAAGATGAGGGAGAAAATACTTCAGTGAACCAATCTACTTAAGAAGCTATATGAGCATTTTATATAATAATTTTTGATTCAAAATTTTTCTAAATTCGATCCCATTATAATTTTATATTATAATTAAATCTTTTACATCATTTGATGTAATAATTATTACTATAACGTGCCTAATAAGACTTAGACTTAAAAGATCTATATGATACTAGTGGAAATAAAACTTAAAATTACAATAATTAAATTGATGATTCTGTATCAGAATAGGTCTAAATTAATAATGAGAATCATTAGCAAGGATGTACGTAATTCTAATAAAGTAAAAATCAAAAGAATATTTCCTTTCGTAGAAATGAGGATTAAGATAGTGATAATGACTATGAAAATGTTTAAAAATATGAATGTCACTAAAAAATCGATCCACTTAAAAAATGAATTAATATCCGGCAAAGTAAAGAAATATTAATATTATTCTAATCATTATTTACTAAAATGATTAGGATTTTATTAATGAATATTATCATAAAAATCATTATACAATTTAAAAAATGAAACTTCTTAAATTATATATGTACAATTTAAGATACATCTTACTACTAAGCTATATTTAATAAATTTTCTATCTCTTATGTTGAATTTTTCATATCTATTTAAATAATATTAAGTTTAATTAAATAATTTCAAGAATTAGAAAAATAACAAAATTATTTATTTATTCTTTCAGAAGATGCAATCGTTTATTATTTTATAATAAAGTGAAATGGATTAAAGTAGAAAAATTCTAAAGTTAAAAAATTGAATTAAATCAAGAAATGCAATTATATTCTTCATCTAACTAAATTAAATAATATTCTTATAAATTTAGATTTATTGAAGAATGTAAATTTTTTATTTGATAAGTCTTAGCGGATATTTTAGGCTTCATTTTAAATTGTATGTCAGGTATTTCAGAAACATCCTTTTCAATTATTTCACTGCAATAACACTAATTTTATGGGTTTTTTTCATTATTTTCTTATTTCAAATCTTTTACATTAAAATAATGCTAATTAATGCGGAAAGTATCCTATGGTCTTAATTAAAATGATTTCTATTAAATTTTTTTCCAAGTTCCTATAATAAAATCATTTTGATACCATATTTACTCTTTAATATTTCATTATTTGGATAATTGTATTTTCCATCATATAATCTCCATACACCTTATTAATAATTTACATAAAATTGATAACTTATATAATTTAAATTTATTTACTTATCAACTTATTCACAATTAATTCTATGGGTTCCTGGTAAATTATAGGTGCCTCCAAATTAATAATTCTCTCCTTCATGTCCATAAATAGCTATAAATTTAACATTTTATATTTCTAAAATTAATAATGGATTTAGTATAAAGGCTTAATACTAATAAATTAATAAAAATTGTTTAATACAAATTCAATATATTATTGCACTTCATTAACATCATAAGCATCTAAAAGTCTTCTCAAAATAATTTAAACTGAATATGCTATTCCAATAATATCAGTTTTTAATTTTCTTAGAAATTCTTAAACATTCTTTAAATTAACTTCTAAATTCATATCTAATAATTCACATTCAACACATTTTACAGAATGAACAATCATTTTTAAATCATTACCTAATATAATTTCATCATTTTTATAAAGTATATTTCTTTCATCATCACTATGTAACCAAATCTAAGAATGTATCATAATAGCATTTACTTAAACCATCTTTTCTCTTCCAATATCTATTATACAATTAGGCTTTTCTGTTACAAATTATTTGATTATTTTTATAGCTGTAATTGGTACAACTATCTCAAGATGCTTTATAATATATAAGAACATAATAAACGAATAGGATAAATTTTTTAACTATTATTAATTAGTTTAGATACTTGTTTCGTAAGTAGACATTATATGATTTCACAATCAGGAATTACATAATCATTTGGGATTATTGTAAAATCTTAAAACTCTAATTTCTCTAATGACCCAAATACAAATTTATCATCCACTTAAATGTTCTTTGTTCTCTTTAAATCCCGAGATTCTATGATCATAATATTAATACATTATGACTAATTCTTAAAAATGCTTAATAGACAATACAGTTACTATTGTTATAATTAAGGCTTAAAGATAACTAATCTGATTTTACATATTAGCAACCAATAAACTTCCTGAGTTCTAATTTGAATTGTACTTGAGATAATTTAAGGAATTCATCATTTGTTGTATTATTTACTTTTTTCATCATTTAATAATACCTGAAGGAAATGAAGAATATGTTGTAGCAAAAGTATATTCAACAGGATCTATACTCTCAATAATCTATTATTCTTTTAAAATCATATCAATAATTAATTAAATATTTAATACTAAAAATGCAGCAATTGTATCAACTCCTCCTTTCATAATAAGAAAATCTCACTGAAATAACTTATTCTGTTGTATATAGAAATTAATACGGATTATATGGATTGGATAATAAATTCACTAACTCAACTTAAATATCCAATCATAATTCCATTAAATGTATGGCTGTCTCAAAATATAGTATTGTGGTATTTAATATATATTAAAATGTAGTCTGGAGGAGAATTTGGAATTGAACATTGGGGAAATAAAAACTTTAATATTCAATTGAGAGTTTAATCAATATCATTCTCTCCAGATTATGAATATATAATAATATTATCAGCAAAAGAGACCTACTTATTGTCAACAAAAACATAAAATTTTGTTAAGACATTTCCTCATGAAGTGAAATTTGATTCAACAGGATCTCTTTGTTTTTGTAAAGGAATAGTTTATGAAACAGCAACTTTTTAATAGCTAAAATAATTTAAATGCCCAGAGTATGGAGACTTTACTATTTCAATTTAAAGGGATTCATTATATTTATCATCTGTTACATTAATAAAACATTTAGAAGACTTAAAAGATTGTCGACTTATTATTGATAATTATGATACAAATAAACATTTCGAACATTCAATTCCTCCCTCGAATGAAGTTAAATAGTTATGGTCAGATGATGGAAAAATATTATTAATTTGGTCATAAACATTAGATGATCACACAAATTAGAGTTATTTTGGTACTCATCATTTAAATCATTGGACAGAAGATAAATTATAAAATATAGAATTATTTGAAGGACCTATTCATGATGTATAATGGGTTTAGAATGGATTTATAGTTATAACTGGATATATGCCAGCAGGTGCAATTCTATTTAATAAATCAGGAGAAAAAGAATATTTAATATTATAAGCTCATATAAATACAATTTTTCCTAAGAATAATTTAGTAGCTCTGTGTGGCTTTGGTAATCTGACTGGAGATATATATATTTATGAAATGGATACCCTCAAAAAGGTAGGTTAAACTAAATAAGACAAAGTAGTATAATTTGAATGGAGTCCAAATGGAGAATATTTTTTATTAGCTACAACATTTCCAAGATTGAGAGTTGATAACTAATTTATAATATGTTCTAAATTTGGTGAATTTTTACATAGAGAAAAGTTTGAAGAATTATATGAAATTAAATGGGTTAATGATACTAATTTAGATATTGAAATCAATATAGTAGAGGAAGTAAAATAATCAAAACAAATTAATCTTACAACTGGAGTTGGTATTTTAATTTAATATAATATATAGATTTTATTAAATAAATGAAAGAAACTAAGGTTAATGATCAACCTAGGAAATTATAGAAAGATGAAAAATTATCTACATTAAGAGCTTCTCCTTAAAATTAATAAAATGTTTAAATAATCTAAAGTAATGTACCTCCTAAAACAGCACCTTAGAAACAAATATTTATGAGAAGATAAGAACCTATTATTTAATAGCCTACAGCTGAAGAATTAGAATAATAACATTAGCAACACTTACAATAATAATAATAGATGAAATTAGAAAAAAAATAAAAATAAAAACATAACAAATAGATGAATAATCAAAATCATAAATAAAAATAAAAGTAAGTTCCTCCAAATGACTTTTAATATGAGCCAAATCAAGATATAGGATAAAATTGTTATCCTATATGGCAGGATTGATTAAATATATATCGATATACAAATAAAATTGATCAAAATATATCCATTACCTCATGCTTTTCTGTCCAATAATTCCCTTTATATACATATCCTTTAGTTTTTGTATCAATATCTTCTTTTATCTCAAAGAATTTTGGAATATGAACTTCTTTTCTTTAATCCATTATTCTTCTTCTCTCTCTTTACTTCTCTTCAATTCTTACTTTTTCATTTTACCCAAGTTCTTTCCAACCATTTTCTAAAGCTGCTATATCTGGTCTCAAACGTGAATCTGTACATGGTATTTCCTTATATAATAAATTAATTTAAAATACAAGTAAAGTTTATTTGTTAAGATAGTTTGCTTACATCATTAAAGGAATATAATTATAATAATAGTATGCTTCTTATCCAGGTATGATTCGTTGCCAAAGTAATTCATCACCAACGTATAAGGATGAATTATAAAAACCAGTAATCTTGTATCTTAAGTTCTAATTACAATCTCTGACTTCAGCATTAACTTAAGTGAAGTTCTATATAATTAATTATATATAACATACTTAACCTTCACCATACTCTCTTAAATCAACTATACCAATATCTCCTGTCTAATGATTAATATACTTTATCTTTCCCACATGTTCAAAATATCTTTCTCCAAATATTAGATTCTTAACAAGCATATTAGGCATATCAAAACTATAATGTTCTTTATATTTTCTTAAATAAAGGTGAGATTTTCCTATCATTGTTATTTTTATATTAGTTCCTCCAAATCCTATTTATGAATCATTCTATGCCCAAAATTTAAAATCCCTTCCTTCACAATGTACAGCTGATATTGGAGGATGATGTGATACTTATTCACATACAATACAATAATCAGGAGTTAAAAACTCAAAAGTTTCTCCTAAAAGTGGATTAAATGGTTTCTTCTGATTATCCAATGAAGATGTACATCGAGACAACGTAAATGCAATAATATGACACATTCTTTTACAAGAATCATCACATTAACTAGCTTTTTTAATTTAATCAAAATAAGCAAATTGTTGTACAATCAATTGTAAAACTGACATTGGTTAATGAAATATCACTTAAATTATAGTATTAAAATATACAAGGAAATGGAATTCTTGTTAGATCTTTTCCAATGCATGATTTAAGAAAGGGCAAAATACAAAATTTTTCTTTGGGATCCTATTTATATGGTAAATGTGTCCTTTCAGGTTCGTCTGTTATGTGTATTTAAGTATAAACAGGACTATTGATTAGATTTTTCTAGTTTATTGATAAATATCTACATATTTGATTGGCTAGGTATGTTTAATTGATTCTAAAATGCTTTAAAGAGACTATGTTTTTTGGGAAATATCAAATTCTTGGACTTTCATTTATATTTATTTTTGAATTTTATTAATTGGAATTACAATCTACTTTTGATTAAAATTTTCATAAACACTATCATCATCATTAATAAATCTTTCCTTTTCTTACTCTAACAAAGTAAATCCCAAAGTTAAAAATGTTTTTAAATTCTAACCAAGATTATACAATTTTGTTGTTATTTCATACTAAATTTAGGAACAATTAATCTAAAGGGTATTCAATGTTTCATCAAATGCTGCAAATGTAACCCAGATTTTTGATAGTAAATCATTTATTTGGCTTTCAAAATTTTATACTTTATTTTTTTGTGAGCTCTCTTATGCAATTTTTAATGCATTTAACCAATCTCCAAATTAAGTTTGAGAATTTGCTTTTAATTTTAATTCATTTGTTCCTGATTATATCATAATCACAAAAGGATCATCTTCAACTGTAAAAATTACAGATATCTTCAAACTTACTTTACCTTCAACATTACTTCCTTTTTATTCACAAAATGTTAAAATATCATCATAAAGTATAAAATAACTAGGTTACCATTTTTTTTAAATATTTGTCCACTTCAATAAATAACCTTCCATTAAAATATTATATATATTATATTTTAAATCACTGAAAAATATATAATCAATAATTCAATTAATTTACAATTTAACATTTAAAATATAATAGATATATCTTATTTATAAATTAATTTTATAAGATAATATATTTCTTCTTTTCAAATTCACAATTAATATATCTCTGATATTATAATTTTTCAATTTTATTATACTTTTTACAATTATCAAAAATAAATTTAAAATTCTTTTTTTATAAATATATTTTTCTACAAATCTATATTATACAAGTCTTATTTATTAGATCATTTTATCAATATGAATGTAAAATAAAATAAAAATTTAACTTCAGTTTTAATGCTCAATTTACCTTTCGACAAATGGAGTTTAAAGTTTTACGATCCAGAATTCGAATCTCAATATGAGGATCACTTAAATAAAATTAGATTGGTATCCTTTCGTATACTAAACCTTACTATAAGTATTGCTGCATTTATATGCCTTTTAACTTTTATCATTCAATAATAATCTCAACTATTGTTTTTACTAATGACATTTACATTAGGGGGATGTGTCTTTTTATTAATTATCAGCAGAAAAATCTTACCTTATTTAAAATCAGTATTTTCATTTTACTACATATGGGCAATAACAACTAACATTCTTATTGCCTTTGCTGGCTTTTAAATGTAAAGTTACATCTATAATTTAGACCTAATTTTATATTTGGCTTCAATACATGTACTTTAGCAATTGGTACAATGTAATATAGTGATAATAGGCTTAAAGTAGTATATACTATAATTACTCCATTTGTATTATTAGGGGTATTTGATGTATATAGAGCTGATACTTTAGCTTTTGTTTTTTAGACTGTCTCATGTACTACTTTTATTGGAATTTGGGGATATATGAATGAGTATACATCTAGACTTGCTTTTTCTCTAAATCTAATTTCAAATAAACAAAAGTATGTATACAATTGTAATTAAGAAATTTGATCAATGAATTTGTAAATGATGGCATGTTTGCTTTAAGTTTAGATAAAAGAAGTAGATAATTTATTTTAGAATTTTAGAATAACAGATTCATGGAATTAATGAATATTAAAGAAACAGAAGAAATTAAAACATTTTTAAGATCTACCTTTATTATTGTGAAATCAGGTGAAAGTTAAACTAAATTAAGAGATAAAAACTAAACAAAAATTATAAATTTAGAAGATGTTTTTTTCTAAAGAATGTAGAGTTTTGAAAAATCTTTAAATTAAATAGATTAATAAGATAGTAATTTAGAAATTTATTAACATGATTTGATTAAAAATGAAACCATTAAAATGTGCTTACAATTAAGATTTCTAAATTTCGGTAAACCAATTATTATTGCCATTATAAAATCAGAATAAGTACCTAATTTAATTCATAAATATGAAAGCTAAATCAAAGAATATCAATAACTTATTATAAATATGTCTAATAAAATAATTAAGAAATAATCACTTCTTTATGGAGAAATGAAAAAAATAAAACTTGAAAACTTAATAGTATAATAAAAATTAATTTAAATAGAATGCCTTAATTTATCTATCATTAATTATATTCGAAACTATATGTTGTTTTTTTTAAAAAATAAAATTTTTGATATGAAATTGAATCTATAAGCTTGTAAATTTGATAATTATATAGCAATTATTAATCAATACTTTCAAGCAATATCTACTCATTATTCTATTTAATTTAAACTTCAAAATTACATTGATCGAAACTGTACTTTTAATATAAATATTAAATATCTAACTTAGATCTTAATTAATATATTTGATGAATTGATTAAAAATACTAGTGAAAATAATCTTATTAGTTTGAGAATAATTGAGGAATTTTAACAAAATAATAATGAAAAATAATAAAAAATCTAAAGAATTTAAAATAATAAATCAATAGCATAAATTAAGTTGGTTCAATTCACATTCATTTTTTCTAGTAATGAATACCTTAATTTAAGAAATCTTACTTTTAATAAGAATTTTACTAATAATGATTAATAATATGATATCTTTGAAGATGGTTCAATCATTTCAGAAATTACTAGCTTGCTTTTAGATAATATAGGTCCAAATAATAACATATAGATTAATCAATATCAAACAGCTTAAATGCCTTCATATTAGAATACTATTTCGTTCTTAATATATTCTGATTAATCCTAATTAGAACCATCTTATTTAAAGGTTAGAGAAAAACCTTTATTTAATTGATAAAAATTAATAATATTTAACTTAGAATCTGCTATTAATTTTTGTTAAAATATAATATATTTAGTTCATTGTTGATTATAAAGAATAGTTCGAATCTTAGCATCAATATATATAAGCAATTATGTTAATGATAAACTGTGAATTACTTCAAAGTAGGGTTACTTTTAAAATCTTGCTTCCTCTTATATTATATATTTTCTAAAGAATTCTTCTATTTTTAATGCATCTATGACATTATTTAAATGACAGGCAAGTATAAATTTTAATTGTTATTCTTATACTTCTTAGTCTATGTATTGTCGCAATTCATCAATATAATTGATTACTGTATTTTATTCAAATTATTATAATTTTACTTAACCTTCTATTAGACCTTGATTGAATTAGCTACCTAGCTCAAGAGCTTAACTGAAATATATTTTCTTTATTTTTTCTTATTCACTTGGCATTACTTTACTATAATTATATGCTAATCTAGTGAAAACAAGTCCTGTCAATCTACAATTATTCGAAATGTTTAAATCTAACAAAGCTGAAACAACATTCATTAGAAATATATATTTGTTTCTTTCCTATTAAATTTCATTATTAAAGTACATTATATAAAAATATTAATTAATATATAATATTAAAAATTTCAATATCTTTTAAGAAATCTACTTGGCAAAGATGAAAATTTGAAATTTTATATCACTTACTATCCATTTTTTAAATTTAATAGTACATCATTTAATGATTTTGATAAATCTATTCTACTACTTGATGATTCTACTATATTTTCAAAAGGGCTTATAAATAAATTCAATAATTCTCGGCCTAAATATTTTAATTAAGTAAAAGCATCCAAACTTTACAAAGCTTTTCCAGCAATCTAATATTTTGAACCAAAACTTTCTTAAATATTTTCTATTATTTATTATTAAACATCTTTTAAATCTCCTTTGCATTATATTTCAGTATCCTTCAAAGTTATTTATAAATTACAAAATGAACTTATTTTTAACAATCCTTTTAATAAACCATCAACTTTTAATCCTTATGAATCATATGTAATATTAAATCTAGTCTAATATATTTATAAACTTTTCAACCATATAATTGGTAAAACATCTTAAATTATTTCTATTTCGTCTTGGTTAATTCTTTATTCAATAATTGTTTTATTAGACATGAAATTAATTATAAACTAGAGTAGAGATCCAGATATATATATTTTCATAGGAACCATTGAAATAAATCCTGTATAAGCTTGATTTTCTATAATCAATCCAAAATTTAATGGAGAATTATCTTGAAACTCAAACTCCTAAAAATCAGGACTCAAAACTAGTTTATGATAAAACTTATCAATTTTATCTTATATCTCAAAATTAGATTTATACCGAATCCCAATTTGACCTTCTTTATACATCTCAACTTTAAGAAAACATTTTGTAAAATTAAAACAAATTTTATCTGAATCTTAACTCTAATTAAATTAATCATCCTATTCATTATTATCGTCATAAATGAAATCGATTTCATAATATGTTACTCCTTATTCTAATTCTATACTTATATATCCTACATTTAATAGATAAATTTCCTCAATAATCTTCTAATTTATTAGTTATTGATTGAAATCTTAAGAAATTTTGTATTATTCGTCTGAAACTTATTTATTATTTTAAGGTATTAATTTTGACAAATCTCTTGTAATCTACATAATTGATTGTATTATATCATATTTAAAATTACCTATAATTTACTCTATACTAATTTACTCATCTTTATATTTTACATTTTTTATTCTTAATTAAGAACCAAATTATAAAATATGAGATTTGTTATCAAAAAAACCATTTAAAATTAATGGAAATTGTTTCTCAATTTTATTTTATTCAATAAAATACATATCTATGTTACTTAGTTCTATAACTGAACATATTTTTGAATTATTAACTCTAAATAAAATTCTACTGTTAGAATACACAAGTTAATTTTAAAGGTGATTTTAATCAGAGAATGTTTCTACTGAATTTATAGGAAAAACATCAATAAATATATCTTCTTCTAAAATTATATTGTGTTATTATTGTTCAAAACTACCCTCATCAATTATTTATGCTCTACTAAGCCAATTTTATTCCATCTAATCCTAAACTTCTTTATACTAATTAAAAAGTGCTCCCATTTTTTTTAAAGATTTAAATTAAAAATCTGGAATTCTTAGACATAGATTTTTCATCTTAATAGTTGTCGTTTATTCAAAATATACTTAGATTATATATTTTTAATAATCTATTAACAATGGGTTATTTGATATTTCAATTTAATCATTCTTTATTTTTTATTCAACTGAATTAATTTCATTTTTCATACTATATAAAATAATTTAAGCAGATTCAAAATTTTTATACTTTTACTCTCCATTTTATGGGATTAGACTTTAGGAATCAATAGCTATGATATCTTGTATTAAAATCAAAATTGATTTAACTTTTACTATATTTACTGTTTTAAGTTCTAAATAAAATAAATTATTCAAACATTTATCTTATATTCCAATGCAGGCTTAATTTATTCTCAGTTGGTAAAAGTGTCTAAATGATTTATTCTTTAGATTCTATATTTATTAGCTTATTAATTTTTATTAATATTCTTATAATGATATCATCCATTAAAGAAAATTATCGGAAAGTTATAATTCTATATTTGGAATTAATCCACTTATTATTAAGTCACATTTTTATTTTTTGTAATTAAATAAGCTTTCTAATTCATTAAATCTATCCTTTTTTATTTATTTTATATCTTTCATTACAATATAAATTGTTGGATATGTATGCTTGTTATTAATATTACCTTAATCTATTCTAAGTATAGTTTCCTCTTAAAATTTTAATTCGATTTAATTAAAAACAATAATTATTAATTTTATAGGATTTTCGAAATATTGAATTTCTTCAAAAGGTTCTAAAATACATGTTTTTAGTTCAATTATTTTTGTTGGCTTTTATTTAAATGTAATTCCTTTAGATTTAAAAGTGAGTGTTTAATTGTTTATAAAGTAACTTAATTTAATTTCAGGAACATTAATTTCAAATCCACACATAAAATCTGTTTTTTGTTATGGTAATTGTTGTATCTTACGTTTTGGTAGATATGTCATTAAATTAAATATTGATTCATGTCTGAATGAAGCTACAATTTAAGAAAATTCAGCTTTTACTGAGTAAAATAATTTTTTATTTTTGCACTTTAATACTGAAATATTTAAATCGATTGCATCCTTATTGTCTGATTGTAATTAAAGAAAATTCTCATAATTATATATTGAAAAATCACATTCAATATTTTACAATTTATGTTATCCTATTAAAACTACAGGGGTTACGAGAAATACTTATTTTTATATAGGTTTACAGCTAAAAAATATTTCTGAATTTTGAACTGAATTAATTGATGATCTAAGATTAAATTTAAATGGAGGACTGGTCAATTTGATTCTATACGCTGCCATTCTTTATATATTTAATCTAAAGCACATTTAATTATATTCTGTAACTATATCAGTAATCTCGATAAAAAAATGAGATTCAAGATCTTAAAAGAATATTTCTCTGACTAAAGGAAAATAATGGGGGTTTTCACATATAGCAAGTTTAATTCCTTAAAAATAGCATTTAAATTATTCTTTTTAATTTTTCATGTTTTAATCTAAAGAACAATTTGTCCCTTCCTCATCTAAGTATAAGCTTTGTAAAATTTCTTATGATGAATTATTAGAAACTGAATTTAATTCTTTAGACTTCAAAAGTTCAATATTTAAAACTTCAAAGTCTTTTATTTCAAAAAGTTAAAAATTTCTTTTATCTTTTTAAGCAACAACTGAAGCTTAAGCTTAATGTTAAAGCATAATTAAGGTCTTATTTGTTTGATCTATTTTCGATCCATAACTAGCGAATGATTTTATAATTGTCTTTATCTATTTTTTGTTTAATACAAAATCAAGGTAAGAAACTATACAATTTATTTTTAATTTAACTTAATTATTGTCTTTTGTTTCTACAATCATCTAAAGTTTCATAGCCTTCTCCATAAGTGCTATTATTTCATTTTTTATCTTTAATTCTATCAAATCAATAATCGTAGTTATGTTTAGTATATTACTTATATTAAAATAAAATAAATACTTCGTATTAGCTTTGTTCAATTCCAAATTAATACCATTAATTAGAATTTCATATTAAACTCCCTGTTCAAGTTTTACTAATATTTATATATTTTTTATAGAAATTGAAAGATTACTAAGTAAAGTATCAGCGAGACTTAAAAAACACATTAATCCTGATCCAATAGTTTAAGTCTAACCCTGAATTTATTCTAGCTGATTTCTTTTATACACTTCTTACCTTAATTTTTAAAGATAGTTTATTTTAGCACTTTCATACTACCGAAGTTCTATTAAATTCTATAAATGCTGTTTTAATTCATCATCAGATTTTTCTCTTAATACTAAAATGAATGTTATTTTTTCTGCTTCGAATTTAAGATTAGATATTTTTAGGGATTCTTAAAAATAGCATTAATAAGTTACTAATGTATGCATCTTCGAAATTAAAAGGATTGCATCCGAATAATTGATTAATATATTTTATATTTAATTACAACTTATCTATACCTTTAATTAGTGTAAGTATATTTAATTATTTAGGGTCTTCCAAATAGTCTCCTAAAAAATTTGAAAGAAATAATTGAGATGTCTCTGAAAAACTATTCAAAAAATAATCCTTTATAGGTTTAAGCCATTCTTTAAATCTTTACATATTTTTAATTATTAAAATAATTAATTAACAATATTTGATTTAAACTGTTTTTGATAGAATATCTAATCTATTAAATTTAGATTAACTTTGATGATTTCATTTGTCATTCTTGTTAAGGAAGAGTAAAAACTTATGTAATATTATTATTAATTTATATTTTCTTGTTTTAAAACAAAATAAAAATTGAATTAGTTCAATCATGTTAAATTTAAATCAGTTTATAATATGAATTTAATTTCTTTAATTTTAAATGTTTATTTTAATTATATTATTGATAAAAAAATAAATGAAAAAATTACAAATAAGTTTTAACATTAAAAAAAAAGTACTCAATTAAAATTATTTAACTTCCAATATTTAACTTAGGTATCTCTAATTAATGAATCTACATTTAAAATTCTATGTATTGATTTTACAATTTTAATTTAGATTTCATTGATCATGATTCTTTGTTTAAAAAATTAAAAATATGATGCTTTTTATGTATTTCCATAAAGTAATCTCTTGAATCTAGTCTCAATATGTAAATACTACTATCTATTAAAGAATTTAATTTTATAGTTTATAAATTTAATTTATATTAGATTTTTCTCATTATGAAAGAAAACAAAAAAAAAATACTATATTTTATATATAAAAATTCGAAAAGAAATTATCTGCAAGATTTTATGAAAAGTATTTATTTCATCCCTTGATTTTATTATTTTTATCATACATCAGTACCTAATTTTAAAGAAATTAAAGGCTGAAACTTTAGAATTAATTATAATGAATTAAAAACCAATAATACTTTTAATATTAATAACTTATGTTCATTTTGAGTGTGCTAGAGGGGATGGTCTTATTGTTTTATGTAGGATATTTGGTTAGAGAGTACTCATAATAATAAGTACCATTCTATGTGAAATTGTTAACATACATTTCATGGATCCTTTCATTTGGAATTGTATTTATCATACCCCATGACATCTATTACACAATTAATGATTATGGGGATGGCTATGAATATACTGTAATATTATGGAAATGGATTTATTGGGGGAACTTCATATTATGCTGGTGATATTTATTCATTTATTCGTTTTAGGCTAATATTACCAATTTGTTAGGAATATGAAGATGCAGGAGAATTCACTTGTAAAGACAAATTGATTAGATCTTTTAAGAACAATTTAATTATTTATGCTTATTTTTTATTGTTTGGTTTAATCTTTATTGCCTACCTAGCTATATTTAACAAATTGGACTTTAATTCAATTTTAAAAGTGTTAGTAGCTTTGGCTTATGCATTGTATTTATAAATTATATTCAAAGTGGCATCCTGTTAGTAGTTATATTGTTAGGACATGGTTTAGTTGCAATCCCAAGAGAATACTGGAGGAAAGCATAATATCAAAAATGCTTAAAGGCACTTTATTTAGAGGCTGCCCAAATCAATCATACTATTTAAGAACTTTACATCTAATTATTCAATATGACTATTGAATTGATTTAAAATAAATAAAGCAATCAAAATTAACAATTTATAGATTATATATTGAATGAAGTAAAATAAATATATATATAAATTTAGATCCCTTATGAAATAATTGAGGATGCTTCTCATAAGATATTGGATATTATTGAAGTTAAATAACTATCATCTTTTTGTGAGATTAATAAAAAAGTTAAAAAGAAAGCTGCAGAATATAAGAGAGCTTAAACTAAATGGGATCATATTTGCACTGAATGCTTTCTCTTAGAGGATATGATTGATAATGAATTNATTTTATATATAAAAATTCGAAAAGAAATTATCTGCAAGATTTTATGAAAAGTATTTATTTCATCCCTTGATTTTATTATTTTTATCATACATCAGTACCTAATTTTAAAGAAATTAAAGGCTGAAACTTTAGAATTAATTATAATGAATTAAAAACCAATAATACTTTTAATATTAATAACTTATGTTCATTTTGAGTGTGCTAGAGGGGATGGTCTTATTGTTTTATGTAGGATATTTGGTTAGAGAGTACTCATAATAATAAGTACCATTCTATGTGAAATTGTTAACATACATTTCATGGATCCTTTCATTTGGAATTGTATTTATCATACCCCATGACATCTATTACACAATTAATGATTATGGGGATGGCTATGAATATACTGTAATATTATGGAAATGGATTTATTGGGGGAACTTCATATTATGCTGGTGATATTTATTCATTTATTCGTTTTAGGCTAATATTACCAATTTGTTAGGAATATGAAGATGCAGGAGAATTCACTTGTAAAGACAAATTGATTAGATCTTTTAAGAACAATTTAATTATTTATGCTTATTTTTTATTGTTTGGTTTAATCTTTATTGCCTACCTAGCTATATTTAACAAATTGGACTTTAATTCAATTTTAAAAGTGTTAGTAGCTTTGGCTTATGCATTGTATTTATAAATTATATTCAAAGTGGCATCCTGTTAGTAGTTATATTGTTAGGACATGGTTTAGTTGCAATCCCAAGAGAATACTGGAGGAAAGCATAATATCAAAAATGCTTAAAGGCACTTTATTTAGAGGCTGCCCAAATCAATCATACTATTTAAGAACTTTACATCTAATTATTCAATATGACTATTGAATTGATTTAAAATAAATAAAGCAATCAAAATTAACAATTTATAGATTATATATTGAATGAAGTAAAATAAATATATATATAAATTTAGATCCCTTATGAAATAATTGAGGATGCTTCTCATAAGATATTGGATATTATTGAAGTTAAATAACTATCATCTTTTTGTGAGATTAATAAAAAAGTTAAAAAGAAAGCTGCAGAATATAAGAGAGCTTAAACTAAATGGGATCATATTTGCACTGAATGCTTTCTCTTAGAGGATATGATTGATAATGAATTTAGTGTGCATTACAAAATTAGATCAACTCTACGTTATCCAAAGACTTGTTAATTTGGTCATTATATTGATATAGTGGAATGGCTATGGTATACTAAGATAAAGAAGGCTTATTTATTATCTTTGTGTGTGATTTTCTCAATATTATCTAGCATTGTAATATTATCAGAGATATCATGCTTTACAGAATTTGACTTTAATATTCTTAGTAGAATAATTAATGTGAATGGATTCATGCATACATAGACATCAATTCTGATTCCTTTGATGTATATATCTTTTTGTGCTTTTTATGGACTATTTCACATTAATTTTGCTGGAATGTATGGGTTTTATAATCACTAATAAACTGATGCACCTAGTTTGATGTTTGGTTCAATGTAAATATAATATTGTTAATATCATTAGTAATTTTTCAAGAGTATCATTTCCTTTGACGTTCAATTTTTTACAAATGATACATATTTAGGGCACTCCTTTTGAAGATGTAGTTGGCAATATGGATACTAGTTCTGTATTAGGGATGTCTTTTTCATATTCATTACCTGTATTGTTGATAATGGCATCAATTTTCAATTTCTTTGAAGTTTATGATAAAATTCTTTAAGTTGTTGGATTACCTTAATTCAAATTTTCTTAAACTTAATTCAATAGTGAAGAGGGAGAGCGATTAATTTGCAAGGCCAGAGTGAAGAGAGAGAGAGAAATATTGAATAAGGTTAATATAAAGTTTTTGGATTAATGTGAAATGCGGGAATTGGATAGCAGAATGATTTAATTTGTATGATAATTATTTAATGTCTCAATAATTTGTGGGAATAAATGGGGAATAAACAGGTCTTGGATTTACAAATAGGGATTAAGGTGCCAAGGTTGAAGAGGATCAAGGTTTGATTGATTTTTAAATTATAACTAATAATGGTAATCACGATAAAATGAAGATGCTAATTGACTTAAAAAATATATTTGCTCGTTAACTTCCTAAAATGCCAAAAGAATATATTGTTAGATTGGTATTTGATCGAAATCATGAATCTATGTGTATCATAAAAGTACGTAATTATTTATTAATTAGGATGATACAAAAGTTATAGGAGGAATCTGTTATAGAAAATATCCCACTTAAAGATTTGCTGAGATAGCTTTTCTTGCAATTACAGCAAATCTGTAAGTCAAAGGATATGGAACAAGATTGATGAACAAATTCAAAGAGCATATACAAAAATAGGATGTTGAATATTTGCTTACTTATGCAGATAACTATGCTATTGGATATTTTAGAAAATAGGGATTCTATTAGGAAATAAAAATGAATCCAGATAGATGGAAGGGGTTTATCAAGGATTATGATGGTGGAACATTAATGGAATGTTATGTACACCCTAGCATAGATTATGGAAACATTAGTGATCTGATTAGAGAATAAAAGTAGGTATTAGATTTTATAATATTAAGCTCATGATAGACATTATCAAGAAGTTAACATTGAATGATCGAGTATATCCTGGTATTGAGAATCAGAACTATAAAGTTGAATCATCTAATGGAGACAGACCAGCAGTCAAACCAGAAAGTGTTTAAGGAATTATGGAGAGTGGTTGGACTATTGAAGATTATAATGAATTAAAAAAATAAAAGGAGAAGACATTTATGATTTCATGTTAGTAGATTATAGATACAATGAGAAAGCATAAATCTGCTTGGCCTTTTCTTGAACCTGTCAATAAGGATGATGTTCCTGATTATTATGATGTTATTACTGATCCAATTGATATTAAGACTATTGAAAAGAAATTACAAAACAATTAATACACTTCAAAAGATCTTTTCATTAAAGATGTTAAAAGGATATTCACTAATTGTAGAAATTACAATTAACCTGACACAATTTATTATAAATGCGCAAATGAATTGGAGAGAACAATAGATGATTATCTTAAAAAGTTAAAAGATGAATCCTAAATACCAGGTGTTAGTAAGAAGATAAAGAAGACAAATAATAAATGAATATCATTATTTTATTTATTTATGATATTTTTGGAAACAAATAATCAAATTTAATTGAAGTGTTAATTTAGCAAAGCTATGACTTTATTGCAAAAATCCATGAATACAACAGGATGACCTCTGCATAATTGAAAGTCAATCATATGATCATTATTATTGGTTGGCATCTTTATTAATAATTTATTATATACTTTATAAATTTAGATATTAAATATGATCTCTTTGGCTGAATATTTATTTTCTTTAACTTTAGGTTTCTTGCCGTCATCCTTAAAAGTTAGAGAAGCCAAATCATTTTTAGATCCTGTTTCTTCTACTTCTTTTTGGAATTCATTGAATAACTCCATACTCGAATTATATTTTGTCATCTTAATGAGATTCTTATGATAACATTTCAATTTATAATCAGGACTTTTTATTTTGATAACAGTATTAAATTTCTCTAGACAAGTGTAAATAGCATTTACTATTTATCTAGCTTAAAAAGGATAAACAATTGCCATAATATCTTTTGGTAATTCTTTTCCATAATCATAGGGCTATGGCTTTTAAATTTCATTCAATAGACAATTATTAAATGATTAACCTTCAATTTATGGAATTTAAGGATTAAATATTAAATCATGCATAGTTAAATTATGTAGAGTCATAGGAGTAGAAGATTCAACTCCTAATTATCCCAAAAGTAAATCATAAATAACCACAAATGATTTATCTTCTCTTTTTCTAATACTTTTTTGAATTTGTGTTTATGTCATACCTCTGAAATTGACTGTTTATAATTGCATCAATTTTTCAAAGACATCTTCATTAATTTATCTACGACCTTCATCTAATTTAAATGGTATTTAAAGATAAAAAGGAACTTATGTACTTCTCATATATGGGTGAAGATGAATTTCATGAAATTTAATTCTCTTCAATGGATCAGGTGTTAACATTCTATTAATGAGATCCCTAACTTGAGGACTGAAACTACTTGGGATAGTATAATCAGCACTTTTTATTTTTTTAAAGAGAGCTTGAGTAGTTTCTTCATCAAATGGTAAGAAACCTGCAAGTAATGCATACAAAATTACTCCACAACTCCAAACATCAGCATCAGAACCACAATAAGTTTTTCCTGATATCACTTCAGGCGCAGCATAATTTGGAGAACCACATGAAGTTTTTAAATATTTTCCATCTTTCATTAAATTACTTAATCCAAAGTCAGCAATTTTGACAACATAATTATGCGTAATCAAAATGTTTTCAGGTTTGAGATCACGATGAGCTACTAAATTATTATGACAATATTCCACTCCACTTAATATTTATAAAAAGAAATTGCGAGCTTCACTTTCTGGCAATTTACCTCTTTATGCTATCAAATCAAATAATTCTCCTCTTTCTGCATATTCCATTACTACAAATATATCTCCTGGAGTGTCCAATACTTCGTATAGTTTTATTACATTAGGATGATTAAAATATCTAAGTAATCTTATTTCACGTCTTATCTTAGCACCCATTCTTGAATTTTTCATCTTCCTTTTATTGATAATTTTGATGGCCACTTATGTATTTGTTATATTATGTTTAGCCACTAATCTAGTCATTAATTCTTACATTTCACTTTTCCAAATGCACCTACACCCAATGTTTTACCTATTATATAATGTTCTATTTATAATGGAGCCTATCCTTATGATTACATTTTATTATTATATTAATTTTAAATGAAATTAGATATTAATTGTTGTGAAGATGATGACATTATGAATTAATTGTATGCTAATTTTATTATTTCTTATCAGCTCTGAAAATGGGTCGCTAATCTTCCAGGGTTTTAGATTAAATGAAAAGGGAATCAAATATCATAAGTAATGCAAAAAGGATTAAAAATAATAAAATATTACCCTCAATGACTTTCAACTTGTCACCAAATTAGGATAAGGTGGTTTTGGAAGTGTTGAAAAGGTCTAACTCAAAGGTACATAAGAAATGTATGCATTGAAAGTAATTTTATTTATTTTTATCAGAAAATTAAATTTCTATCTGATACTAATCAAGAAAAGTTACTGACTAGAGAGTTGGATGCTTTAATCTCTTGTGAATCTGATTTTATTGTATAATGTTATGGTGCATTTTATTCACAAGGATATATTTGTATATGGCTTGAATATATGGATTTAGGATCCTTGGATAGGTTACTTTAGAAGGATGGACTTATAAAGGAACCCATGATGATGATGATCACTTATAAAATATTATAAGGATTAGATTATTTGCATTATAAACACAAAATTATTCATAGAGATATCAAACCACATAATATTTTGATTAATTCAGAAGGAAATGTAAAAATTGCTGATTTTGGTATTTGTTAAACAGTATCAACTGGATAATATTTGAATACTTATATTGGCACAGCAATATATATGTCACCTGAGAGATTACAATCTATGAATTATGGAATGGATGCTGATATTTGGAGTTTAGGTATCATGCTCATAGAATGTTTGAGTGGTCAACATCCCTTTAAGTATTGCTAATTAATTAAACAGGAAAAAGGATTACTCGTAGATTTAATAAATGAAACAGATAATGGAGTTTGATGCCGAATAATATCTATAAGAATATAATTGGCTACCTGAAACTAAAGAAATTATTTAAAAATGTTTGCATAAAGATCCTAAATAAAGACCAACGGTAAAAGAATTATTGCAAAGTAAACCAATGTAAATGGCCAAAAATATTAATGAATAAGTATTTCATTAGTGGTTAAAACTTAAATTTAAACCATGATTAATTAAATATCTTAAATTTAATCATATATATAGATATATATATAATTAAAAGTAGTATGATATTTAAAATTGTATAAAGAAAAAATCTAATCTTATGTAATTAATTAAAAAATATTCTATTTAAATTAATGAGGATTAGAAGCGAAAACTAAAAGAAATTGAATAACTATTATATATTTCTATAAGTAGAAAATTATGAATAAAAATAAATCAAAAAAAATGTAAAATAATTGGATTTATTTGATTCAACATGATTTAAATAAATGATATTCTATTGTATTTAAGTCATGAATTTAAAAATAATATTGTGACAAACAGTCATTTATAATTTCATAATATATGAATTTCACAAAAATATGATCAAATTAATTGAGAAATATTTATAAAAATTTTGTTAAATGCAATAATTTTGGGATTGTGAGTAATTTAAAACAAAAGAACCAAATACATATCTTAGTTTAGGAAATTAGTTTGTTAATGAACTCAAAATAAACATTAAAGAAATTACTAATCTGCTCTCTAATAAAAAGTTTGGTTAATCCATCATTTATCTTATTGAAATAAGTTGTTAAAGCAAGTATAAATTTACAATATTGATCAAAGGAAAGTTTATGCAGAAAGGTTATGTGTATCTGTGTCAATATTAAAAAATTATTTAGATTAATACTTGGAGTAGTAAGAAGGGTTTGTTTAAGAAAAGGGCAATTTTTAAAAAGAATAATAGAAATAGGCAGCTACTTTATTCATTGATATAATTTCAGTTGCGAAATTAACCATTCACGATTGGTAAAAATTCAATCAATAAGTTTAATAAATTGATATTTTTTAAAATGAAAGTAATTTTATTATATTCTAAAATTAGTAAATAAAATAGCAGATGTTTACCAAATTCCATTTGAAAGAGAGAATTGTGGATGTTAAATTGTTTGATAGATGGATTAAATTTCTTTAAAATTATATAAAATATTATAAATTTCTATAAATATGTATAAAAAATGGAATACTTATATATTTATATAAATATCATCTATTATCATATTAATTTCACTTTATTTTGAATGATTTGTGAATTGTTAATGCTTTTGCAAAATCAGTTCCATCTAATTCAGCTATTTTTTATTTAATTTGTTCCTATTTTAATCTTTATTTGAATATCGCATTATAATTGGTTTTATATGCACTCTATATAAGAAATACTATACTTAACATCTGTTCCTGCTTTATCAACTCGAATAGGTTTTGATAGTTTCCAATCAGGTTTATATTCATATTTAACTCTAATAAATAGTTAGAATTTAATTTACTTCATTTCTGTATTTGGTACTAATTATGCTTTAAATCTACTAAATAATGCTCGAAGACAATTCAGAACTAATTCTTGGAATTCTAATTCATCATTCATTTCTATCCAATTATCTAAAAATAATTTAGCTAAATCATTAAGAGGTTATGCAAATTCTAATTCAGAACATTTTTTAAATTTAAACACATTATTCTAAGGTTTTAGCAATTTTTATAAATATCCAAACTCAGTACCGTAAGTTGTTGATGTTTAATTTTTTCTATGCATTTCTTCAGCCTTTTTAAAACTATTCAAAATTGACTGTAATAAGATTACTCTAATTCTTATTGATCTGTTAATTCTTATAATTGAATTGTTGGAGGCTTTGCTCTATAAATATCATTTAGAATGTTACCTAAATAATTTCCTTCCTTTATGTTTATAGATTGCTCCAATTAATTGGAGACCTCTTGCCTCTTTTTCACTTGCTATATAAATCCAATCTTTGTAATAATTTAGATACTCAGGTTTTATAATATTAGTTAGAATAGTAAGTGGTTCCATCCTTATTTTAATAATAATATTAATATATTTTATTTTTTTCAACCAGACTTTCTATTTAAATGATATAAGGAATGTTTGGAGATTTGGAATTAGCAAGTGTTTAAATATCTGAACTCAAAAAGTAACAATAACTTAGCATCAACTAACCTATAAAATAATAATCTAGATAATCATAAATATTTTAACAAAATATTTTTCAAATTGAAATTCAAAGACCAAATTTTGACTCCATACAACTCAATCATCCATTATTATCAATGGATTTACATGATATTCTTAATTCTAAATTGTAATTTTTATTCATTTAAATTAGTTTTGAGAGTAATGTTTAAACATTTAGTAAAATACTTAATAAAAATCAATAATATTTGAATGAATACTCAATTTAATAAGACTATTAAGTAGCAGTAGAAAATAGAGTAGATCAAAAATAAATTGTATCGATAAATGCACAAATTAAAAGTAATAAGCACAACATGATATCTCAAAAAGATTAATTTAGACAGACTAATATTACTAATTTGAACCAAGAAAAAATCATATCTGAATACTAAAAGCAAAATTCCTCTTGTTATCCATTTCTTAACCCTAAAATAAACTAAGATTCTTAGAAGTAAATAATATTAGAAATTAAAATAGCAATACATTAAATATAAATGAAATTATTAATTTTTTCAAACAAAACAATTATTAGGTCGATGCCTCAACAATATAATTTTATATAGATGCATATGAAACTAAAGATCCTCTTAAACTATTAGAATTGTATAAAGCAAATAAGAGTAGATGACAAGTATATTTTTACATAAGAATTAATTTAAAATTATAGTAAATAAATTTATATATATCTTTTTATTATTATTTTTAAATAAATCATTTTTCATCAATATAATACTAGATTCTATTTATTTTCAAGTTTAGATTCACGAATTTGTAATATGGATACAATATATTTTATTAATAATTTATTGAAATTTCAAGTTTGATGAATGACTTTATATAAATCATATAAAATGAAGTAAAGTCTGCTACAGATTAAATAGAAATGGAGTCATTCATAAGGAAATTTATTTATAATTATTATCAAACAGATTAATTGGCTGATTAATTAGCAAAGGATTGCGAATATGAAAAAATCAATTAGGATGAGTAAATCACTTTATATGAAGGAATATATTTTATAGTTGATGGTTAATATCAATTGCCTAAAAGATTTATGAAATTACCAAACTTCTTAGTTATTCCTATACATGAAAAAGCTATTATTTTTGCTCTCTCTGATGTTCATCTTTTATCAATAAAAACAAATTTTAGTTAATATCTAAGTCAACTGAAAGGGTTGAGAACTGATATAATTATAGAGTTTTTAAGGAAAACTCTCTTTCCCAATTTTCCTCGAAATAGTGTTGCAAGAATTTCAAAATATTTTTGTTTAATTTCTCTTCCTTTTAAACATGTTATTTATAAGGAAAATGAAGAAAGTAGATTTGTATATTTGATTAGGGAAGGTGAAATAAAAGTAATTAGTAAAAATTATATCAAATAGTTATAAGGAGGGAAAAAATAGATAAAATTATTGGTAGAAAATTAAATATTCGGAGAATATGAAGTATTTTTTAATAGAGTTAGATCTACAAAAGCAGTGAGCAATTCTTCTGTCTCTCTATTAACAATTAAAGCAGAAATAGTAAATATTCATTTAATATACAGAGTTTTTAACTTTATTAAAAGAATATCCCATTTTAAAATAACGTTTACTATGTTAAAGTGTTTTGAGGTATGAATTTATGTATTATCAACCAAAATCAATTGAAAACAATTAGGAAAGTATTAAAAATAATAGTTTGTTAAGAAGATAGAAAAAAACATTAAGGAGTTTATCTCCATAATAAGATTGTATTTAGATGTTTGAGATGTCATAATAAATTTAAAAAGAAAGAGTAAGAACTGGATATAAAGTCATGCCTTTATTTTTTAATTATAGAGTTTCCTTAGTAGAAAAATGTGCGACCACTGTTTAATCTCCTTAATCTTCAACAGTATCAATTTATTGATTCTTATAGAGAAGAAAATTAGAAACTACTAATAGTGAAGTATAATTTAAATCTTAAAGTCCAATTACTAACTAAAAAGTCTCCAAAATAATCTCAAGTAAACATAATATGTTTAGACAACAACCAACTCGAGAATTCTTATTATAAAATTTTGTGAATTAATCTAAACCATAATTATGATTTTATAAAAGTTAATTTATACAAATTCTTATAATATAAAGAATTTTACGTTTATTATTAAAATAATATTTATAAAATGATATAGAGATAGTAAAAAATAGAATAAGAATCAGATTAATAAGTCTAATTTGATTTAGTTGTAAAGATTTATTCCCTTCGTATCAACAATGATTTCAATTTCTTTTTCTTGAAGAGTCATCCCTTCTAAATTCATGAGCTTAATACTCAATTTCATTAAAAGTAATATAAAATTTATAAATGGTGTAATTCTTCCTTCCTCAACTACTTTTGGAAATATGTTGAATCTATTTGTTATGAGTTTTTCTAATGAATAAAAAGTCTAAGAGTTCCACCATTCATTTCCATTGTATTTTATACTTTTCATAGCCAAATAGAGTTGGATTATGAATTTAAGATTTAGGTTTTAAAAATAATAAAGATTTTCACTTTTAATGTTAGAAACTACAATTCTGTAATAGTTGTTATAATAGTTTTAGAGATAGTTGTTTAACATACTTAATTCTTCTGTTTATTTTGAGTAGAAATCATACTCAGTTTAACTAATATTTCGACTGATAATTTTGTTCTTTATCAAATTTTCAAATACTATTTAAGTTTGACCAATCAAGGTTTTATAAACCTCATTAACCTAAGATTCTTATGTAAGACTTTCTAAGACGAAACAAACTTCTCTTTCTCCAATTTATCTCTATGATTTTTTTTGTGATGATGCGCAAACTCCCATAATTTAATTATTAAAATTTTGTTTTATGTGTTCATTTAATTCATAAAAAAAACATTTTATACGAAATATAAAATATAGGAATAAAACATTAAATCTAATTAACTAATTACTTCATATTAACTATTAATATATCATATAAATATTACAAATTATTGGTTTTATTTGAATTAATCATTATTATAAGAGTATAAATATTCAAATTCGATAACATAATCATTTTAAATCTAAATATTAGTGTTATAATTACATTATCAATAACAAAAGTATGTGAAATACTTTATCACTTAAAAGTATCTATTTTATCGCATAATGTAGATTTTCAATTAAAAAATAATATGAATATACATTTTGTTTACTAATCATTAAAATAACTTAATTATCATCAAATTTTGCTCTCTTTTATGAAGTTTCTATATTTTTATATTCTATTCTTAGCTTGTTTCATAAACATCATCGAGGAATTTGATTATGAGTAAATTTAATTATAATTATAATATTCATATAAAATTCAAATTATCAAAACAAATATATTCATTTATTTCTGGATTAATAAAATGCAATTATATATGATAAAATCAATGTTTAATATTTAAAATTTGAGACCTTGCTCAAATAATATTGTTATTATTAAAATTTAGTTTTGATGATTTGTTATATTAATATAATTGATTTTTTTTTAGTATTATAATTAGAGAAGTGTTATATATATTTTGTTTAAAAACTAAAAATAATAAAAAATAATGATTGAAAAGAAGAAAAAACAAAGAAAAATATGATTAACGAATGAAAGATAATTATATTTATTATTTATTGATATATGTAATTTTGGAATATTATATAAAATTAAATGAATAATCAAACATAGTTGTAAATATTTAACAATTCATTTTAGTACAAATCCAGTTTATTAGCCTGTATAGACACCTTTGATGACGTAATTATCTTGTTAGATGTTAGCATGTATTCCAATATATTCTCTTCATAAACTCCATTTCCATCATCAAAAGGAATCAGCTAAGAACCTGTAGTAACAGCTATGGATCAAATAATTGAAGATAGAACTAGCGCAGAGTTTGGGTAACATAGTAGACACATTTCTCTAAATTACCAAATAGTTGAAAATGATTTAAGAAAAGTAGTTGAAAAGAAAAATTATGTGGCCTGCAAAATATTTTGATTATATTGATATACATATATATTATTCTATTGCCTGAAATCAATTCCACTTTCATAAATATTACTAATCAATTCCTATTCTAATTAATTAATTTCTTCTATTCTTTTAGAATAATATTGTTTAGATCACTGAATTATCTTATTTTCCTCATATCTCTAAATAAATTGTCCCATTCTATAATCTTGTATCCAAACATGCCCAATATCGTATTGTTGTTCTTGCCCAACTTTTTTCAATTTACTAATATTTAATACAGCAACAATTACTTGACCAAATTCATATTGTTAAATTATTAACAGAATTTTCAAAATACTAAATCTAGAACATTCGTTAACATAGTATTGTTTATCTATTCTAACATATAGAATTGCTAAATATATATATAAACATATCCAAGAGTAATTTTAAAGTATTTCTCTTGATGATAATTTTAATGGTTCAAACTATGATACNGTTTAATATTTAAAATTTGAGACCTTGCTCAAATAATATTGTTATTATTAAAATTTAGTTTTGATGATTTGTTATATTAATATAATTGATTTTTTTTTAGTATTATAATTAGAGAAGTGTTATATATATTTTGTTTAAAAACTAAAAATAATAAAAAATAATGATTGAAAAGAAGAAAAAACAAAGAAAAATATGATTAACGAATGAAAGATAATTATATTTATTATTTATTGATATATGTAATTTTGGAATATTATATAAAATTAAATGAATAATCAAACATAGTTGTAAATATTTAACAATTCATTTTAGTACAAATCCAGTTTATTAGCCTGTATAGACACCTTTGATGACGTAATTATCTTGTTAGATGTTAGCATGTATTCCAATATATTCTCTTCATAAACTCCATTTCCATCATCAAAAGGAATCAGCTAAGAACCTGTAGTAACAGCTATGGATCAAATAATTGAAGATAGAACTAGCGCAGAGTTTGGGTAACATAGTAGACACATTTCTCTAAATTACCAAATAGTTGAAAATGATTTAAGAAAAGTAGTTGAAAAGAAAAATTATGTGGCCTGCAAAATATTTTGATTATATTGATATACATATATATTATTCTATTGCCTGAAATCAATTCCACTTTCATAAATATTACTAATCAATTCCTATTCTAATTAATTAATTTCTTCTATTCTTTTAGAATAATATTGTTTAGATCACTGAATTATCTTATTTTCCTCATATCTCTAAATAAATTGTCCCATTCTATAATCTTGTATCCAAACATGCCCAATATCGTATTGTTGTTCTTGCCCAACTTTTTTCAATTTACTAATATTTAATACAGCAACAATTACTTGACCAAATTCATATTGTTAAATTATTAACAGAATTTTCAAAATACTAAATCTAGAACATTCGTTAACATAGTATTGTTTATCTATTCTAACATATAGAATTGCTAAATATATATATAAACATATCCAAGAGTAATTTTAAAGTATTTCTCTTGATGATAATTTTAATGGTTCAAACTATGATACTTGTTGTGATTAATAATATTTGGTTGAAAAGTTACTGATATTGGATTAACTAAAAATTTTAAATTCTTTTTATAATTTTACTACATTTAAATTAATTTTGTTATAATTTAAGTGATTCTTAAGATACTAAATACATTAAATCATGTGTTATTTTCAAATTTAACTAAAGAGTCAATCAAAGATCTTTGAGAAAAATAGCAAACTGAAATAGCAAAAATTTAAAACTAATTAAAAAAAATCTAAATTTACAAATTAACCATCCATTTTTATTCACTTAAGTGTTTTTAACATTTTGTAATATATTGAAACCTTTATAATTTTAATAATAAATTGATGAGGTAACCTATACTTTCTTATTTACCTTTTGACTGCTTCTTTTTTCAATTTATTTTAAAAACAAATGATCTTTTTTATATATGCCTAGCTCATGATAAATAAATTAATTAATTTAAATAATTATAATAATCAATTTATTTGTTTTCCTATTAATCTTATATTAATTGGTGTAAATTTGACAATAAAAGCATCCCAATTTTTACTATTGAAATTGACTTATTTTTTTTTAATTGTTTTATCTGCAATATTTTATTTCTACATTTTTCTAACATCTATTCTTAATTACTCTGAAAGTTTATTACTTTTTAGACTATCAATATTATGAGAATATATTGGAATATCTTATACTAAATCTAATCCTAATTCTTATGGTTACAACATAATAATTCCATCTACTATGATTACTATAATTGAAACTTTGGCATCTATTGGTTTCTCTTATAATTATTTAGCTTATAAATAAGGCTGACTTATTCTCATAAATATGGCATTTTAAGTTTTGAATTAAATTTAATACTAATCATACATCCTTTTAATTCCTGAATCATTTGGATATTCTTAAACTATAATTTCTAAACAAGATTTTACAAATTTATCAATTTCATCCCAATCAGGTTTTTCAATGAATAAACCATATTTTAATTTCTAATCCTTTTCAATCTAAAATTAAACACTTTTTCTTAAAATTATTTATGATTTATTTTCAATAGATGTAATGAGTCTCTTTGATTCCTTTTTTAGATGGTTATCTTAAATGTTTTTAAGAGTTTCTCTATATTAAGTAAGGCTATCAATTAATTAATCATATTATGATTTAAGTGCTACCTAAAAATCTTATTCGACTATTTCACAATATAAATCATCTTTTTCTTTATCTTCAGAAATGTAACGACAATAAATTTTATAATCTGTTTGAAAATTATTTAATTTCTAATTTTAAAATTCTTTAAGTTAATTTATAATCTCTTTTACTTGATTCTTATTATCAAAAACAGAAAGTAAACAATACATGATAAAATTGAATGAAAATGGAAAACTACATTACAACTCTTTAATTTCATAGGAGGAATTGCATTCAGGCAAAAGAGAAATTGTTTTAATATTAAATGGCAATTATTTTATCTATTTATTCAATTATTCTAATTCTTTTGGATTGCATACTTTCTCAATAAAATAAAGTTAATTTTTCTCATTAATTTAATCTGGTATTTTAATTATTTATACTCTTTAACTAGTTTTTTTAATTAAGGAACATAATTATTCATATCCCATACCTGAAATTCCTATTGGAATAACAACTATGATTGCAGATTACATGCACTAAGAAAGTGGAAACAACTAATCTTGTTTTTTTAATAAATAATCTAAACCTTTTCTAATGCTATTGAATGCTTAAATAGATAATTTAGAAAATTCAAAATTAATATATTTAATGTTTACTGAATTTTCTAACATCATTTCTGTGTATTTTTTATAGAATTCTAAATCTTAATTATTTAAATTATATTTAGAGAGATATTAATTAGGTTCCTTTATATTAAGATTCTTTTCTTTATTGCTAAGAATTAATCTTAATTCATTTAGAATAGTATATTATCTGAATGGAATAAAACAACATCCAAGAAAGGTGTCTCCTTTCCAAAAATACATAGTTTTACCTTTATAATAATCATGAAATTAATCAATCAATTAATTGTAAATTTAAGAGATATGTTTTTATAATTAAATTTATGTGCACTAAGTTTGATAAATTTAAGCAGATTCTAATTTATAATGATGTAAAAAATTGGTAACTGTATTGGGATTAACCATTCTTTATTCTGCATAATGTTCTACTAATGCAAACCATTCAATCTATTTTTTATTGTTGTAACAACCTATCAAACTTCTATTTGTTAAATCTTCAATAAAATTAAGCTAGTATTAATAAGGCATTTTATTAAACAAACTAAAGAATTAAGAAGCTATTTTTCGTAATTTATCATGCTTCGGTTCTTTATATTAAACAATATCATTTTCATCATAACAAACAATTGTTTATATTCCATAAGAAATACAAAAAGAATCTAATTCATAACAAAAACTAATGCATATGGTCTGTGAATTATGTTGTATTTCAAAGATTGTGAAGGAATCTTTGAGATTTTTTGTTATATTTTTATATACCTAATCTTAATTTTTAAAATCAATTTCGTTTAATTCTGGAGCAAAAGGAACTCCCATAGTAGCTAAATAATTATAAATAATACCAATCTCAGTTTATACATGTTATTTTTACATCATCTAAATGAAGGAATTACAAGTGTGTAAATGCTTGGATAAAAATTTATTATTAAGAACATCATTTTCATTAATTTTTGATTATTCAAGATCTATTTCAAAAATATTTACATCCCTCAAAAAATTTACACTGGATGATAGTAATTCAACTTCATTCTATTTTGTAAAACCTTCAAGACTTATTATAATAAATATATTTACAGATTATAAGCACTTAATTATGACATTAAATTAATGTGATAAAAATATTATTAAGAAATTAAAATAATTACTTTTTGTTAAAGAAATAATATTAAATTATAATATATATTAATTTATTTTGTTAGGAGTATTTCAAAAAGATCACTTTTATCATCTTTATAATTTAAATGTAATATTTAAGGATTTATTCAGTTTGGTAACATAAATTAATAACCATTAATCAATTTTCATCTTCTGAACATCCAGGAACTGGAATTCGGTCCTTACAATTCTTAGCACCATACCATTCACTTATACATTATGAAGGTCTACAACAATTTTACCAAGCTTATCCACAACTTATTCCATCCTAAGCTTAGCATTTTGCTGTGCATTGTAAATCACCATTCCAATATCCTGTGTGTTTGGTATTTGTACCTTTTAATTTATGATTGGTCTTCAATTTAAGTAGGGATTAATCTAAAGTAATAGTTTGAAATAATACTGTTTTCCAATACCAAATAGAAAGTGCTTAGTGATACAAAACAGACTATTGTAAATAAGAGAACAATTTTTAATTTCATTTATGCTATTAAAATAATTTAATATAAAAAGTAATTGAACTAAATTTGGAATCAATATTTAAATCGCATTACAACTCAACTTATTGTATAAGTAAAATAAACTATGTTGAATGTATTTTGCACATATCTAAATGGTATAGTTTTGAGAATTTGTATTTGAATTTGAGATTAGTTGAGTAATAGAACTTAATTGGAATATTCTAGAGATGAATATTATATCTACGTATTTCAAGCAATTCTGATTATTCTAATCATAATTTATATAGAAAATAGGTGACCTTTCTTTATTTGATTGATATCCTTCTTTCTATTTGATTGTTAATGTTTAATCTAATTTGATGTTTTCTGTTATTAAATTCTTAATAATTACTATCTTTATTGTATAACACAAAATCTTTTGTTTATTTAAATAGATTCAATCAGATTCTTTGAGATCTTTAAGTTCTAAAATATTAGCACAACTTTCACATTTATTATCTATATTAATTAAATGAGCAAAGGTGACGATGACTATGACTATTTATTTAAAATTGTACTTTCAGGTAAAGACTAATTAAATAAATAATAAAGGGGACTCCGGAGTTGGAAAATCCAATCTATTACTACGATTTACAAAAAACCAATTTAATCCAGATTCCAAAACTACTATAGGCGTTGAATTTGCTACTAGATCAATTTCAATATCTGGGAAGATTATCAAAGCTTAAATCTGGGATACAGCAGGACAGGTAAAGTGGATAAATAGAGCTTAGGAACGCTATAGGGCAATTACTTCTGCATATTATAGGGGAGCCATTGGTGCTGTACTAGTATATGATATAACAAACAAACAAAGTTTCGATGCTGTAGAAAGATGGATTTAAGAAGTGAGAGAAAATGCTGATAAAGATATTGTGATAATGATTATAGGGAACAAATCAGATTTGAAGCATTTAAGAGCAATTAGATAAGAGTCGGGTCAAGATTTGGCTCAAATGTACAAGGTAGCATTTATGGAAGCAAGTGCTTAAGATGGTAGTAATGTAGATTAAGCCTTTACATAAATTATACAATGTTATAAATTCTATATAAATTAGAAATTTATCAGAATCTAACAAAACAATTATAAAAATATGATTAGATGTCTCATTTACAAGGTGAGAAATTGGATTTAGAAATTACAAACTCTGGTAATAAAAAGTAAGGATGTTGTTGAAATATTATATATTGATGTTTTGTTTTTTAATTATGAATTCTTTGCTTTAAGTATAAATTAATATTTATATAGAAGTTTACTATGCATTAATAGAATAATAAATATTGGATATTCCATAAGATCAATCTATTTTTATGAGATAATGGAATACCTAGATAGCAATTAATTATTTTTGTTAGAAATTATCAGGCAATCAATATTATTGTTACTTCATCAGAAATATTCAAAGATATCGATAACAAAATTGTATTCTTAAACCCCTATTAATTTATCATAATCAATATGAAGTGAAGGTGAATCTCAGTACTTATAGACAGAAAAATATGTTGTTATTAGTTATAATTAAATGATTTACAATTGAGTAGAGAAGGAAAGAACGGATTGATGGTTGACTAGATCTAATTAATAAGTAAGAACTTCAAAACATAGAGAAATATTAACTCTATGTATATTAAATTAAAGAACTACCTGATAGCTAAAATTATAAGTATAATATTATTTACTAAGAAGAGAATTCTTATAATGTTAATTATAAAGGATGCCATTTATGAAGAGATCACATATAAAGAGTGCAGGAATAACCTATAATCAAATGTATTAAAAATAAATACGCCTAAAGATTATCAATCTATCAACATTAATGTTTTTTTGGAGATATCGCTTAAAATATTTAGAATAAAGTAAGAAGATAGAAGAATAAAACAATTGGTAATTAATGAAGTAGTTTAAATTAGAAATCAAAAAATTATATAAAAAAGGTTTATCGTAATTTTATAATGCTTAAAAAAATAATAATACTTTTTTTTAATGATATTTATTATGTATGCTAAAATTTGATAATCATCACCATCCTAAATATTTACTTAATTATTAAATATGGATAATAACGAAGAGCATTATGAAGTAGAATATGTCTTTGGTAAGAGATTAGATAAAGGAAATGAGGTTGATTATGCAGTCAAATGGCTTGGATATGATAAAAAACATCATACTTGGGAACCCATTTCTAGTTTCAGTACAGCTTCTTTACTTTTAATTGGGTATATATGACTTTATATATTTGATTAGTCGATTCGAAAGATATTTAGCATATAAAAATTATTACAAATTGATAGCAAAAAAAGTAGAAAAAGTCAAATAACCAAAAAAACCAGATGAACCAATAAGAGTGCATATTAGAAATAGATATACTCAAGTACTAATAAAAGAGGCTGAAATAATAAACATTGAATTAGATACTGATGAAATTGTTTAAAAAAAAGAAACCTTTTAGATTAATGATGATGATGATCCTGATGTTTAAATTGTAAGTGTGAGTTTCAAACCTATTAAATAAAGTGAATCTAAGGATCTAAATAAATTTAAAGTGTAGAAGGTATCACAAACTCTAGATTTTAATCGAATGATGCATATTAGATAATAATAGTTTAATCCAATCAAAATTAACACTTATAAAAGTAAATATAAATTAGAAAAGGACTATTTAAATGAAATTATTTTTGAATAAAGATAAAAAGAGAAAGAAGTTAATATGCTTAAATTTACAGAAATAAATGATAAATACGAACCTACTCAACCTATTAAATTGATATCAGATTATTCATAAACTGAAGGATTTTAAACATTGTAAAATGTCTATCGCAATTAATAATTTTAACATAGAGTATTTAATTAGAAAGTTCCATTTGAATTTATCCTTTCTCATCATCAAATTAAAAATGAATTATGGTTCAAATGTCAAAGTGATGAATAAGAAATCTTATTTGCAGATCTTCAAACACTACAACAAAATTATTCAACATTGCTATTAGATTATTTGGCTGCATTTAGTGTGATGATTCAATGAATTTAATTATTTCATATTTATCAAAACTAAATATATTATTCATCATAAATATAAATATCTATATTTATTTTAAATATCATTAATACATCTCTAAATACATTTAAAAGTATATTATTTTAAAAAGAGAAAATTAAAATATATACAATAATTTAATCAAATATTCAATCAGAATTTCAAGTTTATTACTTAAGTCTTATTCTTTTTATGATGATACTATTTTAAGTCTATCAATACATTTAGAAACTCCATATCTATCAATTTTATAATAATCTGTCTTCTAATTTAATTAAATACATTTATAAACAAAAATTCTTGCTAATATTTATAATCAGTATTGAGCTTCTTCATCCCAAACTAAACCAAAGAGCTCTAATTAAAAATCCTCTTCTTGATAAGAATCCTCAATCATCTCAATTATGCATTATTGCATATCGGTTGAATGGATCTCTTATCTAATAGGATATTAAGGCTCTTTAGTAACTATCTCCCTCGATTCTATTTCGAATTGAACTTCCTTCCAATTTTAATCCATTTCAAATCGCAATTTTGATAAATTCTATTCCAAAATCAAAAGAGCAATATTACTATTAAAATGTTCTGCTATTTTACAACCCATATACTTCAAACCATCAGGATAATGAAATACATTCATTTTAAATCTCTAGAAATATTTAAAATAGCTTTACTGAAAATGTTAAATTGTTCAATTTATTAAAAGCTAATTGAGTTTCTTAAAAGTCTTTTAATATTAAACATATTATATTATTCTATAATTATGTTCTTTCATCTAGTGGCTCAAATTGAATACCCAAATGCAAATTTAGAAATTCAACAAAATATTTCACATTAGAATATTTTGATAAATTATTGACATAAATAAGTTTCTTATGGTCAGCATCATCAATCCTTAATTGTAAATCCTTAAATTTAATCCCAAATATTCTTAAATCCTAATAAAGTGCATTTTATTTAGATTCCTTATTTTTGAAATTGATAACAGCATATGATTTATATAATTTTTTATTTTTATTTACTTTTACTCTGTCTAATAATTTCTTAGTTTAACTCAATTAATCCAAACTTTATTAGAAATCTTTATTGTCATTTGATTTATTATTTGTTGTTATTTGATCAATTTGTTTTTTGAAATTACAATACTCATAATATTCAATAGAGTCTATTTCACCAAATCTATTCTCAAAATACTCTTTACATTCCTATTTAAATTTCTCATCCAATATGTATGGTAAATTATATAAACATACTTAATGAGTTTCTTTAATTTATTCTTCACTTACAACTTATCTTAATTATAAAGGTGTTCTTAATTCATTTTCATCTTTCAGTTTAATTTATTTATTCATTAATCTAGAATTTCTAGCCAATACCAATTAATTCTTAACAATCTCTTTACTATTTATTTCATATGACTCTATCTCTTATTTTGGTAATAGAGTGTTTATCAAACCATCATCAATTAATTATGTAAAAACAGGTACTTTTTCATCTTCTTCAATTCTCAATCTATGGTGTTTACGTTTATATTGAATGAAATCAGTTAGACTTTTATTCTATGGCTAAAATAGACTTGCTCTATTCTAAACAAAACAATTATATTCGCTTTTGATCTCTGTCTCAATTCTGTCAAAATCATCATAAAAATGCTCTGGTTGTAATTCTTAAAAGTCGATTCTTAAAGCCAATGGAACAAGATCTAATACTTGATCTACAATAACATTATAATAATACACTAATTAAAAAGTCTGAAAATACTAGATTTCAATTATAAAGTGTTAGTATACACCTAAACAATTATTAAAATACATCAATACTTTCTCTTTTATTAACTCAACATCTCGAACAAAGTCCATTAATTAACTGTCATGTAATCGATCCTATAGATAACAAGTAAGAGTTCTAATGTTTTTGTGTCGTTCCTCTGACACTTTAGGGATGTCAAATTTCATAGCTTCCAATACTATATCATAATAACCAAGCCATTACATTTTATTGGAACTCCATGAATTTAAGTAGTAAATTTCTATACACACAATCTAGATAGCATAAATAAATTTTTAATATGCTTGACAAAAGTTAAAACATTAACGAATCACAAATAAAGGAAATCAAACTCAACCTATTAAATTATATATTTCAAATTCTATACTCAAAACATATAGAAGAACAATAATCTATACAAATTGAGAATATTAATTCAAACAATATAGTCATAGATATTTGTTAATCTTCTAGAATATCATTATTTTATTCATTTTTATAATTCTCATATACAATCAACATAAATAATTCAAACAGTGATTTCTTTATACATTTATTGTTAATAATAAGACTTCATACATATGATATTAATTTTATAAGTATATGAATTCAGAATAATAAGATAGTAATAAATCACCAAAGGCCAATTTGGAATTATTTATAAGAAACTGGTGGTAATAATTATTATTTGGGACTAAACTTGTAATTGGAATTTCATGGTTATTTGGTTTTATTGATCTTTTGAGCAATTTTGCCTTTGATTTATTCAGCAATTCTCCACAATAAACAATACCTTTTTAAATTTAGAGATTATTCTTTTCACAATTTGTTCATTGTATATATCCATTTAAGTAATTTGATAGATTATACAATTGATTTATTACTTGTTATTATATGCGTGTATAAAAAATTTGAAGAATTAGAATCTAAGTATTCAACTGTTATTTTCATTATTTTAATTCTTGTAATAGGAAGTCTCACTCAAGTATAAATTTAAATAATTAGTTTATATGTGTTTTACTTTAATGGATATTATCATTTATTTATTCTCCATTTTATTAAATAAAAGCTTACGGATTATGGAATTTTTATATTTTTTGCGTAATCTAAGAGTACTCTATTTTTAATAGTTTTTTAGATGTTTAGCTACTCCAAATGGATAAAGTTTATTTTTAATTTTTCCTATGCAATTAAAAAATAAATACTATCCTATTATTTTAATTATCTTTTTTACTCTAATTTAATAATCATTGACATTCATTTCAACAGGATTTGTATCATTTATATTTTATCTATTTCAGAATCATCTTAATTAAATTCATCATTCTGTATAAAAATAATATTCTATTTTAGACAATTGAAAGAATTGAAAAAAGTTTCCCTTTGAAATTCTTTATAGAAAGAAATGATTTTAAAAAAGTTACAAATTATTAAGATTAATTAGAACCAAGTGTTGATGCAAGGGAATTATAATCTGTAGAAACACCACCTGCAAAGTTTTATATATATTACATTTTAGATTAGCTTTATAAGGCATTCCATAATAATTCAGGTCATCTCTAGTTTTAAATGAATTATAACAAGATATGAATTAAAAAGAGAATGAATGTGAATAACCTAATTAAGAAGAAGATGAAGAGAAAAAATAGAATGAATCAAATCCATCAACTTAATTTGTGTGAATCCTATAATTCTAATTTGTTTTATTTTTATTATAATTGTTAATTTACCTAGTTTATGAGTTTACTTTTTATTAATAAATGGATTCATTAAAATTATAATTTATGATTATCTTATTATCAATCTAAGCTATCAAGACATTATTTGAATTAATCTGCCATACTCTCATTTTTTATACTATCTAAAATTTCGATCATACTAAGTTATTTGTTAGATATTAACTATAATTTCTATAATTGATCTTTAATTTTTTCCTAACATAACAATCATTTTTACAAAATTATCTTCTGAATATTTAATTACTAAGATGTTAATTTTCAACACCTTTATTTATAATGAATTATCAGATGTTACATACTCTGGCTTTTAGAGTATTGAGAAAACTTGATTAATTTCTCTTTCTAAATGATTTTTAAAATTATTAGATTATTCATTAAAAAGTTCTTCATTTAGATGATTAAAATGCTTTATGAAATAATCATTGCATAATTTAAGTTTTAATTCTCTATCCTATAATTTTCATTCATACTTATTTTCATGTAAAGATCTGCACCTTTCTTTTTCTAAATCATTGATCAATTTGTTTAGTTTTGTTCTTAATGAATAATTTTATAATATTTTTAATTCCAAAATATTGTAATCATAACTCTCTTACAATAATTTTAACTTTTTTTCTAATTCACCTTTCTATTAATCGAAATTTAATTTAGATTTTTCATAATCAGATATCATTTTTTTAATTAATAATAGCTCCAAATGTAAAGATAGAAAATCTTTATGTTCTTCCCTTATTTTTTTAAATTCTTAAAGAATTTTTTTAAAAATAAAGAATTTCTATCTCAAATCCTCATCTAATTAAAATTATTAATTTTATTCAGTTTTAAATGTACTTTTGATTGCCTTCAAAATTTCTCCAATTTATTACCAAGAAATCCTATTTTTATAATCCTCTTAAACCATCATATCTATAAGAGCTTTTGTCATTTCACTAACCTGTATTTTCAGAGGATAAATAAAATTATTCTTATTCGTAAAATTCTGCAAACCATAAAGGATTTCATAAAAAACAACGCCTAATGAATAAATATCTGATTTCTCAGGATCATAATTTCCCTCTCTAACTTCAGGAGCTTAATATCCTCTTGTTCCACATCTAGTATTTAATTTTTAATTTTCAAAACTATTTGTTTATAAACAAAAACCAAAATCTATTATTTTAATTTAATTATCTTTAAACATAATATTTGAAGGTTTAATATCTCTATGATAATATTTATAATTTTATAGACTAAATTTTTGAATTAATTAAATACCAAGAAAGTCCATTATAGATTTGAAGAAAAATATCTAAAGCCTATTCTTCTTTTATTAATATAAATTACTTTAAATAATCCTATAAAGAATCTATTTAAAAAAAAATGCTTACAATCACATAATTCTAGGACTAATGCATACTTATCACTACTCTCAAAATTTTAAATTAAACGAACAATATTTTAATTCTTCAACTTGTTACATTATGTTAAGACTTCTACTTCCAATTTATACATTTGAGAAATCTTTTATTCAGAAAGATTTATATCAGAATTAGATTTTTTGATTATTTTAAGGGCTACATAATTATTTGTATCAATATTTTTTGCTTTAAAAACCTATTTTATTTTCATAAATACCATTGAACTAAGTCCTGATCCAAGAGGTTCATTTTAGTTTAGAATATAATTATTTAGAGTAATTGGCATGAATTTTATTTGCATGTTATTTTTAATTATGAATACTCTGTTTAATATATTGAACCATTTTAATTTTAACTCTATTTAGCTAAATCACATAATAAATTGTTTTAAAAGCATTAACTTTGATTTATTTTCTCTATATTATTAAATTTATCATTTTTTTGATACCTTTAAAGATATCTTTAAATTGAAAATAACCGAAACCAAAAATACAATGTTAATTAAATATTGATAAATATATTTACTTCCTTAGGATTTCTTTGGTTATCTGATTTCTACCTTAAGTATATACTACACATTCATCTCATATTTAATATATATTTAAGATTAAAATGATAAATTTAACAATAATAATAAATCTATTTTTTTAGATTATAATAATTTTAATATATGTATATGTGTATGATAAAATAATTTTAAGAAATCCAACAATTAGAGGAATATAAATAATTTAAATAAAATAATGGAATGTCCAATGTGTTGGGAATTATATGCCCAAAATAGAGTGGCAAGAAATCTACTTTGTGGTCATACTTACTGTTCTATATGTCTTGAATCAATCTACAATGTAAATAAAAGAATTGAATGTCCTCTTTGCAGAACAAAACATGAACCACATGTAAAACCACATTTATTGAGTAAAAATTATGTGGCTATGGATTTGGCTTCCAAGCATTTGGAAGTATAGTAAATTAATAGTATAACAATTAGAAAAAAGTTTGAATTATGTCCAATTCATATAAAACTTCCATTATAATTTTTTTGCGAGGATGATTAATCAAATATGTGTACTGAATGTATAGCAGAGCATTATGGTCATAAGTTTTTTAAATATGAACATTCTGGTATTAAACTTTTATAATGGTTAGTATCTTTATAATAAAATCGATTAGGAAGGATCTAAACAAAATTAAAATCTCAATTTGACATATTAGAAAAATAAGTAAAAGGATTTGATAATTGCAAAGAACAACTATAATTGGAAAATGTGAAATTGGTATTTTAATTATCAATATTTAGATGCAATAATTAGATGAACAATTTGATCGACTAATAAAAAAGATTGAATTAAGAAAGTAAGAATTGAAAGATTAACAATTAAAAATATTTACAACTGAATGTGAATAGATAGATTAGGAATTAGCATTTAATTAATCTTTACTTACAAATATGACAAGTTTAACAACAAAATTAGAATAGAAATAAGGAGAACTAAGTATATAGAATTAAATAACTTAATAGAAGGAGTAAAGGCTCTCAAAAACAATGATCTTATAAAGGAAATAGATGATTTAGAAGAATAAGTAGATAGAGATGTCGCATAACAAAAGTAATTAAAGATTAGTGAAATAAAGAAGTTACCAAAGTTGGTTTTTGATTTGAAATTAATTAATGAAGTCTCAAAGTTTGGTTAATTCAAGAAGGATGTATCTAATCCATAAATATGCTTCTTTGGAGATAAGCATAAAATATTAATTTATAATATTGAAAATAATGAATGGACGTACAAATAAATGCCAAATGTATATCAAATATATATAATAGAATACTTTAGAATATAATTATTATGCAGCTGCTGTAAGTTTGCCAAGTGGTGATATCATTATTACAGGAGGGGGAGTTAGTAGAAATACAATGTTAATATCTCCATCAAAAGGATTTCAATCATAAGCCTTAAAAAGTATGTACTTTCCAAGGAAGGAGCATGCTTGTGTTTATCTAGATGGATTTGTATATGCCATAGGAGGGTATTTCTAATCCATTAAAAATTTAGATATGATGGATCAGCTAAATAAATGTTGTCATGCTGTGAAAAGTATAGTTTAGTTTCAGATGAGTGGAAAATAATAGATCCTTTGTAAAAATAAAAGTGTGCTTTTGCAGCAGCAGCAGCTATAAATAAATTCATTTATGTATTTGGAGGTTTTGATGGAAGAGAGAGATTGAACACAATTGAAAGGTATTCAGTAAAAGAAAATCAATGGAAGGTCTTGGATGTTAAATTTAAGTAAGGGTTTAGTAATGCTGCTGCTATATCTTATGATGATAATAAAATTCTTATATTGGGAGGAGGGTAAGTATTACAAAAATTATTCATTTTAGATCAAATCAAGGTTTTTCATATGATTTATAAGTTTATGATGTTAACGAATAAGTAGTTAAAACTTTAAGTAGAATGAATGAAGGAAGGGATTTGAGGAATAAATTGATTATTTTTGATAATAATTTGTTTGCTTGTGGAGGCAATAATCAATCTATAGAAAAATATTCGTTAAGCTAATAAGTGTGGGTTAATTTAAAGTAAATTAAGAATTAATTTAATTTAGGAGTTATGATTAATTGGTTTAAGATAATTTGGATTCGTGGTGCAGTGCATTAACCTTTGAAATCAATAGTTCCACCTCTGTTTCAAATTTATTGAAACATAATTAATAAAAAGTAATGTTTATTTTAGATTGAAGTAACAATAATACAGTAAATAACTTTACTAAAAATATAAATTTGAAGAATAGGTATCTTTTGACAATGATTCATTTAATTAAGATGCTTAAAGTGAAGAATTAGAAGACTTAGAAGATTATGCATATAACTAATAAGTTGGAGGATTATTTTAATTTTGAATTTATAATTAGATATAATTAATAATTAAAAACCATATAATCAATTAGTCAATAATCTCATTAATTAACAATAATATTTCATTAAAAACAGTTATATTTTATGTTTTATAGGTATTTGTATTTTTTTACAATGAATTTTATTTGCTTATTTTTCACTTAATGGTAATAAATCATACAATATTTGTCTTCTCAAACAATATTATATCAACTAAAATGATAAAATAAATATTATCCCTAAAGGGAGTATAAAAGGAGCAAAATCTACTAAATTTTATTATGTCACTTAAGACTAAATTATTCCATTAGTGTAATTTATTATAGAAGTTATGATATTTTTACATTGAACTTTATATAGAATCAATATAAATATCATTTATTTCACTTACATGAAATTTATTAAATTTATATTATAAAAACCAATTTTATATTTTAACTTTTTACGAAGTAACAATTTTGTTTATTTACTTATAAGTGAAATATATGATATTACATAACTATATCATTATTGTTATCCTTCTTATTATTGCATCTCATTTTATTCTAACTCTGTTTCAAGTAAAAAGTCACTCATCTTCTAATTTGGAAATATTTAGGTAGCATTTTGAATTATGAATTAAATATATTAATTTATCATTTTTATTCTAAATATACTATATTGAATAATACTTCTAATATTATTCTTAAATATTCTCTTATTCATATACTTGGGGTCTACATAAGCTAATACCAAAAACAATAGCTAAATTACTAGCATTCATCTTATTAATATGAGAATAGGATGCCACAGATTACAGTATTAGAATTATTAAAGTAAATAAATTTCTATTCAAATTTGGAAATTATTAAATTAATTGCTATGCATCTTCAATAGAATATTTATTCATTATAGTTATTTAATTATAATATTAATATGGAACAACTGAATACTTTAATTTATCTAGAACTCTTTTAATAAAATTGGCTATTACTATTATATTCTCATAATCAAGTATTTCTTAATACTATTTTTAAATTAAATAATTTTCAAACTCTTTATCCTGAGTTTAAGCAGAACACAACCTAAATATTCCTTCTAACATAATATTTTAAGGGTTTTATAATAATTTTGTGATGCATAGATCAAGAATTAATGGTATTCCTTTGCTTGTAAGTTCATATTAATCTAATTCAAGGTTGTAAATTTAAGTTTGGTCTAATTGGATAAATTATTGTTTATTTCCAGTAAAAGCTTATTAAAGTTATTAATAAGAAGAATCTTTGCAATAAGAAGGTATTTTTTCAAATTATTGCTTTTAAAAAAATTGATAATTCAGCAATTAAACCATTCTAAATTTTAAGGATTTAGATACTTTTCAAGATAAATTGTTTTTTATTTCAAAATTGATATTTAAACACTGTTTTGAAACCAAAACCATGATTTTATGAAAACATTTCCATGTACTATAAATATTTTTTGGAGGTTTTCAAAATATATACAAGGAAATTCTTTAAAGGTTGAATAAAATTTTGATAAATGCAAGTAAGTTTTCAAATCTGTATTGAGATAAATTATGAAAAATTCTCTACATCATATTATGGAATGATTACTAATTTTTTTAATTTTATAGTTATGAGATCATATAATAAGTAATTGATCTTATGTTATTGTCATTCTACAATTTTCCTTGAATGATGAAGACAGATTATTTTTACTAAGTTAAACCTAAGGATATAATTTAATAAAGAAACCTGCTTATATTAATAAAGGATCATCCTTGTTTTTAGAATCATATTTTGCAACTTGCATTTAAACAATAAAGTCATTTTATATCTTTTTTTCATTTTAGACATATTTCTAGTCATTTGCAAACAGTTCTCTTATTTATTACTTTTCTTTGTCAATAATCATAAATTAATTAAAACTATACTATAAAATCAGAAGATTTAGCATGATTCACAACTCTTATTCTTTTGATTTCTTTTAGATCTAAAAGATTTGATAGAACTAATATCTTCTTCTGTAAATGTATTCATTAAAACAAGATTCTGAAGCCATGACAATATTTTAATTTTATTGAACATCATTCTAAAATTATAAAAATTATTTACAACTACATTATATATATCATTATATTGATATTCTATACATTAAATCTATTTTTCCTTCAAATTGAGAAGTTATTTTATTATTGTAAAATTCTGACTTTTTATTTTCAATTATTAAATTTCTTTTTGCAATGACCCGAATAACTTTTTGTGACTGTTATTGTCTTAAAAATTTTATTAAAATTAAGGTTTTGTAGATTCCTCTTTTAATTGTTTTTCTGAATTTTGATTGTGCTATTATACTTTTTTATTTTCTTCTTTTTACAAAATTTTATTAGTTTAGTTAATTTCTTTAATTTTGGTTTATATATTTATCTCATTCTCTTAAGGTAATAATAATTACATTTGTATACTTTATATTAAATTCTTAAAATTTACAATTTTAGTTTAGTTTATTTATTTTCCTTTTTTGTAATAGATTGTTTTTTCTAACAAAATATCAATTCTGATTTTAATTCCTAAATTTGATCATTTAACTCTTTATTCCTTTGTTCTCCCTTCGTCCTTTTATTATAAAATAAGTTCTACATGTCTACTTTTAATTTCTTCTACAAATCTTGCTGAAGTTTAGTCTCCCAATGACAAAATGGTTCTTCTATCTCTAGGCGTAGAATATTATAAGGGAGTTGTCACATAACTTGATGACTTTTTATCTATGATATCTATAAATTTTTTATTCAATTAAAGAGTTGGAATTTCAACATTTTTGTAACTCGTTTAATGAATTCTTCTTTCATAAAGTAAAACTTCCAAAAAATCAATAATTTCATGAGCCTTATCAAGTTTTTCCTAATAAAATCTAGTCTTAGAATTAGGAGATAATGAAGAAGATTGTGGTTAGAGATCAAACATAATATTTTAATTAATATGTACATTTATTTTACTGTATGTATATATTACTTTTTCACAATCTTCTTCCTCTTCTACCTCCAGGTCTTCTTGTTGAATCAGTTGGAATAGGAGTAACATCTTCAATTCTACCAATTTTCAGTCCAAGACGAGCCAATGCTCTCAATGCAGCTTAAGCACCTGGTCCAGGTTATCTTGTATCAACACCTAAATAAATAATGAATATTTGATACCTCCTCTTGCTCTTAATTTAATATGCAAAGCATTAATTTTGAGTGTTTTCAATTTCTCATAAACATCTTTGGCTGCTTGCATGGCTGCATATGGTGATGATTCTTCTCTATCTGATTTAACTTTCATTCCACCAGTTACTCTAGCTAATGTTTCTCTTCCTGTCAAATCAGTGATATGAATAAAAGTGTCATTCCATGTAGATAAGATGTGAGCCACTCCAAATACTAATTCATTTCCTGCCACATTTGGTCCTAATGTAGCTACTACTTATTAAACAGTTTCTTCTCCAGTTTTCTTTCCTTTTTTGCCTTTTGGTTATTGAACAGGTTATGGTTTTGCGTCAGCCTTTATTTAATTGTTATAGTTACCATTGTCTAAAAATTAATTTAAATCTTTTTTTAATATAGAAAATAGAAATCATCTCATAATTTAATTAATAACTACATTATATATAACTAAAAATATTAGATGTCTAGAACACCATACAATCAATTATATTATTATGATAACAAATTATTTATTATTGTACTAAATATGTAAATATCATTCAGCAGCAAATTTGTTTTAGGTTTTCTTGGTTCTTTGAGCCTTATTCTTTTCTCTTCTATCATTTTATTCTTTCTCTATTTTATCAACTCTAACTTTTTCTTATTTAGTTTCATGAATTGCCTCAATAAGAACTTTTTTGTTTTTGTATTGATTACCTTTTGAAGCCAAATAAAATTCATGATATCTAAATTATTTAACATTATTTACTATTGTCTATCAATTTTCTTTGCAGCTCTATATTTTCTGAGCAATCTTCTTAAAACTCTTTATCTTCTAATCCAAAGAACTTTTGTTGGCATTCTTGCCTCTCTTGTACCTCTTCTTTTACCAGTTCCGGTGTGTCTGCCTCTTCTCTTTGCTTCAAGGTATCTTCTTGCTCTAGCTCTTGAATGAATTGTTCTCAATCTTCTCATAATCAAACCATCTTTAATTAATTTTCTAATTGACATTCTTGAATTAGCAAGACTGATTTCACTTGCTTCATTTGGGTCTAACCAAACTCTGTTGATACCAACCTTTAATTATGTAGAAGCCAATCTTTTTTGGAGGCGGAGATTAACCATTAAAAAATAATATCTAAATTTTTAAATTTTTTTTCATTTAATCTAAGCATTTCCAATATTAGATTACAAATAAAAAGAATATATAATTTTACTTTGTATATAAATTGGTAAAAAAGAACAAATGAAACTCATTATATTTTGATGAATAAATATTCATATATTAAATTTAATAACTAAAATATAAATAATTCTACAGTTATTTCAGTTAATACTCAATAAATTTTATTGAAATTTATATTACTTAATCAATTATTGCATCATAAAAGTGACCCAACTTATAAGTAATCATAACAGAGTATAGTAATTTTTATACCTTTTGAGGGAAAATTGAAACAAAAAGTGGAAATAATTAAATTTAAAATCAAATAAAATGTAGCAGAATTAGAGCTATAAAAAAATCAAATGTCTATTCAAAGGATATGCAGGTAAAGTATACCTGATCGAAAGAAGATCAGAAAATGATCCTCCCAATAAGAAACACACCCCCTTAGTCTTAAAAAGATATTACAGAAAAGTATAAAAAATTGCAATTTTATATAGCCTTCTGACCCTCAGGATCATACTTAGTTAAATGAATATAAATTTTTGAGTACGTTAAATCATCCCAATATTGTAAATTTTATAGATGCATTTACCGAAAAATTTGAATACAAAAAATACTTGTGTTTAACGATGGAATATATGGCACCACTTCATGAACTATTATTCTCCATTAATGATTGTCAACTCTATATTTTTAAAGAGCTTTGTTTAGCTTTGAATTATCTACATTAATAAAATATCCTCCATAGAGATATTAAACCTAGCAATGTCTTTGTAACATCAGAAGGATAAATAAAATTAGGAGATTTTGGCATTTCAACATAGATAAGAGATTTGATGACTCCTTAAACTTGTACTAAGAATTATAGAGCACCTGAATTATTCTTTGGACTAAAAGAATATGATGCATCAATTGATATATGGTCTCTTGGTTGTACATTAGTAGAATTATTCATAGGAAAAATTTTATTTGATGGAAGATCAGAAATTGAGATTATGTCATAAATAGCTGAACTTCTAGGAAGTTTGAATGTAAAATAATACATATATATACTAGGATTCAAATTGGAAAGGAGTCTCATAATTACCTATGTATTTGGAATTTATAAATGATAAGTAACCAAAACTATCAAAAATCTTATCTACATTACCTAAAAATTTACAGCCTTTAGTTGATAATATGTTAAGAATGAATCCAAAAGAAAGACCCAATATTAAATAGGTTTTAGAATATTTGAATGAAATGAATATTAAAGATTGCTCAACATAATTAGCGATTATTGCTCAGAATGCCATGAGTGCGAGTAATAAAATTAAATTTCAATAAGTGATATGATTTTATAAAAATAATTAAATGAATTTTGATTCCCCTTTTGCTGAATTAAAAACTCCTTAAAAACCATATTATGTTAGATCAAGTCATAAACATAACTCAAGTTAACCTAAACTATCCAATTATTTTACAGATATTAACGAACATAAATAAAATCTCTCCAAAGTCGGTCAGGAAACGTTAAAAAAATGGGATTTCTTTTCTGATCCATTTAGTTTACCTGATAAATATGTAAGCAAATCTCAATAAAAAATAAAAACAGAATCAACAGACTTTGGATTTGATAGTATAGATTTCATTTTAGGAAAATAAACAGATCGACACAGTCCAACATCTATTCAAGTGTTTCATTAGAAAACTCAATCAGAGAAATTGATAGGCAAAAAAGTATAATTTTCAGAATTGGTACAAGTAAAGAATGATGATGGAAGTGAATTTGAAGAACCTATTCAATTGTTTTCAAGAAAGTAAACAAGAAAAAGCATGTTCTGAAAATCAAATCATCGACCTTCTGATTTAATTAGAAAATAATGTTGATTTAATTTACTTCTTTATTAATATTACGTATTCTAATTTGAATATAAATAATATTATCTTATTCACATGAATTTACAAATCTATTTATGATAATCAATTTATAATTACTGAGTTCATACAACAGACAATACATTTAAGATATCATTCGTTTTATATTTTGACTCTATTAAAAATATATTTATATTTGTGTTTTTTAATCAATAAAAATGTAAAAAATATAAGAATTAAGAGTGATTTTGAGTACATTATTTTATTATATTATAAATTATATAATTTATAAGCATTTTATTTAATAAATTATATTATAATGCATAAGCATGGGAAGAGGTTACATATGGGATCGTAAAATCAATAATCTCTAACATCTCTAAATTCAAAGAATGCTAATTAGGAAACAGAGAAACAATAGGATCAATATGAAATAGTACAATAAAGCTTTGAGAATTCGATGTAAATGAATGTGAAAGATCATATTGATAAGTTATTTGTAATGATTATAAAATAAAAAATAGAACATATTGAATAAAATTAAGGATGATTTAAAAGTTAGTAGAGATGATATGAATGTCATACGTGAAGAATTACATAAAATGAAATCTAATTAATATCGAGAAGAAGATTAAATAACAAAAACATTACTTTCAGATGTATAATGAATCAATATTTAGATAAACAAACAAAATAGTGAATTAAATAAATAAAAAATTGATACACAAACTGTTTATGGAAGTCTAAATATGCAAATCTCAAGTTTATATTGCGATAAAGATTTTCTTAATGGANTCTGATCCATTTAGTTTACCTGATAAATATGTAAGCAAATCTCAATAAAAAATAAAAACAGAATCAACAGACTTTGGATTTGATAGTATAGATTTCATTTTAGGAAAATAAACAGATCGACACAGTCCAACATCTATTCAAGTGTTTCATTAGAAAACTCAATCAGAGAAATTGATAGGCAAAAAAGTATAATTTTCAGAATTGGTACAAGTAAAGAATGATGATGGAAGTGAATTTGAAGAACCTATTCAATTGTTTTCAAGAAAGTAAACAAGAAAAAGCATGTTCTGAAAATCAAATCATCGACCTTCTGATTTAATTAGAAAATAATGTTGATTTAATTTACTTCTTTATTAATATTACGTATTCTAATTTGAATATAAATAATATTATCTTATTCACATGAATTTACAAATCTATTTATGATAATCAATTTATAATTACTGAGTTCATACAACAGACAATACATTTAAGATATCATTCGTTTTATATTTTGACTCTATTAAAAATATATTTATATTTGTGTTTTTTAATCAATAAAAATGTAAAAAATATAAGAATTAAGAGTGATTTTGAGTACATTATTTTATTATATTATAAATTATATAATTTATAAGCATTTTATTTAATAAATTATATTATAATGCATAAGCATGGGAAGAGGTTACATATGGGATCGTAAAATCAATAATCTCTAACATCTCTAAATTCAAAGAATGCTAATTAGGAAACAGAGAAACAATAGGATCAATATGAAATAGTACAATAAAGCTTTGAGAATTCGATGTAAATGAATGTGAAAGATCATATTGATAAGTTATTTGTAATGATTATAAAATAAAAAATAGAACATATTGAATAAAATTAAGGATGATTTAAAAGTTAGTAGAGATGATATGAATGTCATACGTGAAGAATTACATAAAATGAAATCTAATTAATATCGAGAAGAAGATTAAATAACAAAAACATTACTTTCAGATGTATAATGAATCAATATTTAGATAAACAAACAAAATAGTGAATTAAATAAATAAAAAATTGATACACAAACTGTTTATGGAAGTCTAAATATGCAAATCTCAAGTTTATATTGCGATAAAGATTTTCTTAATGGAAATACTACTAAAGTTGAGTTGGATACTAATATGGTTGAAACTCATGTAGGTTTTAGAAGAGTTTATGATTGAATTTTATGTTTAATATACATAGTAACTTAATTATTAATTAATATTATTTAACAGATATTAAGTTATGGATTTGACAATGTCTCTAGAATAATTATAATGTATAGAAGACGATAGATAATATTATCAATCGATTAGTAAATCAACACAATAATAATCATATCAATCAATTGCAACATTATAATCCGATCAGTCAATTGAATCATTAGAAAAATTGGTATCATAAGAGATTGTTAAGGATTCAAACTTGAAACTTGAATTAGATCAATTTATAGGATTATTATAAAAAGTCAAGCCATCAAATTTGAAAAATGAGCTCTCAGTTGTGATGAGTACAGAACAGGAGGAATATTATAGTTTTCAATAAAAACAACCTTTAGATAGAAAGGAGGTAATGTTTGAAGGATTTTAGAAATGCTATGTTGAGGCAATAAAAATAATTAGCAATTTAATCAGAGATTCAAAAGAATAAAATTATATAATCTCTTATTTGGAAAAGATGCAAATGATTTATGTATACATAAAATTGCAATAATTAGATTATGCATATCTAGAGTTATTAAGGCATGGAAAAATCTATGAATCTACTAAATAGTTTAAAGTAAACTCTAATTGATGCTGATTAAGAAATAACTTTATTACATAACTAAACAGCAGAGCAATAATAGATTTTATAGAAGATGCAATAGCAGCTAAAACAAAGTATGAGTGAACTCAATTAAGAAAGATTAAATTCATTGGATTTATAATAAAAAAATTAACAATTAAAGCATTTGATTTTAGTGGCTAATAAATAGTTTGAATCATTATAAGAGAAATTACTATAAACAGAATAAGAATTAAATGAAATAGTTTCAACATAGAGTTAGTAGATTAAATAATTAGTTTAAACAAATAAAAATTTGAGAGAAGCCATTGTATTTAATGATAAGAAATAAGAAGATCCAAAAAAAGTTAATTGTTCTCCATTAAATTCACAAAGAAATACGCTTAATAGTAATTAAGAGAATCAATATAATCAATTAAATAATCAATTACCTATTAATTCTTAAAGAGCAAATAATCTAGATAAAGGGATCACAAATACATCTCCTTAATAATCTTAGAGATGCACATCTAATAAAAGAGAATGGAATAAATGCACAAAAATATTTAAATGAATAATTATAATTTATACATTACTTAATATAAAAATAGAATATCATTACACAAAATGATTAAAGTTCCAAATTCCTTAAATTACTTATCCACCTATTGAAATGTATCTTCCTTAACCTTAGACTTGATCATCTTAAAAATATCCTTCGAAACGATCACCATTCAAAAAATATAGAGTTCCTAAACCATTTTTATTATCATCATAGAATTATCCAACATATTTGGTCCAAGCACTTTAATAATGAAAAATAATATTACAATCCAATATCTTCTAGATTTCTGTAATTGATATCTTCAATTTTAGGAGTGTCATTATACAATATTCCTTATCCTTGAAATTTGTCATCAACCCATTCTCCATCATATGCAGGTCTTCCACTTGCGTAATATAATACACCTTTATTTAAATAATAATATCATACCTTATCCATTAATTCTGTCATTTTTCCAATATCCATCATAATAGCCTCCCTCTTTGTAATATAATCGTCCTCTACCTTCTTTTTTGCCGTTTATTTTTTCTCCAACATATCTTTATCCATTTGAATATGTTTCATTAATGTAAGTTGATAAATTCTATTTTGGGAGATATGAGGATACTGCAGAAATAGGTTGATAATTTTATTATTATTTAATAGGTTATTATTATTATTATTATTATTATTATTATTATTATTATTATTATTATTATTATTATTATTATTACTATTACTATTAAGTAGACATAAACCTACTCTATGGTTAAGCAGAGTAATATTAATAAGATTCCCTATTTGGTTAATTGTAATCAATCTAATTGTTTTATTCAAATTATTTAATATCATTTGGTGATGAGAAGTGAAATTTATCTAGATAATCATTAACTTGAAGAGATTCTCTTTGAGGTTAATAGGTCGTTACATATTATTGTAATTGAATATTAGATTTTTACTAATTATTCTTGTTGAATAATTAATTTGATTGAGCGTAAGAATCTTATTTTATATGGTTAGTATAATCTTTTTAGGTATTAGTGTATGAATCATATCTAATATTTAATTTTTATTATTCTGGTATTTTATAAATGTCTTAATTTAAAATATTATTATTATTTTAAGCAAATGAGATTGGTTAAACTTAAAATTCTGAGATTAATGATTTTGGAATTTATCCAATTGAGTTGTTTTACTTCATTGGAGCTAAATCGATAATTGTGTTTATTACAGATTGAATTTCTAGTAATGTCTGCATTATGAATAAGAATATCATGATCATTATAATTAGCTGGTTTTGGTTCTTTAAATGGTTAATGTAATTCATCATAATTGTCTTCAGATAATGGTAATGGTCCTTCATCCAAATAAGAGGGTTATACTGATTGATTGACTTCAAATTAATGATCAATATTCTTATAAAACATCATTTAATATTAATCTTCTTATTGATGTGAGTTCTTCTCTACAAATTAATTTGAATGTTAAGGAATAATTTCTTTTCTTTTATTCCTTAATTAGATAAAATCAGGTCTATCTTTTTCGAGTTATTCAAGCATTTCTTCAATTATTTCAACTAATTCAGATGTGTAAATAGTTCTAGCTTATTCAATATTTGTGACCAATTATTACATATTTATTTTGCCTTCAAAGTAATCATAACAATTATCTTAAGGTTATAGTAAACAAACTTAAAGGAATATCATTCCAAGAGTATACACATCTGATTTGAATAAATTATGTTATGGCATATGATTACTTTAATAAACTGCTTTAGTCAATATTGGAGATAGATAATTCCCTTGAGATGCATTTCCATAATCTTGTAATACTGCAGCAAATGATGTAATATTAGCTAACAAAGGAATGTCACTAACTTTAATAGTTCCATTCAAATAAGATAACGTTTGAACTCTCAAATTTTGATGAGCAATTTTTAATTCTTGCATTTTGGCCAATCCATCTATTGATCCAATTAACATTTGTAAAACCTCTTATTCTCCATAATAGGCACCTGCTAATTTTCGTTACTCTATTGCATCTTATAAAGTTTGAGGGATATATTCAAATACAAGATTAACTTTATAAAAAGTACTACAAACTTATTCTTCTTCTGCTTAAATTGATTCTAATTGATATTATGCATTTTATGTACCTTTCAATTCAATAATATTAGAGTGCTTTAGAGATTGTCTGACCAATAATTTATTCTTCCAAGTTTAAAAACTAGCTTCATCTGGAATACTTATGTTCTTTAATACAATCATTTATGACTTGTCATTTCTCTTTCCAAATAATTTACCATCTCCATATCCTACTTTATAATTATGAAGATTCACTTGCATCATTGAGATGTTTTATAAATTCATATTGCGATTCAATCTTTCTCAAAAAATCTTACTCTTATTTACTATCTGTCTAACCCATTAATTTATAACTGAATCAAATATATATCCCTTTTTTATTCTTTTATAATTATAAATCAATCATTCTTAAAAGTATATGCACAACAAGACCACTCTACTGAGTGAAGGATCTTCATCAAATGTTTTCCTAACCGAAGATTCCAATTATGTAATCAAAGAATATAAATCATTCTACTCAAAATAGTCAAGAATGAAGGAAGTTCAAATTTTAGAACTTCTCAAAAGTAATCATATAGTAAAACTAATCACATACACAGATAACTACTTAGTTTTAGAAAGACTTTAAACATATGATTTATTTGAAGTTGTCAAATCTCAAAAACTAAACACACAAATAATAAAAGAGATTTGTAAGACTTTGATCAAAATTATAAACTATATACATTAAAACTAAGTAGTTCATAGAGATATCAAATTAGAGAATATTTTGATAGATAAAGAAGGAGGATTAGTTTTATGTGATTTCGGCTTTGCAGAACTGTTAAGTAATTGTACAGCAAAAAGAACTGTTGGTACTCTCAATTATATGCCTCCTGAATTACACTAAGAAACACTATTGGGAGGACATAATAGTGAGAACATAAATACTTAAGTACTAATAAAGAGTGATGTGTTTTCATTAGGAGTTACCCTATTTTAGTTAATTCTTGGTTTTATGCCATTCAAATCCACTAAACCTAGTTCCAATTGCAAGTTATGGAAATTGATTCAATAAAAAAAATGGTAATAATATTGGACAATCGTTTAAAAATTGTCAAAATAATAAATAGATCAAATCACATAAGATTTTCTGGAGCAATTACTTTAGCCAGATTCAACAACAAGAACTACTCTAGATATTATTTATAATCATCCTTATCTTTAAGAAATAAAGGATGATGCGCATTTAATTTGATAAATTAATATTTATATTTAAAATTATTACAACCATATTATGATTTCAGAAATTATAGTAGATGCCATAGTCAAATAAATAATACATCAGGCCAGAAAATTGATACGTGAACATTAAATAGATGCAAAGATTCCTTCCTTTTTGAAAAGTGAATCTATGCATCAGATCAAGTAATAGTGACATAAATAACAAGATCAGCTATCAATCTATACTAAATTGATTGTTAAAATTCTTAAATCTTATTGGATGATTAGGAATACAATTTAAGACCAACAATAGATTCATTTTAGGCATTGACACTCAAATTAATAGATAGACCAATAATTGATTTAGGAGAACTTAATTAAAATCATACTTTGTCTGATCATACAACTACAAATAAATCTTTTATTAGAAGACACTCTTATAAAAAGAAGATAGATGTTCAAGTTGTAAATTTGAAAGAATAAAAGCCTACTGTATTAACATAGTAAGATCATTAAGAAATTTATAAGTAGTAGATGAATACTAATAATAATAATAGACATTCATTGATTATGAAACAATAAATCAGAGATTTGACAAGTAAAATAATCTAATATAAATTAAGAACATATGTATATTGATAATTTTGATCCAAATGAATTTAGAAAAAAAATTTAACATTAGGCTGAAACTTTGGAAAAAGAAATCAAATAATGTGATAGATCATTTTAGATTAAAAAAGTATCTGATAAATCCATCGATAATAGTAATTATATGAATCAAACTGAAAAACCAACAACAGCTCCTTAAGGTTAAAGAAGACCTTAATATATTATAAATAAAAAAATGATAGATCTGAATGTTACTTTACCATAATTCAAAAGACAATTAACTCCAGTTGAAAACAAACGAACTTCTAAAGTTAGAAATGTTTCTTTGGCTTGATAAAATTATATAATATATATAATAATATATATATATATATATATATATATATATAAATTTATATATGTCTGAATCTTGTAAAAGGATTATTAGTAACTATATTTGCAATACTGAAAATTTGTTGGGACAAGGCTTAATTTGTACAGTAATTTTAATGTTAAAACTTAGGTCTATGAAGCAAAATATTTAGAGACAAATAAGTATGTGGCATTAAAACAAATATCAAAAAAACCTAAATAATGGGAAAAAATGACTGCATCAAAATTAGAATAATCATACAAATTAGAATTAGCTATCTTAAAACAGTGTTAAGAAAGATTTCATAAAAATATAATTTCCTTATTGGATAACTTTGAAACTCAAGATCATTTTTATATAGTTTTAGAATTATGTGATTGTAAATTACAAATCAAATATTTTAGCAAATCTTAAGGAGTATTTAGAGAAATAATAAAATAAACGATTAGAGGAATAGTAGGCTATTGATATTTTAAAATAAATTGTTGAAGGTGAAAAATGGTATTTAATATTGAAATTTCTTTTTTATAGTCTACATGAATTAAAATACTGTCATCGAGATATTAAACCTGAAAATATTTTACTCAAAGATGGTTGTGTAAAAATAACAGATGTCAACTTAGCAAAAAATATAGAGGATATGTATTAAGCAGCATAACACTCAAGTGTGGGGACTCCTTTTTATTTAGCCCCTGAAGTTAATTCTAAACAAATATATTGCCCTTATAAAGCTGATATTTATTCATTAGGAGTTGTATTATATGAAATGGTTTATGGCTTGGTTGATAAATCAAAGGAAATAATTAATTTTAACAATAAAATTAAAGATAGCTAGCTTAACATTAGCCAGGACTTAAAGAAACTTATTATTTCAATGTTAGATTCAGATCCTGAAAAAAGAGCTAATTGGTCAGATGTATCGACTTTTATTAATTAATATAAAAATTGTAAAGTTCGTTTTTTAAATCAAATAATAAGAGACTTTGGCGAATTATAAAATTTAATAAAAGATAAAGATATAAATATATGTTTATATCCAAGTGGTCTTCTGATTATAAAATTAATTAATAAACTTATACAAGAAAGATAATTAGAATTATAAAAATTAAATAAATATGAAGAAGCTAATTAAATGAAATAACATTAGGAAGGTAGAGTTTATTTGTAAAAATCTAAGTATAAAAATATAGATTTTATTTAGGTAATGGTATGAAAGTCAAATAAAAGCTAAAAATTAAGTAATTTGTTAATCTGACGACCTGAGAGATGAATTTAGATATTCAGATAGAAATAGCAAATTTAATAAACATTTTCAATGTTATCTAGTTGCTTTTTTCAATTAATTAAACAATTTTCGGTTTAAAGAAGAAGAGTAGAATATCTAAATTAAACTTTTAAAACTTAAAATAATAATTGCCTGTGATCTACTAAATGACTTAGTAAAATTAATATTTTATTATTAGGAAAAAGTACAAACATTATTAAGTTAAAATTTGCTTTAATAAGGATAAAATATTTTAGGCTTTTGTTAAAATTTGAAGGATATTAAAGAAATAGAAGAGTATACAAAAGCTTTATTACCATTAATTGATTAAATCCCCAATGATTTATGATAAATTAAGTAATTAAAAAAACTAAATATTTCAAAAATATTTCTAATATAAATATAGTGCTAATAAACTCAACATGTAAACTCCAAAAGAAAGGTATTTTAATCTAAAGCAATTCAATCTTAAGCATCCATAAATACAGGTAGAATTCCAAGCACTAATAAATATATTTGTGTAAGAGTATCTTCTTTTCCAGTTAATCACTGTTGTTGATAAACTTCCTAATATAGTTGATGCAACAATTTGTGTTAATAAATCATTTGATGATGTTTATGTAGATTCTTTTTATTCTCTACTATTTTAAACTGAAGAGTAATTGTTAGATTAATCAGAATATTATCTATAGATTTAAAGTAACAATTAATTTTCTGAATTGTTATCTGTATCTTAATTACAGCTATAAGCCCATTTTATATATTTTTCACTTTTCTTTTCATTGCCTTCTTATTTGTAAATTAATCCTAAATACAGTAGGGCTTATGGATGCTAGGGATAACTCTTTAAAATCTAGTTAAATTCAAAGAATTCACTACCTCAAAACAATAATGCTTACTCTCGGAGAGTTTATTCAAAGTTAAAGAACACTTTGCTAATCCTAAAAGAACATCTTCTGTTGTAGGTTCTATTACTTCTGGCCTTGAATTTTAATAAATTAAGGGAAGTGCCTAGCTGTAAACTTCATAAGCTTCTTAATAGTGTGAACTTTTAACTAATTCATCTCCATTCTTTACTATGTTAAGTATAGGACCTGGTTCATAAATATAAGGCACAATTGATTCAGCCATAGACATTGGTTCAGAAGATGTTTATAAAACACTCATAGCCTTAATTAATAATTATAATGGCAGATTAACTACTATAAAAAGAAAAAATAAAATAAACTAGTACACATTATCAATTCAACTTAAAAAATAATATTTAGCCTATAAAGTTGAGATTTTATGTATCACCATAAGAATTTTATCATTTAATTAGCAATCAATTATTATATTGATTGAAGAAATAAAAATATTCAATAGAGTCATATAAGTTCATTTTCAAAATGGTTCTTAAATTAATGTATATAAATTAAAAACTAAATGTAAAAGTTATTGATTTAGAAGCATTTTGAGTAATTTAATACAAATTATTGATAAAAAATAGAATTGCTAAAAAAATTAAATAATTATGATGCAGTTGGCAAAACACTTATGTATAGAATTTGACAAAATATTTATCGCTCTTCTATAAATTTTAAATTCTTTTTTATAATTCTAGTTATATGATCAATTATATTATATTGATTAAATTAGCAAAGGAATTCTTTATAATAGGAAATTAAGGATTAAATCTAAGTTAAATCTCAGAATTCAGAATGAATATTGTTTTGAAAAAGAGAATAATATCGAAAAAGAAAATTAAAGACTAAACTACTTATTCACTTCTAAAAAGATAAAGAAGTAGAGAATTATAAATCAATTTAAACATAGAAATCAGGCAAAATTCATCTATAACATTTATAATAATTCTTTATAATGATAATATGATTGATAAATTTCTTGAACAAGCATATTAATGAAAGTTGCTTAATGAAAATTCCATTAAGCTTATCTGCATAAAATTAAAGGAGATTTTTTCAAAAGAACCAAATGTAAAAAAGGTCCCTACTCCTGTCATAATAGTTGGAGATGTTCATGGGTATTTGATATAGTGAAATTAGTCAATTATATGATATATAGGAGTTATTTAAAGTTGGAGGAAAGCCTCCATTTACAAATTATTTGTTTTTAGGTGATTATGTTGATAAAGGCCCTCATAGTGTAGAAGTTATTACATTGCTTTCCCTCCTTAAAGTAAAATTCCCAAATAGAGTCACATTGATTAGAGGAAATCATGAAATTAGATGGATTACATAAAATTATGGATTTTACATGGAATGCTTATAAAAATATGGTAGCACTCAAGGTTGGGAATATTTCACAGATATGTTTGATTATATTCCTATTGCTTGTATAGTTGGTACAAATCTATTATGTGTGCATGGAGGTTTATCTCTTTGTATAGAAAGTGTTGATGAAATAGAACATTTGAAAAGATTCTAAGAGATTCCTCATGAAGGAAAATTTATAAATATTATTTAGTCTGATCCTGATGATGAGGACACTCCAGATTTTAAAATCTCTCCAAGAGGAGCAGGGTTTATTTTTGGAGGTAAAGTACTTAAGGAATTTCTACATTTCAAATAATATGCCTCATTTAATTAGAACTCATTATTTATGCAATGAAGGATTTAATTTGAAATTTGAGGATAGATATATTACTGTTTGGAGTGAACCTAATTATTTTTATAGGAATGGAAATCTTGCTTCGATTACTGAAAATATATGAATTAGATAATAGATATTTGAATATTTTTAGTGAGAGTCCTGAAAATATGAAAAAAAGATTATAATAAATTTCTAAATTTCAATTTAAAAAAAATCAAAAATAATAATGATCTCATTTGAATTAGACTAAACTTAAAGAGATAATTAAAAAAACTTTTAAGAATTATCAAGTGAAGATAAGAAAATATGATTTTTAATTAAATTTACAATTTTAATAAAACAAGAAATAAGAGAAATATTTGTAAATTTCAGTTTTTTAAAGTATATACTAAGATTTGTTTATAAAAAAACTATTAAAAAGTAGAATGATAATATTTTACTAGAAATAAAATATCCAAATGATTTAATATGTATTATATAACAATTAATAAAGGAAATTATAAAAGAAATAATAAGTAGAGTACNTTAGTCAATTATATGATATATAGGAGTTATTTAAAGTTGGAGGAAAGCCTCCATTTACAAATTATTTGTTTTTAGGTGATTATGTTGATAAAGGCCCTCATAGTGTAGAAGTTATTACATTGCTTTCCCTCCTTAAAGTAAAATTCCCAAATAGAGTCACATTGATTAGAGGAAATCATGAAATTAGATGGATTACATAAAATTATGGATTTTACATGGAATGCTTATAAAAATATGGTAGCACTCAAGGTTGGGAATATTTCACAGATATGTTTGATTATATTCCTATTGCTTGTATAGTTGGTACAAATCTATTATGTGTGCATGGAGGTTTATCTCTTTGTATAGAAAGTGTTGATGAAATAGAACATTTGAAAAGATTCTAAGAGATTCCTCATGAAGGAAAATTTATAAATATTATTTAGTCTGATCCTGATGATGAGGACACTCCAGATTTTAAAATCTCTCCAAGAGGAGCAGGGTTTATTTTTGGAGGTAAAGTACTTAAGGAATTTCTACATTTCAAATAATATGCCTCATTTAATTAGAACTCATTATTTATGCAATGAAGGATTTAATTTGAAATTTGAGGATAGATATATTACTGTTTGGAGTGAACCTAATTATTTTTATAGGAATGGAAATCTTGCTTCGATTACTGAAAATATATGAATTAGATAATAGATATTTGAATATTTTTAGTGAGAGTCCTGAAAATATGAAAAAAAGATTATAATAAATTTCTAAATTTCAATTTAAAAAAAATCAAAAATAATAATGATCTCATTTGAATTAGACTAAACTTAAAGAGATAATTAAAAAAACTTTTAAGAATTATCAAGTGAAGATAAGAAAATATGATTTTTAATTAAATTTACAATTTTAATAAAACAAGAAATAAGAGAAATATTTGTAAATTTCAGTTTTTTAAAGTATATACTAAGATTTGTTTATAAAAAAACTATTAAAAAGTAGAATGATAATATTTTACTAGAAATAAAATATCCAAATGATTTAATATGTATTATATAACAATTAATAAAGGAAATTATAAAAGAAATAATAAGTAGAGTACTTCAAATTATTTAAGATTTATATTAATTGGATAAGGATTAATTCATATTCAAATAACATAGAATGGAATGATGATCTTAAGACTTACAAATAGTTTATAAGTAAAGAATTATGAGAAGAATATGATGAGCATTAAATATTAAATCTTTTTAATTATTTTTTTTAAATGGCAAGAGCACAAAAAGACACTCGACCAATTGCAGATTAAGCTACTTCAGAAGCAGCTTGCACCTATGCTGCTCTCATCTTATATGAAGACAATTAAGAAGTAAATTAATAAATAATACTCAGATTGTTGCTTCTAAATTAGCATAAGTCATCAAAGCTGCTAATATAAGAGTTGAACCAATTTGGACAAAAGTATTTGAAAAGGCACTCAAAGGAAAGAGAGTAGGTGATCTTTTGCATGGAAATGCAGGCAATGCACCTGCCACATAAGCTGCTGCATAAACATCAGCTCCTGCCACTTAATAAGCAAAAGCTCCTGAGCCAGCTAAAGAAGTTAAGAAAGCTGAAGAACCAGAAGAAGATGTTGATATGGGAGGCTTGTTTGATTGATTAAACACCTTTGTTCGTACATTAATATTCATCATCGCTTGAACATGCCTCTTCTTATGGTTGAATCTCTTAATTAAGCTTTCATTGGTAAACTCTCAATTGTTGTATTGTTTAAACTCTCAACTGCTTTTTTTGCGTCTGATACATAAAAAAACTCTATATAGCCTTATTCCTTTGGATTATATATATAATTATACAAGAGATCTGCCCATTTTATCCCATTCTACTTAAGCCCTTCTAATTTTTCCAAATTATTAAGCCAACTCTTTCAATTCATCATTAGTAACACTATAATGCAAGTTTGTAATATCAACAATTGCTCCAGGATTGCGATTATCATTTCTATGTTTGTCATTAGTAAATGCTTATAATTTCTATTTTTTTTCTTAGTATCCCTTTTTCATATTTTACTTATTTCTTTTGTCTTATTGAATTTTTTCTTCAAGGTTTATTTCTATAATATCCTCCTTTTTACTCATTCTTTTAAAAATTAAAATTATTATTTATAATTCATAAATTATTACCAACGAAAGTTTATCTATCAGATTTAAAGCTGAATTTCTCATAAATTTCATTATTTAATAAATGAAGATTTCATAATTCATTATGAAAAACATAATTAAACCTATAAGTATTATTATTGAGAATTTATTTGTATACTTTTAAGACATAATCAATTAATATTAAATTTATTATATTTGTATATACATAGAAATCATAAAATCAATCAATGAATCCTTATTAATGAGAATGTATAGATATTATAATCTCTTTACACAAAATAAGTTATCTCTTTTTTTATTAGATAATAATTTATAGTATATATTATAATTAATTTTTAAAATGAAAAATTTTGATATTCAATTGAAATGATCTCTAGAATTTACTAAACTGTTCAAATTGATCATGCCATTAAATAGTTCATTCAATTTTAAAGTCTCTTAATATCTTACTGACATAAGATCTTATCTAACCTTAAATTTAATGAAAATATATGTACTCTATCTATTTCTGATTTAATTTTAATTTCACTTTCCTCCTTTTCATAAAGAGATTTAATTTCTAATTTTAGATCATTGTTTTCTTTAATTATTTCAATATATTTTTATTAAAATTCTTGAACTTGTATTTTTAATGTTTAATATTAATCTTTATATTCTTATAATCTTGATATTTCATTTTTTAATTCCTTAACATAACCTTATTTAAATTCATCTATTTATTTATTAATATCTAGTTTTCCTTATTTCAATTCTGAAGATAATCTTTGTTTTTCATTCTTATAATATTTTAGTTTTTCATTCAATTTTTCATTTTCATCCTTTAAAGGTTCATATGTAAAAAGAAGTTCGTCCAATTTAGCTATTTCTTATTTTAATCTTGAATTTTCATCTGTTAATATAACCAATTATTGTTATAATTATCTTTACTAATCATCATTTTTAAATTATAACGACTATGAAATTTTATCATTTTGAATACATCTAAAGTTTCATTTTCATATCGTAAATGTTAAATTACATCCTTTAATTCTTAATTGTCTTTAATTAGATTATCTTTTTCAACCTATAACTTGTTCAATCTGTGAAATTCATTTTCCTAATTTTATACATGTTCTTAATAAATCTCTCTAAGTTATTCACATTCTTATTATAACTAATCTAAATGCCCTTACAACTCTTATATTACATGATCCTTCTTCAGAAATTCAATTTTTAATAATTCCATCTATCATTAAAATGTGTTTTATACTTTTTCCCTTTAATCTTTTAATTAGCTGATATAATATTATTCTTGTTCAATCAATTTCATCTCATTCATTCTTAATTTATCATTATTTGATAAAAACTCCATAAATTTTTATGAAGCCATACAATTATAAAATAATATAATCAATTTAACATATTCTTATTTATTGATTCAATTATACCATTTTATCATTTAAAAATTATTTCATTTAATTAAACTTATAACACTTTCTATTATAATTTAAAAAATAATCATTTTATCATTAATTAGTATTTATAGTTTCTTAAAATATATTTCTTAAATATAAAATTTAGGATTTCAATTTTCATTTACTTATAGTCTTGATATTTAATAAATTAAATTCTGATGCTTTCCAATTATGTCAATTTAACATAATTATAATAATTTATAAAAAGAAAGTTGATAAAATGTTACTAAATCATAGTATTGATTATACTAATTACATTTTTTAATAAATTATTTAGTCCTTAACCATTAACATTAATAATACTGGAGGAAATATAATATTATAATTATTGTCAAAAAGAGACTTTTTATTTCTAAATATATTGATCAAGTAGTTTTACTATTATATATATGTCATTAAAATATTTGATTAATTTTTCTATTTAACTTTAAGAAGAATAAAGAAAGATGATTTTATTAAGGAAATATCAAATTTTAATATAATATTAATTCTAAATTAAATCACAAATATGTGAGTATAATATCATATTGATTTGTTAGAATCATTATGAATTTAGATGAATTAGGATAAATTTTGAGTTATTCATTATACATTTATATTATATTGATTGCCATATTGAAAATAATTCTTCATATTTGATAAAAATTAAATCCTTTTATTTAAATAATGTCCTAAAAGTTCAAGGTTAGAAAGCTTAGAGATTAAAAGCCAGAAGATCTCCTTAAGGACTTAGAAAAGCTTAAGAGTGAATTAATTTAATTGAGAACAGTTAAAGTATCAGCAGGTAATGCTTAAAAACTTGGCAGAATTGGAGTAACATAATATATGAATAATCAAGCTTGTTAGAAAGCGAATTGCTAAATATTTGACAGTCATAAATGAATAAAGAAGAAATTCAGTCAAAACTGCTACCAAATCAAGTGCCAATCTTCCAGTTGATCTTAGAGGCAAGAAAACTAGAGCAATTAGATAAAGACTAACAAGAAGTGAAAGAGGTATAACTATTTAGATATATTTAAAGCTTAAAAAACATAGAGATAATGGAAGAGACTCAACAATTTCCCATTAAGAAAGTTTGCTTTGAAGGAATGATTCAATTATATTAAAATCAGTACAATATTGACATGGCAATATGTAAATATATATCTCGAAAACATTTTCAATATATTTAAACTATTTATAATAGCCAGAATGGATATAATCCATTAAAAGACAATTAATTTGAATTTTAAACGATTTTAAAATCAATTGTTATTGTGGCAAATAGTTACAAAAGTCTTTAATTTAAAAAGTATATATTATAGAATATTAAATTTAAGATTTTATAAAGTTCTGTTTTATCATATTATCTTCATATAATAATTTATTTTTCTATTAAAATTTAATAAATAATACTAAAAAATTATTTGGATATTATACTACTCTATACATAATATTAAGAAATCTGAATTGAAAGTATTAAGTTCATAAATAATATTGATTAATTATTCAAGATGAATAAAAATATATTTCATAATATAATTTATCTATTAGAAAGTGAATAAAGATTTAAATGATATCTAAATGATTATTTTGATAATATAAATTAGTAAAATATTTGTATCGATAACCAAATTTATTAATATGAGATTTAATTATTTTAAAAAATAACATCATTAATAATCATAATTTAAATTTTAATATATTTAATATTAAATATGCAAATATAAATAAAATAACATCACTACTGATCATTTAATTTAACAAATTTTCTTTTAAATAAGATAACAACCTCTTCATAATCATCAAAATTATTCAAGTCAAATAATTCTAATATGTAATTTTTGACTTAATTTTCTTCTACTTATTCTTACTTTGGTTAATAATTAATAGAAGCTTCTAATTATTTAATAACTGAATCGACTAATATTTTATTTTTTAATTCTTTTGTTATCCTTCCAAATTTCATTTTTGATTCTGCTTATTTTAATAGATTGTAATATCTATTTTTTATAGTATTCTCTGTTTTCTTCAATTAAAAGACTTAAAGAGAAATCTCAGCCCATTTCTTTCCTCTTTATTCAATTTCTCTAAACAGTAAAAGCTCCTCTTCTCTTGTCCAAGGTAGGCTAATTAATATAAATATTAATCTACTTGACTATATTCGGATCCAGTTTATTTACCCATCTATCACGACATTACTTTCCTTACCTAACATAAGGAGTTTTACAAATCCTCATCAAATCTAATGCAATCTCACACCATTTGTTTGGTTTAAATTACTATAATTCTTTTAAAACTCTATCTTCCTGAGTTGTCCAACTTACCTTTTTGTGACACTCTTCTAACCATCTATTTCTACAAGATTTCCAATTATGAAAACGAAACAATCGAGAAATTTATTCCCAATATTATGGAGACTATAAAAATAGAAAATGTAAAATACTAGTTCTATGGGCTTCATATGATATTTTAGGCATATTCCCAAAACTGCAAGATTAAGAAACTTATCTTAGCATGGAGTCCAAGCACCTCTTTTGCTATTGTAAGCCTTTTCCACAGAACATAATATTAATTATATTTCCTCTTCTTAAGGTAATTTCGAGAATGTGAATGAATAATTTTTTAGAAGAGTATCAGCAAATACTTAATCTGGCTATTCAAACCATTCCAAAACCACCTGCCTATTTAATGGCGTTTTTTTTTGCATTATCAAATGATGTTTATTATAATATATAGATTATACAATATATTACATATACTGAAAAACCCAAATTAAATTCAAAACCGAGTTTAAATTTGTACTTAATTCTTTTTTATAATCCTTTCTTTAAATTCAAGACAAACAAAATTAATATTTCTAGAATTTTTTTTTTATAAACATTATTGATGTAATAAAAACGTAGTTTTTAAAAAATTTACTTCATTTTTTTTTCTAAAAAATAACTATATATTGTAAATCTACATTTAATTTTACTTAAGTTTTTTAAATATAAACTGTCCTTTTCCAAAATAAGCATCCTATATTAAATTGGTATTTTATTCATACTAATTCTACTATCACTTTTTATATTGATTTTACATCTTTTAAATATGCAAATTAATCAATTGTTTCAATAATTTGATGACTAATTGATATTTTACAAGATTAAGATTCTTTTCTTATAAATTTTTATAATTAATGTTAAATTAATTAAGAAAAGCAAAATTTAGCACCATCACATAATATTAAATCAGGTATGTTCAAGTTATCAAATATTAGTTAGAGGTGTATTTAAATAGCAATTGAAAGAAGGTGAAACCTATAGTAACTTTAAAGTCGATGAATTCTACAGATCAAGAGATTTTTAGACATTGTGTTATAAAATGCATCACACAACAACTAATACAAATTATATTCATTTTGCAACTAATTCTATTGTCAATCAAGGAGCATTGATATTTAAAACTCCAGCTATCGATAATAGTGGAATTCCACATATTGTATAATAAATCTTAACATGTGGTTCATAAAGATATCCAGTCAGAGATGCATGGTCTCATATGAGAGGACGTTCTCTACAACCTCCTGATTTAGTGCCATATGTTAGCACTGATCATACTGTATTTTAGGTTTAATCTGCTTTGTTTGAAGATTTGAAACAACTTTTCAATCTCACCTTTGAATAAGTATTCAGACCTATGTTTAGGGAAGTGGATTTCCTTTAATAAATTAGAGTTCAAGTCCTTGGAGGGAATGAACTCATTATGAGAGGGATTGTTTATGATTAAATGATTAAACAATTAGAGTAACCAGAGTTTATTCATGCAGAAGCAGTTCGAAAACATCTTTTAGAAGGAACCGCTTATCAGTATACAACAGGAGGTATTCCAACAGAGATGACAAATGCAAGTTATGAGAGATGTTAACAATATTATAAGGATTACATTCATTTATCTAATGCTTATCTTGTAACTGTAGGAGACATAGATGTTTTATAATATTGTTAATATTTTAATGATCTAATTGAATAACATTAAAATACTATTAAACCAATTAAATAATTAGATTATCAACCTGTTAAATTATTTGAACCTAGATTATCATTAAGAGGATAGCCTTCATTTTCATTTGCTTATAGAGGTGCTAATTTAACTGAAACACCAGAAGATTATTTCAAATTAGGAATTCTATCATTTTTGTTGCATGATATTTAAGATTATGGATTGAGACCAATACTTGAGAAATATGGTTAGTATTGTCTCAATTATGGAGCAGATATGACTTTACATAATTAAATTATATAATTTGGATTTAATAATAAAGAATGTGAACAAGAATTGTATACATTTATTAAATAATTAAATGATAATATCTATCAAGTAATACCTTAAAACATTATAAATATTGCATTAGACAGAATTAGATTAAGAAGATCAATTAATGTATCAGATTTAATTCCATATATTACAAATAATGTCAAACCATCAATTTACTTAAATTAAGAATGTAAAAGTGATGATTTCTAAGTTTTAATTGAAAAGTATTTTACAAAAGATAAATGTACTGTAAATATGGAAGCTGATCAATATTATATTGAAGATATGAATACAGAAATTAAATAGCATTTAAAATAATTATAAGTTAATTATCAAAAATTATCAGAATAATAAAAAATCATAGAAGAAGACACAGATGTTTTGAGTTTAGAATCATTACCTAAATTAAATGCTGCCAACATAATACCATTATTAAAATAAAAAAATTCAATCATTTTGGATCTAAATTGTATTTAATTCTTTCTATTTAATAGTTAATGTTCCTTGTAGTATATTTGCAGCTAAACATCCTCAATAAAGTAATATCAAATGGATCATTGATGTAAGTTAATTTAGTCAAAAGGATTATTAACATATATGTATTTTGAAAGACTTATTACCTGAGTTTTTCAATAAATAAGTAAGTTAACATGATGTAGAATGTTCTGTAATTGATGATAAATTAATTATAGAATTGATATGTTTAGATAAGAATATTGAAGAAGCTTTTCAATAATTTTAATTAGTAACTGATCCAGCTTTGGATAATTTAGAATTGATTAGTCAATCCTTATCTATTATAAGTGCTAATTATTTAAGCAATGAAGATATCCCTCAGATTGCTGTATCATATTCTTAATAAGAGAAATACCCCATCATTTAATAAGCTAGGAAAATATGTTAATTAGAAGTTGAAATCTTAAAAAATTATAGTGCAAAACAAATATTATCATAATTGAGTTAAGAATTGATTGCATGTTTCTATAAAATAATGAATAAGAATATCTAATCTTTCGAAATATATTCAAATCCACTTTTAAAAGATAAAATGAAATCTTAATTAAATTTACTTTTGACAAATATAAAATTATAATTTGATGGTATTAAATATTAAAAATATAATTTTTAGATTATTTAATGAACAAAATAGACTTTGAATAAAAATATGAAGTAGTACCATTTAAATAAGAGTTTTAATACTTAAAATTATATGTTGCCTTAAATTCTCACACTAATTGTGTTACTGAAACAATCCAAATTGCTCATAAGCCAGCTAATTACATTTTGTCAAATCTCTTAACACATATATTCATTCCTTAATATTGTAATGATTCATAATTAGGGTACTGTCAATATAATCCAGGAAAACTGACTTTTTATACTGTTAATGATATTCATACTCTAAGAACATACAGAATATTTGAAAATGCTGTTCATTTATTATTAGAATGTTTAGATTAGGATAATTTAAATTCAGCAAAATTAGGAACTTTTAGCATTGAAGATCCTGAGAGAATGTAATAGATTTTAGCTGTTTCTGAAGAAGAAGTGAAAGAACAAGCTTAATATGTTTTAAAATAAATGGCTGAAGGTTAAACATCATAAGTGATATTTGGAAAACAAGTTTAATAATTAGATGAATATGTTAAAAGAGGATGGACTATAGAAAGATATATTAATGAAGTTGCAGTTTGACTTTAAATATATTTTTATATATATATAAAAGATATCATTTATATATTTATTTATATATATATATAATGAAAAATATATTGTAAATCTGTATTTCATCATCAAATAAAATACAATATTTGAATATATAATTATTTTTATAAAATTAAATATAATTAAATAACAATGAACTAATTGATTTAATAAGAGGATTTTCAGTAAGAGTAAATGGATAATAATCAAAATTTAGAATAGTTATAATAACAAAATGAGGATGAGGATTAAAAATAATCATAAAATCAAAATGTTTAGTAAGATCAAAACGATGGTTTAGATTAAGTTGAAGATTGTTAAGATTAATAGAAAATACAAGAAATAGACTAATAAAATAATTAGAAATAAGAAGAAAATGTTGAAACTAAAAGGATTGCAACTTAAGGAGAAATGGAAACTACAACTTAAAGAAAAGATTAGAATAGACGATTAGAAACTGAAAAGTAATAACGAGTTAAAACAACTACTGAAAGGACATTTAAAACACTTGAATAGGTTTATAATAAAAGAAATTCAAGCTCATTTCTATATTTAAGAACAGCTGAATAATTTGATACCAGAATAATTCATGATTAAATTAATAGATCTCATGCAAAATAATAATACACTTTTTCAAAAGCTTAAAGATTTTCTAAGCCTAAAGAAAGTTATTGTTCAATGCAATTCTATGATTCATAGTATATAGTAATATTTATTATAGAATTTAAACATAATTAAGTAAAAGATCTGCAGCATTAGGTTTTGGAATTAAATCTGATTTCACAAAACGGGATAAATATATTCCAGGTCCTACAGATTATAATATCAAATTATAACCTAAACCAGGAGTCAAATTTGCTTATGGAAGGGATGAAACACTTTCTAAAGGTCTTCATGGTAGACCTAATACTAATCCTGCCCCCAATTTATATTAAGTTAAAGATATCATTACTACATATAAATATTCTATGGGAGAAAGGACATCAGCCAAACGTATACTTATATTTATATTTATTAGACATTTACCTTGAATCAACAACTCCTGCTCCAGGTAGATATAATGTAGGTGGTTTCAGTTAAAAAGGAAACTATTTTATAGGCAAATATAAAAGTAGTGGAGCACCTGTTATTTCTCCATCTACTGCTTAATCTCAAAGAATTAAAAAGGTTCCTGGCCCTGGAACTTATGATCCACCTGGAGATATAGGAGACCCAAGAAACTATTTACCTTCATAATATTCTACTAGAAGTGGAAATCGATTTGGTTATTAAGAAAGATAGACATAAGAGATTAAAAATAAATTATGTAATTAAATCATTCATCATAAGTTCCTGGTCCTGGCACATATTAAATTCCATCTGAATTTGGTGATTTTGAATTCCCACCGGCATTTTGATTTATAATATAAATACAATCTTAACATCTTATTAAAACAAATTATAATAAAAATTTGAAATAAATATCAATTCTAAACTTTCATACTTATTTGATTTAAAATTATAATCCTATTTCATTTATATTATTTTTTACTTTTTGACTCAAGAGTATTATTATCTTTTTTTATTAATAATTTAATAATCATAATGTTTTTAAAAATGCAATTATAAATTTAAATATTATGAAACCATGAAGATAGTGTTTGATTTCAGAATTAACATAGATGATATTAATTTGAAAATTTTTCACATAATTCAAATCTATAATGTTTAAAAAAACTTGAATATATATCTATAATCTAAATATTTTATTAATTTTAATATTAAAAAAAAAAGAAAATCATAAATATATCAAAAATAGTTAAGATTATTTATTGAATAAATTTTTATTATTTATTATTGTAATTCATTCTGCATCAGCAATCAATTTTTATTGTTCCTCAATATCGTAAATTTATGGAGACTCTTATTCTTTTTAATTTGATATTGCTTTATCATTAATTAAATGGATCCATGGCAAAGGTAAAATAAAGAAGATACTTGATAGAGCAATAAATATATAAAGCTTAGAATAATCTTATTAATTGATTCCCATTTCATATAAGATCAAATTGCCTAATTATCCTCCAGCAAAAGTTCCTAGATTCATGGTAGCCATAAGCATAGCATACATTGTAGCTTCAATGTTTTTAGGACATATTTTGCATGCATACACTAATATAGGTAATAAATTCAATTCTCCAATAAATTATAATATGACTGAATCACCTAAACAGAAAAATCTATCATCTATTCCCCATTATACATTCATTCTAGTAACCAAAGGTATAGTTGAGAGATAACAAAAGAAGAATGAGATAGTTGTTGTTAAAAATATCTTTTTAAATTCAACATCTTTTAAGAAATTTCTATACAATAAAATTGCAAGTAGAGTTCCCAAACAACTAATAAATTTTAGATATCCCATGAATTTTGGAGTAAAATGCAATACTTCAGTATAAAAATAAAACATTATTGAACTACTTGAAGGTACCATCATGAATGCTAAAATTAACAATACAGGTCTCTTAAATTAGATTAAATATTTACTAATAAATTTTGGGATTAGAAAAGAATGTCCAAAAAATACTCAAAACTTCTTTTATATTTTATGATTATTGGGTTTATTGAGTCTCTTTTAATTTTAAAGAAAGTATAGCCATTGTTAATGGAAACAAACTATTAATAAGAAATACTAGTTATAGATTTTAAAGTGAATTACTTTGTCTTTTAGTTAGATACATAAGTAACATCCCTGAAAAATATGCACTAATTAATCCACCTGCTGCTTTGAATCCAAAAAACACTGATACATTATTTGCTGCATGATCATTTGCACACTATTCAACCATTAAAGCCTCTAAAATTTAAGTTACTTTTACCTCCAACTACATTACAGATACAAACTGATGATGATATCATAATAAGTAAAGCAACAGCCAAATAAACATTATCAACTCCAGTATATGCCATTAATTGCCATCCAATGAAACTTAAAAAACCACAAAAAACAATATAAGCTTTCCTTTTAGAACCTAAAATAGGAAATGAATCACAAATAATTCCCCAAATTGGTTTAATTATCCTATAATTAAGCTAATTAATAAATATACCATGGCAATTATGATAGTCCAATATATACTCCCATTCTACTAGGTGATACATGAAAATCATCCTTATATAAGTATTGAATTGATAAATCAGCCAAATGCTAAACTCCTTAAGAAAAAGCAACAATCCCTACTATTATCTGTGTTAAATTGAATAAAGGAATATTATTTTTTGGACTCATAAAAATTAATATTAAAAAAACGAATGTATTTTATTTTTATATTTTATATTAGTAATAATAAAAAGTACTTTAGATTTAAAGTATTATTATGGAATCATTATTATTATGATATAAATTTATGATCAATCAAATATTAATTTAATTCTAATAGCTGCTTTGTCAATTAATCAATAATTACACTTTTATCATCATTATATTTTTTAAGATCTTTATTTTATTAAATTTAAGTATGCAGTTAATTTTATAAGTAACTTAATTCATTTACTAATTAACTGCATTCTAGGTCTTTTTGATTTGATTATTCTTATTGATATATAGATTATGTTTTTAATTATGCATTTTAATTTTTCAATAACCATAATTCTTAGTCTTGTTTATCTTTTTCTTATTTAAGTAATTGATAGTCTTTATTCAAGATTTCAAAATTTGATTAGATTTGATTATGATCTTATATAAGTTTAGAATACTTTTATTATAATTCTATGTTGTCTCTCTAATTAATTTATTCTTATAATTTATCATTATGTTCTAAGATGATTTGAATTTTCATTTCTAATTAGTCTATTTATAATTGAAATGAATTTTGTTCTTCTTTAACTTTAATTGCATATTCTTGATTTCTCATTTAATGTTAGAGTATTATCTCTTCATAATATTCCATTTAAGATGTATTCTCTTATTCTAAGAGTTTTATTTTTTCTTTTAGATAATTATTTTCATCATTTAATGGAGCTGTCACTAAATAACTGATTTCTTTCTTTTACTATTATATAATCAACTCCAATTTTTCCACTTAGGTCATTAATTCATTCACTCGATTATTTAGAAATGTAAATTAATCTCCATTAGATGTTTTTTTATAATGCATAAATAAAAATAACCAAAATTGATCAGATCAATCCATTTGCTTTGGCTTTCTCCATTTCAACATTCAAATCTAATTGTAGTTTCAAATTTAATCTATTTTATTACTAAATTATACATACTTCTCAATATTTTAGATACACTAATATATTTTAGAATCGGGAAGTTGTTTGAGTTGTTGAGCAAGTTCATTGATCTATTAAGGAGTTATTTCTAAGATCTATTATAACTCTTCTACTGTTCCTTATGGAGGCTTTGAGCTTGATAATTATTCATTTAATTCATTAAGCACTGAGCCCATCTCCAAACAAGTGTCACTTTATTCATTAATGAACCTTGAATAAGAATTCACAAAATTCACGAAACAATGAGATGACTCAGATTCTGATTCAGATTCATCTTCCTCTTCTTCTTTTTAGTTCTATTTCACAATAATTACTGATTTTTTGTTATTCTCTGACATTATTATTTATTATTATTTTATAAAGTGGATCAAAAACTCATTACTTGATTAATAATAATCTTAATAATTTTGATGATTCCAAATAAAAAAGTATAAATTATTGGATTTTCTATTAAATTTGAACAATTTAGTATAAATTGAATTAAGAGGAATACTAATTAAAAGAGAACATGAAATTTTAGAAATGAATAATACAATTATTATTATATTAACTAATAATTTAGTTATTTATATTATTCACTAAAATTTTGGATACAAATGCTATAATGATAATAAAGTGAAATTAGATAAGTGATTAAATAAGTATATTTAAATCCAGAAGAATAATGAAGTATAATGGATTATTCATTTAGAATTAATAAATAAAAGATAATCAAATAAACTTTTACTATTGAACATTTTTAATTATTACTTTCATTAAAGTATAAAATAAGACATTATTAAAGAATAGACTAATCTAATTGAATCTAATCATAAAATGATTTAGCAAATTCTTATGCTTGAAAATATGATTAAAGTTAAAAAATTGATCTCCATAATTTTAGATAAAACTTAATAATTATTATGTTGTCTTGTATTTTAATTAATATAGTAATATCATGTTATAATTTTTATAATGATATAATCTTTTGAAAATAATATTTTTTAATTTAATCATTTTAATTAGATTCAAAGATTAGATATTCTAATTATTAATATCTTCTGAATAACTCTTTAATCAATTTATTTTTAGTTATGAAATTATCAAATATAAATTTGTTACTTTATAACTGAAATATTAGAATTATTATTGTATTCATTTTTAAGATAAATAGTATGACTATTATTGATGATTAGATTTTAATGTTTTAGTTCCTAAGTAAATATTAGTCAAGAAATATATTTAATTGACAACAAACTAACAATATTATTTAAACTTACAAATGAATAATAGAATCTTTAGATTTTAAAATACAAATATTTTAGCATAAGCATTAACTAATAAGATTCATGAATTAGAATTTTAATCAAAAAAAGGAATTAAATATCCATATGGAAATAATGAAGAATTGGTTGTGATTGGATAAATGATTTTAGAATTTTATTTCTCTGATTATTTGATTTAGAGAGGGTATTTTCTAGAAAATATATAGATATCCAAACAAAGATTCCTCAATTAAAAAGCCAAGTGATCTTATTTTACTTAGATAAAGACTTCTTAATGAGAAAAACTTAGCAGAAATTGCTATCTAATATAATATTCATAATATTGTCCAAATAGGTAATCAAACAGCTTTAAAGTAAATATATGCATCATATATAAAGAAAAAATCCTAAAATTCTAACAGAAACATTGAAAGCTATTTTGGCAGCATAATATTATGATTCTGGATTTGATTTAGAACATATAAGAGAAATAACTTAACCTATTTTTAAAGAACTTTTAGACAAGTAATCAAATATTATACAATTTAGAGGTTAGAATATTCCAATTGGTGAATTAAAATAAAATGCTAAATCATCATTCCTTGAATTCATCAACACATTTACAGATTTAATACCAAAAGTATCAGTTGAATGGAAAAAAGATGGAAATTCAGTTAATGTTTTTAAAGTATAATTAGAATTAGATTCGCTACTAAATATTTCTAAAACTGGAATTAATAAGAGATAAACAGAATAACTTGTATATCTTGAAGCTTTAAAGGAATTAAAATAGAAAACGACAAATTAATTAAATTTACCTTTGAAAACATAAATTCAAAAAAATATCTAAAAATAACAATCATCTGAATAAAGCACAATCATATATGAATTAGAAAGATCAATTATAAATGAGAGTCAATCTTTACAATTTTCAGAGATTTATGAATTTAGTAATTCAGATTTTTAAGAATCATTAAGTGATAAAGTAGAAAATTTTCTTTAGAAATTAGCATTTTGAATTATATATAGTTAAATGATTACTTTATAAATTAAATAATCAATTAAAAAAAGGGTGATTAAGACAGTCTCTTAAATTAAATCTTTTTGAGTAATCTGATTATAACATACCCTTTATTAGATCAATCACCTTTTTATTATAATTAGTTGGAGGAAATTCTATGTTTTTATCTTAAATCATTTTAGCTATTTTAATTTAATTAAGTTATGAAGTTCCTCCTTAAATGTAAGGATGTTTTCCATATATAATTTCATAGAGAATAACTCCAAGACTCCAAACATCTATTTTCTCTAATTCTGGTATTTACTCTCCAAGCAATTATTCATAGGACATATATTTCTATCTTAAATAATAAAATCATACTAGACTGCCCTTTCCTAAATAAAAATGATGAGTTAGACTTAATTCATCAGATGTAGTTTTTATTTCTGAAATTTAATCTTGGTTCATTTGAATTGACATTCCAAAATCAGTTATTTTAGGTATATTACCTATCATTAATATATTTTGTGGTTTCAAATCCAAATGACAGATACCATAATATTACTTATTATTTTATAATGGATTTGTCAATTCAAAATTAACCATGTGTTATAAAGCTTATAATAATTGTTTTATTATTTTCTTAATATCTTCATCATTCAATTTATCTTAACATATTTAAAAGAAATATACTTTTTTATTGATATTCTAGAAGTGTGCAATCTCCTAATTCCATAAACATATAAATATTGTTTTTTGTTTCTTTGGCTTCATACATTTAAATGATATTTTTATGATTTAGAGATTTTTAGAAAACCACTTCTCTTTATATGCTCTTTTTAAATCCAATACTAATTAAATCAAAATACAATACCATTCAAATTGTTATTTTCCTTCAAAAAATTATTTCTAAATGATTTTTACAGCAACTGATGCATTATTATCAATTCTTTTGCCTAGAACTACTTCTCCAAATGCTCCTTTACCAAGCAATTTATCAAAATATAAATAATAATCCCCTACTTTTTTTTTTTCCATTTATTCTTTATAAATAATAATTACCCTTTGAATTATATATAAAAATGATCAAAAGAAATTATAAACTCATCAAATATATAATAAGAATAACAAAAAAATATTAATAATTCATTTTTTAGTATAAAAACTTGAATTTAGATTACCCATAGTTTATTATTATTTTTTATGTCCTTTTATAGAAATGTCATCAGATTTTTTAGTAATATCAATTGATTACTTTTTATTTTTATGACTATGAGAAGATATACTATGTGGAGTTTTATTTTCATTATGTGTTTCTTCAGTACTAAGTTAAAAATACTTGAAAATCACAAGTTTCTTGATTAATTTTTCAATTTATTAATTGTTATTATCAATCTCTTAGATTACAATTTTACATACTTTAGCAGTCATTCTATTATTAGGATCATTTTCTAACATATAAGGTAATAAAATAAATAATTATTCCATTTTTGTAGTATGAATTTCAGGATGTTAATAATTTTTTCTTAATTCATAAATACCCTCTTTATTTTCTTAAAAGATATTTTTTTGTTTATGAAAGAGATTTTCTCCAGTTAATCTAAATATTAAATAATTTAGATTACAATTTATAAAGTACACATCCTAAACTATAGACATCAGCTCTATCATCATATAATTTATCTTTATTAAAATTAATAATTTCTGGTGCTATATAGCCAGGAGTACCAGAAGTTGGAAATATTAATTAATTTTTAATTTTTCTTGCTAATCCAAAATCAATTAATTTAATTGGATCTGACTTCATTATATTATGAGGATTAATATCTCTGTGCATTATTCCTCTTTCTGATATGTATATTAGAGCATCGAGAATTTAAAGCATAATTTTAATAGTTTCAGCTACACTTAATCCATATGGTCGAGATTGTAATTCAGTACTTAAAGCTCTGCCTTCAATAAATTCTGTAACAATATAATAATATGATTCATCAGTATAGACCTCCTTTAATTTTAAGATGTTTGGATGTTAAAGAGATTGTAATAATGAGAGTTCATGTATTAATTGAGGCTAATGTAATGGAAGATATAATTACAATTCCTCCTTCATGAGATGCTAATTTCATTTTTTCACATTTTTTAACTGCAAAATATTCTCCAGCATTAGAGACACATCTATAGACCTAAATTGAAATATATAATTAATATACTTCTCCTGACATTCCATTACCTACTAGCATTTAAATTTAATAAAATTCATTGATTGAAGTATAAAATACTCTTCCAGCAATCATTTCTTTCAAAAGTTGTAATTTTGGAGCATAAAAAGGTTTAACTGTATTTTTATATGTAAATGAAAATGCTAGTATTTTGTTGTCTTGTACAATCCAATTGATTGTAGTAGTCAAATTTAATTTAATTGTGTATTTTGGTTATCTTAAAGTATTCTAGAGTTATCAAATGGAGTATACATCAGTCATGACGATTTCATCTTGAAATAAGTAAAGTTAATAAAACTTATCAGAGAAGAAATGCTTTCTTGCGACTTAAACCGTAAAAAGAGCATTGTCGTATTAATAACTATTCATTATTTTATTAAATAAAACGTATATGAAATATATAATATAATTACATATCCTTTTCTAATCCTATAATGTCAATTATGATTATTTTCTGATAACATTTTGTTATAAGAAAATCCAATGAACAAATACCCATCAGCTTTATAAAATTTACTCTAAAATTCAACCCTTTAATAAATGAAACTAATTAATACCAATGTAATCTTAATGCATGTAAAAAACATTCCATTACATCCATCATCATCAACACTCCAAATGTTAATAATGCAAATACAATATAAAAGTATCCACTCATTAATCCACCTACAATACCACCCATATCTAATTTTCCTGCAATACACATATCGTAAAATACTTCTGCTAATTATCCATGAGCTAAAGATAATGCCCATAAACGAAGATATGATGCAGTATTACTAATACCTCCCAATACAAATTCAATAGTTTCTATCATCTAATGTACCCATATTTCCCCTGAATCGTGTTCCTACTCAGAAGATTCTAAACTCCTATTAGATGCAGCATTTTATAATTCCTTTCTAAATTATTAAGGATCAATCTCAAGTTCAGATCCTTGTTTTTCAGAAATCAATTTTTAATATTATGGATCATTAATTTATACTTTATGTTTCTTATGACCTGAACCTAAAATTAAAGGTTTTGGAAACAACATCCATGGAATACTAACTACTGCAATTATTGTTAATAATTGTGTAATAGATAATTATAAAGAAGCATTATTTAGAAATATAGGAGTAACAGCTTCATCCATAGGTTTTAGTACTTGATTAATCATTGTTTCAATAATACTAGGATCTTTTCCATTTGGATATACAGTCAACCATTTCATAATTATAAGGAAATCCATCCAACCAAATGTGCAAGCCATAAATAATAATTAAGGAATGAATTCACAAAAGAAATCTAAATAATTTCTAAAATATAAAGTATTAACTCCTTTCATTAAAATTCCAAATAACATATGAGTAACTCCTAATATTACAGATAATTTCATTTTGTATGAATTCATAAAATTTAGACTTGATCCAGATGCCAACCAAACGGGATCAATACCAAATGGATATACACAATTTTATTCCCTTTCCCATTCATCATTTTTAGGATAATAACAACTGCCAAATAGATTTAGAGATATTGAGAGATAATCATTATAAATTAATCCATTATAAAATGCAAATAATCCCATAAGAGTTAATAGATATCTAAATGGAATCATAGCATTAAACATAGAATCTGTTTATTTCTTTAATTATTATTTCCAGAATATAACATACAATCCACATAAGAATAATAAGAAACCATGAGCAATATCTGCAAACATTACACCAAATAGAAATGGAAATGTAATTACTGTAAATAAACCAGGATTAACTTCTTAATATCTTGGTACTCCATATGTATTTACAATTTCTTAAAAAGGCATAGTTACTTCATTAAGATTAAAATAAGTAGGTGCTAATTCTCCTTGTTTTGGTTTAATCTCTTAAATTTATCCAGTTGGAAATCTTTCTATACTATTCTACATAGCATTTCTTAATTTATCTTCTACTAAAGTTTCAAGTCCTTCAGGTAACCAAAAGTTTCCAGTAAATATTGAACCTTACATTGTTAAGTAATTTAAATTAACATAGAGATATTTCTCTTTTAAAACATATAATCTTAATTATTCAAAATAAGAGCAATTACATCCATTCTTCTCTTTAACTAATTCATCTAAAGTAACTTCTAATTATTTTTTGGTCATTTATATTAAATGTTATGCCTCATTTATCTGAATAGATAATTCTCTTAATTTATTATCCATAGTTTCTTATGAATTTGGATATTCAATTCTGTTTTTTGAAAATGAATCGCAAACTTTTAGTAATTTCTATTTTAAAGTACTCTAATCATTCATTCCAGGATAAACAACAACATATAAACATCTAGGTTATGATGCCTTTTTTAAAGAAGAACAATTACTCTATTAAGATCAATTGATGTTTTTATTTAAAGGTGTTATTTTTCAGGCAAAAGATCCACAATATTAACCCATGCATTACCTTTTGTAATTCTAAACATTATTCTTTTAAATCTTGTTTCATCTTCTTTATCAATAACACCAATTAATTATCCAAATTTTAATTATTAATAATCATTTACATTATGAGGAGTTGATCTAAGTTATACATTACAATTTACTATGAAAACATTGATTTTCCTAAAATTTCTTTTGCTTTTTCTAATACTAATTTTTATTCTGTAATTGAATCTACTCTATCTAATAAATTCTACAAATTATTTGACATTTCTTAAATATTATTTTTTTTCTTCTCAATTTCTTATTCTAATTCATCAAATAATGTATGTCCAGGTTTTTACCTTGAATTCTATATATCTCTAAAATAATCAAGTAATTTTTGAGTATCTTCACAATATATTAGTTTTTTTTTGAATTGTTTAAGAAGTGCATCAAGTCCATTTAATTTGAATAATGATTCATCACATCTATAAAAATAGATATTTTGAATACCTTTTAACATAATTAGCAAATGGTCTATTCATCATTGGTAATAAAGGATCATAATCTATCATATGTAACTATCCTAATCTTCCCAATTGATCCATAACTACCCAAGCACTCTCTCTTGGAATAACTAAACTATATAATTTCATCTATTTGGATCTAAAGAAACTCATATTAATATTAAATTTATGGAATGTATAATTTCATTAATATACTCTATCAATCATCATCGTCGTCATCTTTTTTAATTTGCATCTTAGAAATTTATTCTTACAGCTTCATTTCATCTTCCTCTGATGCAGGTACTTCTTTCTAAATTACAATTTCTGTAGTTTTCATAGATTCGACTGCCTTCAAAATTTCTTCTGTATATCCTCCTGGAATCTCAATATTAATAGGTGGCCTAACGATATGCATTTGAAATCTAACCAAAATTTTGTTAGGTTTGGAGATGTACCTCCAAATTATTCTTCTAATTGATTAGCAGCAATTCTCTCTGTAATTTTAACATATTCATTAGGTTTAAGCATTTAAACTTTTTCCATAGTATCAGCATCAGCCACAGCTATTCTATAAATTCAAATGATATACCAGAAACCATCTTCCATGAAAAACTTAATGAACTAGATGGATTTAATAAATAAAGTTTATCTAAACAACCACAGAAATTGACCTGCATAGTTTTAGTTGCTATTTGAATAGCCTAAGATGTGGATATATATGTTATACTTTGAAAGGGAATTTAGAAAGTCCAAGTTTCTTAGTATCCATTATGAAAACCCAATTCTCTATTTTTCCAGGAACAAAACAATTCTTTTTGATTATACCAAAGTAATAGCTCAATGCATTTATATATACTTCTTCATTGAACTTTTGATTAATTCAATTTGATACTTGCTTTAAATTCACTAATTCAAGATTCATAATTATAATAGGTCTTTGTTGTTTGTCTCTACCGTAAGTGTAAACTATTCCTTTTTATAAAAATGCAATGTTCATATCAGTAGGTTAGAAATTATTTGGGATAGCTCTCCAAGCCAAATGGGATTGTAATACTTTTAAGTAATTCTTGTCCTTAAATTTACCACAATACACCATCTTCAAAGTATCACTATCAGTCCAACTAATAGATTAATATAGAATATTTACTTTTATGGTAAGACAATCTTATTTTTAGTCACAATTTTCATAAAATCAGCCATCTTTTCCTTTTCATAAGCATCATATGGCACATTCTCCCAAATTCTTCTTTGACTCTTAGATCGCTCTTTTCTTTTAATATATTACGCTTTTATAGTTATACAATTTCAAATACCATCGTGAACAATAGCATCAACTAAATTTTGGGTTGGTCTCAGATAATCAAAATTCAACACCACCTATTATTATTGCATGGAATTAATTTTATTTAAATAGGTTATTTTTTAATTCCACCATATATCCATAAATTATTTTCTTAGCTTACATTTAAGTATTAGACTTAATTAATCATATCTCAATTGAAAATTATCAAAACTTCATTTTAATACTATACTCTTCTTATTTTAGTGGAATTCAATTATTAATTACATAAACAATAATAGATATTATACAAATCACATTATTAATATGAATGTTGTACAAATATTGATAATATTATTTAAAACAAATAATAATATTATTATATAAATCATAAATTAAATATTTAAATTTAATGGAAAATCCTTTATTAGATTCAAATATAATTGATAAAAATAACAGAGATTATGTTCTCTTCGCTAAGGTTTCAAAAAATGATGAAACTCTTAGAATCTTGATTGAAGAGATGCAATTAAAGATTAAATTTACTTCAGATAATAAAACATATTTGAAATGTTAGACTTGTGAACTTCTATATGTTTTATAATATCACAATAATCTCCAAATGTCTATATTCTACAAAAAGCACTAAAAAAATCAAAAAGACAATAGCTCAAATAATTGTTAATAATGTTAATAATTCATAAACGGAGAATGTTTCAAAAAATGTTACAAATGCAATTCCAAATAAATAATATGTATTTAAAATGAGCAATAAAGATTATAATGTCAAATTTGTTTTTCTGAATTATGCAAAAATTGTGATTCAAACTTAGAAATTTTTTAATAATTTCCAGATACATGTACATAGAAGAATGTAACTAATTGTTAAAGATACTTTTATGTCATAACAATGATTATAATGTCATTCATCTTTTTGCCAATATTCATGGTCCTAAATTTTTAGAAATACAAATTCTAATGTTAATTTCTGTAATTTCATTAGTATATACTCACAAAATATAAACCAGTTATCATTTTATTCTTTTACTAAGTATTCCTTATCGTATACCTAGTAAAAGTGTTTATGATATTAATAAATTTTGTAGTAGATAAAAATAAAGAGAGAATACATTATTACTTTGGTTGAACTTATAATTTATATATTTATAAATAAATAAATTATTAATAAATAAAGATATTATTTAATTTATTTTACAAGATTCAATTTGTTAAATCATAAATCTATCATTATATTTAAAAAGAGAATTGTATTTATATACATATCTTAAATAAAATGAACATAACAATAAGAAATATTGAAATGCGACTTTATATATATTCTATAATTATTATATCTTTTTTAATTTAAGGATATCTGTTAGGGAAACATTTTTAAAAACAAGTTAAACTCTATATTTAGTTAAGTACAATTATAATCTTAATTCTTAATAGCTATTATTAGATTAATTTAAATCAATCGAATCAGTTATTTATACAATATTTATTGTTCTTAATAGATGTAAATAATCATAATCCACCTTTGAACTTATTGATTGGATATTGATCTTTATATTTAGTCAAATGTTCTCTTAATTAAGTATATTAATCTTATAAATGAGGTAAAACTTCATCATAAACATCAGTGAATAAATCTTAAATTGATGGTGATTATTCTATTGTAATAATAAATAAATAAAATACATTCAGATCCATTTTTTAATGCTGCAATCACTCTATTTCTAACATCTTTTCTAATTTAATTATCATGTTCATCATTAAATTATCTAAGTCCTTACTTTTTCAAGAATAATCCTAATCTATTAATTGGATTGTTTCCTGATTTCCATGAATCAATTTCTTCTTATGATCTATATAATACAGAATGATCTGATGTTGAATGATCACCAATCTATATATATATATATATATAATAATTACTCTATAAGTAATAAATTCAATAAAGAATGGTTCTTTATTTTTTATAATTTCTTCTCTTGCATATTTGACTCCATTATAAACAGCCAATAGATCATTACCATCAATTTTCAATGTTCTCATTCCATAAGCTGGTGCTTTTCCAGCTATTGTATCACCTCTAAATTGATCATCTGTAGGTGTACTGATGGCATAATGATTGTTTCTGCATAAAAATAATGTTTAGCATTTTAAAGTTTAAGCAAAATTCATTGCAGAATGAAAATCTCCTTCAGAAGCTGCCCCTTCTCCAAACCAAGTAGCTGCAATCTTATTTTCACCATTGACTCTAAATCCATATCCTGCCCCACTTGCTTATGGTACTTATGTAGCTATAGTACGTCAATTAATAATATTTTACTTAAAGGTGATGACACAGTGACTATGTTCAAATCTTTGCTTCCATAATGAACAGGCATTTATCTACCTTTTCCACCATCTAAATGATTTCCTATACATTGATTTACAATTTATTCAATTGTGAATCCTCTCCACATAAAACTACCTTGTTCTCTATATTATGGAAATATGAAATCTTATGGTTAGAGTGCAGCTGTAGTACCAACAGTTGTAGCTGTCTCACCAAATGATGTCATATAAAATGAGATTTTTCCTTATCTTTAAGACATGTAAAGAATGTTGTCCATCTCTTCTATCTAAAAACATCAAAATAAACATCTTTACAGATATCATTAAATCAAATATTTGATTGAGTGTCTCTTTTGGAATATTATTGTATTCCTTAGCAATAAGATTACCTTCCAAATCAATTACTCTAAACTATTTTATTGGCTCAAAGTTTTTAATTGGATTTATTTGATAAACATATTAAGATGGCACTTCCTTGAAGGCTTTGCTTATTTTTGAGAATCTCATAAAGTGCTTCATTAAACACAGATATTAATATAAAATCAATTATTTATATTTCCAGATAAAAGATTCTCTCTATCAATTCTGTTTCATAAATAAATTGTAAATACAGAATTTACTTTTACTACCTATATCTAATTATATTTAAATTGTAAATATAATCATTCTATTTCATTCTCAAACATAGAATATAATAATTCAACATTAACTAAGTGAATCTTTATTAATTACTTCAAAAAACTATAATAATATAAAAATTATGATACTATTCATTAAAGCCATACTAAATATACCTACTTTATAATTTTAATTTATGTTTTAAAAATCAGCATTTTTATAATAGAGTTTTAATTTAGATTAGTAATAGTTGTTGAAACATTCATTTTAATTTATATCTAACATATTTTATAAGTTTTAATTAAATGAATATTTATTTATAGGATTAAATAAATAAAAATTAAAAAAACAAGATTCATACAAAAAATAGATTTGAGTTATGTAATCAATGATATTTATCTTTAAAATTTTTAGCTTAATAAATTTGAAAAAGATAGAAAGACTTTTTTTATTTATTTTTATCATTTAAATTAAGCTAGAATATAATATTAAATTAAATTGAATAATAAAAATTAAATTAAATTAAGTTAATATTTACTAACTTCTATTGATTATTAACATAATCTTTTAATAATAATAGTAATAAGTTTATGTTTATTTAAATTCTTAAAATATAAAACTTGAAATATAATTTAGATATTTAAATTAATTTTATACTATATATATATATATTCATTAAACGTTTGAAGCATACTGCATATCCTTTTACAATGTTAAATTTTGCAATGTCTTAGCATACTCTTAATACTCTGGTGCTTTATATTTATTAGTGCATAAATTGATAATTTATTATTTGACTCTATTTTTAGAATCGAAGATCTCCTTGTTTTGAGAAATTTTGGAAAAATACACTAATAATGATTGATTTGCAATAATATTAGTAAAGATTTCATCCCATTCTAACAAATCTAAAGAATAAAAATACTATTTACTCATAGTTAATTCTAATATGGTTTTTTCTACTTCCCCAAAAGGTGTATTCAATTATTTTATTAGATAAACTGTAGCTTCACTAACTGAATCATTTGAGTGAAATTAACTTAATGTTTTAGAAACATTTCCAAATAAAGAATATATCCATAGAATCTTACCAGGTGGCTTAGGCGTAGTTGAATCTATAACAAAGAAGCTAACATAACAATTTATGGCTTTTAGTTTAATTACATCTTTTGTTGAATACAAATATTGGACTATTTTATAAATTAAATAAATTACAAAATAACACTAAAAAGTCAGTATTCTTAATAATAGCATTGAATCCTTCAGTAAATTTAACAAAACTTGATATAATTTCAATGGCTCCTTCTATTTATTCACTTGAATTAGTAGATAACCATTATGATAATAATTTAATTAAGTTTTTTTCTAGAATTGGAGTAAATTTAATGACTCTTTAACTTAGCATTCTGGCTACTAATAAAACTTCATATTTTTAAGTATAAAAGTCATCATTATTAGTGAATGCTGAATTAAGGATGTTTTTAAAAAATGATTGATTTACCATTTATTCCGAATTCCATTTTGAATTACCCATATCAGCAATTAATTCAATCATATTCAATTTAACCAAAATATCATCAGTATTGTAAAGTTTAAATACAATTTTAAATTAATTTATGTAAGGTTATTAGATGGATTAATCTAAGTTAGTTATATATATTAATATTTCAACAAATCTCAGTTAGATCACTTCATTTTTATTATTCAATCCTTAGGTTATGTAAGTAACAAAAAGATCACTACTTAATAAGATTTTTAAAGATTCATCTACAAATTTGAACAATTTTTTAATGACTCTCAAAGCCTTTAAACCAACTTCTGATTCTGGATCAGAAAGTTAAAAAAATATAACTTAAAGTACTAAATTAAGTAATGGTGATTTTTCTTATACTAATTTAGAAATCAATTATCCAAATTCAAAATCATTATTTTCTATACATTCTGATAGTAATGATCTAACTTTTTTATTTTAATGAGTAAGCAAAGTTTAAACAAATTCAAATGAGTTTTCTCTTAATAAAAGTTCTTTATAGATATCAGAATCTTAAAAGAGAGCATCTAAATAAGCAATAGTCTTATTTAATTAATCTTTGTTTTATTATGTTTATTTTAGAAGTTCTAATAAATCAGAAATTTGATGGGTTTGATAAAGTTCTTTAAGTTTTGAGGTGGGAAATCCAACTTTACTTAATTCTTCAATCTTAGAGTATAATTGATCCATTTAATTGTAAAAAATTTAAATAAATTAATACTAATGTAAAAAATATAAGTATAAGAAATATATATATATTTTAATAATATTATTTAAACTATGATATACATAATGTAATTTATGGACTGGAAAGATATTTTAATTTTTAAATATATTTTTATTTTTTAAATATTAATGGATTAAGGTTTAGACCCGGCAATGTTATAAGCAGAATTAAAGAAATAAGATGAAGTATAAAACTTAAGATGTAAATTTAGTGGGCAAAAGCAATTATATTTGATGAGGATTTGAATGTGATAACTCATAAGAATTGTGCAGCTACAAAGGAGGAATTGACACCATACTTAAAAGCCTATGATGTGAGAGATAATACTATTGGAGCAGGCTTTGTATTATTAGGTGAACATTATGAAGTTCATAGATGGCATCCTCCTCTGGTTTATGGAAGAAGAGGAGATGCAGATGTAGGAGAAGGAATCTCATTAGCAAGAGTAAAAGACTTTTTAATGAATAGGGAATTTGTAAAAAGTTGAATGGAAAGAGGGTTTATTTATTGATAACTTATGAATTGCCAATAGTGAGTGCAAGAGCTGTGCCTTAACAAATAAACTTTTATAATCAATTTATTGGTGAATTAGAGAAATTTGATATTAAGTAACAATGAGAATGAATATTAAAATAAATTTAATAATCTGCATTCACTACATTTATATTAAAAGCTCTAAGAAGATAGATTTGATTAAAGAATTGCTTTTAATTTTCAAATTAATAATAGTATTTTTTTAAAACCAATAATAATAATATAATAATATAATGATGATTATTAATATACTCTCACACTAACTTAATTGTGCAACCAATAGCTTCTAATTTTGTTTTCAATTCTTCGGCATCTGCTTTCTTCATCTATTTACTTAATGTGGCTGGTAACTTTTCAACCATATCTTTAGCTTCCTTCAAACCCAAATTGAATATTGCTCTAACATCTTTAATAATTTTGATCTTTTATGCAGCATCAATAGAATCAAGAATAACATCATAATTAGATTTCTAATAAATTATTTAATAGATTTTACAGTGGCTTCCTTTGGTGCTTCTTTTGGAACATCTTCTTTTTTTTCCTCTTTAGCAGGAGTATTAGTAGCTGCAGCTTAAGATCCTCCTGTTCCTACACCACTTCCAAATCCTACAACTTCAGAAAATAATGTTGCTATTCCTTATTATCCTAAAGGCCATAATTTAGCTATAATTTCTTATTACTATAACCATTGGGGATGAGCTGTTGGCCATACTCCAGGACCTGTAATTCAATTCATGAAATTACCAACTTGAACATCATCTTTAGAGATACCTAAAGAAAACTCTTAATAATCAGGTTTATTGAGAACTTATTTCTACAAAATGTAATTCAGATATTGAAATTCATTCTCACTTAAGTATTCTATATGTTTTGCTATTAAGTTGATCTTTTTCTATTGATTGGAATCTAATTTATCATTGAAAACTCTTGGAGGCCTAAAAACAAGATTGATAAGTTCAAATTAATACATCTCTTTAGCTTAATTTTTGAATTCATTCCATTCTCTTTGAAATGATAGATATCTTTCTTTGAAAGAGATTTTTTCAATTTTATTCAATTCAGTTTCTAATTTATTAATGGTGCTGCAACCAAACTTTACTGCTCTTTGCATCTCTAATAAATTATTAAAAATATATAAATATTTTATTTTTATGCCTATAATACTATACTTTAATGTTCATCATTTCTTAGCTACTTTCTTAGCACCCTTTTTTTAATAAAAAGTATCATCTCTTCTAAATTCAAATTCTAAATCTCTAGTTGTTAAAACTTTGTAAACATCTTTAATTGAATCAAGTCTAGATTCTAAATCTTTCTATTCACTTTCATCAAGGAATCTAATAAATCAATGATTTAATTATACATTCTATAGAATTTAGTGCCATCAACTCTGACTCTTGTTCTTCTACCTAAAATTATAGATGGACATATTAAATCTTCAAGTAATCCATCATAAACACTTGTAAGAGTTCTTGAATTTGGTCTTGTTTAAGATCTGTGTTTCTTTACCCATTTACTTTCAATTGTTCTTTTAGCAACTACTAAGATAGTTGCTTTAACTCTCTTTTCTAATTCAGGCAATAACTTTTAGCTATGATGAATTCAAAATTATACCTAATCTTATTATAAATTGATAAGCATGGATAAGGAATAAATACTAAATAAACTTATTTCTTTGCATTAATCTTTGCTGTGAAATCAACAACTGATGATAATTTCAAATTCTTAACTTCTGTCATTGTACTTTCAATTTATGTTAATGCTGCTCCTACTTATTATTCTAAACTTGATAACTCAATATTTTTAAGTGATTATTACTTCTTTCTTTTTCCAAAATTTATTAGCTGCCATCTTATTCAATAAATTTGATTTTATATTTAAATCTTTTTTATAATTATTATAATGCAAGTATCTGAATTGCTAGAATACGTTCCTGAATCCATATCTCTTATACTAGAACCAACTCAAAATAAAGGGGCTCTTTATCTTGGCAATATTACTTCCTTATTTAAATCTACTTAAAAATATCAAATTAAAGTACAAATCAAAAAGTATTAGTAAAGGCAGCTATCTCAATATGTGAAGATTTAGATTTAAAAGAGGTTCAACTTGAATAACATCTAAGAATTGTCTTAAATGATTTAGATAACTCAAACATCAAATAATATTTTGATTAGACAAACTAATTCATCTAATCAAATTTAAATGTAATTTATTACCAATATTAAAGAAAGGAAATCTGTTAGTTCATTGTATGGCTGGTGTTTCTAGAAGTGCTGCTATTGTGATTGCATATTTGATGTGGAGTTAAAAAATGACATTTTAAAATGCTCTTATTTATGTTACTAAAAAACGTGAATAGGTCTATCCTAATAAAGGATTTAGACAACAATTAATACAATATGAAGAAGAATTGAAAACTGTCAAATGATTGTAATCAATATACAAAAAACTATTATAAAAAATGCTCAAAATAATTTATTTTATTTTGCAATCATTTCTTTAATTCTTTTTTCACTATCAAAATGCACCTTTTTTTTAAATTATAAGTGAAAATACTAAAATGAATGGCAGAATATAAAAGTTTGTCAACTGAATTGAAAAACATCTACTTTTAAAAACTATGAATTAGAAGCCAATATTAAAGTTAATAATTACTATTCATTAGAATATAAAGCTTTATTTGACTCCATTTTTATTATCAATCATTTCCAATAAAAAAATTAATATCAAATCTATATCATTAAGGTTTTATGAGTTATTGCTGGCTTTTATTGATATTTTATCATTTAATAAATGCATTAATACATTTGAATATTATCTAAAGAATTGTTTAGTTTATACTATTAGTATCCTAAAAATTATTAGATTTTTTCAAGAAATCACCGATTATAATTGTTCATTCTGATATATTTCATAAAAAAGACTATTATAAAGGAAATAAAAGTTAAATAAACACCTTTATTATATTGGGATAATACCATATATTTTTATAAATTAAAAATTAAGAATCTTAATGATACATACTCTATCAAACTCGTTTTCACGAAAATGGAAAATATTTAGGAGACAAATATTATTTGTAAACATATTCTTTTAAATTTATTTAGTTAATAATAATAAATCTCATTTTTAGATAAACAATATCATTTAATTATCTAAGTTTATTTGATATCATATATTTATTTTTTAATATTCATAATCTTGAATAAGATAATAATATGTAATTAATTATTTTTCTATTAATATCATTAATGTATTAGAATATAGATGCTAATGAAAACAAATACATATTTTTATAATCATAAATTATTAATTACATATTAAATAATTCTATAGTCTTAATAAAACTTTGTATATATTATTTAGAATCTAAGAATAATATGATTAATCTATTTAAATGTTTATTTTAACTATTATTTTTATTATACTTTTAACTTTTGTTAGGATTATAAGTTTTAAACAGTTATGAATATATGATAATTTAATTAAAATTTATATGATTAAGATTCTTGTAAAGTTTGAGATTAATTTAAACTAAAATAACTAATTTCATTAATGATGGAATGAGTTTGATCTCACTTTTTAGTTGTTTTAGGCCATTTCACTTTCATTACTAGAACTCATAAACCTAAATCTCTTTTAAGGTTTGTTTTAGTATGATTTTATAGTTGTTGGAGTGTTGGAATGGTTACTTAATCGAATAATTGGACAAATAGTTTCTTCGGCATCTATATCTCTTGGGGAAGCCTAATCAGAACAAAATTTAAAGATCTATACAATTCAAAATATCAAGTAGCTTTTCTTCTAATTGATCTAATCTTTAGCAATTGTAAATAGAGGAGTAGAAATTATAATCTCTTCTGATTAATAAATCTTTTATAAAACTTATATTTACCTTTAATACATCCTTTTTATTCCATTGAGATTTAATTTTGTTGATATAAATCCCATAATGCAAATAAAACTTAACTTTCTAAAGAACTTGACATATTTTATATTTTAATATTTATATTAATTAAATCTATTGTGATACAAGCATAACTATAATAATAATCTATGTTAAATGAGTTGAGAGTCTAATCTAAATTGGATGAATTAAATAAATTAATTTACATTAAACCAAAAATGATCATCTTATTTTAAATCCTAGAATTAAAAAACAGTTCTTAAGTATACTGTAGAATTATTACAATATATTAATTAAGTTTGAACTCAAAAATATTAGTTATTTTTTTAATTCTTGTAATTCTTTCTTTCATTTCAATTACTTTTAGAAATATTATTAATTACTGATTTTAATATTAATAGGGGAATATCAAGATATTCTAAACTTGATTAGATGTATATTTTTATTAATTAAAAATTATTAGATTAAATTAACTGAACTAAAGATCTCAAATGGATTTAATAAATTTTATATAATATTTAATAATAATTTATATCGTATTGATTATCAAATTAGGTTAAGATAGAATTATTTGAAATGTTTTAATAAAAAATCTGTTTGTAAAATAAATAAATATGAAAATTTATTGATTTCTACATATATAATTAATAAATCTATTTTTTTTAAATCTCAGTTTTTGTTTTTACTGAAATCATAAATTATATTCTTATTATCTTATAAATTAAATGATATTTAAGAATTAAGATAAATAATTTATGACTTTATAATTGATAATAGTTTTCAAGAAATATTAATTTCTAATATTTTATTAAATAAATTTATATAATCATAAATCATTTAATTGTGTATATTTGAATGTTTAGATTTAGATTATTACACTTATTCAGAGATTTTAACAAATTAAAAACTTCTGAGAAATTATAAAGATCTTATTATTTGATTTCTGTCATTGATAATTGTATTTAGAAGAATGGAAGACAAATACAATCTAAAATGACTCTATTGAAAAAATTTAACTTCTATTTAAAAATAACATATCAATATTTATTTAAGTTAATGTTTGAGAGTAAGCAAAATCAATATTCACCATAAAAAGTTGGCTCGAGATTAGAAGAATTTGTGATGTTCTCACTTGAATTGCATGAAATGATTTCATCTTAAAATATGGAATTAACATCACTTTCTTAATCGGAATCCTACAATATTAACAAAATATATTACTGAGTCATCATCTGAATCATACAACTTATCCTATAGCTATAATGAAACCTTTCTTGTTCGACCTAAATTTTATTTAATATATATTACCTTATGCTATAGTTGTGAGATCATTGTCTGAAAATATTCTTTTTAAGTTATAAATAAAGATGGATGGCATATTATAAGTCAAAACAACCACCATTTTTTATCCTTATATCTATAGGTATCTGTTTTCACCACATTCCCAAAATGAATTAAACCCGTCTGTGATAATTAGTTTGAATTCAACAAGTTAATCTAGACATACAAAAAATATATACTGAGTTCAACTTCCAAAGCGAAATCACTATACCAAATAGGATACATTTCATTATTAGTTATTAATTTAAATCCTTGTTATGGATTCCAATTCCCTAATTATGCAGAGTTTCCAACAATTCTCACCATTTAACTAAATTCTGTGGAGCATTTCACCCTAAATAACACTTAAGCACTCATTTAACAATATTTAATATTATAGATAAACTTAAATCATCCGCTATTAGTTTTGTATTAAATCATAATAAAACGTGAATCTCAAGGTTATGCGTCATTTACAAAAAAGAAAATTATTATTTTAGAATTTATATATATACATATTACTCATATAAAAAGTCTTTTTTTATATATATAAGTATTCAAATTATAGAGTAACTATTAAATAATATGATGTATATATAATAGTTTATAAGAAGATAATTTAATTTTTAAATGGTTCATATTATCTATATAAATAATATTATTTATACTGATCATCTTTTTCTAATTTAATAATGTTTAGTTCATACTATATTAGTTATTCTAAAAAGATAATTGAATAATAAAAATCTAACTAAAATTTTGCAATAAAATAATACAAAAAATAGAAGTTTTAAATAATCCAAATATATTTTCTAGATTAAACCTAAATATAGATTAAAAAACAATATAAATATATTTCTTAGCTATTAAACATTTACATTATGTTAGAAATTATTGATATAACTATATCAAACAAAAATTTTCTTAATTCTCTAAGGAGGAAATTTTATTTTAACTCTCTCTGTCTTTTCTCCCTAACCTAAAGTAGGTAACTTGAATTCAGACTTTGGTTAAACTCTTTTTTTTTTATGAACAGTTAAAACCTTATAATTTAATTACTATATTATTACAATTTATTCTCTTTTTTCACTTAGATGTTATGCATGAATTCTAGATGAAGCAATATTTGCAAATGCCTTTCGAAATAAATTAATTTCCTATTATTACTGTTTCTTCATCATCTCAGTATAAGGATCGAAATTTTTCCTTTATTAAAATAAGTATTCTCCTTAATCAATAGTTTAATGTCTTTTTGACTTTGGAGGTATTAACATATTAAAATTTAATTATAATTATTATTTTTTCCAATCTTCTTTTCATTTTCTATATTCATATACTTTATGATTTTAATTATAATTCAGCATTTAATTAATTGAAATGCATAGTTTGTTTAACTACAGATTTTAATTATTTTTATAAAATATAAATGAAAAATCCTGAATTCGTGATATTATTAATTTTTGATGAACGCTTCAAAGAATATCATCAAACTTTCTTAAAATTTCCAATAAAAAAAGATGGCTTGAATTTTATAATTGATATTTAAAGGTTTCTATAATTTATTTTTAAAAAGCTTCAACTCACAGAAATAGAGAAGTAATAACTAAATATAGGTATTATAAAATATTAAAGATAGATTATTTTTATGATAGATCTAAAAACTGCTTTATATAGTCTTCATATTATGTTGTAAATAATTGTTTCTAATTTCACGAAAATTTTTTTGGAGATCCAAAGATTCTAGAGATGAAGATATATTTTTATATGTAGTATTGGAGCATTGTATAATTATATGAAGATATTAAAGTTTAAGAAGATTAAATAAAATAAGCTAAAAAATTATAAAGAGAATTAACTGATAAACTAGAAAAATATCCTTATAAATTAAAAGAAATCGAAAATGATGTTAGAGACTTAAAAGAAGGTAATTAAAATAATAAGCATGTGTTTGATATTGTTATATTTCATAATAATGCATAAATTTAATTCGATAATCAAATTCAAGAAGCATAATTTATTGATTATTAAAGTGAAATAAGAACTATTGAAAATGAAATTAAGAATGCTAATAAAAAAATAAATTATTAGATCTTAAATGCTACAATAGATAATTTCCATTATGGTTTGCGTTTGAATCCATAAGTAATACACTTAATACTCAATGGAGATGTTGATGTTGAGAATTAAAGTTCATACATTGAAATATAAGATGATGAGGATGAGAATAGGATAAAGACATTAAGTAATTAAAAGTTATTTTAAATATTTAAATAACACAATAAATCACTAAAAAGATTGAAATTAATTTGCTTAAGTTCAATTGTAGCAAAACAATTTTCATTCTATTAATGGGATGAAGAAAAAACAATTGTAAGATAGATAAAGCCTTTTAATTCTGAAGATAAATATGGTAATGAATTTTGGAAATCTTTTTACAAATAGTTGATGTAAGAGAAAAGTTTTTAAGAATCATACTAAAATGCTAAAGAAAATGTAGAAGAATTATTTAAAAAAGACCCTAAGCTAAATGATTTTATAATATGTTGTTGTTATCATGAACATTAAAAGAAATAAGATGATTCTCCCAATACGTTGGATTGTCCCAACAATCCTATGTTATATGGATATAAAAAAATTCATGAAGAACATAAGTAATGTATATGTCATTCTAATGATAATGATAATTATAATCATGACATCTCACAAAAGTTTTTTATAAAATCATGTAATGGAAAATAACTTTTAGAAATTAATTAAGATTTGATCTAAAATGAATTGAATATATGAAAAATAATAATAAAAAATCAAAACAATTATGATTTAATCTTCTTATCTTGTTAATAAATTTTATTATATTGCTAATTCAACAAGATTGAATAATTATTAACTTAAGCCTTCTATTTTGATTTACTACTATTCATTGCATCATATAGTTCTTTTTCTTATTTCTTTGTTCTTCCTTATACAGCTATTTTTATAGCTTATTGATTCTATAATTTAAGCATTTCATTCTCCTATTCCAATTATTACAATTTGAAATTTATTGAATCATTTGGATTAAGAGTAATCATGTGTTTAAGTTCTTAAACTTCATTTTCCAAAGCTAAAATAGTATTTTCTTATTGATGTATTTTCAATTCATATGTTTATTTGATATTTTACACCTTTAATCATGATAATATAGTTATACTTCTGCATCTTTTAATCTCAAAGTTTGTAAACTCTCTTATATACATTCATCAATTGCTCTAATAATAGATTAACAATCATCAATTGATAGATGTTATCCTGCAATGATTTTAGATAACATTTTTTGAAGTTCATTCTATAATGCTAATTCAAATGGTCTTTTTTGAATTGCAACATTAATTTAATTTGGATATTATTCTTCTTCTAAATCATCCAAGAAATTTGCTTATTGACTATAGCTTTTAAGTCTACTTTGATTACTAAATGTTGGTGCATAATTCTTGCTATAAGATGCATCAAAAGATTGATTATGTTCAGATCTAGATTTTTGTGTAACATCTTTTATAAACTTGGGACCTTTTAAAATAGAATTATTAGAAAGAATACCTGATGATTGATTGGGTGTTTTTTTCATTGACATTATTAAATGTAAAACTGTAATATAATAATAATATTTAAAATAATTAATCATTAATCATTTCTTCCAAATACTCTATTATAAATTGTATAAATACCATAATAGTGTTAACACATCCTTAAAATCCTTTAGGTCTATTTTCAGAATCAATTTATAAATGTTAAACTTCATTCACTTCTGTTTCTATACATTCTGTACATTTTCGCGATAGAAAATTAAATGCCTCTTGAACTCCATCTCCTGTCTTTGCACTTCCTTAATTATTAAATGAAACCTGACTTCAAAATAAGGCAATTTGTATTTCTATGAGAATTCCTAAGCTTCTAGGAATTTAACTTATCGTTTCTAATTATTGAACATTTTGTACTTCACACAAATCTATTTTATTACCAACCAAAATAGATTAAGAGTTTGCTTTAGAACATTCTTAAACTTATTTAATCCAATAATCACTAATACGATTAAAACTGTCTTTATCTGCAATATCAAATACCATAATGACTCCATCAGCTTTTTAAAAATAACCTTATTATTTATAAAATAGACCTACTTTTTGTTAGACTAAAATATTTATCTTATCCAGCTGTATCCCATATGCATAATTTAATTTACTATCCTTAATGGATGAATTCTTTCTTGACTAGATTTAAGCCAAGTGTTGGAAGATAATTATGTTAAAATGGAGCATCCTCTAAATTATATATTAAATCTTACAGTCAATGAATCTTTGTATTAAACTTGTCTTACCAGACCCTAATCATCTTGTATATATCAAATACCTAGATTACCAATAACAATTAAATCAATTTTTATCATATATTTATAAAATTCATTATTAACTCAATGCTTTATATTATTCATAATATTTCTGGTCCATCTGACTAATAAAACCAGTAAGCTCATTTGTTCTATAAAATGCATGTGCAATAGAAGGAGCACCTACTGCTACAACATAGAACATCAATCTATTTGGAATCATTAATTTATATTTTCCTAATTCGTAAAATCTTGCCCATAAAAATGAAAATAATCCAACAGTGATTGAAGTTGAAAAGAATGTTTTTTGGATTGCACTATACTATTCATCATCAATAGGATCTATCAATTTTTTGGCTTAAAGAAATATGAAACACCCTGATGGATTAACAATTTAATTATCTGACTTAGACATTAAAATTATTGTATATTTATATTTAATAATACATTATCATAAATTTGCTTTATTTCTCATTTCTATTGGTACAAATTATTTCTTTGCAGGTCCAGTATATTCAGATACAGGTCTCATCAATTTGTTATTACTTCTTTATTCTATCAAATGTCCTCCCCAACCTGTCATTCTGGAAATCACAAAAATTGCAGTGAACATAGGAGTAGGCACCCTAAATATATAATATATAATTATACCCACATTATTTATATGCACTAGCACTATAAAAATCAAGATTTGGATAAATCTTTTTTTCCTCAATCATTCTTTTTTCAATATGTTATGAAACAGCCAATAAAGTTGGATCTCCATTTGTAGTCTTACTTAATTATAATGAAAAATCTTTAATAATTGGAGATCGTGGATCTTCCTTCTTATAAACTCGATGTCCAAAACCCATAATCAATTATTTACTTTAATATCTGCTATTTAAGAATTGATCTGCTTATGATATACTTTTTAGAGGTTCCAAATATTGCATAGCTGCTTCATTTGCTCCTCCATGAAGAGGTCCTCTTAAAGTACCTATAGCTGTTGTGATTCCAGAATAAAAATCTGATAATGTACTTACAGTAACACGAGCAGCAAAAGTAGATGCAGCAAAATCATGTTCTGCATATAATATTAATGAAACATCAAAAGTTTTGATAACTAAAGGATCTATCTCACTTTTCAGATGATATAATTTAAGAAAGTTTTCAGCAATTGAATCCTTTCCAGTATTCTCATTTATTTTTATTCCTGAATTGCTATAATGATACCAATACAATAAGGCTGGCCCAAACAATGAAATCAATCTGATACATATTTCATATTCTTAACCAGGTTTTGTTTCTGGTTCTAAAATACCTACAATAGATGCCACTGTTCTCATTATATCCATAGGATGAGATTCTTTAGGTAAAGTCTCCAAAATCTATTTCAATTTGCAAGGAATTTATCTCTTCTACCATATATAAGTTTTCAATTCATCAAGTTATTATTAAGTAGGTAAATTACCCTTTAATAACAAATAAGTCACTTCTTCAAAACTACATTTGTATGCAAGATCCTAAAATTTTCTAAACTTATATCTTACATTAATATCATAACCTCTGTAATTTAATCCTATGCCACCAACTCCAACTGTTGAAATAGCAGATTATCCAGCAACTATTCCTTGAAGTCCTCCTGCTGCTTTCTTTTCACTCATTTATATTAATGAGTCATTTTTTGAGTTAGTGCGTAACTATAAATGCTTAATTAATTTATAATATAATCAATATGTATCCCTTATTTAATAAATATAAAAAACAATAAATTATTTGATGAATAATGTATATGTTAAATAAATCTATTAGTTATGATAATAAATTCATAAGGATAGTAAAAATTTAATTTAAATCAATTAACCTTGGCTTTTAAACGCTAAAATAATTTATTGAACATTTCATTCTATGGTTTTTTCTCTCTAGGAATCTACTTATTAAATAAAATTGTCCTGATTTTCTTATTTAATTTAATATCATAATCTAATAAAGATGTTATAGGTAAATGTTCCTTTTAATATGATGACTTTCCAAAATCAACTGCTGTAGACCTTCTAGATTTTATATAATTAAAACTCTTCTAAATTTCATAATCGGGCATTGCATCCTTTTCCACTAATGGTTTTCTTGCTGAATATGATTCAAAAGAATGAGCATTGTTAGTTTTAACTAAATCCATTGGTTAATAAAATTTATCAACTGTATCTCTTTACATTTCTTTCCTTCCTTCTTATTTATCAAATGGAATCATCATCTTAACTTTTGGAGGAGGAATTAAAACATTCGATATATCCTATTAGTTACTAGATAGACTCATAGATCTTCTTTTTGTTTGCTTTTCAAAGCTAATTGTAGGTATATGTTTCTCTATAATATCAAAATGTGGTTTATAATCTCTTTCTGCTTAGGTTGCTTATTGTTATTAAGAATAAATGGATCCTTATGATCTATCTATTCTTCTAAATAACCAATCTCCTTTTTATGTTGATTTCTTTTCTAATTTAATAGGAGGAATCGTAACAACTTTTTAAGGATAGAATCTATTTCCAGTAGTTTTTCTTTAATCCAATCTACGACCAAATCTGGAGAATGAAAATGAAGATGTTTTTGGTCTGTCATCATCCATTTTAATTAAATTATGTTAATCAATTATAAGGGATAAGAAATTAAAGTTGGCAATATTGATTTCAATACTTTGGTTGAAATAATAGAAACACGATTTGCTTATGAGCTTTAATCTATGTATTAAATCATCTATATGGATGATGATGATTGCAATCCTGTAGTTATTATAGATGATGATTCATTACAAGGTGCAAGTAAATATTTATAATTAATTACTAAAGTAAATCTATGTCAGACTAAAAATATAGAACTTGTCTTAGAAATTTAGAATGCAAACATTGATGCTTCCACTTATATACTAAAAAGACAAATTGTATATATTATCCTCTTAAAAAATAGAGTACTGAAAAATCAAATATTTATTAAGAAAGTCTTCATCAGGTCAATGAAAAATTAAGGGAATATAAAGAATAATAGAAATTTCAATAAATTTAGGAATCAATTTATGAAGTAAAGGATGAGGATCTAACAATATAACATATAATGCAATATTACTAAAATTAATTGACTAAGTTTATAACTAATTATAATAAATAATCTGATGAACATAAAACTAAGCATTATTAATAGTATTAAGAATGTTATAGTTCTTTATTGGAAAGAATGAATAAAAAATTATATAATTAATTTGAGCTTATTATTTAGACATAAATGCACATTTAATAGAATATAGAGAATATAAATGATTTATAAAAATTTAAATGAATATTATATGTATGATATCTAATGATCTTTCTTATATTTAATTAAATCAATTAATTTATATTTTCTTTACTAATAAAAGATAATTATCTTAGTTCTATTATAATTCTTACAATAATTTAATTAATTCTATTATCTTCTGAGTCATTGGAACATTTAATAATGAATCATGATAACTAAATTCAAATGAATTATCAGATTTGATATTTTTTCTAATTGAAATCCAATGTCTAGGTTCCCATTAACATAATCTCTCAATAAATGATATTTATTTCACTTTATTTATTATAAGTCCATAAACATTTTCATCAGAAAGTAGTTCCTCTGTAATTGTTTGATTTTTTCTAATCCATTCTAATTCATATTTTTCTTTAAGCAATGCCCGTTAAATAACATTCAAATCATAATTTCCAAAAAAATATGTATAATGAGATTGGGCTGTTTCTAATTTAATTTCTTCTGCTATATTTTCGAAATCTTACCTAGTGTATTTATTTTATTAAAGTAAATTGTTGACTGCATGAAGTCCACATCTACGTAATGTTTAGGTTTCATGAATTTATTTTTGTTGCATATTAATAGAGTAAAAATAAATAAATTTATTTAAATAAAATGATATCGTTTGAATTATCAAATATATTAATTCTAGTATCAACTGGTATTGGATTACTTTGGGCAGTCTATAATGCATATAAACTTAACAGAATAAAGATTGGCACTCCGAATTAATATAATAATTTCCAGGATGATTATTAAGATCATCATTCTTAACTTCTGTTAGAAATAGCATCTCATATAGAAAGTGGAGCAGCTGCATTTTTGGCTGCAGAATATAGATATATTGGAATTGTAATTATTTTATTAGCATTGTTAATCTTCTTTATTGTAGAGCCAGTCTTAGGATAAGCTTGGACTACTGTTGCATTTTTAGTTGGAGCCCTAACTTCTATCATATCAGGTTCAGATATAATCTTTAACAATAGGATTTATTGGAATGAGAGTAGCTACTTTCTCTAATTATCGTTGTGCCTATTGTGCATAGACAAAAATGACAGATGCATTTGCAGTGGCATATAGAGCTGGATGTGTTATGGGTTTTGCATTGGTAAGTTTTGCATTACTAAGTTTAACAATTCTATTGGGAATCTATATTAATTGGTTCATAAAAGATTATAGAGACTTTTAACAATTATTTGAAGCAATAGCTGGATATGGATTGGGAGGATCAGTAATAGCATTATTCGGTAGAGTAGGTGGAGGAATCTATACAAAAGCAGCTGATGTTGGAGCAGATCTTGTAGGAAAAGTTGAAAATGATTTTAAAGAGGACAGTCCTAATAATCCTGCAACCATTGCAGATAATGTAGGAGATAATGTTGGAGATATTGCTGGAATGGGTGCAGACTTATTTGGATCATTTGCAGAGGCTACTTGTGCTGCATTAGTAGTATGTAGTGTATCTCCATCATTTTATTATCATCCTACTACATTTTATTATCCATTATTAGTTTCAGCATCAGGAATACTTGTGTAATTAATTCATACAAATTTATAGCTGTTTTATTGTTTCCATTTTTGCATTTGTAGGTGAAAAAGAAGATTTTGATTAAGTTTCAAATGCATTGAAAATTTAGTTGATATTATCCACTCTTTTAATGTTACCTGCTCTTTATTATGTTGCATATCTAACTTTGCCAGAGAGAATCTTTGGATTGGCACCAGTAGATAGACAACCTATTCATGCATGGCTTTGTACTGTTGTTGGACTAATAAGTGGTTGCATCATCGGATTTGTAACAGAATATTATACTTCACATTCTTATAGACCAGTATAAGAAATTGCTTAAGCATGTGGTACTGGAGCAGCTACTAATATTATTTATGGAATTGCCTTAGGAAATCTCTCTACTATTATTCCAGTTTTCTTGTTAGCATTTACTGCCTTCATTTCATATTCTCTTTTGTCAATGTTTGGAGTTGCCTTAAGTGCTTTAGGAATGTTATCAACTTTAACTATTGGTTTGGCAATTGATGCATATGGTCCTGTTTCTGATAATGCTGGTGGTATTGCAGAAATGGTTGGATATCCATAAGATGTTAGACATAGAACAGATTAACTTGATGCTGCTGGTAATTGTACTGCAGCAATTGGAAAGGGATTTGCTATTGGATCAGCTGCCTTAGTGGCTTTCTCTTTATATGGTGCTTTTATTACTAGAGCATCTAACTCTCTCAATAAACATCCACTAACAGATTTAGGAGTCAATTCTCCTTTAATATTTTTAGGTCTCTTAATTGGAGCTATGATACCATATTGGTTTTCTGCTTTCACATTAAAATCAGTTGGTAGAGCTGCTTTTGAAATGGTTGAAGAAGTAAGAAGATAGCTTGCTGAAAAACCAGGAATAAGAGATGGAAAAGAGAAACCAGATTATGATAGATGCATAGCTATATCAACTAAATCCTCTCTTTAAGAAATGTTTGCTCCAGGATTACTTGTCATTTTAGTACCTTTGGTTTTAGGATTATTCTTTGGCCCCACTGCTGTTGCTGGATTATTACCAGGTATTTTAGTTTCTGGAGTATGCATGGCTACATCATCAGCCAATTCAGGAGGTGCCTGGGATAATGCTAAAAAATACATTGAGGCTGATCTATGTGAAATTGGTAATTTTAGTATAGATTTTTAGATGATATAATCAAAGGCAAAGGAACTGATGAACATAAAGCTGCAGTTATAGGTGACACTGTTGGGGATCCTCTAAAAGATACTTCTGGCCCTTCTTTAAATATTCTCATTAAATTAAGTGCTATTTTTTCTTTAGTATTTGCTGGGGTATATGATAAATCAGCATGGTTATTATGTGTTATGACAACTGGTAGTAGTGGTTGTCCAGCTTGAAATAAAAAATTATGAGAAATAATAAATCAAATCAAATCATTTTTTTCAATTATTTAATTCTAACACATTCCAGACCTTTTTCAATTTTACCATTAAATTTAATATGCCATTTAATTCAAAAAAATCTATAATTAGACTATATATATTGGTAATAGATTAATAAGATTATTTTAATGAATAAAAAATAAAAAAATTAACAAATGATTATATTCTTGCAAGTTAAAATACTCTTTTGTAAATATATAGTCTATTAGATTTTATAAGATGTCTAAATTTGAATAATACAAAATGATAAAAAACAACAAATATAATCATTAGGTATGTGATGTATCAAGTTATATGTGTTATTAACGATCTTAGTGTCCTGTTAATGCTAATGATCTGAATCTTATTTTTAAGAATAGTATTGGAATTTAGAAGATTAGCAGGATTAATTTGTATTATAATCCATAAACCATAATAGTAATTATTAGTGAAATTAGTAAAAAGGTTATACATCTATTAGTTTAGGAATTATAATTACATTAATAGAAGATGTAAGGGAATTATTTATTTTTTATATCCTAGGATGTGAATTTCAACGATATTTAAAATAAGATAAATAAAAATCTATGATATTTAATATATTACTATACAGTTAAAAAGAAGAACCATGAATGCATCTAATATTCTTACATAATGAAAAGTATCCAATTTATTGTAAATTCCAGTAGTGTTAAAATTTCAATTCTTTTTAAAATAACTTTTTGATTTACATTCTACAATTATCTAGTGTTCATTTTTTATAGTTATAATTAATAATGCTCATATTAGTTTTATTTTCAAATTAACAATTAATTTAATTTTTAGATGTTCACTCAACCCTCAGGTGCTAAGTCTTCTGCTTAAAGCACTCCCTACAAAACCAAATATCATCATCCAGAATAAGAGGAAACAATTTCTGAAGATGAATCACAAATAAATAACATTCTCAAAGCCTTAAAGCAATAGTAAAAATATATATAATTTGAATTTTTTAGATATCTAATATTGGACAATACACTAAATGAAAAAGAGGAAGAAAAAGCTTAGATTTTAGAAGACTTACAAATATTGAATCAAAGATTACAACAATTAAATAAATCAATTGCTATAAAGAGATAAAAATATGAAAAATGTGATAGGACTTTAAAAGAAGCTGAATCTGCATTTGCAACAATTGCTGATTCTACTAAGTCTCTATTATAGATTGTCAAAAGTAATATAGGAGACATTAGCAAAAAATAAAAAAATTGATTTGATTAACTAATTATCATCTTTAATAATTGAGAATAAAAATATTCACAATTTTAAAAATTTATTAATGGTTCTGAGAAGATTCACACAATAGTATAAAAGTGTCTATGCATTTTGCAAAGTTGAATCTTACACAATTAAACCATAGAATACTGTGATAGACTACAAGTTTTTATAAAAGATTATATTTAGTTAGAACATTAACTTATAATCCATAATAGAAAATTAAATTTGATTCATCAAACAAATCATTACTTTACTATTACAAACCTTTGGTATTAATAATTTAGAATTATTATTTAGCTTTGGACTTATCAATTATAATATTGGATGTATTTATTTCCAATGGTATTAATTGGAAATGTAATCAAACATAATCCATGTAAGATTATATTATTTGATGTTAGTTTATTCAACATTTCCTGCAGCATTACCAATGATGTTTACAGTTGAGTTTTGGTGTAAGCTAAATTAAAGAAACTATAATAGTGTTTTTGAGATGGTTCAAAAAATTCAAATATTTGAGATATGTTGTTTCTGAAGTCTATTTACATAAAGATGGTCAAACAGTCGAAGTAGTATTTGAAAAGAAATTTTGGGTAAGACTATTAAATCTTAATATATAAAATAGAGAAAAGTAAAGGAATAAAATGTGACACAAATATTTTATGTGACAAATTTGAAGACTTTGGGTGGAGATGATAAGAGACCTTTAAAAGGAAATCTATTTCCTGAACAATGGCCTTTAAAAAAGGAAATGTCAAAAAAATGGAGATGGTCATTTGTTAAATATTATTTAAATTAAAACAACTTCCTAGTTTTCCCTTTAAGTCCTAATTATGTTAATAGTGAAGTATAAATTAAATAACTATTTCAATAGATTTTGATTGCTGTAATGAATGGAAAGATTATTAATACATCAAAATAATATGTAGAAGATATTTAAGGAGATATGTTAGAGATGGTTGAAGAGGGAAAGATCAAATCAGATACATTAATTTGATTTATTTTTAGCATCATGATGCATTTAAGATTTATTATTATAAGAAGAAAATGTAACAATCAGAGTTAAATTAATATTTAAATAATCATATTCTATTAATTTAAACTATTGTCAATCAAGCTACATCCCTATAACTATTAGAATCTTCTTCTTCTGAGTAATAGTATTCAATTTAAATTGAATTTTCTATTTAATAATATATATACATTTCAATTTGCATTAATTTTTTTAGAGATTTAAAGGTAAATCTAAATCTTCAAATTCATCTTCTTGATCTTCAATAATGTTTTCCTCTAGTACAGAATAGGTCAAGTTGTTTGAAACATAATAAAAGTTTTAAAGATATTCAGGTAGGATCTATTATAAATTTATTATACATACTCTAGGAACTTCTCTGTCATCATTTATTAATTCAACATCTCTATCTTTATTAATAACTTAGATAAGTATTTTATCATAGTTTTTAGAATATTCAATAAAAACTTAATAGAGTTTATAAAATTGAGTATCAGCTAATAAATATTATTTTGCTGCCTTAGTTATTTCTTCAGGGACTTCAGTTTGTTCTGCATTCACTTAATTATAAATAGAGATTTATTACATTTAGTATTTGAAAAAGCTCTGTGTATTTTAGGAGTCTTATTAAAGTCAAATAAATCTTTTTAAGATCCATATTAATCTATATTATCAAAATTTGATAATTAATCAAGATTCATTTAAGAAAGTGCTACTTTGATGATTTCTAACAAAAGGTCTGATTGATTTTTATTTTTCTCTTTGATTAAAAGCTCTTCTAAATCTAAATTGCTATTTTCTAAACATAAATTAAAGAATTTTTGAGCATCATTTAAATTAGAATCACCTTAAGTTTCAAGATGTTCATTATTTAAAGAAGATGTAATTGAAATACGCTCTTATTTAGGAGATTTTGGCTTAGAATTTTTATAAACCAAAATGATTTAATCCTTATTGGTTTATACAAATTTCTAAAGATAAGAAACTTCTAAAAAATAATATAAGGAAGTATAGATGTGTTCTCTCTAAAGATTCTCAATTTTGAATAAAAGAGGTTCAGGTATAATTTACTATAAGAATCTAATAAATGGATTAATTATTTATTAATTTACTCCTTATCAAATTTAATAAATTCTATAAATGAAATGATATTAGATCCAAAAATTTATCTGGATTCATCATAATATAAACTAGTTTCATATTATATTTTCTCACTCAACTATTCATAAAATTCTTCATAACAACAGTCTTTGTGACCTACCCAATGTACGGATACCTAAGTTAATCATTATGATTGACCTCACTAATAGATATATCTTAGATGCATCGACAGAAACTTCTTAATAAATCTACAATTTCAGTATAAAATAAATGCGTAGTATCAATTTAAAATTGATCTTTGCAACTATTTCTTTATTTAAGTAGGAAATTATCATAGATTTCATATGTTATTAAGAATGATTGAGTATTTTCAAAATCATCATTGACCCCTTAATCAAATTCTTATTTGAACATTTATTGTCTTTAAGCTGAGAGTAGACGAATAAAACATTGTAATAAAATAACTGAGAGTTATTAATATCTAATTATCTTTTGATTAATTTGAAGTTTACATATTTTATCCACATCTTAGTCATTACTCTCCAAACTGAAAATTTTGGATATTAGGGATAATTTGGAAATAAATTTGAATGTAATTCATTAATAATATTCTCAAATGGATAGATAAATGTTGATAAATCCATAATGGCGTTGCTATAAGCTTACCAATACATAACATATTCACAAAGCAAATCAATGCTGTTGATTGTATTAACATTTATAAATACACTAAAATACTTCTGTAACCCTTTTAAATAGCACTTTAAAGAAGTATAAAACTCTTCCATTAAATTAAAAATGCTAATTTATTCATCACTAATTGATTCCATTTTGTTTTCAGAATCTTATTCAACTTTATCTATATTTTAAAGATTAAATTGTTAAAATTCAAATGATTCATTCTACAAACTCCATCTATATTATAAAAATTATCTTTTAAGTTTTTCATTTTTTTATAACTTATCCTACATTTCAACCAAAATTTATTATTTATTTTATATTAATTCATTCATTAACTACAAATTAGATAAGATTATATAATTACTTCATTCTAAATAAATTAATAGTCAAATAACTTATTAAAACCTTTTTGTTCTAATTCTAAACGTTAAGCTAGCATGATTTAATAATTAGATTCACAATAGATTCCTATAGTTTCTCTTGTTAAAATTGGTTTAGGAAACACAACATCACATAGTATAAATGGAAATTTAAAAGTTTATCTATTAAAATTTTAAGTCGAACTTACTTAGTTTAAATCATTTTTATAAGTTAATTCTTCCAATTTATTAAAGAATTATCAAAGTTCGATTATCTAATATATTATCTTCTTAGTATGTCTGGGTAGTTTAACTCTAAAGTCATTTCTAGTTATTCATTTAGAAATAATTTATAATAGATCTCTCCAAAGAATTCTTAATGTTTCTATATATAAATTAATGATATTAAACCTCAACCACTTCATTTAAAATACTACAAGTTTATCCAATATTTAACACATCCTTTAAACTTAAAAACCTTGATATTCTTTTAAAAAATTCATAATTATAAAGAATATTTGTTAGTGTCCCAACATTCAACTTAATTTAGGTAAATGATTCATTATATTTGTGATCACTCAGATCCATTTATATTATATTATTAATATATTAATATTTGTAGTGAAAATGCTATTGAAGATTAATAATACTTGATATATCAACATTCATAAAATTTAAATATACATCAAGAATAATATTTCATAAATAGAAATGATATTAATACTTCTTATTAATCAAATTAAATTAATTTTCAACCTTTTTTGAATGCTATTTTTGAATTTATTTGGAATAAAAAGTATCACAATCAGTTATTCTCTATGTAATCAAATAATCTTAAAGAAATATTGTTTAAAATCCCTATATAAAATAGATCTGGTGTTAGATTTATCGCTTTGGAGAGTTGTTTGTTTTGATATTATGCAGTCTTAGTTTCTGCTCAAATATCTAAATCAACTATTATTTTAGTCACAAATCTACAATAAAGTTTTTTGAAATCTGTCATTTTTTATTATTTTTAATAATATTTTTATATTCAATGACTTGCCCTTTCATTTCTTCTGTTAGAGCTATTTCTATTTCATCGTTGTAATCCAATAGACGTCTCTTACATAATTGCAACTTCTCTTTAATAGATTTAATTTATATCTGAATACTTTGATCATCCTTCTTAATTTCGTCTAAATTATCCAAATGAGCCATAGTCACTGTTTTAAAAAAATTGTGAATTTTTCTCTTAGTTATTCTTGTTTAAGGTCTATTTTTAAAAGTTTATACACTATATATCAAATTAAGTCTTTCAGTAAGACAATCAACCAAATATTCATCTTAATAATCATATGCTTTTCTTGATGCACCAGATGCTGAGGTAGTACATCTTTGAGTTAATAAAATTTGTTCTTGCTTATCATTTTCTTTCATTTATAGAGTAATTGCTTCAAGTTATTTATGAATTATTGATGATGTTTCTTTACTTTTAGATACTTTAAGAGCTCTATTACTTAATTTTTCAATTTGAAGTTCCCTCTTAGCTTATACACTTAACAATCCTAGACGATGAAGAATTTCATTATTCATCATTTATTATTTAGTGCTTCGTTTTATTGATATAGGTAATTCACTAGGTTTTTCTTATGGTTCTATCTTGTTAATTGTGTTTTCAGTTAAAAACACTGGATGCTTTAACACTTTAAATTTTTTTATTATAGGTTTCTATGGAATTTCTTCTATTGGAATCATAGGTTCAACTAAAGTTCCCACTTTACTAACTTTTAAATTCAGATTTTCAAGTTAAAAATCAATTAGACTAGGTTCTGCAACACTTTAATAAAATTTCTACTATGGAAATTATGAATGAGCATATCTAGGTTTTGCTAACTCAGACTCTTGTTTAAGATGACTGAAATATTTAACAACTTAATAAAATTCAAATTATAAGGATACCTTTTTATTATTGTTCTTCCTTTATATTGGACATAACTATACGAATGTTGCGTTAAACTCTAGATTCAGGTTTATTAAGTTTATTCATAAATCTTATTCTTTTTATTGAAAATGTACTTAAAAACAATATTTAACTTATTATTATCAAACTTAATGTTTATAATTTTAAGATCAAAAGTGAATAAAAAGATATATTAGTTTAATATTATTTAAATCTTTAAAATTAAGCATAATAGTTTAATATATAGAAATTCTTCCTTAATTCAATATTGATACAATATAATATAAGAGAATTACATAATAAGACTAATGCAATATAAAACTAAATGAGATAAAATTTTTAATAATTTATATTAACTGCTAATAATTATAAGAAATGTAGGAAATAAGCAATGCAATAATTGAGTTTTTTGATTTAGTAATAGAGAAATATATAATCCATTTTGCAAATCCAAAAAGAGAATGGACATATTTTAAATCATTAATATAATCCTCCAACATTGATTTAAATAGAATCCAAACTTATCTAAAAGTTTTGAAAAATAGTACTGAAAAACCAAATTTTACTAAACCTTAAGAGCTTTTGAAAAGAGATACTTTTACAAAATATGTATCTCCTTTAAGAGATGAAAATTATACTTCAGAAAATAAATTAAATCATAGATCAGATAATGGATAAATGAATTAATATTTTAGTCCTAGATCAGATAATGGATAACTCAACCAATATCTCAGTCAACCCAGATAAGAAAACATTGTTAATTATTAAGCTTTTAAGAATATCACCTAGAAGATTGTAAATTTGATGGATTCCAATAATATTTAATTTGCAATTTCATAAGGAAGACATTTAAACTTTGAAAATAGAAGAACTAATTTAAATTATTTGACATTGCTAGATTAATTTCCTATACTTGAGTATTGAATCTGTTTGTTAATATTTTGCTCTAAATTTATATTTAATTATTATATTATTTTGATTAATTTGAGTAGAATATTATAATAATAAGTAATAATAATGAATATTTATAAAATTGTTGTGAGATTAAATATAAAAGTAGTCATTCTTAATATAAAAGTCTCATGTTGAGATATAATTATAGTTTATTAAATTATGTCTTTCTTTTATCAATCAGATATGAAGGAGCAATTAATTTAATAAATTATAAAAATTGAATTATGAATTAAATAATAGTTTATTTTTGATTAAATTTAGAATGGGAGGATAATGTTGCAATAATACATCATATTTAGATGATGTAGAGCCATATGATGATACAGAATTGAAACGTTTAGATACTCGTAAAATCAATATTAAATATAATTACAAAAAGAAATAAAAAGAATTGAATTCAAGTCAAACTACAAAGACTTAAGAAAGAACCAAACAATTAGCAGTCACACTTAAAAGTGGTGGAATATATTTAGGAGATTGGGTTGGTAATAAAAGAGAAGGTTATGGAATTCTAAAATGGCCAGATGGTTCAGAATATGAAGGAGAATGGAAAAATAATAAAGCTCATGGATAAGGAAAATTCATTTATCCTGATGGAGACTATTATGAAGGATAATGGGAAAATGATAAATAAAATGGTAGAGGGACATTCTAATCAATTAATGGAGGTAAATTTGAAGGACAATGGAAGGATGATTTATAATAAGGATATGGGATAGAGACTTGGGAAGATGGGAGTAAATATGAGGGTTATTTTTATGAAGGAATAAAATAAGGATAGGGAACTTATATATGGAATGATGGTTCAACATATACAGGTTTATGGATTAATAATAAGCGACATGGATAAGGATCTCAAGTATGGAAAAATGGTAAAGAATATCAAGGAGAATGGTTTGAAGATTTTATGTGCGGTTAAGGAATAATTAAATGGTCTAATGGTTGTACATATGTTGGATAGTTTAATAAAGATGCTCTAAATGGTTATGGCATTTTCAAATGGTCGAGTATTTAATATCCATAATTTAGATGGTAGAAGTTATGAAGGTAGTTTTAAACATTCAAAGCCAAATGGGAAAGGTAAAGTTATATTGGATAATGGTCGGTCAAGATTTGGAGAATGGAATGAAGGATAATTGATAAAATGGTTTGACAATAATCAAGATGAATAAAAAGAAAATTTTGATATACTTAATCTAGAAGATTTATGAAAAATCAAATATATATACTAATAATCAGACTCAGCATTGGAAATAGAACTTGAGCTTTATCATTCGTTTCTGAATCATTTGAGTTTGTCAAATTATTTTCCTCTTCAGTGTTATTTTAGTATTATGTTCCACATTACAAACAAACAGATTTGACAGAGTCCCAAGTATATGTATAAGCAGTAGCCGAAAAGCAATTTGATGGTCCTAGATATTCAAGTTTTTCTGAAAAACAATATCCATTTTACAATGCACATAATTCATACTGTTATCCAGAAAAATCTAGTATTGCTTAACACATTTCAGTTTATTATTTTTTGGATGAACATGTATATTATGAACAAGAACTTTTGGTCTTAGTTTATGTCCATTGACAAGTCTAAGATTTGAATTAACATGCCTCTTTGTCAGATGAAGCATCTGAACATTTAGTCATAATTTTACATTTTCCTTTTCCATTATCTAAATACCAGACACAATATCCATCACTACCACCATATCTACATGCTTTCTCAGTTTCATATTTATCACATGTTGTATATTCAACACATCCTAATCCACTATCAACACAATTACTAATTTAAGAACAATCCTCAATTTATTCATTACATTTAACCGGTTGACATTTAGTATCATTTGAATTATATTTGCATTTACCATCCAAACCAGGTGCAAAATTGCAATAATTCTAATCATAAGTTTCACAATTATCTATTTTAATACATTTGGTATTATCAGATGTACAAGTTTTTAAAACATTATTGCATTCATCATGAGTTGTAAATTATAGATGAGAACATTATAAATCAACACATTTTTTTGCTTATTCATCATAATAACATTTTTATTAATTATTATTTAAATAACAATTTGACATTTTAGTATAAGATGAGCAATCTTATAATTCAATACATTTAGTTTCATCTGTTGTACAATTCTTATTTAAACTCTAACATTCCTAATGAGTCTTATATTCAATACTATTACAACCAGTAAATAGTATGCATGTTTATTTTTCAGATATATACACACATTTACCATCTGTTCCCTAAAAACAACCTTAAGCAGGTAAAAACTAACATTTATCTATTGGAATGCAAGTATTTCCATCTGTAGTACATTCATGACTGAATTCATAACATTATTCATGAGTTTAGTATTAGAGAGATGTACAGGATGAATATTGATAACATGTATTTTTCACCCATAAACATGGTCCATCAGAACCTAAAAAACAACCACTTTGAATTTTTGTATTGCATTTAGATTGAGGAATACAAGTTAATCCATTAGAAGTACATGAAGGATCGTATTAAACACAATCATAATGATTTTTATATGGAATATCTGAACAATCAGCATCCTTGCATCCATCTTTTGAGAATATGCATTGTTTTCCATACTTATCTGTTGTGCAAGATTCTTAAACTTTAGCATCTTTACAAAGACCTTTTATAATACAACCTCCAGTTTATTTTGTAGTACAACCAGATTTATACATATGACATTCAAGCTCAGTGACATAATTAGTTGGAGCACTTGAGCAATTATATTCTAAGCATTGATTATTAATCCATTAACACTTATTACCATTTGAATCAGTAACACATGCTTATTCAATATAAGCATCTATACATTAAGTTCTCATAACACAACCATTCCCATTTGTTGTACATTCTTTTTTAAATGTTCTACATTATGTATCTGTTGAATATTATTAAGGAGCATCACTACATTGTTGTAGATTACATCTAGGTTAGAATACACATAATTAATTATTTGAATCAATAACACATCCTGATCTAGTTGTATATGTAGTACATTAATCAATTTAGATACATCCCTTTCCATTTGTTGTACAATTTTTACTAAACTATTGACATTATTCATGTGAAGTAAGAGTTTTATCAGCTTTATCACAAGTACGATCTGTACATGTATTATTAAACCAGATACATTCCTTATTTGATTTTGTTTTTATACAATTTACTGCAAATAAATATTCATTACATTTTTCATATCGTTAAATACATTCAGTTTTGTCAGAATTGACTGTGCAATAACTCAAAAAATTACTGCATGCTTCATCACTTGTAGTTTGATCAGAGTTCTAACATGATCTAACTTCACAAGTTTCTTGTAAAGCTTTCTTATTCCAAATACATTTGCCTTCATATAAACTCTCAATACACATTAATTCATTAGTATATTAACTACATTTCTCTGATTGATTTATACATCCTTTATATTCAATTCCATCAGAATTAACTGTACAAATTGGTAAAAATAGTTTACAAGATTAGAATGAATTGAAAACTCCTTAATTACATTTTCTAGTTATACATTATGTTCCATTCCAAAAACATTATTATCCATCACTGGTTATAGAACATTGATGTTGTAATAATTCTAAACATGTTCCTTTACGATTTACACAACCTCTTTTTTTATCACTTATCATACATGTACTTAAATAACTTAAACATTCATCATCATTATCTATATCAAGACTAGCAGTAAAACAACTCTTTTAAACACATTATTCATTTAACCATAAACATTAAAATTTAGGATTACCTGCTAAATAACATTAATCTTTAATTTTATAAGAATCACAAGTATGTGATATATTTTAACATCCTTTAAGATCAGATTTAATAGTACATGTATCTAACCATTATTAACATTCTTTATGAGTAATCAATTCATCACTTGCATTATCACATGTTTTTTAAGTACAGTAACCACTCCAACTACATTTATTGTTCTAATAGTCATGACTACATAGATTTTCACTTAAATATGTATTACAAGTTTTTAAAATACATTAATTATTACCAACAGTACATTAAGACATATATCTACTACAAGAAGTTTCATTATATTTTAAAAGAACAGCATTATCACAGATTTTATCAACACATTTATTTCCATTCCAATAACATGTTTATTTATCATTCAATACACTAACACATTGTTATTATGTTTAATATTCTGAACATTATTATAATCTTTAAATACAACCATTATTAGTGTTATTAACTGTACACTCACTTTTAAATTATCTACATAAGGTATCACTATTATATGTTGGTTCAGCATTTTCACATTTCCAAGATTTACATTCTTATTTTTATTAACAATTACTATCACCATCTTTACAACTAACAGAATACCAAAAACATATTGTATCTTTTGTTTAAATACATTATGGTTCACTTATATAAATTTCACATTCTTATGCAATTTCCATACATCCTTTACGTTCAGCATTTAAAGTACATGTACTTAAAAAACTTTAGCATTCAAAATGTGTAGTAATTGAAGTAGGTGCATTTTAACATATGTATTCTTTACATGAAGTTCCATCCCAAAAACAAATTTTACCTTCTAAATTGATTTCACACCCTTCCTTTTATAAACCACTACAATCCTATGTTATATCCATACATCCACCTCCTTATTTGGCTGTACATTTTAATAAACTCTATTATCCTTTTTCAAAGCAACTCTAATGAGTTTTATATGATACAGGGATTTCTTTACAAGCCTAAATCTAATAACATTTTTTGTTTTCATTATTCCAATAACATGGATATCCATTCAAATCTATTTAACAAGCCAATTAATTATCATTAAAATTATCACACAACAATTCAACATTAATACAATGTTCTCCATTTGTTGTGCATAAACGAGAAATCTTTTAACATTCATCATGTGTCTTTGCTTTATATACACTGCAACCACTGAAAGGCTTACAAATACCTAAATATAAAGCACAGCCATTTGTTGGACAATTAGTAGAATTTATTGAGCAATATGAATCTAAATCTGCATATTTACGATCTTCACAAAAACCATATTCATTATTCCAGTTACATTTATTTAATTGATTACAATCATACAAACTCAGAATTTATCTACAAGTGCACTAATCAACTTTTAACAATAACTCTTAGTGACTCACCAAAAATAAACCCATTAGAATAAACATCATTTATAATATTTATTAATTAATATAAAAAATTTCCAAAATTTGGCTATCACTCCATTATTATTTAATGTTTATTTATGAACACATCATTTATTACAATATTCATAATCAAATGTTTTTGTTTAATTAAAGATCATCATAAAAAATAATAAATTAGTGTTTACAATTAAATAAAGAATTGTAAAGATTCATAAACTTTTTTAAATGATTTTTCTTAATAAACTTTTACTTCTATTAATGATTTTTCTAGTTAATAAGTAAACATCTTTAGATAACTTATATATTTTCATATTCAAATTGTCTATTATCTCAATAAGTTAATTCATGCCTTAACAGATATGAAGAATCCTTAAACACTTACTCTTGTTGTTAACATCTAAATTGCTTCAGCTCCTTGTATGTAAGTATATCATAATAGTTTAGAAATTTTATTTAAAATCTTTTTGCATTCTCTACAAATAGGTTATTAATTCTGGTTCTTCCAAATGGCCATATATTTCAAAAGAATTTTAATTTGTTAATATTCAAAATAATTGATAAAGTGAACTTCCTTATTTATATAATTAAAAGATTATAATAATAATAATAGTATTTTATCATTTCATCATTATTATTATTATTGATATAATTATATAATATACTTCAAAAATAGGAGTAATAAAAATCGTCCAAACAATCGGGTTATATTAAAAAGGGATGTTTTTGAGTTCCAACTCCAATAGGTTTAATTTCAATCCATACTTCTTTCCATTTATCTTAACCAACAATTTATGGAAATGCCACACTATCTCTTCCTTTTACTTTGACCCATCTATTCAAACATTGATCAAATACGCCATTGCCTCCTTTTTTGAGTCCTGATATTGTCCATTTACAATCACGAAACAACAACTCTCTCACTAAAACAGATGGATTGATTCCTAATGCTCTATAAGGACACATATCACATTTAACATCTCTCATAATACGTTGAAAGCTGAAGGTTCCAAATCCTATAGGGAATACTATTTCTCTTTAAAAATTAATGCATTTAGCATTAATACAAACAGCCTATGTAAAGAGTTATTTTTTACTTCTAATGTTAAACCTTCAACTTCAAATGGCTATATTTAACCAGGATGGAATGGAACTAAATCTAGATCTGTAACCCGAAATCTCTCAATTGGTTTTTAAAAGGTTTTTGCCATTGTAACTCTTCCAATAGTTTTAGTTTGTATAGTTTCTACATTGGCAAATAATTGTTGATTATCATTTGAAATGCCTAATTATTTTAGTGTTTTTGATTCATCTAACTTGGTAGTTTTATAAGTCTCTTAAAAACTGATTCTAGTTCTGAATACATCCAAAGCTATGTTTTAATAGATTGAATACTTAATTCTTCTGCAAGAAGATTAGCAATTTCCTTTAAAGTAGTATGAATACCTACAGAGATTTTGATCTTTTGTTTTGTAGCATTAAGAACAAGTGTCAAATCAATCTAACGATTGGGCTCTTTTTTAAGCATTATTTAAATTAAAATGGATAGTATATACAAGACTGCTAATATTAAAGATTTCTATAAATTAGATAAAATATTAGGAGAGGGTAGTTATGCAATAGTAAGAAAGGCAATTAGAAAAAGTGACAATATAGAAGTTGCTGTAAAAATAATTGACAAGTATATATATATATACAAGATTACTTTAATTAGAGCATCATTGGAAAGTGATGATCATTTGGCAATTTAGAGTGAAGTTGAAATAATGAGTTAGATTGATCATCCAAATATTGTTAAAGTGTTGGAAGTTTTTGATGATAAATAGAAACTTTATATAGTACTTGAATTAATGACTGGTGGCGAGCTCTTTGATCGTATAGTTGAAAAGGAATTATATAATGAAAAAGAAGCAGCTGATGTCATTCGACCAGTTGTGGATGCTATAAGATGTAATTCATACAAAATATTTATTTAGATTGTCACTCTATGGGTGTTGTACATAGAGATCTTAAACCAGAGAATATTCTTTATACAACTCCAGATCCAGATGCAACTGTTAAGATATCAGATTTTGGAGTGGCAAAAGTTATTTCTGATGAATTAATGCTTACTGCTTGTGGTACTCCTGGTTATGTTGCTCCAGAAATTCTAACAGGAGTAGGATATGATATGGCTGTTGATTATTGGAGTATTGGAGTAATACTTTATGTGCTGTAATTATCTGAATTTATTGGACCTAACTTAGATTATGTGGTTATCCTCCATTTTATGAAGAGTCTAATGAAAAGTTATTTGAATAGATTAAATCAGGTAAAATAGACTTTTCAGGGGAATAATGGGAGAAAATATCTAAAGAAGCTAAAGATCTAGTTGAGAAACTTCTAAAGGTTGATCCCAAATAAAGATATAAAGCAGATTAGATTTGCAAGCATCCATGGATTACTGGAGAGAAAGCATTGACTAAAGATTTGTCTGATGTCACTGAAAAATTAAGAGAATTGAATGCTCGTAGAAAATTAAGAGTAAATAATACTATTATAATTATTAGCGTGCATAATTGATGGTGTTGGCTACAACCAAACTTTAAAGACGTATTCAATAACATTAACAAAAAAATTGATTTGTTAATTCATTAATGAACATATATATATATTAATGTCATTTTCTTTTATTGAAATGAACTTAAATAAGAATTTAAGTTTAGATAATAATTTATACTATAATAAATTATTGATTTCTTATTAATAATTTAACGAATATGAACCATTTACGTTTATTAAAAGAGCATAGTGCCAATCCTCTTGATAATTATGTCATAGGTGTCAATTTTAAGTTATATAGAATAGTCCATTGGTAAGGGAGCCTTTGGGAAAGTTTACCGAGGTCTTCATAGACCTACTCAATAGAAAGTGGCTATAAAAATACTTGAAAAAAGTAGAATAGAATAACCATCAGATTTTACACGCATCTAACGTGAGATTCATATATTACGCAAATTACGTCACCCAAATATAATCTAATTATATGAGATTCTAGAATCAGAATCCAAAATATATTTGATTATGGAATATGTAAGTGGTGGTGAACTATTTCAACATATTGTTAAAAATAAGAAATTATCAGAATAAGATGCAGCTGCTTTCTTTTCTTAAATTATTGAAGCCATTGAATATTTACATTCCATTAAAGTAGCTCATCGTGATCTTAAACCTGAAAATCTACTAATTGAAAAAGACATTCTTAAAGTTGTTGATTTTGGTTTAAGTAATATATATACTGATCTTCTAAATACTCCTTGTGGATCACCATGTTATGCAGCTCCAGAAATGGTTTCTGGTCAATAATATTAAGGAATCAAAACTGATATTTGGGCTAGTGGAGTTATACTTTATGCAATGATTTGTGGTTGTGTACCTTTTGAAGATCCAAATACAAGAAAATTGTATGAAAAAATTAAATATTCTGATTTTGAACGTCCATCCTATTTAAGTGCATAAGTAATAGATCTTCTAAATGGATTACTTCATAAGAATCCATAAAATAGATTATCTATAGCTAAGATAAAGATGCATCCATTTATAAGGTACATTATTATAAATCTATTGTTTTAAGCAATTATTCATATTCAATACCTTTATTTAAGACATTGGCCATAAATATTGAAATTGTTAAATAATTAGAAACAGTTGGTATTGACAGTCAAATATGTAGAGAGATGATTCTAAATAATAAACATAATGCAATCACTACAACATATCATCTCCTAAATAAAAATTAGAAACCTTAATTATAATAAATTTAAAGAGTTCGAACTCATTAAAGCATAAAATCAGTTGTTGAAAGACCTAATTAATCAACAGAGCGTCGTCCTAATTCTAGTACTCATCATAAAAAAACAAAATCTTAAGAAAATAATTATTAAAGTGTTATGTAGATTAATAAAGGATTTGAAAATAGAATATCAGAAAGACCTAAATCTACAGAAAGAAGGATATGTACAGAAAGTGATCGAAGAGAAAAAAATAAAACACATCATGAATTAAAGGAGAACAATATTATACGTAAATCACATGCCTCAAAACCAAGCAAATCCCCTGTTATGTATTTAGAATATAAATTAAAAACAACCAGAATGATGTGATTGAATTTTTATTACATTATAATATACTAAAATAATACATAATAATTCACTATTAAATATAGAGCACATTATGCTTTAAGAATAAACAAAATCCTTAAGTTCATTTCCTAATCTTTAAGCACTTTGTAAAAAGGATGAAAAACAAAAACAATCATTAGAGAAATTGCTATAACACAAACCTAATGTAGTAAAGAGTTTAGATATCTATGCTTAAAATATTGAAGAATACTTAAAAGATTAAAGAAAAAGGATTGCATACTTAAAAAAAAGAGAAGAACCCTTCTATGAAACAAAACCAATTTAAGCTTATGATGAAGCACTTATTATGTAATACAATAGAGTCAAAGCTAAATAATATTATTTGCAACAATCACAAAAAAAAATATCATAACAACCTTCACCTGAATAACCACGTAATAGAACACCTTCTAAATATTTTGATAAGAATTATAATCCATTAAAAAGAATTGAAAAATTTGATATTCCATCTCTTTAACCTGTTAATGTTTCACCTCCAAAAGAACTCAAACCAATTCAATTCAGAGTAACTTATATCCTTATTAAGATAGTATAATTATACAATGTAAATAAATGATCCACTTCTTAGATAAGTACTTAATACTCGTTAATAATGGTATGAAGTTCCAAATAATTCATTTGCTCATTTATAATGGCTAACTTAACTCTTAGATTTTAGTAATCTTTCAAAATAAGAAGTTGTTTCTAAAAGATAAATGGTAAATTTAATGGAATTTCAACATGAATGGTCAAATAAATCATAATTATATAATAATCTTTGCTCTAATTCACCAGAACAAGCATTAAAAGTATTACCACCAGGATTTGTATTGAATTTTAAAATTTCATAATGGGTTGAAGATCTAGAATTTCTTTAAGATTATTTAATAACTCATCATCCATAAAAAGAAACATAATAAAAATTTCCATTTTCTGTATATGTTCCTAATAAAGGAGGCTAAACATATAATAAATAAATTTCAAAATTAATTTAAGATGTTCCAAAAATTTGGATATGTAAATCAGCTATTGGATCTGGAGCTACCATAATAAATAGTATAGATTAATTATAATCATTTTTAATTCAACAATATAAAGATTAAAAAGAATTTGTGATTTAAAAGTATATTACAAATCCTTTATTATATGATGGAAAGAAGTTTGATATTTAAATCAATGTATTGATTAATTAAGAAAATTCAATTTTTATTTCAGCTGAACCAACAGGAAGATGTTGTACAGTTAATTATGATATTAATTCGGTATTCAATTTATTTAAAATAATTAGGAAGATCCATATGTTCATATTAAACCAAAATAAGTCATATCTCACAAAAATTTAGTAGAATTTTTAGATACTTAAGGAATATCTTAATAAGATCTATTGAATCAGATAAAGTCTTCAATTTCTTTGATTCCTTGTAAATTAAATAGAAGATAAAGAAAATATTGTATGTAAATCTTTGGTTTTGATTATTTATTTGATAATAACAAAAAAATACATTTATTAGGAATAAATGCAAATCCAATTTATACTTTTGCTGAATTAGATGGTGCTTTTAAATTAACTTTAGATAAAATTTTCCCTATAAATAATAAAAGTGAAGAAAAATAAATTTGGATTAATTTATTTTGATATAAATTTATATAAAAATTAGATGTATTTATTTATATATTAAAAATAATATATATGTAATAAAGTAAATTAATTTCAATTAGCACCTAAAAATTAAAATTTGTTCCATATACAGCTGAAGTAGTTGAGACATATCATAAATGGATGTAAGATCCAGAAATACTATATTTAACAGGAAGTGAACCTTTGACTTTAGATGAAGAATATAAAAATTAAGAAAGTTGGTTGAATGATCCATTAAAACATACTTTTATCATAAAAAATGATAAAGAAATGATTGGAGATGTCAATTTATTTTTCCATTAATACTTAGATGATGATGAAGCTGAAATTAATGTTATGATAGGAAATAAAAATGCAAGAAGATAAGGATATGCAGAAGAAGCAATAAAAACAATGATGAGTTTTGGATTATTATAATACAAGAAAACTAAATATATAGCAAAAATAAAAGATTCTAATGAAGGTTCAATTAAATTATTCTTAAAAATTGGTTATAAAGAAATAAAAAAATTACCATAATTTGAAGAAGTACATTTACAAATGATAATTAATGCTCCTTTAATTGAATATATTAAAATATGAATATTGATTGATTATTATATCATTATTTATTGAATTTTGTTTTTAAATTCTCCCAAATACCTCCTGCTCTTTCTTTAACAGTACCAAATGTCTCCATAGTTTTTTCAGTTGCAAAATTAAACATATTCTTAAATTAATCCATTTCTAATATATGATTTTAAATATACTTTATGATGAATCTTCTGAATCCTCTTCTTTTTCTCCAAAAAATTATTTACTAGATATAGCAGTTTATCCATTGAATTTATATATATTCTATTTATTTTATTCACTAATAATAATTAATATAACTTAATTACCTATCTTAAGATTAGAATAATGTTTCAGATGATATTGATTTGACATTCTTATCTTTCAATTTTTCCAAAGTTTCATTACTTTATGGAATTGTTTAAGTAGGTTATTGAGTTTATTTAATAATTACTTTAGGTTCATCTTATTATTGCTATTCTATTTTATTGGAATCAGATTTGAATGGATCATTATTAAATGGATTTGAAAATGGATCATCAAATTATAATGAATCGAAGTCCACGTCAGCTAATTTCTTACCTTAAACTGCTTTGCCAGATACAGCTTATGGTTTCGCATTATCAGCAAATACAATTTTATTACTTTTCTTAGTCACTATTGCTTCTTCTTATAACAAATTGTTTTAAAACACTTGCTTAGGTTATTCTTTTATTGGAGATTCTTCTTCTTTATTTTAAGCTTGTTTTTCTGATGTTTGAGCTATTTTAACAGGACTTGGAATAAGTGATGGACGAATTATATTCAGCTTTTCTTCACACAAGGCTAATACACCAAATCAGAGTACTTATTTAAGAAGTTCTTATTTGTATTTTTCAACTAGAGGACTTTTGTAATCAATTTGACTACATCCTGGACCAATTAATCCAACACTTTAAAAATATTCCAAGGCTTTTTCATTGCCTCCTACTTGAAGGAATGTAATTTATTTTCTTGACCAAGAATCCAAAGTAAGAGATCTAAACTTAAATGAATTTTTAACCTTGCAAATGTATAACGAACACCATATTCTCTATGTTTACCAGAACAATCAATACACAAAAATAAACCCAAAGTAACAGATGCCCATTTGGTATTTTTTTTACCACAATCAATACATTTCTAATAGATGTTCAAAATGAATTATTTACATCATTTCCTTAAACTAGTTTCAATTATTTAATAATTTAATCTCTCTCTGCATCATCAATCTAAATAAATACATATACTAATTTACAATCTAATTCTCCATATTTAATTGGATTTCCAAACTATTTTTTATAACAATATTTATAAAAATAGCTCATTCTATTTATGAACTTCAAAAATTACAAAAAACTGAAATACAATTTATTTATTTTTTTAATAAATACTAAACTTTTCATATGAACTTATATTTAAGACTTTTTGAGTAATTTAAAAACAATAACTTTTTAATTCAAAAATAAGCTTTTATTTAAATAGGTATTTATCTTTATTGGAATAACATATTCTAATAATTATATTCAAGTGATATTAACCTAAAACTATAAGCATAATTATATTCCTCTATACAGAATAAATAATAGTTTTTTAAATATATTATTATTAAATAATTCTTAAGAATGATGAAAATGGATATAAAGTAATTCTCTATGCTTCGATTGATTGGCAAAGGAGCTTATGGATAAGTATTTTTGGCTAAAAAGAAAGATACTAATAAAGTTTATGCTATCAAAACATTAAAGAAAAAAGAAATTGATAAAAAGAAATAAGCTGTATTTATTTATATTATAGAATTAGTAACATGTAATGATGGAAAAAACTATTCTTAATTAAGCAAAACATTAGTTTATTGTTTCCCTTTCATATACTTTTCAATCTGATAAACATTTTTACTTTGTTTTAGAATACTGTGCAGGTGGGGATTTATTTAGTTTATTGAGAGTAAAAAGAAAGTTGAAAGAAGAATAAATATAATTTTATGCTATTCTAATAATTCATGCATTATAATTTCTACATACTTAAAAAATTATCTATAGAGAGTAAATATAAAAATATATACATAGTTTAAAACCTGAAAATGTACTTATAGATGAGAAAGGTTATATAAAATTAACTGATTTTGGTCTTTCTAAAATATTACTTTAAGAAAAGGCAGATTCAATTGTTGGAACTCCTGAATATTTGGCTCCTGAAATTCTTAGTCAAAATGGAGATGGATATGATTACAAGGTAGATTGTTGGTCCTTGGGATGTTTATTATATGAAATGATTGCTGAATAACCTCCTTTCATGTCAGAATAAAGAGATCAATTAATCAAGTTAATTAAAACAACACAACCATAATTTAATTTCCCTATATCTAATGAACTTAAAGATTTAATAGTTAGTTTATTGTAAAAGGATCCAAAATAAAGACCCTCTTTAATTGAAGTTAAAGAATTTCCATTCTTTAAAAATGTTGAAGATTGGCAATCTTATTTATATTATAAGGTCCTTCCTCCCTTCCTACCTGTTATTCATGGGCCTGAAGATGTAAGCAATTTTGATCCTGTAAATCAATTTATCATAATATTTAGGAATTTACTTAATAAGAATAATTTGGATCTCCAAGTGATGGATCAAATTCAGATAATAAGTTTCCTGGCTTTTCTGGTAATAATTCTTAATAATGAATATAATACATATATAGTTTATTAAAACACTAGAATCCTTTCAATAATTTGAAAAGAATTGTCTTCTTTTAAACATTCTAAATTTATTAAATTATATTGTGAATCTTACTAAAATAAAGTATTTTTTTATTTAAATTGTGCCTGTCAATATTTTTATAATAATTCCTTGAAATTCTGTAAGATTTGTAATATATTAAATAAATATAGATAAACAGTAATCCTAGATATATTTAAAAATAATTTAATTGTATTTGAGCTAAAAATTAGATTCTTAAAAATTTGGTAGAATTCAATTTTTTGTAAAATTAAATCTCATTATAAATTGTCTATAATCGTTATGATTTTTTATGATATATCTAAATTAATAATAATTGAATATTTAGATATTTAAAATGTAATGTAATTAAATATTAATCATTTTTTATGATTTTATAATTATTAAGCATTTAATATATTTCTTTTTGAATTCCTAGAGTTTTCATTTAGAATCAACATAATTTATAATTTTTTATATAAAATTTTATAAAATGGAAAATGATCTGCAAAAAGAAAATGAGTTGCTTGTAGAATAAATTAAGGTGCTCTAAGCTTAATTGAATAACAGAGAAACTTTAAAAAATGAATGTTCTAGAATAAATGATTAAAGCAGCTTTTTTAGCACATTCAAATAATAAACACCAAGAGGTAATATTAGTAGAGACCAAAGCAAAAGAGATCTATAAGATTTGACTGCTTAAGTGAAGAGACTAAATGAGTACAATTTCAATTTATTTCCAAAGAGAGAAAGAATAATTAAGGAAAACCTTAAAACATCAAATTGATGCTTATGATCAAAAAATTCAATAAAAAGAAATGGAATTAAGCCAAAAAGAAAAAATGTTTAGACAATTATAGAATGACTATAAAGAATTATAATAAAGCCTAATATAAGAATAAAATAAGCCCGCTCCTTAACCAGCAGCACCTACACCTGTTCCTACAAAACCTATTGGTGATTAAATACAATAATATAGAGTTTAAAAGGTTGGTCTTATGAATCTTCCTTGTTTAGTATTGAATAATATACTTATTCATAGATTATAATTAGAAAGAATATATTCGAATAATTCGTGATTGAGATAGAAAATACAAAAGATAAAATCTGCATTAATGTGTCAGATATCACAGATTTGGTACCGGACAGAGTTAAGGAGGAGCATTTTTAGTTAACATACAAATTATAAAATTAAAAAATTACAGAAGTTTATTAATCAGCAGAATATAAATAAATATTAAGAGCAATTAAGTAATATGATTATATATAATTATTATAGATATCTTCATTCTTAATAATAATAAACTAGAAAATAAGAAACCTAACCAGCTTAATTATAATAAGAATAACAAAGTGGTTTAATCAAAAGTTTGAGTTCATTTTTTATGAAAAAATGACATTTTAATAATAATAATAATAATAAATTAGATATAATAGATTCAAAATACATTATTCTCACAATTTATAATTTCCTCCAATAAATTCACTAAAACTTTATTATATTCTTTATTTTCAACCCCTGAAACATTTAATCCAGCCTTTAATAATTAAATCAACCATTTGCTTACAACTTTTGATTTCAAATTCTATTTTAAAAAAGGGAATACAGTTTCCATAAATAATAATTGTAATCTACTAATTACAATCTATGATTCCAGATGTCTTAATTATTCTAAATTACCATTTAAAGTGTCTTATCTATGTTATGGTTATGAAAATCCATTATAAGCATCAAGAAATCTTTATATTAATTATTCAATAAAAGAGAAAGGATCATTACTAAGAAAAATAATTACTTTAGCTGCCAATAATTCAATATTTATAAAACTTAATTATTTACTTTAAGTTGTGTTATCCAAATCATCAAATTCCTAAGAACTTCTCTTAACAAAATTCCATTAAACTGCCCATTGTTCCAAAAAATATCTCATATATAAATTAGTGTTAAATTTTCTGCATTTTTAATATTATTCCTAAAATAATTACAAAATCAATTATTTATTTTATTAAGTAATTTAATTTTAAAATTATGTCACTTAAACTTCTAATATTTCTAAACATCTTTCTTAGATAGATTATTTTGATGAACATTCTAAAGCATTTATTTTAAAACTAAACTTTTTTGGTCTAATCTCTTCCTTTAATAATTCATCTAAAGGTTTTTAAAAATCTTCATCTAAATTAAATGCCTCTAATAATTCAGTTGGAGAACATTATTATAATAAATGTTAGATCTATTCTATTAATATATTCCAATTATCTTCAGTTAAATATTGACCTACATTTTAGATAATTTTCTTAAGTGATTAAAGACATAAAATTGATATATGCTATATTAATAATATTTATATTTACATCTTGAGTTTATAAGACAAGTTATATGTATATATCTATTAAATCATTTATACAAGGTTACATTTATTGTATTTATGAAATAACTAAATCTGTAAATAATTAAAATGTCATTTTGCAAGTTGAAGCTATAGATTTTTTGGATTACTATTATTTTGTGTATTATAATTTAGAAAATTGAATTTCATCAAATAATGGTCTTATAACTCCTCTTAATATCATCTTCCAAAATTCATTTGATTAATAAACACCATGTTTTTAAAGCAATTCAAATAGTGTCTGTACACTTTATTATTGAACAGCTACTCTCTCATCGCTATATAATATAGATAATGATGACAATACAGGAATCCATAATGAATCTAAAAATTTATTGTCATTTTTTTTAATTAATGCTATATGATCAACTAATGTCTTCAATTATTTTATAGCATTTTCAACAATATTAATATCTTTATTTTTAGTCAATTTTATTAATGCTTAAATTAATTCCATATATATTTCTTAATTAACCTATTGATTATTTACATCTTCCATTATTTTATCTGTAATTTATACACATAATCTTATTAACTATTATTAATCTTCTTGAAGTGCTTAATTAACAATACTCATTATAATTTTCCAACCACTTTTAAGTGAATTAAAACAAACATTAGTTATCATACACATACAAGATAATAAATATTCCCTTAATTAAATTTTATATTATTATTAAGCTTGACTATGACTGAAAATTTATTCAAAAGGCATAAGAAATTCTTTTTAAAAATGATAATTAGCTAATTCAGGTTATTATAAAAATTTGCAACTTAATTATTTTAATTAATCTATAGCATAAATTGCTAAATCTACATTTTTATGACATCCAACTTCAAGAAAGTGTTCTCTCATTATTTCCCACATTCTAGACCATATAATTTTAATTCTATTCATATTAAAGTCAGCAACTTCAATCATTCTACTTAATAAAAATGTTCTATTTTATTTTATTTCTTCTTTTGATAATTCACATAAAGCTCTAATAAATTCTAATATAGAATTTGAATCTAAATTTATAGACATATTGAATATCTTATCAATTTAATCATAGGAAATAGATTAAAATAATCTTTCTATATTTTGTATATCTTCTTAATTATAACTTTCCTTTTAAGGTGAATCAACCTTTATTTTCTTTACAACTTAATGTAAAATTTCTAATTTAGAAACTAATTACAAAGCAACTCTCCAACTTTTTCTTAAATATTAACCAGATTATATTGCTGCTTTTATTAATGCTTAAACACCCAATATTTATCTATAAGTATTTGGAATACCTGTACAATATCTCTATAAAAAACTGATAAAAGTATCTTTTTCTTCATCTAAATCAAATCTACCCATCAAATATATAAAAGATTGAATTGTCTCAAAACATAATAAAATCTATTATTAATCTTCAGTTTATTCTAAAAATACACTAATTGAAGCAAATATTGGACTCCAAGTTTATTATAATAAAGATTTGACATGATCAATAGAATTTGCATAGAAATAAGCATCTTAATTAGGATGTTCTTTAAACCACTTTTTTAAAGACTCTTCAGCCTCTTTTGCTAACATTGCATGTCTTTTTCTTTAATCAACTTAATTAGCTTATTCTAATGCTCTTTTAGCTTATTCTTTAGCATGTAATGCAAGAGGAGTCTTTTAAATTCTTTGATAAAATCCAAGTAATAAATCTTATGGAAGATTTTCACCATCATTAATTCCTTTTGCTAAATTAAAAAATTAAGGAATTGTCATTTTATCTAAATTTTTTTCATTATGTAAATCAGTTTATAACATCATTAATAGATAAGAAAGTGTATATGCAGCTTATGCTGATTAATAGATTCCAGGATTATCAATGCAATATTTAGATGCAAATTTTTCCATAATTCTATCTATTTATTAAGATTCTCCTGGTAATGTAAAGAATTCAAGCATATATCTTAAACCTTCATCTACTTATAAATCTTTAAAATTCATAAAATCTATATATTATTAGAATACTTATTAATTGAATTCACTTGAACAACCAAATAATTCTCCTAATTTATCTTTATTTAAATCTCTATTTTCCCATAGAAATTATGCAAATAATTTAGGATCTCTTGTTTCCATAAATTAACAAGCAATTAAATGTTTTATACAATGTTCAGGTTTAAAATTAAATTTCTAAACAGCTTTATTCATTTCTAATTTCATTTATTTTTATTTTTCTATAGGATCTTGTGATAATTATTATGATTAAATAGTAGTGTCTTCTTAATCATCAAGTTATTAGACTTATACAATATTATATGAGTCTTCATTCTATTCACAAAATTCTTTAATGCATTTAATATATCCATAATAGTTATCTAGACATAAAGATTTTAAATAGGTTTCTTAATTTTGAGTTATTGATGCTTAAAATTCTTATTTACTAAATCTACCTTAAATGATTCTGCATTACATATCTAGAATCTTTTTTAAGAGATTATTTTATCCTAAAGAACAATCATAATTAACAAAGATTTCAATGACAACTCTTGGTTTAGTCATTATTTTATTAAATACTTTAAGAGTATATTATTTATGATCAAAAGAGCTATTGCTACTGTCTAAAAATTTAAAATAAACATTTTCAATTAATGCTTCTAATTCTTTTTTAAGATGGCTTCTTACTTTCCAAATTAATTAAATAAAGATATTAAGAGTTAATATTAATAATTATTTTTCTGTTGAAAGAGAATTCTTTAAAAGTGATTCCAATAATTGTTCTTTAATAACTTAAATTAATTTTGGTTTATTTTATAAGATAATATTACTTTATGCCAATGCCTCATAGATTAATTCTAGAGAAAGTATTTTACATTTGATAACAATTTAATTTAATTAAGGATTAGTATTATCTCTTTAAGTTAATTAACATAACATTTCCAATATCTCTTGAGCATCTTTACAATATAATTCACTATTATTTGAATGTTGATAACATTATGAGAAATTATTCATTTAATTAAGATGTATAAATTTACACTCTTTACTACAAATAGGTACTTTAGTCTCTTTACAATATTGTGATGCTTATTTTCTACAAACAACACACCATCCAAATTTTCCATTTTTAATATTTTATTCATTAGTAACATAAACTTAGATCTAGTTTTTTTCAACTGTTACATTTCGTAAATTAGGTTCCTGAAGATTTAAATCAATAACTTTCATTTAATTTAGATCTTCTATTTGTCTATCATATATTTATTTTCTTTCAGAATACATTTAGACTTCATCAATTAAAGATGTCATCAATGATCTCATATATTATTCAGCATTCACCATTGCCCTACATTTACCTAAAATCAATTATCCTTAATTTTCTTATTTTTATATAGCTTATTAAAATTCATCTTCTGTTAAAATACCATAGTCTTCCAATCTTTAAAAATAAGTGCTAACTATTTTCTGACATGCTTCTTTACTAGTATTAACAATAATTACAATTTTAGAGACTATTATATTGAATATGTCATCTTACCTGAATGTATATTGATTAGCAATTAAAATACTTTAGTAGTTAGTTCTCCATAAATATGATGTTTTCTATTAGTCATAATTGTTTGAATAGCTTTAATCATGTGAATTTAAACTGTTTCCTCTTTCTCTTATTGGCATGAGATTACAATATCCAAAATTACATCAATAACTCTTTTATCTCCAATTGATTATTCTCCTGCAAAAAAACCTTGCTCTACTAGATTCTATATTTAGGATATATAATACTTTTATATCAAATAAGGCTAGCTCCATCAGTTTGACTTATTTTGATTCTATACATTATTAATACACTTTTATTAAATGATTAGCATCATAGTAATCTTTGAGTTCTTTTAAATAAAAATAATAAATTACATTAGACTTCATCTATTGTTTATTTCAATTCAAACTATTTTTTTGTAATTGCCTTTTTGATTTTGTCTAATGATTGATTGATCAAATCACTTAAACTTAATGACATTAGTATATATAAATTATTTTAAAAATTAGTCAATTCTATATGTTTATTATACTTTATCAGGAAGCTTCAGAATGTCTAATTTAAAGAATGACACGTATGAATAAAGATTGAAATGTAATTTACAATCTTAAAATTAATGATTTTAATAACTATCAAAAATTGTTAAACAATGTATTTTGTTTCTCATTAAAATTATCCATCTCATATCCAGAAAATTAGGCTTAAAAATTGATATATAAACAATTTACATTAAATAGAATTTCTTCTTAACATGATAGAGTGTTATTATATTAATTCATTATTTTCTTCATCTTCCATAGATATCTAACGAGCATCAAAATTATCTTCATTTTACTAATATAATATATATATATATATATTACATTAGGAATGTAAGGTGATTTTAACTCTTTATTCATTAATTTAGACCATGGAAAATTCTTGAACCATGAATGTTATCTTAATTCTTGTGGTCCATTAAAACCCAATCTATTAGCTGGTTTTCTTTAAATCAACTATTTTAAATATAATAAAAATACTCTATTAATAAAGTCTGCTGATTCTAAAGACCAATTATCAGGTATTTCTGATCTTTTGATCTAAACTTGTTTAGCTAGAATTTAATCTCTAATCTCTTTTCTTGATCTACCTGTATATGGTCGCTAAGTATTTTAATTAATTATTACCTTCCCAAGCATAAATTCATATCCAATAACTCCTAAAGCAAAATAATCAACTGCATAAGAATGATTTTATCTACACATAACTTCTGGAGCTACAAATCTCAAATTATTAATATACCCATATAACCTGGAGTACCTGAAGTATCTTGTGAATTATCAGGTCTTAGATTTCGAGCAATTCCTAAATCTGTTATTCTAACATAACCTATATAATAGTATATGAATTCTACCATATTTATCAAGTACTAAATTTTCTGGTTTAATATCTCTATGTAAACTATTTTTAGAATGCATATATTCCAGTCCTAAAAATATACAAGCCATAAAAAATCCTATATATTGTTATTAAATACTTGTTTGATCTTCAGTGAATCTTCTCATCTTTCCTATATGATATCTTAAGTCTCCTCCTTACATATAATCAAGAACAAGAAATAAGTTCTCTCTGTCTTAAAATGCATAGTAGATATTCACTAAAAATCTATGTTTAATATATTATTTACGGATGCTTAAGATTACTTAAGATGTTTCTCTCATTCATAACAGAATTCACACTTTTTTTGGCTATTATGCTTATAATATAATAATAAAATCAATACAGTGCTTTTGACATCTCTTTCATTGCATATATCTATCCATTCTTTTTGTATTCCACTTTCCATACTTTTCCGAATCCTCCTATTCCAATCACAAATTGAAAATTAAACATATTCTTTTATACTACAGGTTCATTTAAATCTAATTTCAAATGTTATATTCAACTTTCTTTCTCTTCCTCTTAAGCAATCTGAGATTTATCTTTCAGGATCAAGTAGTTAAGAAATGATATCTGTTTCGGCTATTGCTATTTAGAGATTGATGATTTCTTTGAATGATTGGCTGATGATTGCTAACTTGATGGTACAGCCAATTTATGTAAACCATGTACCATTGGTGCTGGTGATCTATCAATATTTTATTCATTCTATCGGCTTAACATTCACATCACTTTCTTACTTATTTAGTACATTGGTGACTTATTAGGCTTATCCTAATTAAGATCTTGTTATGTTCATCTAACCTGAATCCTATCTTGAATGAGGAAATCGATTATTTAAACTTTTCATAACAGTAATTATATATATAAATTTTAGAATTCTCTTAATATTATTTATAAAACTTACATTTAAAAATATTATTCCTAATTCACCATTTCAACAATAATCCATAAATTTTATAATTGATATTGAGGACAATATTGTACTAAGCATTAAACATTATTTTCATTAAAAATTTATATTTTTTCTTATATCTGTTTTATTAATTAAGTTTAATTATAATAAGAGAAAGATAATTATAGCTTAAGATAAATATTACTGTATTCCATACTAGATAACTTTAATTAGATCTTTGATCAAAAAACATCATATATTTTACATCCTATACAGATCGATGGGTTTATCTAAATCAAAAATGAATCTAACAGAAATTCAATATTTTTTTTATGGCATCATTTGCTCTATGATATCTTAAATAATTATATATAGAATAAGTAACAATAATTCAATTTATAGAATATTCTTGTTATATGAGCTATTATAGTGTTTCATTACTATTAATTAAATAGATATAATATCTTAATAATTAACTTTTCTAAATTTACCCTTTGCTAAATTAATTTTACAAAAATGTTTTTGATAAATTATAATAACAGTAAATAGAAAATGAGAAGTATTCAATAATAATTTTATTTAATAATAATTAATTAAACTCAATAATTATAAAATCTTTAATTTTAATTTTTAACTTATAATCTAATTAAATATATTAAGAAATGTCTAGAATGAAGTATAGATTAGTATATTCATTAACTTATTAAATGAATAGAACTTTTGAATGAAATAAAAAGAGAATTTCTAATGATTTCTATTTTATATATATAAAATTTTGATATTATAATACAAAAAATCATGAACCTTATTACAATAACAGCATATGATTATTGAAGAATCCTCCTGACCATCTAATTTTTACATCTATAACTGTATCAGTGACAATATCTAATTAACCAAAAGTTTATGTTTCAGTAAATTTAAGAATATTTCCATCTAAAAAGAAATCAAATTCTGCTACTCCTCTATTTATTTATTGAATCTTACTAATTTAACGTTAAATAGCAGTATAATGCATTTTTAACTTCTGTAAAATTAGTATTTGTCAAACAGCTGTACTTTAATGAGGATTTTGGATCTATTATGTTAAAATATATGTTTAGTGGCTTAATTTCTTGTGGATTAGCATTCTAAAATAATAAGTATTTGGATATATTATACAAGTTGAAAATTATTTCGATTATAATTTGTGTCTTTGGATTGAGTGCCTAATAATTATAATATAAATACTTTAGATGTCAAAAATGCTAGATTCATGAGCTTCTATTGGGTTTGTATAAATTTTTAAATTACCAATTAGAACGTCTCCAAACATTTATGATATCTACATTTCTTCAGAATATGGAAATATTCCTTTATCAGATTTTGCTTTCCACTATTACCAATTTTTGTTTTAAATTCTAAACTATTGATATTAACGTACTTATTTTCACAATTTTATATGATAAAAATGTAAAATTCTAATAATTAAAGATTTCCTGGTAATTAAACAATCATTTTATCAATTTCTAAATGAGTAGGAAATATTTCTATCCACACTTTGTATAATATGTCCATTTTGTTATAATAATAGAAATAAATTAATTTTAATTAAGATCTGAAAAATTGATATATTTAATTATGCTAAAGTTTTTAATATTTTGTTTGATTGGATTATCAGTGTTTGGATACACATTCCCATATGATGGAGATGTATTAGTACTTAATGATAATAATATAAATACTGCTATTAAGCAGTATGATTACTTATTAGTTGAGTTTTATGCTACATGGTTTAAATTGATATTTTACCTCTCATTATAGGTGTGGCCATTGCAAACAATTTGCCCCAGAGTATTCTCAATTTGCTACATAAGTGAAAGATGCTGGTCAACCTTTCATTGTTGCCAAACTAAATGGTGGAGATCAGGAAAAATAAGCTATGAATAGGTTTAATATTTTAATTTGAAAAATAGATACAAAGTATCAAGTTTCCCAACCATAATATTACTCATAAAAGGACATGCAGTACCTTATAATGGAGATAGAAGTGCTAATGGATTAATGAATTTTGTAACTTAAGCTCTTGAAGATAAATTAGTGAGAATTGATGAAATTGATGATGTTTATAAGGTATTAATAAATTCTTACTTTTTATTTAGTTTTTAAGTGATAATAATTTGAGTCTATTATATTTTGTTAAAGACTTACAATAACCAGAGTTATAGATTTATTCATTGGCTGCTAAAATATTCCCTAATTTGAAATTTGGTTATACTATATCAGCTTATGCCAGAGTAAGATAAATTAAATATTATTATAGAAATTATATGATGTAGATGAAGGATAAATAGTTTTATTTAGAACATTTGAAGAAAGAAGAAAGGAATTTACTGATCAATTAACTTTAGAAAAATTAACAAATTTCTTATATGAAAATTCAACTCCATCATTTGAAGAATTAGACAATAAAAGTTATGCTTCTATATTTAATAAAAATACACCAGCTTTAATTCTCTTTTGGAATTAATAAAGTTAAGATACAAAAGATGTTTTAAAATTGATTGCTCCAAACATTAAAAAAAGAATTACAGTTGTTTCTGTTTATTCTGATAATTATATGGTAAATTAAGTTACAAGTCATTTATTTATTAATACTCCTACATTCCCTTCATTATATTATTATAAGACAACAAATGAAGTTTATAAATTTGAAGGATAAATAACTGTTGAAAATGTTATGAGATTTGTTCATGAAGCCAATAATGGAAAAATTAAAAGAAAACAAAAATCTCAACCTATACCAAATCAAACATCAAATGTTTTAAAAGTTGTAGGTGATACATTTGATGAATTGGTTTTGAATTCAAAGAAAAATATTTTAGTTTAGTTTTGTTAAACATCAAATAGTAAATGGTAAATTTATCAAATTATAAGTATAGTTATGAACCAGAATTTGAAGATTTGGCAGAGGAATTAAAAAAGAATGATAATTTAGTATTGGGTCAAATAGATTTATCATATAATGATTTAGATAGTGTGAATATTGAAAATTATCCAGGATTTAAATTATATATACCAAAAGTGACATCAAATCCAATTAATTTTGATTAAGAATTTAGTAAAGAAAATTTATATGAATTTATCAAATAAAATGTTTAAGTTACATATAGAGATAAAGAATAAAACAAAAACAAATCTGATTTGTGAATTATTTTATGTAAAACCAGAATATGTATATTTATTTAGTAATTTGATTATATTAATAATATTTATATGCACACATATTATTAAATCTCAACTTTATTGTTATTAATCATTTTAGATTAATTGCTTTAATTACTCGTATATTTATGTTAAATTTTACTATAGATAATTACTTTAATAATTACTAATGTTAATGGAATCAATTAAGGTTGTGAAGTTGTGTCATTAGGTAGAATCAAAAATTATACTAATAATGGTATTTATTTTTATTAAATCAATTATTATTATTATTAAATACCAATAATTTATTTATTGTTTTAGATTGAATCATTTAATTCAGCATTTCTTTCATTATTTTAAGTATCTTAGATTTCTTTAGATACTAACTCTTAAGATTGAGAACTATATATTTATTATGTATTTTTGATCAATTGCTCTTATTTATTTTGAATAATATTTGAGTTATTTATTTCATGCAATTTTTGATTTTTTTGATTGGATTGAACATCATTTTAATCTTGATTTTAGATTTTAATATCTTGATTGATCTATTGAAATAAATCTTAATTAGTTTGTTGAGAATTGTTTTGAATTTCAGATTGTATAGATTGTTTTTAATCTTAAGAAATGAGATCATTTTATTATTAATAATAATAGTCTCTTTATTTTTATGTATATCTATAATTTTTTTATCTATTGTTATTATAATTATGAGAATAATTGATATTAGTTTATCTATCATGATTCTGATATTTACTAAATTGAATGATAATATAATTTTACTTATAAGTCTATCTAAAATTTTAAGGTTATTTATTATATGAATAATTAATATCTGAAGATCTCTAATTATAATACTTTTAATATTGACTTTGATTTTTCTCTTAATTTTGGATAGGCTAATCACTCATTTAATAAAATATCGATATTTTTAATATTATTATGTCTTTTTATATTTATAAATCACTAATACTTCAACTATACTTGTCGAAATGGCCTCTATAGTTGAAGAAATCAAATTATAAAGCTTCTTTTTATTTATCTGTTGAAAGCTATTTGTATTATATTATGTTACAGCCAAGAAATCTTGATATTTTTCTTAATCCATTTGACAATCAACGAATTATTGTGATTCTTTCTTGCAATTGAAGATATTGCCATCAGCCTTAAATACACATTCTCTGACATCATTGAAAGGAGCCAAACACAATGGGTGCATACGTTCACTAATTATCATAAAACATCATATTATATACGCTTCCTTATAGCATCCAATTAATTCTCTAGCAGTGTTTCTACATAAACGAGGATCTTTAGGAATTGGGGATGTTGTTTATCTACAATCTTCGTACTTATGCACTTCATTTCTGCATCTATGGAATGCATATTGTGAATGTATCAAAACTTCAAATGACTTTGTATTCATTTTATATAAAATTAATTATATTGTATATAAATATATTAATGAATTACAAGAATATACCTTAAGTTAAAGTTACTCTCAAGAAATTTTGAAATGGATATATTGTTCATAATGCTGATACAACAGTTCGTATTCCAAAAAGTATTGTTTAATTACTTCCTCCTCAATCAAAAAATTAAATTAAAAATAAGTCTCAAACAACATCATTAGTCCAACAATACTTTCTCCTTAATAATAATTCTTATATCCATAAATGAATCCAGCAATTCCTTAAAATTTTAAAGTATGATAATCTAAACAACCCATTATTTATGCATCTTCTTCCTCATCTTATAAACCAATAATACAATAATCTCTTATTAATTAATCAATCCCACTTTTGAATTTTTAAATTTTTTCTCCAGATCCTTTTGTAATTAAAAAGAGATCTTATGAAATTATTGTACCTTCTTGTACTTCATGGTTTAGAATTGATAAAATTCATTCAATTGAAAAAGAGAATTTTAAAGAATATTTCAATTAAGATAATAAACACAAAACACCTTAACTTTATAAAAAACATAGAAACTTTATTATTAATTTATATTATAATACTCCAAATATTTATTTGACAATTACTTCATGTAGAAAATAATTAGTTGCTGATACATGTACAATTGTTAGAATTCATGGATTTTTAAATCATTGGGGAATTATTAATTCTCAAGTGGATTTAGATTAATATTAAGGTAAGATTTTACCTTAACCTGTTATTCCTGATAATTTATTTAATGAATTATTTTAATCTAAAAATAGTTTAGAATAATATTAATTAAATTAATAATAAATTATTGATACTATAAGAGTTTTATCACTTAAATTAAGGATACAAGATAAAATAATATTAGGCCTATTTGCGATTCATGTTAAATGAAATATAATTTAGTTTGGTACCAATAAAAACCTATTAAAGATATCAAAGAAATTATACTATGTAAAAATGTTATTGAAATAATCATTTTTTCCAAATATACTTAGTGCAGAGGACTTTTTAAAACAGATATTGAAGAAAAATTGAAAAATATTTACATCTTATTTATTTTCTACTTTATCCTTATAAAAAATAAACTTCAATTATCCATTCTTTAGATGGGAAAGAACAATTATAAAAATTGACTATATATGATTTGGCTAGTAGAATTGCAAATGAAGAAGTATTATTTAAGTTATCTAAAATAGCCTTAAATTTTCTCTGATTCATCCAATCTCTATGCTTATCATATATTTATTTTCCAATAACAATTTAATTAGGTTGAAGAATTGTGAAAAGGAATGTAATGGCAGTTCAAATAAAGATTTAACCTAATTACAAAATAATTTAGTATTTATTATTATAATTTTTAAAAGAATGCTCTTGATCAAAATTAGATTGTCCATTTAAAAAAAAAGTCAATCAAGAAAACTCAAGTTGAAATTATTAAAGAAGAAAATAAATTAAATTAATGTATCAATGCTATTATTAATGTTTAAATGGAAGAAATATAAAAAAAACTTGCATTTTTTGAGGAATATGAAAAAATTGTATTAAATGAAAAAAACTTGGTAGAATTATAATAAGTAATTTATTTTTATATATATATATATATAGAAATAAACACTTGCTGAGAGATTAATAGTTGTATAATAAAAATTATAAATGTATAATGAAGAAAACAATTAATAATATATATTTTATTAAATAATTATTATGTAATAACAACAACAATAGAATCCAACTTATGAAAAGAAACTCAATAGAACTGGTAAACCAAAGGGGATGAATACTTAAAAACCATTGGACAAAACAAATGCATGGAGTTCAGATTAATAAAGTACTTAAGCAATTTAAGCGCTTTCTCGTTTGGGAAGATTTATTTGTTTTTAGCAAACTGGGAAAAAAAAGATAGCAATTGATTAGAATGATTAAAATAAAGCTACAGTTGATTAAAATGATTAAAATAAGACTATAGTTGATTAGAATTAATAATCTAAGCCAAAACAAAAGCAACCATTAGATGCTCCTGGAATATTTTTAAATTCTTCTAAGATATAGATTGTTAAACTCATAGGTGAATATTGCCAAATTGTTGAAAAATCTAATAAAAATTGTATTGTCTTCTTTTTTAGATCTTCACATCCTGAATTTGAAATAATAAATGGTGTTCCATAACTTATAAATAACTTTGATAAATATGGCATTTATCCTGCCTTAAAGAAATTAGCACCAATGTTAAAATAAAAGTTTCTTGATGAATATTTTACATATCTATAATTTCAACATGGATAATTGTAATATATTAAAGAAATATAAGTATTGTATGATGATTTTCATAACAAAACTTTAAAAAGTGCTGAAACCCTTTTATAATGTCTTTTTACAAAATATTTAATTAAATACTATGAGGATTTAGATTTGCTTACCAAAAAAAATTTTGAAGAGAGAGTATAAAATATTTATGAAAAATTCTATAATGAACATTAAACCAAATAAGATTATGAAGCATGTATTAATGAATTACTAGCTTGCATGTAAGTAGAGGAAGAATTTGATTAATAATACACCTGTGATTGATGTATTAATTTAATATGAATTTAAATATATTAAATATTATATTTTATATTTCTATTACTCTAATTCTATTGAAATATTCAGATTAAGATGGTGTTATAATTTAACATTAATAGAAATCAATATACTTTAAATGCAAAATAGTTAAGAACAGTTAAATAATTAAAAAATGTTAAGAAAGAGTATATAAAAAAATAAACCTTAATAAAAATGTATCAAAAAGGATGTGGGCAAGCCTGCAGGAATAGATGTAATAAAATTGGAAACTCCAAAAGTTTGGAGTTGTTTAAATGTAGAAAGACAATTAATAGAATATTTCACTCAAATTGGGAGACATGTGTATCTAAGTTTGGCAGGCAAAATTAAGAATTCACAAAAAGATGGGCTTTCAGATAAGGCTTTGGCTAAATTATAAAAATATTAGGCTATTTATTAAAACAAATCAATATACTCTTATATAGAGCATATTGCTTAAAGTTTGTTTAATTGGAAATGCTAGAAACTTTCTGTTGTTTATTTTTTTAGAAATGATCGTACCTCTTATAATAAATATCAGAAAATATATTTAATTAATGAGAAATGGAATTAAATTATTAAGAATATTAAATTCCTTTTAAATGAGTAATTTTATTTTGAATTAATTTCTATTTTGAAAATGTTTGAATCAAATTACACAACAGAATAAATTTGTGATAAAATGATTGAATAATCTAAAGAATTAGATTAAGTGCCTTAGATTATTTAAAATTTCTTTATACTTTTAAATAAAGAAAAAAAAATTGAATAACAAATTCATGGAGCAAGTTGTGCATAACTTGAAATGTTAAAAACAATATATTTAAATTCTTTAGATAATCACAAAGATTATCTTTAAATAATTATTGAAAAACTCAGATAGATAATGTATGAAAATTGGATACCTCAATTTATACAATAATATGATAATGTTAGTCTTGAAGTTTAGAATAAAATCTTCAATGATGAAAGCAACTTCATTTTCTAAAGTGATAAGGAATGATAATTATTTCAACTCCACGAATCTTATTGACTATTTTTATATATAAAAATAATTTATTAATAGACAATATATTTTATATTAAATTGCAAATGAATATACGAGTATCTGTGAAGTATTGTGGAAGGAGTTTGACTGCTTAAATCAATCCCAAGACTAATCTGAAAGAAATTATTTAACATACAATAGATGGAGGATACGCGTAAAATAATATGTGAATAAATATAGAAAATAGTAGATGTTAAATAATCCAGGAGTATATTTATCTGATAGATCAATATTATGTAAAGGAGATGAACTCAATAAACCATTGGAAGTTTACTTTCCAATGATTTCTCTTTAAGGTCCACCTGTAGAATTATTAATTTTGAGAGAAGAAGAGTTTATCGAATATGATACTGCTATAAAATCATAACCTAAATTAGTGGATAGTGAGCCTCCTGATATTGGAGAATCACAACCAATTAAAAAATAATCAGATGTTAGTAATTTATCTCCTGACTCTAATTTGTTGATTTCATCATAAGGTGTAGTCAATTAAGGATAATTTACTTTAAGATTTAAAACAACAGCTAATCTAAGTAAACAAGGATTTGATTTTAAAAATCTTTCAGAAAACAATACCATTAATGACATTAAAGATTAATTATTTAAATATTTTGGATTCCATGATAGGTAATAAATCAAATAAAAAATAGATCTATAGTTGATTTAGATCTTTATTATAATGAAATACCTCTTTAAGGAGTAAAATCCAATAGAACTTTAGCTTAGTTATCTATACCTAGTGGAGAAACAATAGAAATTAAGGCAAGATGGACAGGAGGCAGTTTAGCATGATATAATATTATTCAATAGAATATAAAATAAATAAAATAATGATATTAAAAAATAAAAAAAATAAGTGCTTTCTTAATTTTAATTATTTAATAAAAAATAAATTTGTATTTAATAATGGCTTAACAATCAGTTGATTTGAAGTCAAAAGTTGATGAATCAATAAAAGGAGATGAAGCAAATGAACCTTAATAAGAAAAGGATTCTAATTAAGATTAGGATAATAAATAAGAGAATAAAGAGACAGAAAAAAATGAAAATAAAAATGGAGGAGGATAATTGGAATCTTTATTTAAAAATAATGGAACCAATTTATTTACCAATTTAGCAATGACAGTTAATTCAAGTGGAGGTTTATTTGGTTCAACAAAACCAAGTACAGGATTATTTGCAAATTTAAATCAATAAGAGCCAATTAATAATGGGATTGATTTAACAAAACCTGGTCCTTCTTTATTTGGCATAGATTATAAAATTCCAAAATCAGATGAAAGTGATGGTGGAGAAGATGCAGGTATTTTGATTTATAATAAAAATTTAGGAGGTGAAGATGAATAAAAACCAGAAGATGAAGAACCAAAATAAATTGAAATGAAATATGATTATTCTACATAGACTGAGTAATTACTTATTGTTGAGATTGAGAAATTTAGAAAAAATGCTAATGATGTTCTAGAAAAAGGTACTATTGCTTTAGAAAAAGCAAAAGAGAAGGATATATTTTACTTTATTTATAGGTATTCATAAAGATTATTATAAACAGGAATTAAATTTAATAAATATTGTATACTGGACAATTATTTAAAGGAATTTCAGATGTTAAACCATTGGGATCTAAATAAGAAAATATAATAATAAAGGCAATTAGTAGAAAGTAGAAAACTGAATCATAAGAAGATAAAGATTCTATTTAAATCGACACTCTTAAAGTCATGTTTAAAGATAAAGAGAAAGTAGATTTATTTAAGGATAAAATGTAAAATATGTTTAATTGATTTACACATATTAAAAAGTCAAAAATGAACATCTCTAACAAAATTTTTCTTAAGAATTTTGTAATCTCCATCATAAGCCCCAGGACCAATTTCTTACATTTATAATTACTAGATTCTTTAACCTTTTCCAAAAATATCATTTCCTTTATTAAAAGTTGTTTTTGTGAATTAATTATGTACAGTATAACTTCCTGGACCTAATTCTTCTGTAATTTTTTTATCTTTAAATCTTTGTACATTAGAAGAAAACATAGAAGATTATTACTAAAGAAAGATATATATATTTTTTATACTGGTTTTTATAAAGATTTACTTCTTTCTTTTGTTGTATTAACAGATACTAATTCTTTAGCAACTGATAATCCAAATGATTCTGGATATTTTTCAATTGTAGGTCGTTTCTCTTTCTTTCTAAAAACATATTTAAACTGTTTCTTTTTTAACATTAAATTATCATAACTACCAGGACCAGGAATATCATTATTTATTATGACTTCTTTCATTCTCTTAGATCCAGATCCAAAACTTGATGGAAAGAGTCCATCTTTTCTTTGAGGTTTTGATAAATCTTATACGATATAATTACCAACAGGAACAATCATATTATCTTTTGGAGGTTATCTAGGTAGTTTTGACATATATCCTCCAGATTCATTAAATTAATTATCAGCTTTATATTAACCAGGTCCAGGATTTTCATCTGAAGTATATTTAAATCTTGGTTCTCTACTATCAAAACATTAATTTTAATAATTTAATTCTGTAATTTTTCCAAATTGAGATTCAATTTCATAATGTCCAGGTGGAGGAGCAGTTTATCTTTCTTTTATCTTCTTTTCTTTTTCAAATAATTTTTCTAAATTATATTCATCTCCTTGTATAAATTTGATTTTTTTCTACTTTTACTTTTGTGATAGATTTGATTCAGATTCATTTTATCCATTATTAGTTAATTGTTTTCCATAAATGACATCAGCTGTCAAGAATGGCTCTTAAAAAGTTGTTCTTTTACTATCCTCTTTAATAATAGCTCCTCTAACTCTGGGTTTAATTAAAGTTTCATTAGAATTATAATGTCCAGGACCAGGAGGCTAATATTTTAATTAATTGTATTTACTTGTAATGGGGCAATAGTTTATAATTTTTACAACAGTTTAGATTTATCTAAAACACATTATCCTGATGGTGTTATTTCTAGTTATTAGTTCAAACAGTTTTCCATTTGTTTAACAAGTAAGTTCTTCATTTTCTTATCAACATCTTAAGTCTTCTTTAATTGTTATTAAGACTATAATAATTAATAAAACTTACATACTTATGCTTAATATACGTAATTATGTTCTTTTAATTTTTAATTTTAAAATGAATGTTTTAAAGAAGCTTAATAAGCAATTTTATCGAATCCTTCTATAGTTTTACTTTGAGGATGAATGTTTGTTTAAATATCTCCAAATCTATCTGATCTTGAGAATTATTATTGGGGTGGTTTAATTTTAATGGTATTTAACATATCATTTAAATCATTCCCAATATAATAACCAGGAGGTGGATTGAAATTTTCTGTAAAAGTTGATTTTGGTGTTTGACTAAATTTCATTATATTAAATAAATTAATTATAGTAATTTAGAATAAAGATCAATCTTTTCAAAATATAATTTAAGTAAATAGATATTTAATTATGTCAAAGAAATTTAGATGATATATTTATGAATCAATGATAATTTAATAAAAAATATATAATAATAAATTAAATGACAGAAGAAGAATTTATCAATATAACAGCTATCATATAGAAAACAAATAATTAAAAAATTATTTAAACTCTAAATTAATTCAAAAGTACAATAGAGAAAGTGAATACTTAAGATGGAAATAAAATATTTGTTAAAAAATGTTTGAATATTGTTTATAATGATGTGCTTTCAAAAATTGATGAATTATCAGATATGGAAGACAATAGAGGTAACTAAATAAAATTGGCATTTGAACTTGAAAAAATTAAGAAAATTATTGAAATGCTACCTTATATCAATAAAAAACCAAAAAATACTATTTTTAATGATGAAGAGTATATGAATATTCCAAATATTGAAATAATAAAATTAGATGAATCTGAACGTATAAAATAACAATTAAGAAATTTTTATTAAAAAATATCATTAGGACATGCATATATAAATTCTGGGAAATAATATTAATCTTAAGTTATGTAATGTGTTGTTAGAAATTTAAAAGCTCTTTATTATTTATCAAACTAAGAAGAAACTAATCTTGCTGCAACAGAAATAATTACAAATCCAACACTTGAACATGCATTACAATTATGGAGAATTATTGATGAATCCAAAATAGTAAAAGCTGGATATAAAATATAATTAGAATAAGTAAAATTGAAGAAAATAATTTATATTCCAAGATTATTTAATCAAATTACTTTAGATACTTTACATCATTTTAATAAAAATTCAACTGATATTCCAAAAAATTTATTATATTAGGTAGCATTTAGAAGTATTAGAAAGAAATAAAATGATTATGACATTAGAGTTAGAGTTATGTGTAATAAATAAATATTTAAACAAAAAATAACTAATTAAGATTTTGCATAAATAGTTAGAAATTTAACTAAAAGTGAATTCTAAATTTAAAGATCTTAACATATATAATAATTATAATAACCATCAAACTTTTTTGGAGGTTGTTGTGTTTCATCAAGAAATGAAATTGGAGAAATAGGATTAAATATTATGTAAAATATAATTATACATATACATGGAGGAGGATTTATATCAATGTCCTCTTTTTCTCATTAATCATACACAAGAAAATGGGTTAATCAATTGTCTAATACAGTAGTCTTTTCTATTGATTATCGTTTAGCTCCTGAAAATCCATTTCCATTAGCACTTGATGATTGTTGGCAATATTATATGTGGATAATTCATTTTAGTTCTGCCTATTTTAATATATGTCCAAAAAATATTATATTAATTGGAGACTCAGCTGGTGGTAATTTGGCTTTAGGAATATTGATTAGATCAATAGAGACTAATTAAAGAATTCCAGATAAAATAATTTTATAATATCCTGCAGTTAATTTGAATCTTTGTGATGTAGTACCATCCAATCTCAAAAGTATGAATGATTAAATGATACCAATGGGTCTATTAATGTTATGTAGATAAAGTTATCTAAAAAATCAATCAGATTTACCAAATGATTATTATGCATCTCCTATTCAAACTCCTTAAGAAATTATTAAACAATTTCCTAAAGATTTTGTTATTTTTGTTGGATAAGATGATGTATTATTAGATAATTCTGTAGAATTTGTTCATTATTGTAAAGATAATGGATTAGATAATATTAAATTGAAAGTTTTTGAAAGTCTTCCTCATGGATTCTAGAATATGGGCATGAGAAGTAATGGTGTAATTGCTGCTGAATCTGCAAATAGACAAATTATAGAATAAATAAAAGAATTTATTGTTTGATACATCATCTTATTTAAGTAACGTTAATCATTTAATTTCATTATATTTATTATTATTAATTATTCTTAAAGACTAAAGTGAAACTCTTAATTTAATATAATATATCTTATTTATAAATATATTAATGTTTATCTAGTTCTAATTCATTATTATTTGTTTTATTAAATGGGAAGCTCATAATGTTGTACTGCTAATACAATTGAGTAGGGGTCAGAATTAGCAACAGGAATGAAAGAAACATCAAATTCTTCAAAGGATCCTAATAATCCAAGTGATAGAAAAAAAAATAAAAACTTCTCTTTGTATATATTGTAATTGAATAATGAAAAGATCTCCAATTCAAAAATAAAAAGGTGTACATGGTCAATTTAGAATAGATGATCCATAGACACCTGCATTTGCTGATAATAAATCTATTCATAGTAAATAAGAATCAGAATAGTTTTCTAATAAAGATATTCAATTAGTAGCTGAGATTGTTATGTAATTAGATGATATCCCATAAAAAATTGAAGAAGCCAATGAAGACATATTTGTTTCTTAAAGTTCATTGAAAAAGAAAAGAAAGAATGATTCTCCTTTGTGTGATTTCTAACCTAAAAATTCATTAAAGTCTTTTGATTCAAAAAGACTTGATAAGTTAAAATCTATTAATGAACATTAATAGAATAAAGAAGAAATGATAAAAGAAGAATTAGAAAGTCAAAGAAGTCAAAGTGCTGATAATAAATCTGTTAAAAGTATTTTAAAATAGGAAATGAAGTACAGTCAATTTAAAAAAAGATAGTCAAGTAATGATAAGCATTCATAAAAAAAAGTACATTTTAAAATCAATAAATGAACTTTACTGTTACTTTAAGCTATTTGATTAGTCACATAATATCTATATATAATTAGTTAATATATATATATATATAATTTATTATTAATTTACATGTCAGACAGATAAGTATGTAGCCTTATTAAAATTAATAGAAAGCAATTCGAGCCCAATCAGCCAAAAATCCTAGTTAAAAAATATCTTCTAACTAACCATATGGAAATTCTGTTAAAGGATTTAAAATGTAACTTAATTTATTTTAAGAAGTGTGAAAAAGGTTAAAGTGAATAATTTGATAGAAGAGAGACCATAAAGTGGTTAGAATGATATAAGGGCGAGATAGATTTAATAAGAAACTGATTTTTTTAGAAATAATATGGAAGTGTTTGATAAAGAAAGACTTTTTGAGCATTTATCATAGGCTAAAACATAAATCAATCACTTGAAGACAGATAATTATTAATTAAGGACTACAATCTTATAATAAGAAGTATTGCTAATAATTAATTGATAGAAAACAATACAAAAATATGAAAGAATCATAGAGGATTTTCAAAATAATGGTAATTTGAAAAATGTATAAATGAAATTGGGAGTTGAGGTTTTTATTATATATTGATATCAATAGACATCACTTTTTCTTTAAATGAAAAGACAAATAAAAGAATAATAAAATGAATTGAGAGAAAAAGAAATTACAATTTAAAATTTTAAGAAAAATGCTAAAGTAAGCAAATTCTAAGAACTTGATGTAAAATATATTAAATAATTAAGGCTGAAATCAGAGAAGTATATGAAGAACTATAAAGATTAAGAGAATTACTTAAAGAAAGAGATGAAATTCTATAATCATAATAAAAGTATATTTATTTATATCATAGTCATGCTCAGGAATAAACATCAAATAATGAATTTATTAAAGACTTACAATAATAAAATGAAACTTATCTAAAGGACAATTAGGAATTAGTTTAAATTGTTAAGTAAAAATAATTATTGATTATAGACTATATGAAGAGAGGAATAATTAATTAGAACATTCAGTGTAACAATAATAGAAATAATTAAACAAATAAGGAAGAGATCTTTAATTATTAAATTAAAAGTTACAAGTATTCAAAAAGAGAGGAGCTAATGGCTAATATTTAATTAGTTAAGAAGAGATTGATAAGGATATAGAAGAGAGAACTAAATTGAATTATTTAGTAGAAGAATAAAAAGAGAGAATATAAAAATTAGAATAACAATTAAAGAAATTTTAATCAGATAATAGAAAATAATTGGAATAAAAATAAGGTAGAAACTTATAATAATAATAATAATCATCATCTAGTCCTAAAGATTAAAATAATAATTATAATACTTAATAATAATAAATAGCATAGTTTTAATAATAAGAATAATTAAGATAAAATAATAGTACAGATTCTATTCTTTTAGATTAAGAATTAGCATAATGTTATGCTGATGAAATACGTTGTTAATTGTATTTAGATAATATACCTTTTGCAAGATTTAAGGAAGTATTAAATTCAAATCATTATAGAAATTATCCACACTCAATAAAGGAAGATTAAATGAAAATGGAGTTATTGAGTTTTTAAAGACTAAATTAGATATGGATTCAATTAAAGCTTAAAAATTTGCAAAAGCATTACTTAAAAGTGATGGATATGATTAACCTATTCAAAAAATGATAAGTGCAAATAGATTTAAAAATATGATATTGTCACTTATATAAGAATATATCACTTATGATGGATCATCAATATATTAAGAAGTTCGAAAAGTATTTATTTATTTTATTTATAGACTTTACTAAAAAATAAAGAAGAACTTACTAGAAGATTTAAATAGAAATTTTAAAATTAAGAATACATAAATATAAGATAATTTGAATAATTAATTATAGAATCATAAATAAATATTACTGAATTGTAAAGGGATTAATTATTCATTCACATTTATTAAGTATATAAAGACTTAGTATAATTATAATGGGAACAATTTTTTAGAGATGATTTTAAGGTAGATCAATTAAAAAAATTGGATAATTAGTAAAAATTGAATTCTCCTCCAAATACATAAAAATAAGAAAGTCCTAATGATTATATAAAAATATAAACATAGAATTCAGATATTTCAAAATAAGCATAGATAAGAGGTAATGCTAGAAATTCATCTTAAATTATTGATAATGATCCTAATTATTAATCTGGAAAAAACAATAAAAAGCATGATGAAGAAGAGGGAAATTATGATGATTATTTTGAGAGAGATGAGGATAACAATTCATAAACTTTAGGTAAGGTAGAAGAATAAGATAAAAATGTGGAAGAAGAATATTAAGTAGAATTTGATGATTATTAATTGAAGCCATAAGAAGTTTAAGAAGTTTAAGAAGATGAAGAAGATGCAGCTATCAAAATTTAACTTGCTTATAAAAAGAAAAAGTAAAAAGAAGAAGGTAAAAAGATATTAGAGGAGTAGAAAGAAAAGAAGAGAAAATATCTAGAAGAAAAAGAAAAGAAGAAGAAGTAGGAATTATAATTAAAGAAATAATAAGAGGAGAAAAAAAGATAGGAGGAAGAGTAAAAGAAATTTATGGAAGATTAAAAAAAGAAATAAGAAGAATTAAAAAGGTAAGAAGAAGAATAAAAATAAAGATAAAAATAAATAGAAGAAGAATAAAGAAAATAAGAAGAATAATTTAGAAAAGAAGAAGAAGAAAAAGCAATATTAATTTAAAATGCATATAAACAAAAAAAGTAGAAAGAAGAAGGTAAGAAAATATTGGAATAGAAAAAAAAAGAAAAGGAATAATATTTAGCTGAATTATAAGCAAAAAAATAATAAGAAGAATTAGAAAGATAAAGATTATTAAAAGAATAAGAAGAGAAAGATAGACTATTAAAAGAAGAAGAGGATGCTGCTTTGAAAATATAAATAGCATATTAAAAAAAGAAATAAATTGCAGAAGCTAAAGCATTATTAGAATAAAAAAAAAGAGAAAAATTTGTTAATGATTAAAAATAAAAAGAGGAAGATAGAATAAGAAGATAGAAAGAGAGGGAAGAGAAATTAAAGAAAGAAGAAGATGAAAATGCTCTAAAAATTTAGAAAGCTATCAAAGATAAAAAGTAAACAGATGAAACAAAATAGATGTTGGAAAGCAAAAGAAATGAAAGAGATTCAATCTCTAAAAATCATAAAAAAGCTTCTAAGGATAAAAAAGAAAAAAATAATAATGAAGATGATTATGATTTTGAATTTGAATAAGAACTTGATGATTAATTAGAAGTTAAAAAAGAAATTAAAGCCAAGGAAGAAGAAATTAATATGGCAGCATCAAGAATATAAGGTGCTTATAGACATAAAAAAAATAAATCAGAAGGAAAAAAATTATTAGAAGAACTTAAAGAATAAAATAGAATTGAAGAATTGAAAAAAAAAGAAGAAGATTTAAAATTAAAAGAATAACAAGAGCTTGATGAAGTAGCTGTTAAAATTCAAAAAGCATATAAAAAGAAATAATAAAAAGAAGAAGGAAAAAAGATCTTAGAAGATAAAAGAAAAGAAAGGGAATTAGAAAATTAAAAATAAAATAATAAACCAGAATTAAAGAAGTAAGTTTCATAAGAAATTTAAAAAGAGAATGTAACTTAAGTTGTAAAATAAATTAATGTTGATGATATGGATGGATATGGTGATGAAAAATTTGAGGATGGTACTGATCATGATAAATTTACTAATCCTGCCTTAGTTTAAGGTAAACCTTTGTAAATTTAAGCTGAGGAGGATGAAAAATTACCTGATGATCCAGTGGCAGAACAAATGGAAGATAAGTTATTTAACAGTGTTGGAATAATTGTAAAAATTTCATAAATTTAATTTAGTATTAATCTATTAATAAGGAAGAAGTATCTGATGCTGAATAACTTTTATGAAAACAATTTACATCAATATTTTTTATAAATTAAATATATTTTCCTTGAATTTATCATGATAAAATAATATGAAGTGTTTAAAGGTTTAAAGATTATTACAATTAAAAATAGTGATTTGAGAATTTAGATTTCATTTTTACGGTATAATTATTTTGATTAATTTGAGTTACAACAAAAATAGCAATAAATTTGTTAAAAAAAGAGTTGATAAATATTTAGAATATTTTTAAATGTTATTAATTAAATAATAATAACTATTGTTAATTGATATTCATATTATTATATGAAATATTACTTTCCAGTCAACTATTATGTTAAGTTTTATGGGAATTGGTATTTCATTCTATTCCTTTTATATTATAATATATGTATTCCAATTAGTTCAAAATTTCTTTATGGGTTTAATTATAAAATAAATGAATTTGATATTGATGTAAATTAGTATTTAGATAAATATTAATCAAAATTAGCTTATTTGATCAACTAATAAATTTATTAGAATAATTGATCATTAAGAATTTGATAAAAAAACTATTTATAAAAGTTTGTAATATGTTGGAGGAGATAGATTCCAAAATGATCTAGTGTAATAATAAACTATAATTCAGTGAATATATGTATATATTAATAAAGTTAGAATTAAAGAGAAGATAAAAATTATATAATTTTTTAATGAGTCTCATATATAAAAATCATTTAGTGCTTCCAACATTCAAACATTCAGAAACTATCACTACTCATAAATCTTCTTCATTAGGACCTATAAAAAGATTTTAATCAGTGACACCAATAAGACAAGGAAATTAAAGTAAGATTCTTCCTCTAAATATTACTTCTCTGCCTGGAAATGAAACTAGTATTAATGCAGAAAGTACAATAACATCTAGATAAAAGCATTTACCTATGCTTACTCCTAGAATATAGAGAAATGATGAATAAAATTTACATGATTACTTAGATCATCTTCATTCAATTAGAAAATCAAAATAGCCAACAAAATAGGCTGTGATGAAAAAAATTAGAACTGAAACTGAAATAATGAAACTTGAAAGCCAAACTTTAATATAAAGATTTAAAAAGGTTAAAGAATAGTAAGAATTAAAAAAATAATATTCAATTTTGTAAACCATAAAGAATCCTTATGCTTAACAATACATTAATTTTAGTAAATAAATATTTAATTTAATACATAATTTACATTAATTAAAAGTATAGAGATTAAATTATATTTTAGGAATATTTAAATAATTCAAGAAAGATGTTTTAAGTAGTAAAGAATTTAATTGGTATGAAAAAGAATTTAAAAAAGATCTTATTAAAATAATCAGCTGATGATTTAATTGATTTTTAAGATATAGCTAAAATGTGTTGTATTAGAGAAATACAATATGTTAATGGAGAATAAAGAATGATAGATAAATTTGATTTAACTTTGATGGATGATCTAACATATATGTGTGAAGCAATAGAGAATTTATTATTATAAAATAAATTAAATGCAATAAAAAGAATGAGTGATAATGTATTATTATAAATAAATATTAGATTTTAATTGAAGAACATGAAATTTCAAAGTTAAGAGAATAATTGGGAATGAGAGAAGAAGATCAAAAATTATCAGTTTCTACTTTACCTATGCAAAGATTTAAACCTCATGTAGAATTGGATAATATAGAATAGAGATTAGGATAACTATCATAAATACCAAAATAATATAGATAAACTTCATAAGTTTTATGTGAAATAGTTGATAAATTAAACGAATGATCTTAATCATTTTTTTTCATAGCAAACTTTCATCATCTGAAAAATTTAATAGGTCTTCAGGTTGTTTATATGGTTAAACTTATGGCCTATTTTATGAGTTTTATTAATTTTATTGATTAGGTTCAGAATTAGTTATTTTTAGACTTTCCTCAATTGCTCTTCTTAATTCTTCATCATCATCAAAATCATTCATAGCTCCTTAAACTTAAAATGCATTTCCAACATGATTTTAATATCTATATAGGAAATTTGCTTCATCATTTTAAAATGTATTATCTGGTTTCTCTAAATCTGGCTATTTAAAATACTAATATAAAATACCTTATACTCAGGAACTAAATACTTTACTTATAGAGTGTTGTAAAAGAAAATTGCTATTGAGTTCATTGCAAATGATGGTCTCTTAGAATTATGATCACCAGGTACTATTGACTATTTAAAATACATATAATGTAAGTACAATATTTTTATCTCCAGCATAAGCTTCATGTAATTTTTTTGTATGATGAGGCAATACAAAGGTATCTTCATCAGCAGCTATAAAAAATGCAGGAATAAAGGCCTTAGATACATGATTTTTAAGTGGATTGATATTTTCTATATCAAAATTGGCTTTTGATTAAATAGTTTTTCTTATCATAGACAATCCAGCTGAAATGGCAAATGAGGGTACTTTTTGAGCATATTATTTTGCTAATTCTTCTGCTAAAGTCTTTAAATTTGAAAATGCACTATCCAAAACTAAACCAGCAATACTAGGATCTCTATCTGCATGCATTAAAGCTGTAACTGCACCCATAGATCTTCCCCATAATCCTATTGTAGAGACTTTATTGCTTTAACGTAACCAATCTACAACAACTTCTACATCATCTCTCTCATACCATCCTAAGGATATATAATCTCCTTCAGATTTACCACAACCAGCAAAATCAAAGCTAAACACTTAGATATATTGCTTTTTTTATATTTATATAATTTAAATACTTGTAAAAGTCCATCTAAAGAGGGTAGGCATTCTAATCTACTACTACTGTTACCATGTAAGTATATTACACAAGGCAATTACTCACATGGTTTTTTAACTGGCTCAAAAAATGAGCATTCCAATTTTAATCCTCTTTTATTTTTGATTTAGAAGTCCGTTCTCTTAATCAATACTCCTTATATTTTAAATTAACTGGGACCTAAGTAAAGATGTTTATCTTACCTAAATCCTACTCAGTATATTCGTTATCTCTAGGAGGTCGTATTATGGCCTTCCATAAATCATCATAACCAGCAGATAGTGATGAAAACATATATATTAAATTTAATTCATCATTCTTTTATAATATCCATTTGTATACAAATCGATCCATTTGAACCAAAATTTTATTGAAATGCCTTTGACTTAGGTGATCCATCATCATCCATATCTTCTTGTAATTCTAACAACATTTCAGATTCTTTATTCAACAATAAATTAGCAATCAAAAGAGGCTTAACTTTTTTCTCAACTCCAGCCTAAGTCAAATGTTCCTTCAGATCTAGTATTTTTCGTTCTAAAGTTTCTATTATTGCTCTCCAAGAATCTATTTTCTCTGTTTCCAGTAATGTCAACTATTCAAATCTTTATTCTATTGTCTTTCTTTATCCTACCCATCCATCAATTAATTTTTAAAACTATTCATATTTTTATCAATTTGTACTTATATCATAATCTCTGTTTTTGTTCCCTTTATTTATAAAAATTAATTTTATGCTTCCTCTGAGAATAGACCATACTCTACACATACAACAGCAAACTTTTCAAATGAAAAATTCTATTCTGCTTTAATTAATAAATCAGCATTGGTAAAAAATATTTCAGAAATTTCATCATTTGTAAATCTATCAGGTTCTATATGTCTAAGTAATAAATACCATTCTTCAAAATTACACATTCCATTACCATCTAAGTTAATATATGTTATTTTAATTACCTAAATCACATGCAGCAAATGCATTTATAACATACTCTTTGGCTCTACTTACTAATATTTTATATTTGACAAACATTTGAATCATAAATTAATCAAAATCTATTACTGGCTATCTATTTTATGTTTTTGTATCTAATTCTTTTAATAAATCTAATTCCTTTTTCAATTCCTCTTTTTCTTCAATTGTCATTCTTGAATCAGCAAACATCCCTATATATTATTATGCTCTGACATATGGAACAAAATATCTAACCTCAGATTCTTAGTCAGCTATTGATACACCAAGAGTTGAAATATTAGTTACATAATCAAAAGACTCCAAATATTTCTTCATCTCATCTATTGTATAATTAACACAATCATCAAATAATCCTAAGAACTTTGCAAAATTATTTATTCTCACTATTTATTTATAATGTTTAACTGAAACAATTAGAATTAAGAACTTTTACTCTGCAATCTTTTTTATACCAAATTATTATAAAAAATAACTATAAACAAATGATGCCATATCTTAATCTTTAAAAGCTTGATTATCTTTTTATTGTTATATTCTATCCTAATATATAACAGTAATTTATTTTAAAAGTAACTTTAAAGGCATAAAATGTTTTATTTTAGGTAATTACTTTAATTTAATTTTTTCAACTAATTATGGACCAGCATTAACTTTTTAAAATTCATAAACTATATTAACTTTCTGACCTAATTAAGGACCTTTAAAAATTAATTTTGCTTAATTCATCTTCTTATTATCTCTCTAACGTCTGATCATTTTTTAAGATGAATTAAATTTAGCATATTATTCAGGAGATGATTCTCCTTCCAAATACTATTATGTCATTTATTATTATTATAATTATTGTTCTTTTAAAATTTTAAATGTTCCAATTGATACTGCTCTACTTCTTGTATCTTCTAATTCTTATATGTGTTAATTACATCTTTCATTCATTTAATCTATTATATATTATAATTCCTTGTTTTTATTTTCTAAAATTTGCATCATTAAAACAAGAGTCTTTACTTTTTCAAGATCTATTTATCGATCAGAATTGATATCCATACTTTAATCATTACTTGTTACTTATTCTATTGATTAATTTACAGCTTTTTTAGATCTAAATGAATCTTATCTTATTTAATTTAATTTATTAATTCCTGGAGATGGCAATTCTTTATTAAGAAATTTTTATTCAATTATTTAATACAATTATCTTCCTGAAAATACTTTATTTGTTTTATCTTCACATAATTTCAGTGTCTCTTCAACTTGACTTCTTTATTTAAATTACTCTAACACATTTTAAATTTTTGCTTAAGAATCTGTTATCAAATTAAAATCTTTAACCATCATTGTAATATTTGTTTGTATCTCTTATGTCTTTTAATATAAATTAAGAATGTCTGGTTCAACTTATGTCTCTACACAAGCTACTTTAATAATCTTATCCATATTCATAACCATATTATCCATTTCTATAATATTTTTATCATCCAATAATCCATCCATTAAATCATCTTCATCAGATGAACTTGATTTCTCTTGTTAAGTTTATTGTATTTAAGAATTGCCCAAATATGACATTCCTTTTCCAGTTTAAATTTAATTAGAATTAATAATATGTTACAAAACCTTTTGTTATTAAGATTGTTATATCTAATTTAAAACAGTATGTTATAATTATTATGATTATCTTAATGAAAACATACTCTCTTATTGTATTAATATTCTTTAGCTATTTGCTTGTTATAGACTACAATTAATATCTCTTTATAATTATTATTATGATTCTAATTGTTTTTAAGTAATTGTTTATAACTTTCTATTAAGTATTTCTATTTCTTAATGAGATTATTTTAATTTCTTTGATAAATAAGATGCAATTTTTCTTATATCATTTAATTATGCTCTATTTTTTTTAAAATTGGACTCTAATTCTTTATATTCTTATTTACAAATATTATGTTGAGTAACCTCTTAAGAATATTTGTATGATACATCCTAAATTTATGTTTGTAAATCTGACATTTTTTCTTAATAAATAAAAAACACTTTGGCCTATTCATCCATTACTAAAACATCGTTTTTTTTAACTAAAATTTCAGAATCAAATTTAATTTTATTAACCATTTGAATAACTTTGTCCCATATTTATTGAACTAATTCTCCTCTTTCTAAACATTCTTTTTTTAATGATTTAATTAATTCATTCATAGTTACAGTTAATAATGGTATTAAATCTTCACATTATTATTTTTAAAACCAATCTCTTAATTATATACTCTAAACTCTACCTCCTGGGTCTTCTGTATGTAAAGATGATATTTCTTTATTCAAACTACCTTCTAATTTTTAATATTCTTTCATATCTATCAAATGAATTTATTAACCACTTCTTGATTTTTTATGGAAAGTAGTTCCTTAACGTCTGGGCTAAAAACTGCGTTACTCCCCTATTTATGTAAATTGACTTACTTGTTGTTTTAGGTGATTTTATTTAATCATAAAAATGACTTACATCATCTCTTACTTTAGAAATTGCAATTTTTGAGAACTTTTTTTCCATTAAAAGTTTTTATTATGCCATTTATTACATTTTAGTTTACTTAATAAATTCTGAAAGATCTAATGATGTTTTAGGTGAATGTTAAGTTGATTTACAACTAGTGTGTTAACTTACTGCCTCTTTTTTTGCCTTTCTAATTTAATCATTTATATGCTAATTATTAAGAGTAACAGTTTAATTCATAAATGAAGGAACTGATTATGAATCGTTTCTTTCTTCAGCTTCTTTGAGCTTAGCCAATAAAAATTTGTTTGTAATTTATTTTTAAGCAAGCATACAATAATTAATTTATTATGATTATATATATTCACTTTTTTAATACTCTACTTGATTCTAAACATTCTTTTTTAATGTATCCATTAAATTATCCTTCACCAATATATGCTAACTCAGCTAAATTACTTTTTGATAATTAATATTCAGGTTCAAATCTATCTTTCATTAATTATAAAAATTCTTCTTTGAATTTATCCTATTATTATTAAAATTATCTAGATTTGATGGCTGGTAATAATTTATTGTTCATGAAATCCCTTACTCTTTTAAATCTACTTCTAACTAATTACATTTATATTTCCAACATATCAGGTATTAATTTTCCAAATTTCTCTTTTCTTCCTTCTGTTACAGCTAAGAAATTGGGATTTCTGTTGCATTCAAAAATCCAAAGATTCAAATCATCATCAAGTATGAAATCAACTCCAAAAAATTCACCTACTCTACTATCTTTCAAAAGGTATTTTTCTACTGAAAAAAATAGATGGGTTATCTTTCTCATAATTTAAGGATAAAGTTCTTCATTCAACCAATTACGTGATTTTATTTTTCCTTATTCTAATAATATATCTTGTAATTCTTCTAAATTCCAATCTATATAGAGATCGTCATCCTATTCTTAACCAGTTGTTTGTTTATGGGTTTTTGTTACAGCTGTATTACATACATGTGCTTCTTTAGTAAAATCTAATAAATCAAACTTTAAAGCACATTATTTAATTAATGCTTTCTTATATCCATATAAAATTGGTGGATTTGTAGATGCAATCTAAAAATATGATCTAAATTCCATTTTATGTCCTTTATATAAATAAGGATTTTTAAGGTATTCTTAAATTATAACTTAAGTAAGATTTCGTCCACAACCTTAACTATCTTTATACCATGATCTAATTATCTTTTCATTTTAATAATCTAAAAGTAATATTCCATTGCCTAAATGTCTATTTGTTTTATAAATATATTAGATTCCCTCATTTTCTAATTTATCTTTGTATTATTATGTATTAATAATATCAAAGAAATTCTCACATTCTTCTTTTAACCACATTCTAAATGTAGGTTTTTCATAACTAGCATCTTTAATACACTAAGCACTTTTATTTTCTAATTTCAAATTATCAATATAATTATGAAAGTGTGTTGATTGATTTGATTTTAATGCAATTTCTTCTTGACCTGGAACATGAAAATATTTCTAAAAAATACAACCAGCCTATTTTCCAAATGTATGGGTTCGAAAATAATTTTTAGCATATGGATATACTACTGCTGTTTCTAAAGGAGTTTAATGATATCCAATTTCAATTTATCTTGTCTATACAAAGCTGGGTAAAGCATCATACATATTTTGTTAGATGATTTTTCTTGCCAAATCTTAACCACCATAATCTCTTAATACCATTTAATCCTATATTATTATTTCTGGATGTAACAACTTAAATAGATCACTTCTAAGACAATAAGAATTATCATGCACTAAGGCTATTTCATATCCACAATTTCTATGTATATTATAATCAAATACTTGCATGGCTAAAAATGAGATTAGGTTAAATCAACTGTCTATTCCAGCCATCTTGACATTCCTTTGACTGCTTCATTATAATATCTATAATTAGCTGATCCTTCTGATAAGTTTGCCCTGTGATACATATAAACAATGAATAAGACAATTCCAGAAGCTAAACTAAGCAAAAATGATTATAACATAATTATTATTAAAAATAATATATTATCACATTCAATTTTTAAATATTGTTTATTAATACTTCAATCAATAAATACTTAAGTTAGTAGAGTTTGTGATTACTACTTTTTTAATATATATTTATGATATTTTTTTATATTTGATAAATATATGTAAAATACACATAAAATTATTAAATTACTATTTAAGTACCTTTTATGAAAATGTATATAATTAGAATATATAATTATCCAATCATCATTAAAATAAACATAATAATTTATTGAGTTCAATTTCTTAATAATTTAAATTTTTTATAAAATGGAAATAATTGAATGGATTGGAATGATAGTTGTGTGTTACTTTGGATATTTATTCATAAAAGAGTTTAAAGTAATGTTATTTGGCAATTAAAATATACAATCAAAATATGGTAATGGATGTTGGGCTTTAGTTACAGGAGCCACAGATGGAATAGGAAAAGGATTTTGTTAAGTAATGAATTTTGATTAATTTCAAGTAATTAGCTTAACAAGGTGTTAATATTTGCATTGTTGCTAGAAATAAATCAAAAGCAGAGAATTTAATAGAAGAATTAAAGAAGGTTAATGATAAACCATAATATAAAATTGTGATTGCTGATTTTCAGAATTGTCTTTAAGAATCTTTCTTCTAAAAAATATATTAAGAAGTGAAAGATTTGGATATTGGACTTCTAATCAATAATGTTGGAGTTTTAACAGTTGGAGAATTTCATAAGACATCTGATATTGATCAATAAAATTAGATTATCATAAATTGCATCCCTGTTGTGTTTATGACAAAATATCTATTACCTATCCTCAAGAAAAGATAAAGGTCAGGAGTTATATGTCTTTCCTCTTTAACAGGAAGATTTGCATATCCTTATTATCAAGTATATTGTGCAACTAAAGTAAAAATTTATAGTAAATATAAAGGCATTTAATGATTATTTTACTAGATCCTTGGAAATTGAGGTTGATAATGTTGATTTTTTATCATTAAGACCTGGATATGTTTAAACTGCTATGGTCAAAAATTAATCTGATCTTCTTACAGTTTCAACAAAGCAATGTGTCACATCAGCATTGTAGATTATATAATAATTATATTAGATCATAATTGGGATATAAGGAAGCAACTGCAGGACATCTGATCCATAGAATATAAACATTTATTTTTAGTTTAGCTGAAGGAAAACTTATGGATATCATATCACCCATTGTTGCAAAATAATTATATAAATAAAAGCATTGAATACTTTTTATCCATCATATTCTTTTGTAACTTTATTAAGCATTAATATTGAATTAAGTGGATTGATATACTCCTGCTCTATTTGCTGCTCTTAAAAATTCTTCATTGCTTTGAATATCATTTCTTTCAAATCTTCCTTCATTATTTGAATTATATAATCTCATTGTTCCATTCACTTGTCCATTCTGAAAAACACCTTTCATTTCGTATTCGTTGAAATAAAAAGTCCCATCTGTTGTAGTAAGCAATCCCTTTGAAAACATTCCATAACATTTTAAAGATCCATCTTAGTAATATTAATATGAAATATTAAGAATTCTACTATCTAATTTACCATCCTGAAATAATCCCTCTTCCTCTAAGGAATTTTCTTAATTATCGTAATATTTTTTTCCATCTCCATTTAATTAACCATTTGAAAACTTCCCAATTTCTTTTCTACATAAAATTTTTATTTTTATACTTTTTTCCATTTGGATAATATCTTTCTCCTTATCCTTCGAGTTATCCGTTTAAAAAATATCCAATTTCAATAAATAACCCATTATCATTTGCTCTCCCAGATTTTTCATCCTTTGAATGTAATTTTCCATCCAAAAAAATACCATATTCTTTACTATATATAAATTTAATTAAGATACATATAACCATTTTAATGCCTTCTTTCTCCTTCACCTTAAAGTCCATTACTGTTAAATTAACCTTTTTCTTCTCTGAAATTTATATTGTAAAAATTACATCCGACCATTTTAATAGAACTTTGTGCCTAAGATCAAAATTCCATTTTAAAAATTTCCCTTCTCCATTATTTTAATTTACTAAAAATATTTTACAATTTGGTTACTTATTCATCAATTTAATAGTATTTTATTCCTTCCCCATGCAATTATCCATTTACAAATCTACCTTCTTCTTTTCTATATTTTTTTTATTAAATATTACATTAAATCTGCAATATTAAAATATCGTTTGCCATTTCCAGATAATTATGTTTATTCATTAAATTATCCTTCTTCATGTCTAATTTATTGATTAAAAAATTCTTACAATATTCTAGGTTCTAAATGATATTTCTTCCCCTAACTCATTATATTATTATAAAACTCTCCCTCCAATAATCTAAGTATTATTTAATTATTTACAAATTATTATTTCTATCAATTAATTATCCAGGTCCATTTAATGCACCATCTATAAACCTTCCTTTCAATTATATGTTGTTGGATGTTATCACTTAACCTATTCCATTTTATAATATTCCATTGTTATACTCTTACTGTACTCCATTTAAATATAAAGTATAGGAACTTTATTCTTTCTATCCTAAAACAAATTAAGGTGCTTTGTAAATGATATTATCTGACTGTTTAAATGAAAAATTGTTCAAATTCATTTTTTCTCTAAATTACTATTGATTACTAAGTTCAATTAAATCTGAGTCAATGTTTAACTGAGCTTAAATTCTATAATGATTCATATTTAATACTCTTTTTCTTATTAATTTAGCATCTTTATCTAGATTGGCCCTGATATTATTTTTCCTTTATCAAACAACCCATTAATCTAATACTAATTGTTAAAAATAATAGTTCCTTATCCTTATAATTTATTTTAATTAAAATTTCCAATTATTATTGTATTGTTTTAATTTTTTTTAATCACTCCTTACCCATTTAATATTCCAAATGTGATTTTTCCATATATTGTATATCCAAAAGGAAAACTTATCATGCCAATTCCACTCATCCAGGGTTTAAAATTACCCACTAAAAGCATTCCTTCAGTTTTGATAATTTCTATGTTTCTGATAAGATTTTAGAGTGTTGATTAAATATATTAAAACTGCTATGTATCCTAATTCATTTGATCTGAACATTCTTTATACTTATTAACCCATTCTGATATAATATCAAGATCAATATCAAAAAAATATTGAACCCTTTCTTTTGCTTTCTTTAAAAGCTCTTATAGTTCGTAAAAATTTGCCTATTAATCAGATGTAAAAAAAGTAGAGGCTGTGTTAAACATTTTTTAATAAATTTAATATTATTAAGATTATAAATCATAAGGATTTTTACTCAATTCATTTTTTATTGTAATGCAAAAAATTATACAATTGAGATATTGTAAATTACCTTCTTATTAAACTTGAAAAAGTTAGATAGACTTAATTATTTTCAGGAAAAATCTGGTATATGAAGCCCAAAACTTGATATAATTTACATTTGTAAGAATGCTTTAATAATGAATCATGAAGAACTACTAAAATCTTAATATGTATACTTTATAAGATGAAATAAAATAATAATATAAATATTTAATATAAAAATAATTCCAAATTTTTCTTATATAATTTATAAGCCTTTTCTAATTTACATTTCTCCTTGTTTTTGTAATGAATTTTAAAGAATAAAGTAGAATTATAATAATCTATTTAAGTTCTATCACAACAATTTCTTAGGTAATATAATAATAATACAATTTTAATTATTATAATATTAATTGTATTTTTATGTTTTTACTAATAAATAAAAATCAGAGCCATAAATTTCTGTGTCCAATTATGAATTTGAATTTATATGCTTCTTTCAATAATCTTAGAATCCTTTTTCTGCTCTTAATTTACCTTTTTATAAGTTTATCTTTTTAAAAATATATTATCATTATATATCTTGTTATTAATTCATCAATTTTTAAAATTTTGGATTTTTATTCTAATATACTAAATAATTTAAATTATATCTATTGAAAATGATTTTCTTTGTTTAATGATCAATCAAAAATCTCTCCTAGCGATTGGTTTTTTTAAAAAGAAACTTTTGATATTATCAATTATCTACATCAGCGATAACATTATTCATTAATTTACCATGTCTAACATGATTATTCTTTATAATCTTAATATTTTAATTAATAAACACCCTACTTTTTAGCTATAAATATTATAATCTATATCATACATTTTATTTATTTTTTCAATTTCAATCCATATAAACATTAATAAATTTGTTGTAATATCTAAATTAATAATCTCAATTAATAATAATTAAATAAATTCATAAATGTAGTATTAACCAGCATACTAATCACCTTAATAACATTATGTTAATCCTGGATAGATTGAAGTAATAATTTGTTCAATATAGACTTCGTTTAACTCAGGATTAGAAGCAATATCAAGATGTCCAAGTGTTTACATTAAATAACGTCCTGATTATTTAGAATCTTTAGGATTCTGTGAGAAAAAAAATGTTTATTATGTTTATTAATCTGATACAATGGGAAATAAGCCAGATTTTAAGCATTAAGCTCCGATTTTTAAATGTAAAGAAGAAAGTAGCTGTTGGTAAAGAAATTTTCTTCCTGGAGCTTGTCGAGCATTCGATCTGAAAGTCAAATAATATGATTAAAAACAAGACACAAACACAGTATTTAGATTAAGCAGAGAGTTCAAATGTACATTTCTTTGTCTAGCTAGGTAATCTAATTATCTAATTTCAGACCTATTATGGAAGTTTAACTATAAAATGGAGGAAAAATAGGTTATATATACTATCCATTTATGTGCTGTGATAAAGGAGTTGAAATAAGAGATGAAAATAATTCATTGTTATACTCTGTCAAAGGAAGCTGTTGTCAATGGCCCTTTTTAGTCTAATTACCTTGTGAAGCATGTTAAAGAGCAAGATTTGATATTATCGATTCTCAAGGATAGGTATGTTTGATCAAACTATTTGAAGAAAATTTCAGAATTGTGGAAAGAATCAGCTGGATTTTGCAATGCACTATGTAATGTGGATGCAACCAATTTTAGATTAATGTTTCCTTAGTAATCTACAAGCAGATAAAAAGTATTATTATTGGCAGCTGCCTTATTCATTGACTTTAATTATTTTGAAGAATCACCCTAAGATTAAAATAACGATTCCTTATGATTTTTTCATATATTAAGATTCTATAATTTATAGTCATATTAAAGCTTGCATTAATGAGAAATTAAAAATTTAGATAGACATATGTACATTTATTTATTCCATTAAATTTTATTGATATAAATATTATCTTTTCATTACTGATATAATGAAAATAAGTAAACATCTTAACCTCCTTGTTCTTATAAAACAACTAATAATGGTAAGTATAAAGTAGAAATAGAATATATAATTTCATATTATAAATACGATTATTTAAATTTGAACTTTTATTTTTTTATTCAATTTTATTCAAGCTTAAAATCAAAAGAAACATAAAGTTATTTACAAATCTTCCAAAATTTTGATAAATTATTTACTTTAATTATTTATACAATTTTATTCTGAATTAAATATATCTAATTACTTAATCTAAAAGCTATTTGGAAAATTATTTATTTATTTTTTTTTTTACATTTTTTCTTTAGAATGGAAAGAAAATTTTAAATTAATAAATTTTTTAAAAGGTTCATAGAAAAATTATGATTAAAAAATCTAATTACATGACAGAGAAAACTTTCTTAAATAAATGAACTCTTGGATATTTATGAAAAGTAATTATTGAAAGCAAATGTAAAAGACTAATTTTTATTAATTAGAATAGAGTTGATATTTTCAATAATATATTTAAGGATAATCAAAACATAAATAATTTATATTGATTTTTAAGGATATTTTTGAAAAATGGATTTATTTCATCAGATTGGTTGGGAATTTTTGAGACTAAAATTTAAGTTATACAGATAAACACAGAAAGTTAATATAAATGTTTAATATGTAATATTTCAAATTGAAAGTTCAAAAATTTTAATGATAATTCAATTGATTGTCTCTTTATTATTGACATCAAGGCTATCAATATATTTTTATTAAATGGTTAATTAATTAAATCCTCTAAAAAAAATAAATCTGATATTTAAATTTAAACTTCATCACTTAGTTGTTATCTATATAACATTAATATATTATAAAGTAGCTTTGTTAATCTATTTTACTTTAAATATTTCTGTAGTCTTCTTTATCTGTGGATAGAAGAAAAATAAAAAAGATAATTTATTTTTGAATTAAAATGATTCCTCCTACTTGGAATGAATTTCTTGAATTTATTAGTGATATTTAAGATAATGAGCTTGACAAACCTCTACTTTGTTAATTCATAAAGATACCCAATAAATGCATGACGTCTATTTAAATTAAATAATATTTCAGCAAGGACTTTCAAAAGTATAAAAACTATTATAGCAGTTTAGAGCTAAGATTAAAAGAAGTTGCAAATGGGGAGATAGAGAAAAGTATTTCTTGATATGGTGTGTATCAAAAATAATAGCCAAGCTTCAGATAAAATTTCAAGAAGTTGTAATACTTTTTACCTTTTAAATATGGTGTAGTACTTGTATTAAGTGTTTGAGAAGCTCTCAAATATTTTGGATCTTCCAGAGGAATTTTTGTTAACAAAATGGTTGAGTTTGCTCAATTATAAACTTAAATTACAGCCTTGGAAACAAGAAGAAGATGATCTACTTATTGAATTAAGATAGTATTAATTATTTTTAGAGTAGGCAATATTCAGGACCAAAGGACTGGACGATAATTACAAGGGAATTTATAAAAAGAAGTTAAACTGTAAGGTATCCAAAATAAATTCGCGAGAGATTTAATAATGTTATCAATCCTAACATAAATAAGTAACTATTTACCTGAATCTAGAAATGAATTCAATAAAGATGAAATACTTTTTATTTTTCGAGAAGCTTAGAATAAGGATAAGAATTGGGCTGGAATTTCTAAAATAATGCCTGGCCGAACTGATAATTAGATCAAAAATGTTTATAACTCTATAATAAGAAAAATTTCTAATGAAATGAGAATGGTAAATACAAATATAATTTATAAGAACTATTATTCTGAGGTTGATGAATAAGTTATTCAAAATCTAATTATCCAATAAAATAATTATGATCCAAAAATGATCTCATCTCTTTTAGAAGAATTTAAAAGAAAGAAACCTTGTGTCAAGACTGAATCATGCTCAGATTATTCTTAAACTTCTGAACCGTATTTTTAAGGCGTTCCTTTCCAAATGGCCTGCCCTTATATTAGTTATTCGCCATTCCAATTCCAGAATATCTATTTTTGCTTTCCCTAATTCTATCTTTTACCCCATTAGAGCCAAATAGCAACTCAAAACTTTAATGAAACCTGATTTTATTTTAAAGTGTATCTAAAATTTCATCCAGTATTTAACTAACTGCATAATTTTATAAACTATCTTTGAATAATAAATTATATAAAAAAACTTAATTTAACTATTTCATTTAGGTTCAATACTTAAGGTGGAATTAATATTTCAATAATAAACTATTTTACAAAGAAAAGTTAAAAATTTTTGCATCTAATTGAAAATTAGGCTTGTCAGCAGCTACTTATTTTTATCATAGAATCAAATGTGTATTGTTTCTTATTGCATCCTAATCAACTTGATCATCTTATATTTGCAATAAAATAAATCTTAAAATAAAACTAATCTGATTTACGACGGATTATGCATAAATTTATAACTACATCACACTAATGGATTGATCATATAAAAAAAATTTTATATTTACAAAATCAAAATTACTTTTCATTTCTTCTAATGATTAGATTAAATTACTTTTTTGTAGTGTATAAAATACAGAAAAATTATAAAAAAGACAACTGATTCATGATTAGCATAACATTCTATAAAGTACTCTCTTTTTTCAAATATTTTCAAATAAAATTAGGTTTGAATTTTAATGCTTGAGACATAATCATAAACTAAATTTGATTTTAAAGAGCAACAATTGATGATTATAATAAATGAAGTTTACAACAATTATGAATAAATTTTAAGTGCTAGACAAAATTTATCTCATGCTTCTTAATTACATTTATAATTCTAGTTTCGAATCAAGATTAGAAAGTCTAATTGAAAAATCTGGAATAAATAAATTGAACCTAAGATAGGTTTAGCTGCTCAATAATATCATTTAGACTTAATATCTTTGATTAACAAGAAGTAAATTTAAAGCAATATAATATGAATTAATAAATTGACAAAGTATAAAAATCAATGAGTTTTTTGTTAATTATTTATTATTAGAACTTAACATGATGTATTTTTGGAGAAGATTTATTATTTTTCAATAAATTTTAAATTACAATAATATTTTTTTTGCCTCCTTTTTGTGAATAATCTATATTTAAGCTCAAAAGTTTTTCTAATGCTTCTTACTCTTTGAAAATTATTTTGAATTAATAAAAAATTTATAAAGGTTCTAAATATTAGCATTTTGTATGTTTCAGTAAAGTAGTTAGAATTTGTGATAATTAATAAAAAAAAGTAAATTATCAGTATTTATTTCTCATCCATATTAATCCGCAAAAAAAATAATTAAGATCGAGACTCTATTGATAAATTTTAGACTTTCAACTTGATTTTCTGAATAAAACTATCTTAATTCTTCATCCTTAACTCAAAATCAAAATTACAAAATATTGTTAAGCCATACACTGAAAATGAAAAAGCCAAATATAGTGGTCAAAACCAAAATTTTTAAAAGTGGTTAAATAAAATGAAAATGAAAATGAATATTTATATTTTTATATTTATTTTTATGTTAAACTTTTTTCAATAAATTATTCTGAGATTTAAATGGTTTAAGTTAATAATATTAAATATTAGAGAAAGTTAGATTATTTAGAAAGGATAAAACAATTTAAATAAATAAGAGTATTAATTGGGCAGGATTAGGTTTAATTTTATGTGTTTTCTGGATATTAGGTATTTTGTTTAATTTTTCAGAACTTTTTTCGATAATTTTTGGTATTTTCCCTTTATCTCTATTCTAGCTTTGATCTAAAAAAAATTCTACTATGTCTATGTGATTTCCCTTTAGGTTACTCAATGTTCTTAACAGGAGTGATGAATTGGAAAAATTACTTTAAAACTTATTTAAAGATTTGTTTAGATAAGAGGGTCTTTAAATATTGTATTTTCTAAGTCTAGTGTGTAAATAACATTTATTAACCACTCGTTATATGATCAATCGTTTAGATCAAAGCCTAATTCAATTTTGTAAATCAACCCCTTTGTAAAATATATTAAACTTCTACTCTTTTAAGATTTGATAGCATAAATCGTACTTTGATTTCTCTAGAATGTTAAGACCTTTTTTGTTGCGATATCCAATAAATATTTTGAGAAAATGCAATTCAATTTAAAATCAGGTAAAAGATTCCTTTTATTGCTAGTTTAGAATAAATACTATTAGTGATCGGACCATTTAATTCCCTTCTTAAATGGAAGCAAATTAAGATTAGTAAAATAAATAATGAAGAAAATTGTAATTAAAAAAATGTTTTAGGGATGAGTAATTGTATGATACCCCTATTTTTTTTATTCAAGGTTATTTTAGGTGTTTAACTTAAATATTCAATTCGAGGCTATTATTCTAGAAAAGGATTCAGAATGAGAATAGTCAAAAATTAGATCCTTTTAATAATTAGCAATACTTCATTCACAATATCAAATGGCCCTTATAATAAACGAATAGCTTATCCATAAAAAAAATAAAATTTTATATATTGTGAAGCGAACAAGTCTTGGCCAAAATAAAAGATAACCTTATATTCTACCAAATGGAGATATAAAAAGAACTCTACTTATGAATTCGATCAAGCTTTTGAAAAAATAAAAATTTTCAGTAGAAGCAATTGCTGCATTTCCAAAAGCCAAAATTTCTCATTATATGAACCAACTAGGTGTGAGGGCACTTATAATAATAATAATAATAATAAGAATAATAATAATAATAATAATAATAATAATAATAATAATAATAATAATAATAATAATAATAAATTGAATGATATGTATGAATATAACCCTTTCATTGGAATCTGGGTTAATTTTGTCCATAATAATTTGCAAATATTTTGCAATTTTATAATAGATGTTTAATATCTTTATCAAGCTAAACAGCTGGTTCATTTGATATGAAATTAAAGGATTTACCCAATCTAAACAAAGGAATTTTATCATAAATTATGTCTAAAAGTCTTATCACATATTTTTCATCCAACTAATTTACCTTATACTACATCTTGTTATTTGAAAAATAATGAATTTGTAAAATAGGCAACAGGAAAGCTTTTCCATATCATGATTATTTTATTTTTAGTATCTATCATAATTTAAATGTGCAAGGGATCCAGCTAGTCTATCCTCAGGCAACAATCATCTACCAATTTAGGATAGAAGTACATAAATTATTTTGCAACTTCCTATAAACATAAATCAAGGGTCTAATCGTACACCACTTAATACAAATACAATTTTTTAATTCTTCTTCTTCAAAGGCATTTGGCACTTCTGTCCATCCTGGAGCATTTTTTGGAGAGATAGTGGAAAATTAATGATTAGAAATAGGCTGAGTAAAAGCCTCCCTTAAGCATTTCATAATTTCAAAATGCTTCTCTTCTAATGTATTTATTTTCTCGACTAATATCGAATGCAATATTGCTTTCATTTATAATTATATTTAATTCTCCCACTTATCCATAAATTAATTAATTACTGTTGTCATGGATACAATTTAAATACCTTAACTGTATCCATATTATACTATTTCCAAATTAACTTACCATGGCCTTATATAGTCCTTATAATCTTTTATATAAGCCTGAATATAGTCAAAATCATAATTAAAAAAAGTCTAATCAGATTTTACTCTTATAGTCTATCTAATAGTAAAGATTATCTTTTCCTCTTCTTATTCTAATTCTTATACTACCAATTTCAACTCTTTATTTCTTTATTAAATAGTCTTCTATTGAAACTACATTTTCTCTTGAATACTTTCTTCTAATATCATACTCTTATTTCTGAATCATAAGTTCTTGTTTCTTTTAATATTTCATCTCTTTTATCTGACACTTTTCATAGATACAATTTAAGCCCCTGTTAAGTGTTCCTCAAGACAAGTGAAGTTATCATTCTTCCCCAAGATTTCACTTTCTCCAAATTATGTTGTGAGTTTACTCTTTCTTCCAGTGTACTTAAGCAATAAAATCATAACTGATTTCTGCCTAATAAATTTCTGATAGAATATTTAATTATTGGCTCTGAAGAGTAATCAAGAGAATATTATTCTTCCATCTTAATAAATATAGGGAGCTTATAATTTTTATTCGATCAGGGAGCTTTATTAGAATGGGGTTAACATTTAGGAATACCCCATAAGTATGAACAAAAACCTACCTACCTGCCTTACTAATCTCAGTAATTACTTCCTTTATAACATCATTATGTTCAATATTTGGGGTAGTAAATTTTTATCAAATAAACATCTGATGATTTCCTACTGAGTTTTATAAAATTTTTATAATGACACAACATTAAGATTTTATGGGCTTTATTACTTTTATTTGAATTCAGCATATGAATTTGATTTAAATTTTCCACAATCCTTATAAAATATGCCTAGGATCTTCTCTATTTACACAATTTGGTTTAACAAAGAAGCCTATTCTCTAAAGTTGAGATATCAATTTTTTTGGAACTGGTAACCAGTATTTATTTGCCTTAAAACAGCTGCAAAAGACAATTTTAAACATTATAAATTTTTTTTGATTCACAAAGCAAAGCTTAATGATTAACAAATTGTTATGAATATCAGCCTTGTATTTCTTTCTCCTTAAAATCTCAATTGAAAACATTTAGAATATCATGAAATAATATTTATTTAAATGTTAACCTCTCACAAATTCAATCAATATATGAATCATGGACCAAAATGAAACCATACCGTCTTTAAAAAACTATAAACCATTAATATAGAGCATTTCAAGAGATCATGTAAAAATCTCAAATTGAATAATTTTTAATAATAATAATTATTTAAAAATAATATTATGGCCGCATATTTGGCTGCAACAGCTATAGCGAAGATATCAAACTTAGTTTATAAGAACTTATAAAATTTATAAAATAATATAATATATATCGTAACAAATTAATTGTAAGAACTTCCGCTTTGCTCTTGTATTAAATTAAGACTTCTTTTCTAAAGACAATCCCTTCTTTTTTATAATTTTGACATTGTTATTTATTATACTAAATAGCTTGTGTATATTTTAATAACGATTATTAGATTATTATTAAAATAAATTTGAATTTGAAATGAGAGGATAAAACCAACCATACTATTAAATTTGCTCACCTTAAAGAGCACCTTAAAGAATTTAAGTTACAACTTAGCAACCTAGTTAAAATGATAAGTTTATAAACTTAAAATGTGAAAAAGTTTTGATGGGATTTGAAATACAAAGGCAAAATTAAATAATAAAGGAGCTTGAAGAAAACAAAAATTAGTTAGAGTAACAAATGTAAATTAATTTTATAATATAGAAAAACATATAAAGATGAATAAAAGATCTTACTTTTAGAAATCTCTAATTTAAATTAAGAAATGAATAAAGCATAGGAGTAAGAGAAAAAACATAGAGAGCAGCTGAATTCCTATATCAAAAATTAACCTTAATTGGATAATTAGATGAAAATAGATTTATCTGGAGAATATGAAAAATTAAAGGAAGAAAATTAATATTTAGAGTCCAAAATATCTTATTTATTAAGCATTAATTAGTTAGAAAATAAATAAGATATTTCATCCATAAAAAAATTAAATCTCGATCAAAGTGAAGCCTAAAATCATATTCCTGCTAATATTCAAAAGCTTTTAGAATAACTTTAAAATAATATCTAAAATTATAAATAAGGAAATTCCATCTAAACTAAATACCTTAATTCTATATCTATTTTAAAGGAATTAATTAAATCCTAAATATCATACCTCACTAAACAAGATAATTTGAATAAAGAAGTTGATTATTAATAGCTAGAAATATATTTGACAACTATTAATTAAGATATCGATGAATTGAAAGCTTATGAAACCCCAAAAGCAGTAAGACGAATTTTAAACAATTAAAGTCCATAACTAGGTAGATCATGTTCTTAAGGATTATCATCTGATGAAGTCTTTTCTAAGATAATTGGACATATTGAACATTTGTAATAAGCTGCATCAAATATCCCGACTATCTTAAAATAAATTTCATTGCTTAATTCTTTAGTTAGATTAAAAAATGATGATCTTAAACTAATAAGCAATAATAATAAATTAAAATAATCACCTACAAGATTTTCAATCGCCCTCACACCCGTTAAATACTTAAGCCCAATTAGAATTTCTCCTTTGAAAATACAACCATTTATTATGAATATGAGTGCTCCTTAGAAAGTTTCTATCATTTAATCAAATATTCATGATTCACATTAAACTAACTAAAGATAAAATGTTATTGATTCATTCCCAATTTAATAAAGAGACGAATTTTAGAATGTTCTAAATTCTTTTAGAGATAATTAAGACAAAATAAATTAACTGGAATTTGAAAAATTATAATTATAGGAACAAGTTAAATTGCTGAGATAAAAATATGACTAGTTGATTGAAAACTAAATATAGTAGCCTTAAGACTAAAACTTAAGGTAATTGGAGAGCTTGGATGCAGAAAATTTAATACTAAAAAGATAAAATATAGATTTAAAGTAATAAGTTAAGGAATTAATAGATGAGAGAATAAAACTATAATAATAATATGATATAAGTAAAAATTAATATTAAGAAATATTAAATCAATTACATCAGGAAAAAAAACCTGAAGATTATAAGAAACAAATAGTATTATAATAGGAGCAAATACATAATTTGGAAAATGAAAAATTGATGAAAAATGACGAATTTATAACTTTAATGGAAGAAAATGACACTTTGAAAAAAAATTAAATCTAACTTTAAGATTAAATAATAGAATTATTAAAACAATTGAATTAATAGAACATATAATAGTTTGATGAAAGAGAGGTGGAGAGTATAGATGAATAGCAAGAAGATAGATTAAAGTAAATAAATATTTTGCAAACAGAAAATATAATATTAAAAGATCAGCTTGCAGAGGTTGAATAGTAAAGATAAGATGATCTTAAATCTTTCAAATCAATTATAGGAAATGGTGCAGATTAATAATGTATTGCAGATTTAGTTACGTAAAAATAAAAATTATAATCTGATTAAAGATAATAGTTAATTTAGATAAATAAATTATAATAAGAACTTATAGAACAATAAAATGAAAATAATTAAATTAAATAAAAAGTAAATGAATTAAAGGAATAAAAATAGTTAATATAAAGGACTTAAGATTATAATTGGTCGAAATTCACTAGCCCGCTGAATAATTGGATAGTTTTTATTTAATGGGATTATAAAGAACTCTCCAAAGTTTTTAACTAAATCTTATGCACTACTTCTCCAAACATCATTCAAAATAATGAAGGATCCATTTTTGAAAATCCAAGTGTCTGAAATTAAAATATTCGTTAATGCTTTATTTTAACTAATTTTTGATTTCATATATAAAAAATGTTAAAACGTAATAGGTTCTTATTTTGGGAGTAGTAGAGGTTGGAAATTAATTAGTCCTTAATTATCTCCTAATGTATATAATACATTATTTTTTACTGCCTGTTAGTCTGCGATTAAGTTATCTAAATTATCAATATAATAATTCATGATTTCACCATCCCTTTTATTTGGATTAACTATAACTAGTTTTTTAATTTGTTTATGGGTTATCTTATTTTACTTAGTTCTGATATTGCTATTAATTAATTAGAATATGTTCAAAAAATCTTAAGAAGTTCTATGTATTATGGATTCTAGACCTAACCTTTTCCTTCTATAGATTTAGAATGTCTTTTGATTCTCCTGAATTTTCTAAATAAATTCTCTGAAGTTCTCACTGTGAGAACAATTCAAATTTAATAGATAAATTTACTCCTTGTTTATTATGAAATTATATTACTTTTTACTTTTTAAGTTTTTTTTCAAATTTAATTAACAAATTATTAATTTATGATCAGATAGATTATTTTGCTGAAAGCTAATTGAATGCAAAAGTTCTTAATTGATTTGAAAAATGTCTGTTTTCGATTATCGAAGTTTGTTCTTGACAAATCTTTATTATGTAATTTAATACTCTGGGATTAAATCTATCATACCCTTGAGCTTAACTGCACTATTATTAGCATCTCTAACAATCATTATAAGAACATTTAGTTTCTTGATTTTAAGTTGAACAATGAAGATTTGTAATTTTTTTTATTAGTTTCTGAAAGATTTAGAGTTGGCAGAGTAGATATTTGAAATATATAGTTCTACATTATTTTTTGTGCATTAAACTAACAAATATTCAATTTCATCTAATTTTAATATATGAGAAATGTCTCTGCATATGACTTATTTATGAATGCCTATACCCATCCTTCCGCCTTAAGAATGTTCGCTACGTAATTTATTAATGAAATTGTATTTAGGAGATGTGTTTATCATCTATCGAGTTTCTTGAAGACAAATTATGTGGGGATCATTTTCTTTAATTATTTGTAAAGTGGTTGGTTTTAAAGAGGAAATATTCCAACACACTACTGTTATTTAATGATGTTGTGAGATTATTTTGTTTTTGTTTTAACTAAAATGGATTTAGTTAGTTATTATTATTATTATTATTATTATTATTATTATTAATAATAATAATAATAATAATAA